GCCTAACAGTATCAACTATAGTACTGCTTCGCCACTGCGTGCACACAGCGACGGTGAGTTAAAGGGAGAGGATATATCAGGTGATCACAACACAATATTTGCGTTGATTTCGCAATCCACACACACAACTATAACAGCTACACTCTTCCCCCTCTGCACGCTGCCTAAACCGTTGATCAGCTTTGCCGCCGCCCCATTCACATTACGATATCAGTATTGGAGAGAGACAACATCCACAAGCATACTATCAATCAGAGAAAAGGTCATCAGATATGCCAAAGCGATTAATGTGTGAACGTGATCAGAGTCTCCATTTCATAGAGCTACTCAAAAAAATTAATCCAAGAAAGTAAGCCGATAAAACACTAAACGCCAGCAATCATAGCCAGCCACTCTTTGGGGCCGATGCTCCGCTCATCCTGAAGATGCTTGCCAATCCCATAACGCCTTTACAAACAATGACCAAACCAATACCTCCAAGCACGCTTATTCTTCATGCTCATTCATGCGGATCGTGATGCGCCTCAGACAACATATATTTACAACACACACACAATGCATGACTCAAAAATCGGACGCGCTGTCCTCTGAATAGACATAAGCGCCAGAATGAAGATGCTAACACCTCAAACCGTCATAACAATTTCATCTCGAAGAACCAGCCTGTTTAGGAAGTGGCGATGGATTATACGTCCATCCGCCATCCCTCACAAGACGTTCTCTCGCCTCGCGCTCCTTCCGCTTCTCTTCAGCTGTGACTTCGTCGTTGGCCCAGTAGGCGCTGCTAGTACGCTCGCGGAACCTCTTGTGGCGCTCCTTGTTGGGGAACACCTTCTCCATCTCCAATGGTGCAATGGGCCCGAAGATGTGTTCGGGGTCCATGAGCTGCTGGTTGCTGAGCATTTCGCGTAGGTTGGGCGTGTTAACCCAGCTTGGTTGCTCGAACTCGTTTTCGGAGTCTTCATCCTCGGAGTCGGTCATGATCTCGGGGAGCTTGATGTCGTCTCCGTTGGGGTATTGGATGTGGGGTGTTTGGGATGCCGGCTGGTATGAAGACTCGGCAGCGAAAGGAATCTTGCCCTTGGCGAATTGAGCATGGCCTGGGGTAGTTGGGTTGAGATTTTTCGCTTGTTGCGAAGGTCTCTTGGCCGGACGATGAAGAGTCTCATCACCCTCACCAGGGAACTGTCGCTTGGGAGGAGGCTTAGCAGGGTTGATAGGAGGGATATTAATACGGTTGGCGTCTTGAACTGTCTGCAATCGTGATACAGGTCGGGCGGCTCCGAGATCAGATCGAGGTGGCTGAGACGCTGAGATTTTGGGCTTCTCGACGACTGTTTGCGCTCGGGCAACTCGGGTTGCAGCAGGCTTAGCAACAGGCTTTGATGTCTTGGTCCCGGGTACGGACTTGGTAGACAGAGCTGAAGCCGGTCGAGATGACGCAGCTGGAGGAGGTCGTGAAGATGGGCCTACAGACTTGTTCAGGCTCTGTGGAGCAGAAGGAAGAGGCTTGCTGGACGATGCAGCTGGACGAGCTGCAGGAGGTGGGGCTTGGCCATACTGGCTACTCTTGAGGTTAACCATGATCTTCTGTGGTGCTTTCGCGGTTATTGCGTCTTTGCTTGTTGGTTTGGCAAGTTTCCTGGGCTCTCGAAGAGGTGCTTTGGTGGCCTTAGTAGTGGGCAAAAGGCTCTTTGGTGGAGGTGGGGGTGGCATCTCGTCGCCAGAGTCAACGTCTTGTTCTCTGGAAGAGGCAGTATTCGATCGAGGGACGCCAGGGCGAGACACGGGCGGTTGTGGGGCTGCTTGAGCTGGCGTCTTGTTTGCAGCCACGGCAGTAGGCATTCTCAGGCTCGACTGGGAGGACATGGCGGTCGGTGTCTTTGCTCCCATGGCCCTAGCCTTCTGAGCTTGCGCGGCGGCCTTGCTCTGCTCCTTCTCACGCATCTGCCTGAGCCTGTCCTCAGCACGCTGCTGCTGCTTGGTCTCCCGCATCTCCTTCTCACGGGTCTCCTTTTCCTTCTGCTTCTCCCGTTCGGTAGAGCTGCGAGTTCGGCGGCCATCGCCCTTGAGAGGGCTACCAGGCATAGTAGCACTTTTACCAGACTTGATGGAATCCTTGGAAGGCGAGCGCATGTGGTTGAAGATGGAGACTGGTCTTTCTGCGCGCTTGGGGCTGCTGGAGACCTCGTCTGATGCATCTGAGGACGGCAACTTGGGTCTTGCAGGGCTTTCTTTGAGAGCGTCCATCTTGACCTGAGCGCTGGTAGCACTCGACCCGATGAGCTTCTCCTTCGCTAAGCGGAATGCTGAATACAATTTAGACTTCGATGCGCTGAGGGGGCCATCCATGTATTTCTTACTAGTCGGAGAGCCAACCGGCGTGGTTGATTCAGCAACTGCTGAGAGATCTGGATTTGAAAATGAAGTGAGGTTGGTGAGTTTGGCTGGCACGTGTTTGGCTGGTGATGGCTGAGCATCAGCAGTATAGCTTTTGTTATAAGCCGGCCTGGATACCTTGGGGGCGACTGCTGCTGTTCGGACAGGTGAGATCCAGTCGTCATCGTCATCCTCCTCCTGGGTGGCTTCCGGTGCGGGAAGACTGGGGTATGCTGGTTGTGAAGCTGGCGCAGGTGCGACCTCTTCCTTTGCTTGCATAGTAGAACTCTCAGGCTGCGATTGTGCGGATACGATATTCTGGCTGATGCGTTTCGGTGCGTCGTTCTGCTGCTTGAGCATATTGATACGCTCATACAGACGCTGTGTGGAAGTCTTGTTGTGGATCTTGGTCGTTTCTGATTCCTCTCGCTGGAGCTCCGGTCGGTCTTCATCGACGTCCATGTCGTCCGCATGTTGCGTCTCTGCTGGGTGCGCAAGCTGTGAGCCTCCAAGGCTCTTTCCTCCTGTAAATCTACCCATATGGCTGTTGCGGCCCTTGTTCTGGTCGAGGTGACTGATGCGTGACACGCGATTGCCCATGCTCTTCTTTGGGAGCAACGGCTCGCGCGCGGGGAGAGAAGCAAAAGTAAGACTGCTCTTCCTAACGAGCGGCTTTACGGGGCTGGAGTTGTCTGAAGGCGAGCGCACGTCATCGTCAACGTCCATTTCGTCGTCGACGTCATGGTGGATGAGCGTATCGTTGACTTCGGCTTCGGGAGATGCGGGCGGCGGGCCTGACGGTGTTGTTGAGTGGTCTGGAGCATATGTGGTCTTGGGCTCGGGGGCCAGAGTGCGATTGTTCGCTGTGTCGAGCGCGTCGTGGGTTTCAGCAGAAGTGCTGTACTGCTCGGATACCACGTGTGGTGGTTCGGGAAAATCGGCCATATCCTCGTCCTCCATGTCGTGGTCCTCTCCATCAGAAATGTCGTGGTGAATCATGGTACCATCAGCCTCGTCTCGCGAGTGGTCAGCCTTGTACTCGTCGTCGTCCACACTCATGGCAGATACATCTGCGTGTTTTGTCTGCGAGGCGTCCCTCGACGCGTTCTTGCTTGCGAAACCTTCATTGGCTGAAACAAAAGAATCGCCAGTCTCGCGCTCCTCTTCCTTGTCGTGTATCGAATGACGGAAGGACTGGGCTGGCTGTGTGGGCTGAGTCGAGAAGCTCTGTGGCGGCGAGAAGACTTGGCTGGCTTCTGAAGACATTACCGTGTCTTGTGAGGACTGAATGGGATTCCATGCGGGTGCGGGAGACTGTGCTGGGCGCTTCTCGAATACATTGGCGTGGAAGCTGCTGTCGACATTCTCCTTGCCAGCGCTCTCGGGCTTGGCGAACAGCTGTCGCGCAATAGGTGTGCGGGCGACTTGGGGCGACTGTCGTACTGTGTTCTCAGCATCTTCGGCAATCTGGAATCTAGCCTTGACATTTCTTAGACTCTCTTCGGCGGCGCTTGTGCGTTTCTGCGCGTTTGCAGATTGTATGCTGGCGAGAGGCTTCGGAATGTTAGTATGGGACGAAAGGCGCATGCAAAACTCTTACCTGGCGATCGACAGCCTTCTTTCGCGCGGTACGGGGCGTCTTGCCGCGTAACTTGCCGGGTGTCTTGAAGACATCGAGGTTGTGTCTACCGGAAAGTCAGTGTGATGCGCGTCGGCGCGAGGTAGACGCGACATACTGTCTGTCGCTGGACAAAATGTCGAACATGTGTTCATTGAGCCATTCCAGCTCATTGCGCACAGAGAAGCCAAAATCCTCCAATTCCTGGGATACAAGCGTGTTGGACTGATGGCGCTCTTCGAGGATCCAGCCAGCGGACCCAACGGTGGGTGCCTTGCTGCGGGCAGCCATGTCGAATGTGTGCGGTGAGGTGCGGTGAGGGCGTGTAGTAGTAGGCGCGTCGCGGTGCTAGCAGTCGCGTTCCGGGTAAGGTCGAGTGTCGTCTAGGTTAGCTACGCATGTCGTCTTGAGATGTATCAGTCGTGAATAGCAGCGCCAAAGGCAAAAAGGGCTATCCTGGGGGGTTTGTCGTCCGGGGCGTTGGGGTGTTGGACCTTCAATGTTGTGACGCGGGACGAATCCAAACAATCGAGTGGGCCGCCCATCGCGCTGGCCATAGCGCCGCCAAGACCGACCTCTCCCTTTTGGGACGACACTTGCATCATACCTCTGGCTGAAGCACTGAGTTTCCTTCTCGCTCAATGTCCTCTGTGTGATTGCTCTTGAGAATACCCATGGTTTGCATCTTTTCTGCTCCACAAGTGATGGTGGTGGCTAAGTATAGCACACGGCAAAGGCCCGCCAGACGATCGCCTGTAGCCGTTGAACACTGACCACCTGGCTGTCTTTGTCGCTGCTGCGTCGCTTCAGCCTATCGATTAGTTACCTTCAAGTCGTCTTCTTCCTTACAATTACCGCTCCGTCGCGTCTTCGCGCTCGAGTACATGTAGGTTCCATCCCGGAGACCATGGTTGCATATTGTCGAGAATTATCGCTGTATCCATGGCGGAAAAGAGCAATGTGATGATTTTACTTAAGCAGCCAATCTCCGTTGCATGTAAGAATGGCTTTGCTGTAAGTTCTGGGTGTTGCAGTAATATGTACGTGTCTGAGATCCAATAAGATTCCCACAAGATCATGGTCAAGCAGTACAATGGGTACAAATGGTCGCTTACCCCCCTGAACCAAGGTAAAGAACCTCGATTTTGTATATCGTTACCACGTTGCATAGTCTTAATATGCGTCGCTTGATAGGCTTCTTGGATCGAACATTCTTTTCGCTGGACTTAAGACACTTTCGTATTTTTCCAAAGTTACTTCCTTCAGCAACTTCCTCCAGCAACTCCCTTCAGCAACTTTCTTCAGCAACTTCCATCTTCAGCAATTTCCATCTTCAGCAACTTCCATCTCCACCAACCTCCATCTTCACCAACTTTCATCTTCACAATCTTCGCCGACAAGGTAGACTATATTGCCTTTACCAGCCCACGCGCACTTCAAGACTACGACTCCCACAATCTCCTAGTCGACACCAAAATCAAGATGGATTATCGTCACGCCCAAGTTCCTGGAACCTGTCCATCTACAAGGTGTTCTGAAGGTGCTCCACAGATGCCCCTTGAGACGTCTGAGCGCCGACAAGTACGACACAAAGAGCCTGTACACTGTGCAGTCAAATCGTCTTCTCCAAAACCATCATACATGCCAGGCTCAGCTACGTCAAGGCTACCTACACCCCGCCTTGCATCGCCGTGGCAATGGGCGTACGTTCCTTCAAACACCAACCCGTCTGCAAGAGTACTTGCACCCATCAACCAGGAAACTCAGGAGATACACCCATCTTTCTACCGCAGGTTTCCATCCGCACTTGCCAGTATAACACCTGCAACGCAGCCAGAGAAGAGCTACTCAGAGCGCATAGCTTCCAGACGAGAGGCTTCCCATGCGAAGTGTGAGAAATGGCTGGCTATCGACAAGGCCAATGTACCTCAGCAAGAGCTGGAGCAGCTGAGTCTGGACTCTGATGAAGAGGAGTGGGAGAAGGTTGATGGTGACGAGGATTGGGAGTTTGTCGATAGTCCTGGAGTCGAGGAAGGTAAATGGACAGAGTAAAGACTAGTCTCATAGGAGGCTTTGGGAACTATGCTGTAGATCGATCCATGGCTATCCTAATCCAAATCTTTGCTGCAATTTGGATGTCAGATGTGCAGCTCGTATAGATACAAAATAATTCTAGACATAGTATCCATGTTGCTTACTACATGAACGATTTCTGAATTTTGCTTGCTTAAAATTATGTCGTATAGGGCAACATTTCCAACAAGCACATCTGCCCATGGCTTTCGCAACGACAGAAGGGCCACGCAACAACGGAGATCACCCCACTCGCAAGTCCAGCTCTATTCACCAAAAAATTGTGGCGCATTATACTAAATTGTAATGATTCTCATCTTCGCCGACCAACTTTAGCTTGGTGCGCCATCTCGGCCGACGGCCTTCAGCGGTGAACACGCCATATTGAGAATAGTAATGGTGTCTGCACCATCACATGCTGACTCTATCACGCCGAAGCCACGATCCATACTGTTCATTTTTCTCACAAGCTACTGCTGCAAGATCCCGAGACTAGCAAGGGGGGTTGCGACACGGATCATCCATGAGTTACGGCCGATCGGAGCATCAACGCGGAGCATCAACACGGAGCAATTCAAATCAGCAGAAGAAAACGGAACCTTCATTGAGCTACCCAAAACAAGTAGGGTGCGGACGGATAGAAATGGGTATAGACAGGACAAATTCAGATGAAGAGGAAACCAGAGTCTAGCGTAGGAGATATGTAGTATGTACAAGAAGAGAAAGAAATGGATCCAAGGAGTGGTGACGTGAGACCGCAAAAGGTCCAGCCTTGAGTGTAACCAAAGACAAAACGCCCAGCGATGCTATACCGACCCAGTACTGCTAGGAAAAAACAACAGAAAACAGTGTGCGAAGTACATCCACATCAAGCCTTGTCCTTCTTAAAGATGTCCTTGAGGCGAAGTTTGATCTTGTACATGTACCAATCACCCTTCCTCTTGCTCTTAGGACCGAGACCTTCGTTACTCTCTTCGCTAGCTTTGCTCTTCTCTTTCATGCTTTTACTGCGCTCAACCTTCTTCTCTTGCTTGCGCTTCTTCTCGTTCATGACGAACATGCTTGTGGGGCGCTTCTTGAGACCGGGGCCTTCCGTGACTCCAGAATCCCACATGCCGGTCGTGGTGATGGGCGCGTATGCAGACTGTGTCTTTCTAGAACGTTCGGTTTGTGGCATGGCCGGTGAGAGGAGAGGAGAGGCGAGTAGCGGTGTGGGCGAAGTCGGGCCTTCAGGTGACGCGGGGATGACGATCGGGGATGGTATAGCAGGAGGGAGTGGCCGGGTGGATTCAGCAGAAGGTCGCTCTATAGGTGAGGGCAGTTGTAGTTCCTTGATGCGAAGTAGCTCCACGCTGCGCTTCATAGTGCGCTCTTCTGCGGTTTCTGCGAGTGTTTGGTCTTCGAAGGTAAGTCCGTATCTCTTCCTCATGCTGCCGGAAATACTATGCATAGCAGTGCCAGTCGAGTTGGCACGTCGCGCTCGTGTCTTCACAACGGTCACGGGAGAAGCGTTTACTGCCGTCTTGGTAGAAGCAGGCGAAGCAGGAGCATCAGTGAAGCTTGTCGTGCGACGAGGTAGTCTTTCCAAACTAGGCTTGAACATTCGAGGGATCGAGCGGCGCTTCTCGTCGAGTGTCGAAGCTGGAGATGGCGAGCGAGGACAATCAAGGATCGACATTGAGAACGTGCGGTTGGTGTTTGGCCGGAAGGTGGCACAGGGAGCTAGGGTTGGGGGCGAGAACAAGTTGGGGCCCTCCGTCGTGAATTCTTTGGCAGCAACCCAGACACCGGAAGCCAGTATGAATTGTCGAAGCGCGTCGCCGGTCTCGGTAGGCAGCTTCTCTGTCAAAGTTTCCATAAAGTTGCTGGCATCGATGCTGGAAACGTCTGTGGTAGGCGACTGGGTGTAAGAGGCCATGCTAGGCGTTGACGGCGAGGCATCAGATGGCAAAGCGTAGGTATCCATGACATCTATGCGGTTGCGGGTCATTGTCGCAATGATAGGATGACGCCTGGAATTAACACTCAAAGTACTGAACGTAAACTTCCTGTCGTCGGCCTCTGGGAATGATGGCGAAAGGGGTGTGTTCGCAGTCATGCTTGACGTACGGCGTGAATGAGCTGGTTTCAACACCCAACGCGCCTTCAGCGTCAGGCCATGCTCGTCAGTGCTATTGAACTCGTAGCCTCCGTTGGGCATATCAGTTACCGCCCAGCGACTCGTCCCGTCATTCATACAAATCTCCGTGGTCTCGGTGACGCCCTTGTCACACTTCCGTGCGCTGATGACGCCGATTACGTCGCGCGAGCCCCATCGCTCCTCTTCCGACTTGCTCTCGTCATCATGACTGTTGTACTCCTCTGCCTGAACAATGAAGAGATCATGTGGCCCTAATTTTTCCCTGGTGTTAAAGCTCCGTGAAAGACGCCTCGAAATTCGCTGGGGGAGGACTGAGAAAGGAACGACTTCGTATGCAGGCTTTGGACGTTGCGAAGCGATGACTTGATGTAACTGTAGGAGAACCTTGGGGCGTGCATGTAGCTTTGAGCGAGTGTTTACGGGTCGGGCGATGTTGTAGGATGTTTTCGAACGAGGGGTCCGCTTCTTCGGCTTCTCTGCGGTGCCGTCGCTGCCGGAGGAAACCGGCCGTGAAGGTGAAGGAACGAAGGTGATTATAGGTTCGTCATGCTGTATCTTCATCGCATCTCTATGCGAGGTCGGCGTTGGCGTGTCAGGGGTATCGATTGCAGGATCGGTGTGTGTAGAAGTTAAGGTCGCCTGCGACGGTGAAGGAGTTTGTCCGCGCAAGACTGAACCTAAAATGGAAAGTGGCATCTGGAGAAAGGAGCCGTTGCTCGTGGGCGAGGCTGCACGCGGTGGTGCGCTCTCGTGGCCATGTTTGGCGGCATCGGCGGTCAACATGTCCAGCAGCATCGCTCCAGCACTCAATCCAGGTGTGACATGCTGAAATACCCGTCAGCAGAGAATCGAAATACAACGGAAATGGAGGCGCAATCCGCGCCGCCGCATGGGACGCCATTCATCTTATGAGGGCGGGACCCAAGGGCTGTGCGCTGAAGTTTGGAGGTCGTGCCCCTCAAGCGCAATTCCACTACCACAACTGGGGCACTGGGGCTGACTTACAAGCCACAACTAGAGGAGCTGAGTTTATGCAGGGAATAAGTTAGCCAATCACTCCCTATAGCCTGACCATGGACAGCTGTATGTTTCAGCAAGCGGGCGTAGACAGTTTTCAAAGAGCGAAAATGGGAACAAAAAAGAAGCCATTAGACGGGCCCCTCGTCAGGTCATTCATCAGCCGGGCATGGCTCTACTTTACATCCGCATCGTCGACGCACAAGGCACACAGGCTCCAAACGCCGGTAATGTCAACCGTCGTCCGTCCCGTTGGCGCAGGGACGCCAGCAAAGCCGCATCCGGCAAGGGGCCAGAACCATTGGCCCATCGTGCACATCATGCATCCTCGCTACTGGCCCCTCTTTTTGCTTCATCGGAAACAGATTACTCGGCTTCGTCGGACAAAGCTGGGGGGCTGCTTACTCGTGGTCATAGTTAGCAGGTATACCGCTGATTGTCTAGGTCTTACTTTGGATCGTGCTGTCGATCTGGATGAGAGCAGCAACGACACGTTTCCGCAGGGATCCGAATACCTCATCATCTTAAGATTGATCATGCGGCACTGTGACCATGGAACCTTCTGAGGAAGCTCTGGGCAGTCAATGCACGGCGTATTCGTATACGATGCAGACCGGGGGGCGCTGTGATTGGCCAGCCTTGCGATATTTGCGCCGAGCACCACTGCCACTCAAGCCACAGCAAACATCAACATCGGTTTCCATGTCGAAGCATTCTTGTAGGAGCCGACCGCAGATGATATGAAGCTTGTGAAGCTTGGATGCTGTCATGACCAGGCGTCCTGTTCGGTACTCCGACTCTGCTATACAGGGCCAGCCTGTTACAATCAACGCTTACGCAAACTCTACCATGACTTTTTGCGAGGGGTTTTGGATTAGCCTTACCTCACCGACAAATCCACACACCACTACGCCGTGCTGCACCTCTGGCTGCACGACCCGCTACACTTCACGATCTTTCTGCAAGCCTGCTCGCTTCAGACCGTCGGTTCCGTTGTGCTCCGCATGCCGCGCCGCCAATTTTTCACCGAGACCGAGCTCGCGTCAGCTGGATTGCACACATCATCTTCGCGCAGTCGGACGAACCGAACTTCCGAGATACAAACAAATCCAAATCGGAAGGCATTGCGTGCGTAAAGAGTATTTTTGTCCAAAAATTCGCCAGAGAACGCCCGACAATCAAGGCTGCTACGTCAGCGGATTAGAATTTGCAACCTTTCAAATCAATTGCAATTCTAATGGACCAAATGTCAGGCCAGGATTTCGGCTCTCACCCGTCAGCCGAGAGCCTCGTTACCTGGTTCACACAAAATGGGGGTCAGCTCAGTCCAGATGTCCAGATCGTCTTCAGCGACTCGCGTGGCTTTCACATGCGCGCTGCTAGGCCACTGAGCTCCACCGTCGTGGCTTCATGTCCATTGAAGCTCACACTCTCTTCTCTCAACCTAGACCCAAACGAGAAAGAGGTCTTGTACGCTGAAAGCCCTCTAGAACAATGTCGAGGGAAGATTCCGGATCACGTTCTGACGTATCTGTTGTTGATTGAACAGCGCAAGAAGGGTGAGAAGTCGCCTTGGCATGCGTACATCTCCTGCTTACCAGGGCCTGAAACTATGACCACACCTCTCTGGTTTGATGAGAGCGATGTGGTCTTTCTCGCTGGTACAAGTCTAGCTCCTGCGACCAAAGAGAGAAAGGCTGAGCTGGAGCGCCAATGGGAAAATGCCGTGGGTGTTATGAAAGCACTTGGTATGCCTCTTGCTGACGAGATTGATCTGTAAGTCTCCAGCGAATGGTATTTACTACACGTCATGTGCTGTCTAGCGTGCATGTACATTGAGCATCAGCTCTACCGTTCATCTGAACCCATACACCTAGCTATCAGTGTTGCTTTTGGCTGCCAACACTCTAGATTTGCGACATCCGTACGTTGGCTATCTGGTGCAGCCTGCTAACGATCCCAGCGAATCATTACTTTGGGCAGCCACTATCTTCACTTCGCGAGCGTTTATTTCGACACACATCCTACCCGGACGTGAGACGATTCCCATCCTCTTTCCGGTGGTGGACATTCTCAATCATTCCGTCTCTGCAAAGGTAGAATGGGACTTCCAGCCTCACCAGTCATTTACACTGAAGTGTCTTGAAGGCGAGTCTTTCCAGGCTGGTCAAGAGCTATTCAACAACTACGCGCCGAAGCAGAATGATGAGTTGCTTCTTGGGTATGGCTTCTGCTTAGAAGACAATCCTATTGAGCAGTTCGCTTTGAAACTAGCGTTCCAACCACAGCTACAGCAATATGCACAACAGCTGGGTCTGTTGAATCCTGAGAATGTGCCTTTTGGCATGTCAAAAGACTTTCTAGCCACAGACCCAAATAAGGAACAGCACTTCCTACGCGCCAAGGGCCATCCATTCGGTCGTTACGAAAACCACGTACCTTTCTTCCGTGGCATACCCCCCTACATCGTTCACTTCTTCTTCATACAGACGATCATAACATCCGAGTTGGATGTAAGCACTATTGACGTTGCACGGCCAGGAGGCAGGATCACCCTGCAAGTTCTCGTGCTCTTACACCAGGCAATGGAGCAGAGATGCAGCACTCTCCCACTTCAAATCCAACAGGAACCGCAAAACGATAAGCAAAGGTACGCGAAAATCTATCGCAACAGCCAGGCTAGGATCATCCACTCGGTTCGGGAAGAGCTGAAGGCTGCGATTGCCAAGCTTCGCGTCTCGGATTCCGAACGTCCCGTTCGCACTTTGCACAGCTTGTCCGACATGCTCAAAACCTTCGGAGCCGATCTGCCTGCATCAGCCGAGAACTTTTCGAGCGCGCTCGATCGACATGGTGTTCAGGGTTCACAGAATGAAGGTTTGCAGTGGACGATGCTCCTGACTGTCCTGGTGTCGTTGATGTTGACCACACAAGACACATCCGACATGAAGACATTGGCTCTAGTGCGCAACTTGTGTTCAAAACATGCACTTCCCACATTAGAAGATGGTATTGAAGACGTAGACACGTACACCTTCATCGATGAGAATCTCGGCGATTTTGTGCAGCTTCCCTCCGCCGAAGCGAATGTCGCGCCAACGGATGCGCTGGACGACTTGGGTATGACATTTGTCAACCAACCCGCTGATGATCCAGCGCCTGTTTTCATCAATGGACGTACGGAGAACCTAGGTGCAAGGATCATTATGTGGGCGATGATGGTTGTGGAGAAGGACGTTGTGCCTGTATTTGAGGATAGGCAAATTAAGCGGTGCTTGTATGCGGGAGCGCAGACTGCGGAAGGTGGGAAGATTGACGAGACATGGATGTACGAGGATGTTGCGGTGTAGATCACGAAGCTGGTAGAAGCAATTAAGCAAATAGTTTGTGATCCAAAAGGAGTCTGATGTATTGTCATGTTATCCGATCTTCCTTCTCAAGAAAACTTCTGTAGGCGACGAGCACCTGTGAAACCACTATCGGCTGCACTTTTAGATGAACTTACACCCGGGGCCTCCTGCAGAATAGGCGATGTGACAATGTCAACCCAAAGCAGGAATAATAACACTAGACCATCAGGCCGATTTTGCTCTGAAGAGCTGATTAATATTGGCTGCACATGTGTCTCGGATACATCTCTTTGAAAGCGTCGTCTTGGCAGCTTGAGCGACGGGTATATAAGACTTGGTTATTCTTCTGACGATAACTTGCCTTCCTTACACATCTATCATCTACTAGGCTATTTCATCAAAAGAACATGCCGAAACCCTAATGTGGGCCGCTGGACCTTCCAGGAAAACCTACCGTTTCGGTTCATGCTTGTGAAATTAAACTTCAACAAGCAGTTGACATGAGGGTTCACACGAAGAGATGTGAATACAAAGCTCTACTTCGGAAACCAAGTGCTAGGACCAGAGACGAGGAATTCATGAATAAGTATGCGCGCGTGTTTTGAAAACACCATGAGCTATCGTTCCAAAGTCATTTAGGTCGTTTTCATGTCCACCGAAAGTTGGTCATCGCTTCAAAACGTCCAAGTCATGGTGGACTCCAAATGGCCGCATACACTTCGGCTACAATCACGATAGATTGCAGTCACCGGTTGGCAGCATATAAAGCGTTCTATACTGCTCTCTGGAGTCTCAGCACCTGGTACCATTCTTCCACCATCCAAAAAAGGAGGGCGTCCTCTACATGTTTGCGCCTCTCTTTCTTCTAAAACAGGACGATTTAACCCATTATGTCGGGGTGCGCGTCTAAATTGTGCAGATGAATACTCTATGCAAACCTTCCTCGCTCGCATGTACACATCTCTGAAAAAAATAACGCAGATGACGACAGCCATGTCGTCGACTTGTGTTGCTCAAAAGCCGTGGAAGACACGCAAAACCATAAGGGGGCATCGAGGCTATGGATAGCGCCTACACCGAAAATATAAGCACAATTCTCCATGTAACCCACCTCCAAATTGCGATTCGGGTATTGCGGCCATCAACTTGAGGATATGCAAGCCAGAGTTTTGATTTCATCAGTAGCCTAGTAGTTCATGTGTAGTCGTGCGGGGCTCCACCATAAGTGGAAGGGAGTCCATTATGGGGAGCAATAAAACCCATCGTGCAGAGTAACGCTTTCTGAACCTTTAGAGCCAAAGGCCAGGCTCACAGCGATAGTGATTGTGCGGGGCTCAGGATCGTGTATGTGGAGCGAGGGGCTGTGTGCGCAGTAGTGGCCACCCTTAGCGAAACACGCCGCAGAGTCACCAACTTCGCATCCCTCCAGAGCAGCCGTCAAAAATTAGCCGCGCGCTATATGAAGGATAGATTGTTGCCTCCTTTCATCAATCAGCTCTTCAGAGCAAAATCGGCCTGATGGTCTAGTGGTATGATTCCTGCTTTGGGTTGACATTGTCACATCGCCTATTCTGCAGGAGGCCCCGGGTGTAAGTTCATCCATCACGGTTCGACATCGAACGCTTTACTAATAAGCGTACAGTCGAATCCCGGTCAGGCCCCATCTTCTTTTTTGCTGAAATTTGTGCCTCGCCTAGAACAAACTTCCACTGGGGTAGTGAGTGTACGCGCAATCTTTTTTCTACGAAGGACTGCTTGTATGCAAAAAGATAGCATATTGATGATTGAGCGCTCGCCGTGGAACGAGTTCTACATAGGACGACCGCAACCTCGCTGCTACGTTGTAGAGCGAATATACCTCCAGAACTACTCTACCAATATTTATCTGTCACTAGCTTTAATCCCTCATCTCCAAATACCCTCACACCCCTCTCCTCTACTCGCGTCCTTGTCCGAAAAGTCTTCTCGTTCTCTCCAGTCTTTGGGTTTACCCCCTCGTGCTCATATTGCTCTCTCTTCAGCAAACAGCCCTCAATCGCCCATTTCGGCACCGCCTTCTCAAACCTAACGCCCTTCTCCTCCAGCATCATATCAATGAGCTCCCGCGTCTTCTTGCCGTTCATCTCCTTAGTTGAGTACATAGTCCGAGCAAAACCAGAAACAGCATTCCGTACAGCATCATTGCGACACCTCCATATGAGGTTGTTGAGAGCCTCTCCTACAGAAGGAACCGGGAAGAAACGCGCATCGAAATGCGCTGTGCCTAGTACCTTCTCCACGTTGCCCTTGACTGCCTGCTCCGGCATTTTCCCCAGCGCCTCCGCGAGATGTTTGTTGAATCGCACAGAGCAATAACTCGCGCTCAGACTAGACAGCTTCTGCACTCTTTCGTTGAAAGTCTGCACACCTTCCGGAAAGACCAGCGTGATCTCGTCGGACTGCGTGTATGCGACTGTAGCGCGGGGAAAGAAGTGAAGTAGATCGGCACAGGTTGATATCATCGCAGTGTGTATGCGTTCGTCGAAGGGACGCGCAAAGTGTGATGTGAAGCGCGAGAAGCCATGGCCGTCTAGACGGAGGATGATGGGTTGGTCGAGGGGGAGGGTATGGTCGAAGTGCGATTCGTATGACTTCATGCGCGAAGCTAGAGATTCGGGTTTGGTAGAGTCTGCCGACACCCCAGTATCTTTGGGAGAATCCGACATGGTTGATCAGGTGTGTGTTTGTGTTGGAACTGTTGGTTGTTGCATGTTAAATGATAGCTTCCTTCACTACAAGGTGGCCAATGAGTCATCCAACTAACGTATTTTCATTGCAGTCACATTATGGGGAGTCATTGTCACAATGACTGTTGTTAACAATGGATGAGGACAAGTATTGAGATGATATCGTTCGTCGTACTATCGCGTGTCATTAAAGCTCCATGCACAGCCGAGCTAACTTTTGCCATCCCCATCATCCCTCTTCTAAGGCAAGCACGACAAGATCGGCTTGAGCTTGTTGATGATCTGAGTTTGGACCGCAGCATCGTTTATGGTGGTCTTGTCGTTTGCATCACCAGGGCTGATAGTAACGTAGCAGTCGCTTCCTCGAATCAAGATGACGTCTGCCTCCCACGGAAGGCGCGTGCTACCGCACCAGTCCGCGTCGCGAGCACTCAAAAGACCAGTGTTGATGCGAGTAAAGATGTACTTGAACTGACTGGGATCGCTGCACTTGGTCTCGGAGACAGAGGGGAAGTTGACGTTCAAGTAGGTGTTCGCTGGGAGGTATGGCTTTCCGCTGTTGATGATGGTGGTAGTGACGTTCAGAGCCAGATCAGCATAGATCTTGCTGTGGAAAGGTGTAGGGACATTCCATGCGGTAGGATCTCCAGACTGGCCAGAGAAGGCGATAGCTGGAATTTGGGCCGTCTTTGCCGCATATGTAGCTGCGCCGACGGTACCGGAGAAGGGCACCTGAACAGCAACATTGCTTCCGACATTCGGTCCGGTCAGAGCGAGTTCGGGCTTTGCGCCGTTCCAGAGCTTAGGCGCGGTGACATCGATACCTTGCTTGATAGAAGTAACCGGGAACGAGTTCACGTAGTTCAAACGAGGGTCTGTCGCATTTGCACCTGTGGGCGGGCTTCCACCTGGGCAGGATGCATGAATGCAGCCGTCTGAATCAACAGTCTTCGGGGGTTCGTCGGATGATCCTGATATAGGTCAGTATGTGTATAGTGTTCATGACTCGACTACCAACCTCTGCCAGACTGATTCTCAGCAGGACCAGACAGGACAACCTCGTGGCCAGCAGAGTTCAAGACGTCAAAGAAGGTACGGATATTTGCCTCTGACCATCCATCGTCGTTTGACTGTACGATGCGAACAGCTTGAGCGAAAGGAACCGCCGCAGCGAGTAGCAAGAATGATCGCATCTTGACTGAAAGAATGAAGATGAAGCGAATGTGTTCGACTGAGAGACCTGAGACCTGTGCAAAACAAACAGACGGCGCTTGATGTTTATAACAATACCATCCTTCCGATCCATCCTTGAGCCAGCCGCTGCGTCCCCAGTCTCTGATCTACCGCTAACGTTCCACGCATAATGTACGCCGGAGGCGAACAGACACTGCAGAAGTCAGGAACACAGCCATGGCACACGCCACTTTTTAGTCGCAACGTGCGGGTAACAGCGATGTGATTGCTCCTCGCATAAATGACCATGGCGGTGACATGATGTGAATGTCGGCTTTGCAGCTGTGAGTGGTTGCTGACCTCCGAAACGGAGACACTTCCAAGCCTTGCGGAGGTGCCGCCTCCTGACCAGCCTAGTGCCTCGGCAGGAGCCTCTCGAACGGGCAGGAGCCTCCGATTTCCGTTCGCACGTGCGAGTAGCTTGTGGTATCATTCACGGATTTTCGGTGCCTGAGGAAGTCTTTGGTACATGAATCGATAGTTTCAGGGTGTCATTCCTACACCTGCCGAATGGGACAGGTCCGGCGCAAGTGCGCAATAATCTAACGGCCCGTCCCTCACTGATATTATCACTACCATCGTTCGTGACGATCAAGTTCTCTAGACCGATTTCTGGTCATGGAAGCATGCAACATGTGAAAGTACAGACCGGAACACCGTTTGACCGTGGTATTGACCTTTCCTATTTCACCAAAACGCCTTTTGTAAACCTCGTCATCTCCGTCTCCTTCGCTCATACAATGTGGGCGGGCTTCACAGGCTGCTGGTAGTAGTCCGTCGCAGCACCACTTTGGTATGGTGGAAGGTACTGGTTGTGCATATCAGGCTGTGTCTGCGAATGGTATGCGGTATTCTGTTGGTACTCGGGGACGCTGTTGTACGGGGACGATTGTGCAGCAGCCGCCGCCGCCAATGGGTTATGCGCTGGCGCATACTGGCCCCGTTGGGCTTCTTTCTTCGCGCGACGGTAACCGACGATGGCGTAGATGAGGAGACCGAGGAAGGTGAGGCTGGGATATGTCAGTACTGCACACAATCTCGCCAGACTCTGAACGTACAATACGAAGATGCTGAATCCAATTCCTACAGTGCTGGCGCCCTGGCCTATGGCGACAAAGTCCATGATCAAGACGCCAGTCCAGAATCCAGTTTGGAAGCAGTTCATGGTCAGGAAAGTGCCTGGCTTCAGCTTGTCGCCAAGGAACATGATGATCGCAAGAATGTCGATGAGGAGCACAATGACGATGAAGAGCATGAAGACAACGACTGATCTGTTGGCTGTTAGTCTCTGCGCATGCGCTCATATTGGTGCAACCTACCCAGTTGATGGTTGGATGACATCCTTTAGTTCATCCACAGTCCGCAGGGAATAGCCATATGCTGCAATGATCAAGATCATGATACATATTCGCACTATCCAGAAGGGCACGAGAACGCGCTTCTGCCAAAATACCGGTCGTTGCGCCATGGTGATGTGGTGATGCAGACTGTGTTGCTCAAAGGCCGTTGGGCGCAAGGGAAGATGTGGACAGCGAGAAGACAGAGAAGCGGGTATATATCTTCGTGATCAAGGCTGAGCGCAAGAAGTTTTGGTATCTTCGGCGCAAATTCGAGCTGCGGCGGCTGTGAGGCGCAAACTCAGGGGACGCCTTGCGCGCCTGGATGAAACACGCGTTCGGCCCTGTACATCTTCATTTGCCTGTTTTAGTTTCCGCGTCTGTTGGGGGCCGATGAGGCGGCTGCATCGTCATCTATGCGTGATAGTCGCATAGAGGGAAAGGGGCTTTGGGTTGTGAGTGTTTATAATGGTGCGATGCCAGTATCGTTGTCCTGATAGAGAGCAAAACGGCTGTCACGAGTTTCAGGGTCTGTGGAGATGGGTGGGGTCCTGAGGCGATGTTCAAGGTGGCTGAGGCACCCAGGCTATGGGTGTAGCACATAGCACAAACGCAGCACCGAGCACTGCACAAGTCGGCCTTGCCTCGCATGTAAGCATCATGCTTCGATGCAGATGGGTCAGATGTGGAAGGTATGGAAGGCGGGCACTTTCCGCTCCAACGAGTCCAGCCATCTGATCGGAGTGGGGCTGCCACGCGACCCATGCACGCGTTGCTCCCGCCCGATAAGCGCGATAACGAGTGACACCTTGATGGACAACTGGAGCTTCCCCGGACTACAACACCAGCTTGCTCTCGAGCTTAGTTAGATCAAGAGCTTCACGATAGTTCTAGAAGCGTTTTCTCCGTCTTCATCATGGGCGCTAACCAGTCACGACCGTCCGATGCTGCTGTTAACGAGAAGCTGATGGAGCGACTCCAGGCCCTCCACATGAAAGATGAACGACCCATGAATGAGAAGGATGGATTTGTAGTTGTTGGTGGGGAATCCCGTATGTTGTCTCCTGTTCATACTCTTAGAACAAGTCTGACTTATTGAAGCACCCAAATACACTCCTGGCGTCAAGTACCAACAGGATGTCTCCGCCGCATCAGTGTCTGAATGGGAGAAGGAGCTCATGGAAGACCCAAAGGTACTACATCCAGTCCCTGTGATGTTCATTACTGACTTCCGGTAGAACCGTCTTGCCCTTGCAGCCCTCAGCTCCAACTCTGCCAACGCCGTGCTTTCGTCTCGATCAGCTGTCATAGCAGACACCCAGAAGTTCAACATCAAGATCCCTCTTGAGGGTTCGCCCGTCACAAACCAAGCCTCGTCCGGAAGATGCTGGCTCTTCGCGTCTACCAACGTCTTCCGTGTCGCCATCATGAAGAAGTACAAGCTGTCCGAGTTCCAGCTCTCCCAGTCGTACCTCTTCTACTGGGACAAGATCGAGAAGGCGAACTACTTCCTCGAAAGCATTCTGGATACAAAGGATGAGGAGATTGACAGTCGCATCATACAGGCACTGATGGCTAGCCCCGTCGGTGATGGTGGACAATGGGATATGGTGGCCAACCTCGTACAAAAGTATGGTCTTGTGCCACATTCGCTGTACCCAGATTCCTACAACGCAACCAGCTCATCGACTATGGACCGTCTGATTACCACCAAGCTACGCGAAGATGCAGTTCGTCTACGTTCTATTGCCCGCAGCAACGCTACACCAGATGCCATCAAGGCGACCATCGCCGGAGAGAAGGAAAAGATGCTTCGTGAGATCCACTTGATTCTGACACTGATGCTTGGCCCACCACCATGCTCCACCAAGCCCTTCACTTGGGAGTACTACGACAAGGACGGCAAATTCTGCACTGTCCGCACGCGACCTACTGCTTTTGCAAACGAACTCTCCGACAACAAGACCGTACGAGCACTGTCCGGAACTGACGTCCATTCACTCTTCTCGCTTGTGAACGATCCTCGTAACCCCTACAACCGTCTGCTTAGCGTGAAGCGACTGGGCAACGTCTGGAACGGCCGACCAGTGACCTACGTAAATGTCGACATGAAGACAATCAAAGATGCCTGCATCACTATGCTGAAGCGTGGCATGCCTGTGTTCTTCGGCTCAGACGTGGGCAAGTATTCCGATTCTACCAAGGGCATCATGGACACGGATCTCTTCGAGTATGAGCTGGGCTTTAATATTAAGCTTGGCATGTCCAAGGCGGAGCGCCTGCAAACTGGTGAGAGCCAGATGACACATGCTATGGTCCTGACGGCTGTGCATGTCGTTGATGGCAAGCCTGTGCGCTGGAGGGTAGAGAATTCGTGGAGCGAGCGTGCGGGTGACAAGGGCTACTTTGTCATGAGTGATGCTTGGATGGATGAGTTCGTGTACCAGGCGGTCGTTGATCCTAGCGTTGTCAGTTCGTCGGTCAAGAAGGTACTGGAGCAGAAGCCGAGGATGCTAGAGCTGTGGGACCCAATGGGTGCGTTGGCTTGAGCGATGAGTTTACGAAGCGATCCTTTTTAGTTACTGATGAATTATCCACGTCCATGAATTTTGTAGAATCGGTTCGTGATGCATGATTACTTTAGATATTATGGTCTACTTGACTTTTGGATTTAATACGCCACCCAGACTATATTCGAGATTATCTTCACTATTGGCAGTCATCGCAAGCTACGTCTCTCATTTTGCAGAGATAGGAAGACTTGGATGACCTGGGGCAGCTGGGCTCTTGTTCAACTTTTTTAGACCGTAGTTGATCGCCGCGGCGATCTCCTGGTTGTTCTTCTCCAGGAACATGAAGTGCGCGTTGCCCTTGATACCGATATCGGCAAGCTTGATCCACTGGTAGTTGGTGATGCCCATCTGCTTGAAGTACTCGACGAAGCAGTGATCGTACGTGATATGCGGGCTGGCCTCGCCTGTGATCATGATATAAGGAACTTTACTAAGCTGGGTGAGCTTGTGGATGGTGCCGGTTTGGAGAATGCAGGAACGCTTGGCTGGGTCGTCTGGCCCAACCTCAGCGGTGGTAATGGCCGAGCAGTTCGTTACTGGTGGATCGAACTGCAGCGGTGTATATGTGAGACCACAAGGCCGAGCGGCGCTACGGCCAACCCCAGCAACGGTGTTGTTTCCGATCAGAGAAGTGAACGGAATGTTGCCAGGCTCAATGTTGATGTTGGCGCGTAGCAGATCAGGGCATGCGTCTGACCAGATGGCTGTGTAAGTGCAACCAGCAGAATGGCAGACTGTGTACGACTGGCCAATCATGCTGAGGAGCTGGCATCCAGATGTGCGCATAGTGTTCTCCACGTTCACATTAGATGAAGAGATGGGGACGTTGCCGGCAGTGAAGGCGTCAAAGACGGGATCTCCGCGAGATCCATTGCCAGGCCATTGTGTGTGGAGGTCTGCTTGTGGGTACTGGTCGAAATCTTCGGGAGCTGTGAAGCCCTGCTCATTGATGGTGTCTGTGGAACCAATGCGCAGAGGGTATTTGGAGAGAAGCTGCTGGCCACTTCGGCCATTGGCAGCGATATCAACAATATAGACCTGGTAGCCTTGGTCAAGGTAGTAGGAAGCCCAACCCTTGCGATTGTCGGGCGTATTCAGCCACTCTGCGCCTGTGTTGACACCCGCAGAGACGAAGACCATCGGGTAAGGCTTGTTGACCTTTTTGGCAGGCGACAGCTTCTCGACATACAGCTGGTCGCTCCACATTTGCTGGCCTGGGATGCCAGAGTCGACATAGCCACCGCCGACGTAGAAGACGTCGCGCTTGTACGCAGATTCTTGGCTGCTACATTTTGGGCTGATGCCATTGACACCAGTGCAGTCGGTTGCTGAAGTCAGAAAGGGCAATGCTTGCAACAGCAGACCCGAGAGAACGGTACGTGAAAACATGGCCGAGTGAAAACGAGATGTCTGAAACGAATGGCGTGACCAAGTAAGTTTGGCTACTGATAGAATCGCCGATAGAAGGAGGAGAGAAAAAGCTTAGGCCGAGATTTTTTCCATCGACGCGTCCTATGCATAACCTTCTATACCTATATGATTCTGGAAGACGGTTGCGCAGCCATGTCGGCAGCTTGCACGCGCTTCTAGCAGCTTGAAGGACGCGCTTCTGAGAGTGGCGGACATTAGTTACTACAAGCGGCCTCGTGGTGCCGTCCCATGCTGCCCTTCTCATCGTCCGGTCCACGGAGGAACCCGATCTTCTCTCGGACCCAAACGTCTGTTCTCCTCTGCAGTGTCGCACGGATCTGCATGCCCAGTCTGCGAAATCGAGATATCGATCACAGACCCTGTCCCCCGTTGATGTCGATTGGGTGTTCAAGCTCCAGGTCGCATGATTACGAAGAGGCTGGTCCTTCGCGATAGAAAGATCCGGCGCACAGGCCACAACCATCGTTTCGTCTCCCGTTTCTACCGAAATACTCCGGAGTAGCTCCAGGGCTTCCTCGCTCCTTCGTACCTGCGTGCCAGCCCACAAACAAAAGAGTTCCGGTGGAGCCCATTCCCGCGCACCTCGAACGCCTCACACGCAAGACAGGAGAAGGGTTCCCGCTGACACAGCGGGAAAGCATCGTCGTTTCGACTCCATATCCTATACGAAGTGTCGAGATATCGCGCCACTCACGCTCGCATCTCGTGGGACATGCTAACGGACATGCTAATAAGACAATGCGTCCCAATAAGAACCTAACCCACCAGAGCCTACGGGACACTCTTTCACGGTCTTATCTCGGCCAAAAGCCTTGCCCCAAAGTGCAGAGTTGGCACTCCTCATGCCAGCGGCTCTTCCACCCTCTTGTGTGGCAAGCCCCAATCTTCTTATCATCAACTTGACTAGAAACCTGGGCTTTCTCAGTAATAATCCCACGCGACAAGGTTGAGACCAGAGATCAGGAGGCTCTGTCAGTAGGAATAAGCGCCTCAATGCAGGGCGGTGGGTGAGTGGAAGGATGATGCCAGTTACCTTCTTATTGGGGTTCCCGTCAGCCCATCCCGCTCCTCGTTTACAACACAACCCTGCTCACACTATACCAGTAGCCCGGAGTGGGATATAGCTGCATTCTTCAAACAGGGCAATGGACTGAGCAAGATCTTAAGGGCAGTCAAGTCCAGTACCTCCGATTGATGTTTTGTTCTGTCGATCTCTCACCGAATCGCCCCAAACCCATGTGCTGCCCCACCGTACGGTATCGCCAGGCCGAGCCAGCATAACCACAGCACAATGGTGTCTGCTTATTTCAACACACCGCCAGCCAACGAATTCGACGAGCAAATAGCGGCAGGATTATTACTTCTTACCGGCCTTACTCCTGATATCAAAGACCCTAAAGATGGAGTCACGATTCCACCTTTCCGTCCAACAGACAACTACCACTTTGAGACTAAAGGTCCAGCCGTCATAGCCGCACTCTCAGTGTGTATGGTCATCCTCACGGTTGTTACCTTCCTAAGACTGGGCATTCGACTCTTCGTCCATGGGGTCCGTTTTGGTGCCGATGACTGGCTCATCATTCCAGCGTATCTCCTCTCCATGGCATACCCAGCACTTCAAATTGCTATGGTTCAGCATGGAGGAGCGGGAAAGCACTTTTACGACATCACCTATCAAGAATACTTCCATTACAAATATGTGAGCGAGAACAACCCTGATGGCCCGCCGTCACGCATAACTAATCTTGATGTGTAGCTCGCGCCATCAGCCGCCACTGTATTCTACGTCTATGTAGGACTTGTCAAAATGAGCATTGCCTTGTTCAATGTCCGATTGACAACTCTTACGACGCGGTTGTGGAAGAACGTCAACTGGGCGTTCTTCGCCACATGTGCGGCCTATACCGTCGCAGCACTGTTTCTGAACGTCTTCAAATGCAACCCTCAGTACGCGAGTTTCAACCTGCTCCGGATCGCCGAGTCGGGCAAGGTACCGAAGTGTTTGTCCGTCAACCACATGAACACCATCCTCCGCTTGAACCTCGCTCTAGACTTCACTGCTCTCGCCATCCCGATAATTGTATTGTGGAAAGTTCAGCTGAGCTGGAAGAGAAAGGCCCGCATCTTTGCCCTGTTGTCCATCGGCCTGATCGCCTGCATCGCGTCAGTAATGACCCTTGTTTCGCAGTATACCTTGGAGAAGGATCCGCTATGGAACTACACGACTCTACTGGCATGGATCATGGTCGAGATAGTCATCAGTCTGGTCGCAGCTTGTGCTCCAACCCTTGCCTACCTTCTTCCGCGCTCTATGCTCTCGAAGCACCAGGCGTCCAACAGCGCTAGCAAATCGACAGGTCAAAAGGCAGCCACTGGCTTTGGTTCGCGACCGTCAAGGAACGACGACGCTTTACGGGCACGTTCTATACATGGAGAAGACGAGGACAGCGAAGAGGAGTTGGTGGAACGTCGCATCGTCGTGAAGGAAGACATTAAGATGGAGTGGCAGGGCAACAGGCGCAGCAATGCCCTCGGTGCGCAAGCGGGCCAGCAGTCAAATGAAAACGGCAGCCTGACAAGCTGGTATAGTGATCAGAGCACAAAGACAGGCGCTGTTGTCTATGATGGCCGCCAGCACGGAGAGAGGACGAGAGTTTGGGTGAGCGCGGACATGTCAGGCAGGAACAGTCCTGGTCATGAATTTCGCCCCGGACAGGCGATATGAAGCATATAGAGCATGTTTGAATTGTCTGAATTATACCCTTATATCGATGAAATAATGAATAATCTAGCTACGGACTGAACTCGTGTTCATGTGTTTTGCAAGGTGGTCGTCTGGCTGAAATTGTGCTCCATCCCTTCAACCCAACACAGAGCAGCCAACATACTGCTTGTTGATGATACGAATGCCTGAACTCGAGTGTCCTGCGTTCCTAGTGTCGGCTGATTGTGAGCTAGTTGCATGGGTGAGGTCGTGACTTTGGGTGTTAACTTTGCAAAAAATGATGTTTTGGTCATTGTAGCCAAACCAATACTTCCCGACAGATATCTACACATCTGTGATGATGCTAGAAGGGCAAAAAGATGGTGTTCCGACACCGGGAATCGAACCCGGGCCTTGCCGGCACTGTACAGTGAACTGACTCTGCTATGAGAGCGGCAAATCCTAGCCACTAGACCATATCGGATTTTGATGGAAGACTGAGGGATGTTAGCATATATATTCTGATAAGAATCATCGCAATCAATGAAGCAGTGCAAAAAAGAAGGATGTCTGGCGACCAATGAGTCAGAAAAGCGGACATGGCAAAGTTAGACCAAGACTAATCATCTCGAGTCAAGCCCATGCATACCGAGCACCATCAAATCTTACGGTCAGGGTACTATATCCCTTATGCATTGAAAAGATTTTGAGATGCAGACGGAAAACACCATATCTAGTAACTTCTACACTGACCATCGATTGCTTATCACCCAATGCTGTGTAACCACTCCTGACGCAATGGCAATCAACATGCTGTTGCATTCACCCTTGACGAATGTTTGACCCAAGAGAGTCTCAGTGCACTCTCAAAGCATACGGAAACCGCGAAACGACATTGAAAATCGACGGCTTCCCATATAGTGTCCGTGTTCCAATCATCAGAGTTGCGACAGGACCTCCTGGCTTGGTTGGTTGTAATGCATTTCAATTACATCTCGTCCAGCAAAGGACATCAGCCTTGCACTTGCACACAAGGTTAGAATCAAATGGCTTGAAGGCAATCATTCTACCTCACTACTTTACAAACTATTCTCCAATCAGAACAATATCTAAATTTGGCCTACCTCGACAGAACGATGATGAATGACTCCCGACATCGCCGCGTCCAGCCCCGCGAAACAAAAAGTTCCCCGCGAACACCAACTTCGACGTGACATTACTGTACTCCCACTCCATCCTCCATTAACAATCAACCAACACCCACAATGGTCGCAAAGAATACTGCCTTTGATCTGCAGAAATGCGCGCGATCCAACATCCTCGCATTGGAGCCATACCGATGCGCGCGCGAGTAGGTGAATATCAATGACTCTTATCAAGGTACCAAGCTCACGACGCGTAGCGACTACAAAGATGACGGCACCAACATCCTCCTCGACGCGAATGAGAACGCATATGGACCGGGACTAGCATTAAATGGCGAGGGAAAGCTACCTGGCGCGAATGTCAATGGCACTTCAGACTCGTCTTCCGCGATTGACGTCGATTTGCTTGGCCTGAACCGATACCCAGATCCGTATGCAGATCGCAACAATTTGCATTGTAGTATGCTGACGAGCTGATTCAGCCACCAAGAAGAACTTAAGCAACTCCTCTGCAACCTCCGAAATACCCACAGCCACACACCGAAGAAGATCACGCCCGCCAACCTCTTCGTTGGTGTCGGCTCAGACGAAGCGATCGATGCTCTTATTCGCGCCTTCTGCGTTCCCGGCAAGGAGAAGATCCTAACATGTCCGCCCACGTACGGCATGTATAGCGTTTCTGCGCAGGTCAACGATGTTGCCCTAGCCAAGATCCCCTTACAAACCCCAAGTTTCGATCTCGACGTACCCGCGATACTGAAGGCGATGGATGAGGACAAGAGCATCAAGCTAGCATATCTGTGTTCGCCTGGCAACCCGACCGGAAAGCTACTCAAGAAAGAGGACGTACAAAAGATACTAGAACACCCATGGAATGGTGTGGTCGTGGTGGACGAAGCATACGTCGACTTTTCACCTGATGGAACAAGTCTGGCAGAGTGGGTCGCCGAGTGGCCGAACCTGGTAGTCATGCAGACACTGTCGAAGGCCTTCGGTCTTGCAGGTATTCGACTAGGCGCTGCATTCGCGGATCCGGCAATCGCACAGATCCTGAACAACATGAAGGCGCCGTACAACATCCCCAACCCCACGAGTCAGCTCGCACGCGCAGCTCTGAGCCCGAAACACCTGCAAGTTATGACACGAAACAAGGACCTTATCGTCAAGCAGCGCAACAGGCTGATAGAGGAACTGCCCAAGATTCCCGGCATCGGACAGCTTCACGGTGGTGTCGAGTCGAACTTTTTGCTCTACCAGATACTTGATGCGCCTGCGGATCAAGGTGGCAAGCCATCAAACGAGACGGCCCTGGCAGTATACGAGGGTCTGGCAGAAGAGAAAGGCGTCGTAGTGAGGTTCAGAGGAAAAGAGCATGGATGTCTAGGCTGCTTGAGGATAACTGTCGGTACAGAGAAGGAGGTAGATCGCTTCTTGCAAGAGATCAAGCAAGTACTAGAGGGTATCCACAAGAGCTCTGGCAGGCTGGGGAAGAAGGAAGAGCAGCAGAGAGAACGAGAGGCAAACGATGTGGTCGCATGAGAGGCATAGACAGGTGGTAGAGTATGTATATATGAAGAGACGACATGATGAAAGCAATGCAAGGTCTCCAAACAATCATGTCCTAGAAGGTTGACAGACTAAAGTCCGTAAGCATCTTCTAGGCATAGTTTTCGGCTGTTCCGTAAACTCTCCCTGTTCGGATACAGAGTACCAGCGAAGGGTGAACGCATCGCACGCATAACGCAGCGGTGTCCAATCAGGAAAAGATGTTTGCGGAAGGCACTAAGAGATGTTGTAGCCGCACGAAGTACATGTCAGGCCTACAATAATTGCGTATATCCATTCTGCAATCTTACGTCGGTTGTCGCACTTCTTTTTTGTGGTCTAGAATCCAGAGTTGCTAATAGCAAGCAGCAAAGATCAAACGAACAGGTCCAGAGCTTGTATAAACTCGATGCGTTGCCTCCCGGGTCGAAACCACTGACCACGGCGGGGTACTCTAAGGGCGACGAAGAGTGAAATGGAGCCTTTAGGTAGGCTCCCACCATTCGCCGAAGCACCTCCTGTAGGCCAATGTATAGAATGGTTGCCTTTCTCTGGCGCTAGGAACGCCTTGCTAGTATATAATCTCGGACTTCTTCTTTCCTGAAAACACTTTCGAACGCAGTATAGAACTATCAACTCCGAATTAGCATACGAGATGGCTCATTCTAACTCCACCTTCGAGTCCGCTCATGACTTCCAGAACCCCGAAGACAATAATACGGTTGAGTAAAATTCTCCTCGAGTACCACTGTTTGTACCCTCCGATCCTTGGGTTCCTTGTGGTCAAGTATCTGCAGGCTATGGGAACTATGCTCCTCTTCGATACGCGAGCGGGTCTGCGACTGCTGCTTTACCATCGGGTATTCAACCTTTCGACTCGTCTCCGCCATACGAACACGATTTCTCTCCGTCCTTAAACCCAGCTGCCCAACAATTCACACCGGGAGGACAACATGGCGGCCTCGAGGGCCCAAAACTTACCGCCACAGCGCCATCGTTCGTGCCGGTCAAGTCGAAGCTTAATGCTAGAGCGCCGAGCTTCCTACTCAGCCGTCTAGCTATTTTCGACCCTCCGGCTGGTGATCTTGCAGAGCGCCCTCGTAAGGACAACTTGATCCTTCCCGATGCGCGTGACGACAACATCACCGATTCGATCGAGATGATGAAGTGTCCGCAGGATGGACAGGTCGGCCGGTATACACTTGAAACTACCATCAACTTCAACAACGGCTGGCATCACAACGATCCTGTACTCGCTGCCATGTACTACGTCCTCAACGCCAAGAAGAAGAAAAATTTCTCTGTATTTGCAGTGAAGCATTAAATTCGACCCGTCGACGACGCACCTCCACTGTGGCCACCTAACCTGAACCTCTTCGACATTAAGCGCTACTACTTCAGGTCGAAGACGCTGCGTAACAGGAACCTCCACAGGTACGACTGGAAACTTCACAGGTGCGATCAGAAATACGCAAAGTGGATCACTATTCTACCCAAAGGCTCACCACCGACTGCCAAAACTGTCCACATCTTCGAACCGGACAAGGAGAAGTGGATAATCTTTGGTGACTGGCTGGAGCAGGTTTCCAATACTCCGCTCGGCTGGGTCGGCAGGACTGCTTATAGCCTTCAGTTTGACTGGTGGAAATACGTGGGCAGCAAGCGCCGTTTCGAGAATCTTCCTGGCGAGATTCGAACGCCTATCTATCAGTACGCTCTCGGAGGCGAACTGTATCCATTGAGTACTCAAGATTCTGAAAGCAGCAGAGAAGGCACAATGGCCTGCCGGACTGCTCGTCTTACTCTCGGCATGGGTTACAGTATGTGGATCTTTCTCGATGACAAAGGGGACATATTGAGGACGCAGATGAGCAAGTCCCATGTACCAGAGGCCCGATCCTTTGTGTATGAGCCGGCTTTGGAGCTTTTGCTTGTTAGCTCGTGGATGCGAGAAGAAGTGCTGCATACTGGCTGGGAGCTCATGCGTGGCTGTTTCTTTGATTCAGGGATCTTCCACAAAGCCATCAATTCTCGACCTGGACCGGCCATGAATTACAAATACTTGAGTAAAGTAGAACTTGCCTTCACGAACGCTGACTGGTTCGACTTCTTGGGTGTAGAGACTTTGGGTAGCGAACCCTACATATCTGTAAAAAGTTCCGATTCTCTTGGACCCTGCTTGAACAGTCTCCACAACCTCAAGGACCTACGACTTCGTTTTCGAGGTCTTGAAGATGGGTCTAAAGGCAGCCCCTGGGGAGAATACTGGGAGCATTGGGATCACAAAACCCCATACGTCTGCTGTCAACGGACTATTGTTGACTGGATCTGTACCTTCGTTTACCCTTTCCTGATTGACAAGTGTAAGGGAGAGGAGGTAAAAGTAACTCTGACTGGTTATGTAAAGAATGACACGCAGACAAAGTGGGAGGAAATCTTCGCAGGAAAGCGTGATCATGACCACGATGCTGCAATCGCATCAATCCTTGGCACACTGTCATCACCACGGTGAGTCTTAGAGCTGAACTTGAGATTTGACGTATACTGACTATGCTACAGACCACCAAGTTGTCAATGTGCGTCGGTGTGTAAAGTGGACTACCCGAGTCGAGATATGAGACTCGATCCGATTCTATATGGCTCCAACCAGCACTTCTATGATCGGACGGATTTCGATCCTAGATAGCTTGGCATAATTCACATCGGAGCATGAAAGGATGCTGGTAGCTATCGAAGTTGCGAAGCTATCAAGTCGTTGCTGTTCACTTTCAAAAACTCGGTAGACGAAATGAAACTTCATTGTATCTGTCTACGATGAGAAAGCAATAGCGAGCTTAGCGATACATGCTGAGTTTATGGTGGTGGTAGTGGAGGCATCATGGTAAAGGAAAGCTAGACTAACATCTTGCCTGCCGGACCCCTGATTATGTCAATGTTGCGCACGCAGTTGGGTCGAAGGCGTCGTAGTGTACTCGCATGCCTGTATGCAACTATTAGAAGCCTCGCTATACATTGTATGCAGCAACCATCCACTTACTGACTGGCAACGATACCCACTCGTCCTTCGCTTCACTCAAGAAGCTTATCGTACCCTCTGAAACCTCCCGTCTCAAGGTCTCTTGCGTACCCGGCCCCTTTCTGAGACCTTCTAATCTAGCAAAGATACGCAATTGGGTGACTAGGCCAGCAACAATGATAGGCCTGGTCAGCGATCCATGCAGTCCGTCGAGAAAGGGTAGATAGAGCTCTTGAGGCCGATCAAGATTGATGCTGTCAGGGTCTGGGAAGATTTCAGGGTCACGAGATGCAGTTGCTACGTCTAGAATAAGGTCGTCGCCCTTCGAGATACCTTCTGCGTGTCGCCAATCACTGGTGGTGAGAAATGTGTTTGGAATGCGGAGGAAGCCGGTCGCAGGAGTGATAAGACGAAGAGCTTCGAGGACGTATGCACGTAGTACTTCAGAGTTTGCTGGTGTGGTGTCTTTGGCTAGCTTCTGAATATCTGGCCAGTGTGTGGAGTGGTAGGGTTCGGAAAGGAAGAGATCGATTATCTGGCAGAACTAGGCACTATTAGGAGGAACCTGACCCAAGCATGGTCGGAACACTTACAGCAAAGGTGCTGAATACGACAAGATCGACAGCGAGGATCACCAACAAAGAAACGACCTCTTTGACCTTTGCCCCGTTATCAAAGAGCCGCTGGATTACCATCGCTCCATGATCTGGCAGAGGATCACGCTTCTCGTGTCGCTGTCTGCGAAAGTCAAAACTTTGCACAGGAGACGACGCTTTCATGTCATCGCAGACCGTTCTGACTTCTCTTGTCAGTTCGTCGCTTGCGGCGATCGCATTTCGTCGAAGCATCGTGGACTTTGCGGGGGTATTGTCTAGATGAACGAATTCGAAAATCGCTGTCATCTTGCTGAAAAGTTGCTTGTCGTCAAAGCTGGCTGTAGAATCTTCCAAGTCCTTGATCGGGAAGTGAAACAGAAATGCTACAAACTGTGTCCAGCTTCGAGCTGCTACATCTTTGATTGCGTCAATTTCAGCAACTTTGGAAAGCCACTTGCTGTCCGTCTGCACAAGTTGGCTGGTACGAAGGTTCAGGAAATGCGAAAAGACGTCAATAGAATCTTTGGGGCCTAGAACAGCCTGTCGGATCATGTTCTGCTGTTTACTGGCACCCGGATTATCTCCAATCAGGACGTGTTCTTGGTACTCCAACTGCCGCAAAGTATGGGTCCATGCTGTGGTGTACAAGGTCTGATCGCGGAGAATGCGAAGTATCATCTTGTAATCAGTGATGACTGTGGGCGGCGCTCCATAGCGAGGCTTGTCATAGTCGAAATCCATCTCGTGTCCGAGAGACTTTTGCCTTCTTCTCATCTCGGGTGGGGTGGTCAGTGGGTAATGTGCGTAAATCGAGTTGCCACGATAGTATTCGGGAAAGACTCTCATCAGTAGCTTGTATATAACGCCTCCACCAGCGATAGAGTAATCGCTGGATGCCATATTGAACCCAAAGGCTGTCAGATGATGAGGCGAGTAGTCTACTGTATAGAACCGGTCGCCTCGAACAAGCGAGAGCGCATGTGACACAATTGCTCGGGTCGTGGTCGTGCCCGCACAAAGACCGGATCCAGGAGTCATTGGCATGCTTGGCTGTTCGAGGATAGCTCCAGCGTAGAGCTCGACATTCTCAACATCTCCGTATAAGACCTCGAGCGCTGCGGCAACATCTGGATCGGAATGAATGTCGGTGAAAGATGTGTGAGATGTCATGCCAAAGAACCTTCTCATCTCGTTAAGAGAGGCCACGCCCCACTCACGACCTTGTTCGATACTCATGATTTCAATGACCTTCAACGCTTGCGGAATACGATGCGGACCAAAGCTCATGGCCACCTCATCGGTAGCTTCTGTCAATATCTTCACCAAGTCTTGGTCTCTGAAGTAACCGTCGAGGTTTCGTTCTAGGCCAGCAAAGACGCGCCTACCTGGGTCTGCTGGGGGTGTGGCAGCATGTCGACGTACACCAGCCCGCATACCTTCCAAAGTCATGTTATCGATGTCCATATCTGGGCAGATCTTTGTCATGTGGTCGATAAGCCATGCCTCATCTCTCATCGATATAGTCGAGTGCCAGCGGTAGATCATATTGATCTCTGCACTGGTCTGGTTGCCTCGCGCCTTGTCGGAGTCTGTCTGCCCAAGAATATCCTCTATTTTCGCTCGTGGATCCAAGTTCGCTGACGAGTCTACGCACTGTAGGTTGAGGATCGAGCGCACGTAGTCTTTTAGGACTGTGTTGATGTATAAACCCGTTGTCACAAGCCGTGCAGTCTGGAATAGGTCATTGTCACGCTTGGCGACGGCTTTCTTGTAGAAACTAGGGTCAATGCCGCCTATATTGGGTGGTGGGCTGAATCGACCGTTCTCGTTGATGATTGCCAACTGCTCTACGATAAGATTGTGAAACCTCGAGAAGCATATGATCAATGCACAAGACTTTTGACAGTAAGCAACAACTCAATCGAATGCAGTGGGTACCTTACTGCTGCTGGACGGCTGAGAATCCGTGTGTCGGCAAAAGCATCAGGTTTCAGCTTCCCATCAACGAAGGTACGGACCATGTTCTGTGATTCCTTCGTCTCCCCGTATAGTGAGGACAGGTCCAAGTATGAAGACGGCATGGCCATGTTCTGGTCTTCGTCGCCTGTCCGAAACACATCACAGACTATGACAGCCGCGAAAGCGAAGAAAAGGCTGGATAGCTGGCTGGGATGGGGCTCAGGCTTTGCCTCTCGCGCGAGTAGTGTGTCAAAGAGAAATTCCGGATCAGGCAGCTTTGTGGGTACATGTCTCGGTGTGACCATGCGAGCGTAGTAGGAGCCGGCTCTCCCGACGTTTGGCAGATGGATGTTGTTGTTGCTTCCGTCAGCGGATCGATACTGGTCTGGCTTTGTGTTAGTCTCTAACTACAGAAAACAGCCAAGAGAGCCTACATTGATCACCCAGTGATGAGGCCACAGGCTGTTCCATATCCTTGCACAGCGTCTTGAGCAACCGGCTTGGGCTTGTCTCGTCAACATCAGCCGGTGCTAAGAATTGTACGACTTTTTCCTGTTGACACCCTTCAGCTACATCTCGAAGTACGTGAAGAAGATCACATACATCGTACGAGCTATCATCCAATCCACTATTCGTAGTGGTACCACTGAGAGAACCGCGTAGATCATGGTGCGTTTGAAGGCTGGGGTTCTTCTGCCTACCAGTGTCCTGGACCAGTTCCTGGAGTGGCGTTCTCTTTACGTCGCTGGCCATTTGGGAGTCTTTGATAGAGAGAGGGTGCGTAAGCAAGGGTGTGATAGAGCGTAAGTGTGAAGGTGAGTGTGGCTGCAATGCGACTGGCAAAGGTGTGAGGTCATCTACATGGCGTTATCATCATCGGTTCGCATGCTCGTATGTTTACCACGTGGAACGATTCCACCGGAATGCCGAAGAACCGATGCTATTTGGCAGTAGTGACCTCGAGGCAGGAGGCCAATGCTTGGCGTGGTACCCCAGATGAGATGAAGCGGACCAGCAGCCACGCAGGGCTGATATCGAACTCCTCAGTAATAGTGACGTATTGCTCACGATACTTTCTTCACCAGTGCTGGAAAATACAAATGAGGGAAATTTCGACCATGTACACGTTCTAGCATGACGCCATCGTGTCTTTCTACAGGGTAGGTGCTACCGCGAGACAAGAACATCGATTTCGATAGTGTGCCAGTACTCAAGCACACAAAAAAATGCTCAACGACTCAAAATTTGCTTACGCCACGGTTTCTCACAAAGTCCTTTAGGAAGTCAGTATCGAAGCACATGCCAGCAAATCGACAATCCATACCGATCGCGATATTCATGCAAGGAAATAACAACAAAGAATTGGCCATGAATATTGCAGGTGTTCGTATAGCAGATGCGAGCAGGATAGAGTTGGTGCTGTGAATTGGTTCATGGGTATCTCATCTACATATGAAATCGTACCGTATCGCTCGTAGCGTCCGGGTGCTCATCCTCGTCCGAACCGTCGTTCTCGGTCAGATCGTTGCCGCAAGTTTTCGTCTCGTTCTCGTCCCGTTCTCGTGTAGACACCTAGAAGACCATCTCGTGGGGCTTCTCGTTGCTCCTCAGGCTGAAGCTGGCGCCGAGGTAAGACTCGAGGTCGGGAGTCCTCTTGATGTTGGCCATGAGCGCCTTGTCCACCTTCTTCTGGTCTTCTATCCGCTGGGGGTCGGTCTCCTTCTTTGTGGGTGTCTCGCCGTCCTTGAAGAAGTCGTCTTCGCCCTTGCCGTCCTTCTTCTCACGTGCCCAGTACTCGTCTTTGCTTACGCGTGCGACAACCTCCTCGTCGAGACCAGCAATGTCGACAACGGTGGAAGTAGCGATGACGTAGCGGTGGTTGACGCGACGGAGAGGTACACCGTTAGACTTGAAGGGGCCGGTGATGAGGAGAACGCCCTGTTCGAGCTGGCGCAGAAGCACGACGCGCTTGCCACGGAATCGACCAGAGAGGAGGATGAGGACGGTGCCGGGGGTGAGCGACTCGCGGTATTTGGTGGGGTGTGCCGTCTTGCGCGCCTGTGAATTGACTTGTTAGTTCAGCGTTCGCGATAACTCCACATTCCATCTTTACGCGTCTTCTCCGTAATTTTGTATTCCTCGCTGTGATTGCGCATACCTTCTTCATTTGCGCCTCCTCCTCGGCAGCGTAGTACTTGGATGCTTTCTGGTCGGCCATTGCGTTGGATTGAGGTTTAGAAAGTCTGGCAGTCAATTAGCCTCGGTCGCATGTATTTCGTCTTTGCACTACATAGCACTGGACGTCGTCTTACATTTTTATGTTGTGTTGATGATGTCGTCGTCGCCGCGAAATCAATACGGCGAGATGTGCGAGCGCTCGCTAATATCAGCCCTACGGCGCTAGTGGTCCCCGCGAACCGTCGTTCACATGCGAATACCAAATTGACTATTCCCTGTGTGCTAGTATAGTCAATCGTGCTATCCAAAACCGGGCCGTAGCAGTCAGACGCTGCAGGAGGTGTGGTAGGACGTTCGAAACACCAAGAAATTCCGAGCTGCATAATGTCAAGTGTTGCATGGTCGTTACAGCGTATATTGTACAATATTTGAGTGCGTCTGCTTCTGTAGGCATTAAGGAGTGACTTTACGTAGGCCGATCACCTCTTCTCGGTCGGACCTTGCCGCGACTCCTTCATTTTGCCCACCGCTTTATCCATTCCGCTCCACTTCCGCACAAGATGCTGTACGCCTACAGGCAATACCCCAAGGATCTGAATGTATTTTGAGTATAGAGGAAGCGCGATCTCCCCGCTCTCACCCCTTTCAATCAACCGTATAATATCTTTGCCAATGTCGGCTGGCGTAACAACCGGTGCCAGGAAGTTGCTTGGAGTCTTGAGGCCTGCAAACATTGTTGTACCCATTTGACCAGGTTGTACTAGGATTGTCTTGATATCCTTCGCGTCAGGATTTTGTGCAAGTTCTGCGCGAAGAGAGTGATGCAGTGCGAGAAGTGCTGCTTTGGAGGCCGTGTACGCGGATAGGTTGGCTGCACCGAGATGGCCAAGGACAGAGGAGACGGTTACGATAGTGCCGCGGCCTTCTTTCAGCATGTACGGGACGAAAGTGCGGAGGGTCGTAAAGTGCGCCAGTGTGTTTACGCGGAAAGTGCTGGGAAGAATGTCAGAAAAGACCAAGAGCCATTCCAGGATATACATACCGTTCCACATCTTCAGCGGTCGAGTCGAGGATTGACTTGGTCTGTACGATGCCGGCATTATTGATCAAGATAGTAGGAGCGCCGAGCTGCGATCGTTAGTAGAGTGCGATCACACGTGAAAATTACCACTCACATCTTCGACAATCTTGGCTGCTGCAGCTTCCACTTGCTTCGCATCGCTGACGTCGCACTTGTAGTAGACCACTCCCTTGTTCTCTGCTTCATCCTCGTCGACTTCTTTCATATCCAGGACGGCGATGTTCGCGTTGCGCATTCCATATGTCTCCGCAAGCAGTCCACCAAGGCCGTCAACACCGCCCGTTACAACGATAACCTCTTCTTCTAGGTCTACCTCGCGCGGTGATCCCCATGCGATCCGGTCGCTGATGAGCCCGAAGATGCCGTTAACCGTCATGAGCATGGCCCAGGCCATTGCAATGCGCATCTCAATGTTCTCATAGGGTGTATATTGCGCTCGCAGACACAGTACTACAACCCATGATACGAACGGATGGAAGAGCGTGTATCCGAGGACATACCATACCATGTCGATATTGAGGTAATGGTGCCATGGCTCGTCGGGTCGGTCGAAGCTCTTTGGCAGTTGAACGGGTACTTCTTTTATTGCGGAGGACATGGCTGGCATGTCGATACAAGAGGTTTGTTGGATCATGGTGGATGGTGGGGCGCGACGGCGCGTATTCGAGGCTTGGACGCGAATTGACGTTCTACAGAGACTACCTCAACGATGCTACCCAGGAACGAAAATTGAGATGTGTGAGAAGGCGCAACTTGCGCGACAAGTACACGGGGCCATCATCTTCTTATTGTACACTCGCTGATGCTGAGGTTTGCAGTGTTTCATTCGCGCCTCAGGTCTCCAGGACGCTAGCCGGAGTGCTTCATGGAAGTGGGGCTTACTAAGCACCTGCCATCTTCATACGCGTCAGTTCGCGTCAACCTTGTAGCTGCATCACAGCATCCACCATAAAGTAAGGGGATGGCTACTTCTCGAATCTTCCTCGAAACAAGGCAGGTATATCCGTCGTGTGCTGATAGTCAGTAGTCACTAATGAGCAAATTGACCGTTTCATGAGTGACTTAAGCTGTCCATTATACTCTCTCTTCTAAGCCATATCAGTACGTCATGCTAAACATTAAGCCATAGTACTCGAAATACGCTGCTTCTTCAGGAAACACGCCCTGAAATATAGCAACCGCACTTCTAGTTATGAGGGAAAGCACACCGGGTCCTGAAGAACAAAATTCCACGCCGCCAACGTCCATAAACTACTTCCTACAGCTGCGTTATTCCTAGATGACGCTTCAACGTTATCATCGAAGTTTTCAAAAGAGTCCGGCAGTCTGAATGGACCCAAACATACAGTAGTGCCTTGGTACTGCTTTAACGCCTGCGATGCTCCTGCCCAAGACGCTCCACCCTGCGGCAGCAGCGAGCGTCTTCATGGCTGCCAGCATCAGTCATGAAAACAACTTCATTTCCTCTCGACTGTCTACAAAAGCCCATTTCCCACCCCCAAGCTCACCTTTCTTCTCCAACCCAGTCAAAAAGAACTTTCTACTGCCACCAACACAGATCAACTCTCACGCTGCACGTCTCGAACATCATGCTTGGATCCGTCCTTCCCGTCCTCACCTTCGTAGCCTTGGCTCAAGCTAGGGCTATTGTCACCAACCACTGTCCCTACAACGTCTACGTCTGGTCTGTACCTCAAGTCCTCAGCTCCTCCCATACCGACAATGTCCCCATTAAACCTGGTGGTCAATATCAAGAGCCATGGCGTCATGGTTCTATCGTTAACCCCGGCGTCGCTATCAAGATCTCAACCAAGTTAGATGGTATCCTCAAGTCCGCCGATGAGATCGACTTTGCTTACGCTGTCGACGGCAACGATGATAACAAGATCTGGGTCGACCTATCTCAAGTTCGAGGAGATGTATTCAAAGACAACCTCGCTTTCCACAGCTGCACCACGCAGTACGGGTCCGCGAATGTCCAGACCCATCAGTGCACTGCTACCGATGACGTCGAGCTAGTGCTGTGCGATACCTCACCACGTTCAACGCCGGAGAAAGACCCAACATCTTTGGAACAAGTTAAGGCGTGTTACGACTACCACCATGTCCTTCCTGAAGTTCAAGAAGGCGGCCTTCAAGTTGCTGCAGACACCGATTCGGATTCGGACACTGATTGCTGCGAAGAGAGGGACGGCTCAGCACTCAAGTTTACCTACACGATAGCGTTGACCGGTGAATATACCGCTACGCCTGCTTCTGAGCCTCCTGCGGAATCCTCAGTCGCAACACCTACCGATGGTTCTTCCGTATCTTCTTCGCCGTCAACAAAAGCCCACACTTCGTCTACCAAAGTTCATTCATCTACCAAAGTCCACTCGTCAACCAAAGTCGCCTCCACAACGTCTTCCACTTCTAGTCTGCGTTTGTTCACTCCGCCATATGCTGTTCAGACCGACTGCCCAGAATGTGAGAAGCTACTGGTACTCAGCCCGTGTCTTTCTAGGATTGTCTATCCAGCAAGACGCCGCGCCGCCGCAATTCCTCGGTCTACTTCAGACACTATCACACCACAGCACAGAACAAAGCCAGCACTGTGTGACATGGTCCGGAAATATCATCCTGGAATCGGAGCTTGCGACGAAACGACACTAGAGTCTCACGCTCGCATAATATTCCCGAAGATCTGCGACCCTCAGTATGTAACGCTACTGATGGGCTTCCCGTGTGAGGAGATCACAGAGGAGCTGAAGACGATGTATCCTGGCATCGATGCTCCAAAAGCCTCTCGGAGCGACTGCGAGTGCGAGCCTGACTGCGACTTCTGCGGACACTTGAACGACACCTGCATCTGCTCCACCCCCATGGGTAAAGGCCAAGATATTCTGTCTCCACTCAAAAAATTTGAGCCCCGTCTTGTCGAACCCGGATCCCGAAAGATCTGCTTGTACTCCCTTTGCAATCCTGCACTTCTCGAAGAATGCCGTGATGTAAAATCCGTCCTCATATCCACTCTCACGTCATTTGGAGAACGTTACGAGGACTGGGTAGAGGAGGGAGTGAATGCCGAGTGCGAACAAATCCAGGTCCTCCGGGATGGCAACGGCAACTACGGAATCTGTATAGCTGATCTTTGCGACCTCTATCCCGAGAAATGCGACTTGATTCAGTCGACTCTGGCCTTCGCTACCAAGACCAAATTCGATGAGAACATCGTCTTCATAACCAACCATGACGACTGCGCCCTGTGGCCATATCATGACAATGGAAAGTACTAGAAGTCACTCAGCATACATCGCGACACGAAGGATGACGACGATGACGATGATGATGATGACGACGACGATGACTACTACTACTACGAGTACGGCGAAGTCTGTTCTTGTTTCATACTCTATTGCGCGTGTCTATGTGCTTAGGTGTTTGCGATTCATATCTTCAGCATTCGCATAGTTTATTGCCTGCAATACATCTGCTTCTCAGCCTCTTTATCTTCTTGCCTTGATCGCTAGACATGTACGGAGATATTTGTTATTATAAGCTGTACCCAAGACGTTGCCTCTCAAGGTATTCGCTAGGTTATTCGAGTGCTGATGCTGAAGACTGGTGCTTCGGTCAGGATTTGCGCTCTTTTGACTTGCGATACACAAAGAAAGGGCCTCTTTGTCAAGTGGCTATACGCATTGGAATGTCACATACTAGCGCTATCCTAGTACTAAGCACAGAATCCAGGCGGACTGCTGAAAGATTTGCTACCTCCAAGACTTCAGCTATCAAGCACTGGCATTTACGCACGATAGTCTCCGCTTAGGACTAAATTGCTTCCTCGTCGTGATGACTAACATTTAAAGATTGTATGCCTGTGCTCGTAGCATGAATTCTCTCATCTCAACCAGAAGCCTCTACTTCACCTCCTCGTTTTCTTCATTCACGAGTTCCTTATACTGCTCCTCGAGATTTTCGAGCATATCCTGCTGAGTTACGGTGCGTTTAAGAAGCCGAGAAACTTCGGTTCTCAAGCGCGCAACGACTACTGGCGGAATGGTGGGGTCACTCGCCATCTGTGAGATTGTGTCGTTCAGCTCGGTAAGGGTGCTCTTTATTTCTGGGATTTTGTTCTTCAGGTTTTCAATGTAGGCTTCGACGACCACACGACGTCCGTTGTAGATCATACGGGGGTCTGGAGTGTCGCCAGGATTGCCTAGAGTTAGGGACCTACCGAGCGGATCGTTGTTGTCGCAGGGGTTGTTAGACATGCTGAATGCGAAAACCCTTGGGCACACTAGATACTCAGAAGTAGCGTGTTCGTGCTAGACAAGTGAATGAATAATCGATACTGGATGGTCTACATATCTATCACGCATCGTTTGTCTATCCTCTATACTTGTGACCACAAAAAGCATGTGAACACCTCGAAAGCAAGTCTACGTCAAACCACAAAGTCTAGATATCATTTCAATTGTGACCTCACTGACCAAATGTACAAAGAAGCTTGGTTCGTTTCTGTTGTACCTATCAAGCTATTGTTGTAAATTCGCTTCAAAGACACTTCAGCAATATAGGCCACTATGTAGGCTCCCAGGGTATACCTCCATCTCCCATTACATGTCAGGAATCACAATCCTTGTTTACACCGCCTGATCATTCTCATCCTGGCTGTCTCCATCATCAGAGTCCACACCCTCAGCCTCGCTTATCACTGCTCCCATCTCGTTGAATAAGTTTGCCTTCACACTCTCACTCTTCTCAGCGATAAGTGTCTGGTACTCCTTAACGAAGAAGTTGTGTATACCGAGCATGCCTTCGATGTACGCATGAAGCTCAACTAGCTCTTTTGTCAATTTGTCTATGGTTGCTGAGTCGACGGGCTTGACCTTCTCCGCGGTTACGATCTTGTCCTGGAGCTTATCGAAGTCACGATGTTTTGCGTCGATGTTCTTCTTCTTACGATAAATAATTCTCTTCAGCTGCTTGCAGCGTTCTTTGTAGGCCATCTGGGAATCTGGGGCACTGGAGGGGTTGATCGGAAGAGCGGCGTCAGTGACTAGGGTGTTGTCGGAAACGTTGGTAGGCATGGTAGGTATCGTAATACTGTGAACGTTGGGATTTGAGTAGAAGATTTTCTGTGTGAGATGGTTGAGTAATTGACTAGTGATGAGAAAGGTCTATATATCTGATTTGTACAGTTTGTATGTTTGGATGGACAAGAAAGAACGCCAACGCCGTGAAAGCAAGTCTAGAACAACCCTGAAAGCAACGCTCGGAATCTACAACAAGCTAGAAAGAAAGTCTACAGCAAACCAGAAACTGTCGTTACTTCGAGAAGCAGCATAGAAACGCAAGGATGGTCATTAGCGCACGTAGCAACTCAATAGGATGCAAGACCGCAATAACAATGACCAAAGCCAAGAATGTTATGAGTTCCAGGTGTCTGTCTCCATCGCCATTCGGCGTCGGGTTGATCGAAGCTTGAAATTCCCGAGCTGCTTGCCCCGGATCGATTTGTGCCTCCCGGGTTTGCTCGCATGGTAGTTCCTGTGTTTTTTGCTCATCTCGGTCGTCGAGCTCCTCGCACAAACGTTTTTCAGCTCGCTCTAGCTCCCGATGCGCAGAGGTAACGTTGTTAGAAAAGGGGCCTACAAGCGACTGGATGTGTTGCCGCAGCTCTGTAAGGTAGTGTCGCGCCTTCTGGCGTTGGTACAGATCCAAACAGTCGAGCCAACAATCGAAGTTTTCCGGCTTGTATTCGGGATCGTTTTGGGCGCTGTGATAGAGCTCGTCGATCTTTTCAAGAACGTTGACATCGGCTCTTGTGATATCGTCTCCTGATGGCATTGGTTCGCGGGGGGTGAATGGCAGCATTGCTGACGAGTGCGCTTTTTTGTTTTTGAAAGACTGATATGCTGGTAAAAATGTAGTTTGTTTATCTTCGTTGAGGCGCTGTGTGTAGGGTGCCTGTCTATCGAGCTAAGATGAAGCTGAGGGTGTCGTTATATCCTTTTGCGATGATCTAGAGTTGACGACCATGTTCCTAAAGTCTCGTTTCAGTATCAGTCATGTGAGACTTCTCGGATTCACGACTTCGCCATGTGTCAAAATGTCTAGTCTCAATACTTGTAATTAATTCAGTTCTTTGATAAAGTGTTCAATGCGCACCGTATGCACTGCAGATCGAACCTAGCGAGATCCAATGTCTTAAACCCATGTCTCTTCCTACTTGGACCCAAAAATGCCAACCTTCATCTTCATCGGCGTCTTAGGCGTCAGCGGCCCTCTCTCCGCCGCAACTCCTGGCTCCGTATACATTGTCTTCTCATCCGCCGGATATTCGCTATCGACGTCCCTCTCTGCATCCTTCTCACACTGTCCAGCCCCCACTTCGATCTTAACATGCCCATTCTGATCTCCTCTCAGATTAACAATGAGAGACCCGTTCCCCTCATCAGGGTCGCTCAATAACCAAATATGTCTCATCCTCTTTCCTTCCCTCCGCTCCATAATATCGTCTGCTGCAGCTGCGATATCACCCCCACCCCGCGATGCAGCGATGATAAGATCGCGAGGATCGAGGTAATTGAAGCGGCCCAAATTAGACCAGCCAGTCGTGCGAAAAGCTTCGCACACAACTGCAATAATGATGACAAGGTTGAGAGAAAAGATAGCGTAGATGTAACTAGGTTGACCGAATTGCAGGGCGTAGACGTAGACCTTTGCTGGCTGCTGTGTAAACATGCGTCCGACCATCAGTTGCGCAGATGCGTACGCTACTAACATGTCGTCGGCCATGGCGACCATGCTGTTTGTGAGACCGGCAAGTGTGGCTTCTTCTTGGGGAATTGCGTCGATTGTTTGGTTGGTGGCAGACGCACGTGACATCTTGTATGCTGCGATGCTGGAGTTGAACGCTTCGCCAAGAAGAGAGACGTATAGATTTGTCATATCATTGGACATGAGCTCGTACTGCCGTACAACAGTTCGCGTGATGTTGCGCTGAGGATTGAAGTCGGGTATTGTCCGTATAGGCTTCACTGTGATGCTAAGGTTCCCAACATCGACGGTAACGTTGAACAGTGTAGGCGTGAAGTCGAATTCGCATTGCGTGGTGTTGAGAAAGGAATACGCTTCGCCAGCTGCGATAGAGAGATAGCGACGAGGTGAGCGATCACTATATGCCACACCCATTGCTACAATGGCTTTGCCGTCGTGGCCGATGTAGTTTGAGTACTCTGGGCCCTCTTCGCTATCTGGAAGATTACCAGACGCTGCGTATATCCATTCGTTGACTGGTCCGGAAAGAGTAAAGTTGGAAGTTGCGTTGTATGCGCAGGTGACGTTTGCCACATAGCCCGCCTCTTCATAGATATACCCTGCAATCTGGCTGTTCGAGGTGATTGCTTGGTCCTTCAATCCGACAGCTGCGCCGACACCATATGAACGGCCTCGGTAGCTGAAGCGTGTGTTGTCGAGCTTGCGGTGGACATGCGAATCCATACCAAAGGAAGAGGCTTGAGCTGCAGATGCAAGAAGCTGACTACTTTGTTGTTGACCAACTGAATAGGTGAAGAAGCCTTTTTGTGAACGCATTGACGGTCCTGAGCTGCCAATCATCATCGGATATTCCTTGATCATCGAGACGTCTTCGTAACTGGGTATAAGAAGCATGCCGCCGCCTACGGTACGCGATACCGATGGTGTCATTGAACCAGCCCAGAGCGCCGCAGGTACAAGACTAAGTAGCACGACAAGGACGGATGGAAAGAAGAAGCGCAGGGGTAAGTCCCAGTCCACTCTCATGATGCTCATATCCACCCATGTACGCAATACGTCCAGAGACACGCTGACGTTGGCAAGACGTAGTCGAAGTGCATAGTTCATGAGTTTGCAGATGACCGCGAGATGCAAAAGACCGAAGAAAGCGGCGAGAAGCTGTACAACAAGCGCTGCGGAACCAGGAAATCTGTTTGCCAGGGTGAAGAGCTCTCCAGTTACACGCCATTCGTTGAGTTGTGAAAGCAAAAGTACTGTCGAAAGGGTTGTCGTAAACGAAAGTCCGTAGAAGGTATTGTAGCGTCCCCAGTGGCTATGTCGCATCGTTCGGCCATCATTTCCAGTCGGCCTTCGATCGCTAGGTAGAAAAGTGAATTGTCGAACCATTACAAAATTAAACGAGTGAAAAGGGACCGGCCAGCGGTTACGAAAGAAAACCTTCAAGGTGGATGAACGAGTGATAGAATGCAAAATCGATGGAATCGCGAGTTGAGCATCTTAGACGGTGGTTGAATGTTCGGCTTGGTAGCCTACCGTGCCCCAAGAAAGTGTTGACAATTGTTGTATCAGGTGCGGCGAGATTCATGCCTGAGACTTGAGACCCACTGTGAAAAGGCCTGATGAGGTACGTTTGAGCATAACTTCTCCTGCATGAAAGGATACATGTGTGAATTATCGATATTGTGCAAATATTGGACTGGATGAGTATGGCATCTCCTTGCTGAGTTCATGTGTTGGTCTTGTCGGGTTGGCAGATAATGCGCCTTCTTGATTTGGGAGAGGAGCATTGAGAGACGACTTGGAAGCATTCTCAACTATCGGATGCGCTCGATCAGCATAATCCTTCTAGATAGTACGAACAGTACTTCATCGGCAATCTCGTAGTTGGAAAGTTGCTAGGTGCAGCGAGATCTGGTGCGCGATCAAAACGCGGCGAACGGTTCATCTGGCGCATCGCAAGGTAGGTACCTTGGTATCGGATTCGCATCGCCATCTGTCCAGTAAGCGAAGCGGAAGCATACTTCCTCAATTGACCAGACCGATAAAGAGTATCGTGCATAGCATCACCGCGTCGCAGACTGAGACTCGCCCGACCACGACCCCAAGCCCAAGCTCACGACTGATGACATCACCAAGTTGCTTAGTCCATGTCCATCTTCCCCAGCCCCATTGTACAAGCAGCCTCAACAGACGGTAAACTGATGCCAACGCATCTGCCGCACATGCAAAAAACAACGAAGCCAGCAATCCCAGCATTAGTCTTCATCCTCCTCGGCTGACTATGCCCCTGGAACCGACCAACCACACCCAAACACTCTAGCGCCAAGCTGCACATCTGAAACCCAGCGTTCCCACCCTGCCATGCTCAAAAAAGGCAAGCGTACTTCTTATCCCACCACAAACCGCGTTTGATCTACGCGGTCCAAACTCCTTGACTCCTGCATACACGATATTGTGTTGCCGTTGCATCTTGCATCATAATCTGCCTTTTGCTCATTTCTTCATCGGTGCGCTTTCGGAGAGTGCCTCGGTATAGGATTTGGTACATGCCGGGCTTACCGCCGGTTGTGATTGGGATTAGCTGTGATCACCAAGTATAGTGGAGGTATGATGTCGTTGACGGTTTCTCACCGGCACGACTCAGCCTTGGTCGACCTCAGTGCTGAGGTTGGCAGATATTGGGCGTTGTGGCCTTGTAGTAGATGTTTAGGTAGCATGCATGATAGCTGATTATGTGTGGTCGCTAGATTAGTCTGCCTATTGTGGCTGCGCAGACGGCCCGTCAAAGAATGTAGTACAAGGCAAGATGACTGGACAGCGTCGCAAGACGTGGAAACTCAGGTCCTGTATAGCTTCGTGGCTGTACCATATAGATGTGCAGACTAGTGACCGGTGTGATCTATGCCGTGAATTATGCCTGTGGTTGATTGCTGAGGTGCCCTCTGTACAGCCCTCTTGAACCCTTCTCGCATCGCTTCGTACGAACTACAGCGATAGATCGCCATCCTTCAATATCTCTCGCGTGATTCTTTCATGCAGTGTCCACAGTCGCGTATTGATGAGTCGCTTGATGAGCCGCACGCCACCTAATGTGTAAGTTAGCCTTCTGCACTAACTAGATAGATACCCGTCGAACCTAGCGCGCATGTCAGTCCCCAATCTACGGAAATTGCAAGAACAAAGCAAGAGTCATTTATCACGAACACCCGTTGCCAAGTACCTCGGAGAGACGGAAAAATGCGTTTTGACGGATTTTTTATTCATTACTCGCGTTGCCGCAAACAAGTGCAGGGAACGGATAAATGGTAGGCTAGCTAAGCTAAACTGTTCTGAGTCGGTCGCGCCGAGACGCAATATAGATGCGATTCAAGATGATGATGATATCCAACGCCGGTACAATGCTGTGCTGTGCAAATGCTAATTGTGTAAACGCCTGCCGATGCAAAGGTTGATGAGATGGGCGAAGAGATGTCCATCCAGTGAGCATCTTTCATCGGATCATGTCATGGAAACTAGGAAAGTCGTAAGGTCGGTAAGCGACAGTGTGGTGGATAGAACGGTGAAATAGCGAATAGAATTAATAGCCAGTTTGGCGGCCGGCGTAAGCGCCAGTCTGGCCAAACATTCTGCTGAAGATGCCGCCCGCTGACGTCTTGGCCTTCTTTGAGGGCTGCGTGTCGTACAACGGGAGGGTGTGTTGCTGCTTTGGTGCATATGACGAGATGGGGCCATTGATATATACAAGATTGGCGCCCATGTCTGCGTCGTAGCGCTGGAGGATAGCCTCTGAAGGCTCGTCGAGGAAGCTGTCGGGCGAGTCGGACGATGTCGAGACAGACGAGCTCCTGGTGGGTGGCGATAGAGATGGGGTGCGCGATGCCGCGCGGGATGATGGGATGTAGCGTGGTGCAGGATGCCTCTGGGGACGAGAGGCATATGATGAAAGGGATGAGTTTGATGCGTAGGGCTTGGTCGAGCGCGAGAGGTTCTCGACGGAAAGCTGGTACTGTTGACGTGCAAGCTCCTTCTCTTTCTCTGCGAGCCTGGCCTTCTCGGCCTGGCGAGATTGCCAGACACGGATGGGCGCTAGGAATGGCTCAAGGTGGTAGTAGAGGTCCTCAGGGTTGATGCGGAGATCCCAGTCAAGGAGGAACAACAGCTGCTTCTCCATAAGGTTGACCTCTGTGATGGAGAATCCAAAGTTCTCGTAGCCGCGGACAGCGCTGTACCTGGCCCAGTGCTTGTTCTTGGGCGAGGAGTCATTGAGGTTCTTGGCTGCAAGGATGAGAGAGGCAAGGAAGATGCGGTGGACAGTGCATCGCATGCCCTTGGCGACGGGAGGAAGACGCGACCGTAACCGGCTGAGGTAGACGAGGGAAGTCATAAGGGTAGCAGTCTGAACGTGGGACCTCTCGACGATGGATGTGATGAACTCTTCTACTGATGGCAGCGCGGGCTCACGGATACTGGAGGCAGCATGCTGAGGAGGCGATGCTGGTGGTGTCGGTGGGAGGTTCTTGTTGATTGATGGTTCGCAGCGAATGACTTGTGTGGCCTTTTGTGCAAGATACGAGATCATGTCATGTGATACAGGGAGCTGGATGAAGTGGTCCAGAGCAGCCTGGTTCTCGGCAACAAGGTTTGGTGAGTAAGGCATGTTGATGATGGTGATGTGTAGTGAGGGTGGTGATAGAGTCTTAAGTGAACGTCGAGATGTAGTTGTTGCTGTTGTTGCTGTATGCCCTGTGAGGCGAAGTCGCAATTCCGGTCTGAACGATGGTAAGCGGGTGTCCGAGGCTGCGTGGCTGACGACGAGGTTGAGAGGGCAGAATTCGCAAGGCAACAATTATTATGGGATGATTCCGAGTCCAGTCGAAATATTTTTTTGTATGTTTAAAGAAGGGATGGTCGATGGCACTGCCGTCTGGAAATTGGGAGCGTCGGATGGTGGAGCGCGAATCACTACCGGAGTGTGGAGAAGGCACCTGCACCGCTAGGATGGCAGGGAGGAAAGAAGGGGAGATGAAGAAGTGAAGCCGGTGACTGACTGTGAGGAAGAAGTATCGACGGCAGAAAGCGTGATACTTAAGAACGCACACCCCTTGAGCGGGTAGAGATGCGATGCTAAGTCGAGGGTCGAATCCTTTGGGGGTGGTGGTTCGGCGGCTGCGTGTGGGACCCAATGGATGCGGCTTACGGGCAGGAAACAGCTACGTAGCGCGCCACGCCGGACTCAGGCCAGCGGCTGTTTGGCTCGTTTGGGATGCCTGGAAGATTGCGAGTGGTGAGGTGCAGGACCCCAGGAATAGGCTGTTTCAAGTGCAAGCCAATGGTTTGTACGCAGCGCAGGGCCCTCTAGGCGTGAGAAATTGACAACCAATAGAGCCGTGATGCGAATCGCGTTTCGAAGGAGGTCGAGTATGTTTTAGATGGATGCGGGTTGGAGAGTTGTGTTGGGATGAGAGTGGACGAACGATCGAGGTGGGCGCAGCGGTCAACTTGACACGGTCTGCACTACAGGCCCTCGAGTTTGCGGCAGCAGTGGGCGATATGTATTCCGACAATCTTGGTGCTTGTGGAAGGCTGGCCGGAACTAGAGGGTCTGCTGGCCTCGTAGTTGGGTCACGTTGCTCGGTTGGGAGACAGAGGTTGAAGCGGTGAGTCGGGTTAGAGTGGAGCCAGATCACTATGGTTGATGAATAGCATGCGACCACGCAGTAGCGACACACCTGCTCCCATATACCTGGGGAACAGAAGCCAGCATGACGGTGACGAATTTGTGGGCGAAATGCAAGATAGCCCAGCCACTCCCAGCCCAGTTTGGGTATCGTGAAAACCTTGGGTAGAAAAGCATTTGCCTCACGAACACGCGTTGCATGCGTGTAATTCGGCGTAGTAGAGCCTGTCCAGCTTGGTATTGAACACATTTACTACCCAGTGTGGCTCAGCCGCCACTACACTTCCCAGCAGTATACTGCCTGTCCATCTGCATCAAGTGGGTGGAATAGGACCACGGCAAGAATCACGGCATTCACAGCATACAGCATCAACTCCGAACTGACCATCTCCCTGCCATCTGTCAGTCGCATGACAGCGTGTCTATCTTGACTCCACTCGGCCAGAGGGTGGACAGAGCTCGGGCATACCCACCACGATCCATGGATCGCCGTCATGCGCAGGGATTTAGCTCATTTCCATTGGCCGACACTCATTGCAAACAAGTCATATTTGTTTCAACACACCTGTTTCTTGCCATGTCCAACGACCAGCCTGTTTGAGCAAGGCGGAGGTCGAGGCGGATGGCGAGGACAGATGACAGCCAGCACGACCAACGCCATGTTCGTCTTCTGCCATGCTACAGCGCACCACCGGCAGCTGTACTCGACATGCCAGCCGGCCGGGAAGCACCAGACCGGCTTCATGCAACTAAAGCGTACCAATCAATGTCGAGGCCTCGCAGTTTCGAGACCTCCTCAACAGCCGCTGCACCGCCTCACCCGCTTTGCCAATCATGCCTCCAGATCATCGCTGCCGATTCTAGAAGGTCGTGGCCAGCGAGACATGTGATCTACTGGATGGCATCAATTCTTCCTCGTGGAGTCAACCACCTGCCTTTGTCAGTCTCTCCGTCTAAGCGATCAAACTAACTCCTCATCAATCTCGAATTCGTATCCCTGCATCCTACAGCCCTCCAAATGGGTTACCTAGCCGAAGCGCCAGATGAGGCTCTTCACTAGTCGCCAATTCCCCGCGGCTGCTATATCGAGACCCGGTTCGTGCGTGCCGCCCACCAGAAGCGCTCGTATCACCCAAATATGGTAGCATCGGACCTTGTCGCAGCCGTTGGAGCTGTCCCGGTACGTGGTTGCTTGCGCAATTTACTTGTGCAAGGCTGCGGGAGATCTGCTTTGTCGCTGTTTGAGGGCTGGCGGTTGGAAGCGACTGTGCAACGTTCCGACTGCCGATTCTCAGCGCTTCGAGGTTTCAGCAGGTCGTGGCCACAAGAAGAGTCGCGGCCCCCCAAAAGCACGTCATTGGGTTCTGGCCTTTACACGACCATGCTGCAGATGCACATATGAGTCTTTGTTATCGACTTCTCTTCGTCTCGTCGGACCCGCCTCGCCGACGTCAAACCGCAGCGTCGCATAACAAGTAGGCAACAGTTCAACACGTATCGAGAGGCGATTGCTTTACGAGCGCTTCTTGGCGACGCGCAATTCATGGCTCATTGCAATGGCGAGTTATCGATCCGAAGCGTACCGGCTACCACCGAGGCTCACGATGCGATAGAGGCGCAGTCCACCAACAGCTGACAATTACGTGCTAGCATCATCTGACCTTCCTCGCCACGTATCTACATGTTACTTCCGCGGACTCACGATCGCAGACTTTTACGATCACGGACCTTTACGATCGCGGGCTTTTGCAACTGCGGGACCCCGCACATGAAGCGTTGTCGTCTCTTTCGAGAAAAGAATCGTGACGTGTCGACACGTATCATTCCTTGCACAGTCTCCTTTGGAATGTGTCGCCGGTCTTGCATCAGGCCACATCGTACGTCACTGTATGAGTTTGAAGAGACGGCGAGAGCTTCGTGTACTGTGCTCAGGACAAAACATGAAAGCAGTGATATAATTGCTCGTGAGAGTTTCGCAATGCGTCCGTCCATGGGACGTGCGTTCGGAGTAAAAACATGGCTTTTTGGCGCACACATATGACGTGCGTGTGTGAGGTGTACAAGCAATTGCGGCAGAAGCAAATCATGACTCAGACGTTGTTGCATTTTGGAAGAAACAACATAGGGCGGGATGTATCAAGACTTGGAGTGCGAAGAGTGATTTTAAACAGGCACGTCATTGTCCTCGACCATGCTCTGGATCAGCCGCCGTCAAAGATTTCGAATGGCAAATTTATCTGAATAGTTTCTAACAGTTCTAGGCAGTGGACGAAGCTATGTCTTAAAGAGACAAGGCATAACACATGAAGGCCTTTCTTAGCGTCTTGGAAACAAGATGCCCTGCTCAGACATTCGTCGTTTAGGCCGATATTTCTGGAGGATTTCCGCCGATAGAGGATGACAAGAGGATTAGGCATCGTTGGGATTTATAGTCCTGAGAGCACTGGCGCCTCACTTCGCAGACATGGCGCTCTGAGCTTGAACTTTCGAGGACGAGCTTAGAAGGCGGCAGCGTGTAGGAATGAGGATCGGACTGGACAACACTTCCGTCATAACTTCTAGTGGTTTCTGTTTTAGAGGTGACGAGAGACCATCATACTGGCCACCGACCGTTTCTTGTCTTGAGAGGATAGGTGAAGTGTTGAGTGGAGGAAAGAAGCCGGTGAGCAAGGACTTATATGCATTTACAAAGCCATGCAGTAGGCCCATTGGGCTTTTGGTGCGCCCATCTCACTTGCAGCCCACGCCAAAACTCCACATGGCGATAAAGACTTTGAGATTCTCGAAAGAAGAGCAGCAGAACATGGCACCTGCTTGTGATTCTTTCGGTGTCATGGAGGCATGCGGAAGGCTGGTGGCAGTCTCATGCGACTTGAAGAAGAGTTTTCGGGTACAACGCATGATGGACGAATAGTATGTTTTGCAAAGAGACAAGTGCTATTTTGTGACCTGCTAGTCAGACCAACCGGTCATGTCACAGGTGTAAAGTCGATTTAGACGAACGGGGACCCATATTGACCGTCTTCTTTTTTTTCATTTTGGTAAACTGCACAAGAAGTGCAAAGATGAATGGAAGGTGATGGAAGGCCTGGAGGTGGAATTTATACCCGCAAGTCGAAGTCACACATCAGTGACGCTAAAGGCTTTCAAGGAAGAAACCGTATTACAGAGAGCCTGGCGCCATGAGCAGCGACGCATCTTCTCTATTCCGAGGTTTGTGGAGAGCGCAAGTAAAGAAGGTGGTAACAAAAAACCAGATGAGGAAGCGCCTCACCATGGGATTATTACATGGTGCCAAAGAAGAGCATTTTTGAGCATATTGATGTTTTCTGGATGAGCAAGGTCATGTAGTCATTTTCACGGCTTTTGGAGTGCAGCAGGCCTCATGTGAACTTTGCTTCAAGACTTTGGGAAAAACTCTTCGATGGATAGGAGCGTAGAGAGAAGAAGTTGGATCACTTAGGATTGCTTTATACACGCAACTTCAGAGCAGACCATGTCCAAAGATATCGCTTTTCGGAAGAACAAGGTTGTCATTTGGTCAATATGATCTTTTATGAAAGAGCAGGGCTCATGGACATATTGATCGAGAATTTTGATTTCGAGAAGCCTATACAAGACTGCAAGAGGAATCAGAGAGATTGGAAAGGTTCGAGTATGAGATTTCGACTTCTCCTCTTCACAGGTCATAGATTAAGCTTGTGTTAGCTTTTGTGGAAACACATTCATGACTGAGATGTCAGAAGATCTCAGAGGGAAGCAGAGTCCATGTACCTTGATAAAGGTTTTTTTTTGATTATATTTAGAATGAATGGAAGAAATGGTAGCAGAAGCGGGACCGCATCAAGGTAGATTTTATGCTCGCAACCCAGGGCAAATCACGCTCCATTGAACCGGGAACTTCTGGAGGAACACAGTCATCAACTCCTCGTGTTCAAGTTTTTGAAGGAGAGAAAAGTTCATAAGGTCATCCCAGGTCTGTTTCGGACACGTCGGAGATTGGAATCGAAGCGGTCAGATCGACGTTCTCTGAGTAACAGGTATGCTCGTGTTCCGGACCAGATCATTGCTGGGGTAGTTCCAGTTTTGAGAGCACACAGCCATCCATGAACGAGGCTGTAATGGGGAGGAAGACAGAGACCATAGTATGTCTTGTTTTTATTTTATAGAAACCGCGCGACGAGGTGAGGATGACGAACAAAGGCTAGAGTGATCGAGGAGATGTTTTATACACATTGCCTCGTAAGTGCGATCATTGGATGTAGCAGCGAAACCGACCGGCGATAGTCTCTCATGTTGACCATCGCGCGTATTTTAGATATGTAGTAGATTCTTTTGAACGAGAAGCAACATTGGTTCGTTCGTTCTGATTTTGGAGAGAGAGTTGCCAGACCATGGCACGAAGCCCACGCGCTTTAGAGAAACGGCCTGGTTTGAGGATGCTGAAGAAGGAGGGGCGAGCCAGGGTATATATATGTAATAGCCACTGGCGTCTCGACAACATAGGTAACATATGGTTGATCTTTGAGTACATTTCGAGAAGAAGATATCAGAAGATGCCGTCCATAATGAGGATGCACTGTCTTTTCAGAAACGCCAAACACATATAAGGGCGAGCTCGCACTTTTTGGAAGCAGGACAAAATTCATATGAACCCTGTCCTAATATTTTGGAGAATAGGTTTTGAATGTGGGTCGAGGAGACAGGAAGACGAAGACTCTGCGAGGGCTTATATAGTCTCCAAGCGCAGTGTAGGTTCGGATCAAAAAAGTTTCGCCAATCCATACATACTGCAACACAAGGTTTTTCGAGTGCGCGAAGACAGGGATCTCAACATGTATGATGTTTATGGACTTTCTGAGATAGCGGCAGGAGAAAAAGAGAACATCTCTGTAGTGTTGAAGTATTTTGGTGACTCGCATATGGGAATATGTGTTGAGCTTTTGGAGGAGAAGAGAAGCGCCATGATTTTAGGTTTCTCGGTTTTTGTTTTGGAAAAATAGAAGATAGAACGTTGAGCAATGGGAGTAAGCATCAGTCGAAACAGAAGACCGCTTTTATACCTCCCAACTGCACGTGCACATCCAAAACACGTGAATCGTCGTTTGCAGTTCTGTTCGCATAAACCATCTAAAACAATACTCTAAACTAACCAAAGTCCGTATCCCGTCCAATGACTCGAAACTTTACCATCGTCAATCAAACATCTCTAACTCCATCCTCCCTATGTCTATCACCCTCCCTCATTCTCCTCTCCACCCTCCCAATCCTAGGCGGCGTCTCATCCATCCTCGATCTTCCCCCTTCCTCATTCCCATATCTACTATTGATACCCTCCCTCTCCCTTTCCATTGCCTCTCTGTCCCCGTCATTCTCCTGATCGCGCTGTTCAGGTGGAACGCGGCGATGCGTACGTGCCATCGTCGTAGCCCGAACCAGCGGGTCATGCGAACGTCGACTTGTCGTACCACTGCCTTGGTCTAGAGCGAGAGCCGTCAAGGGACTGTCGCGAGTGAGTGGAGGGTTGAGGTAGCGGGCGCCAGGTATGGGGCGGTAGGCGCGCTGGGGGACGGAGCTGGTGGTTTGGGGGTAAGCTGATGGGTGGGGAGGTCAGTATACGTTTTATATGCAGTTCATACTAGGAGGCTTACAGGCTTGAAAAATGTCGCCGGGCTCGCCACCACGAGGTCCTCCCAATGGGTGCGCCGTTTGACTCTGCGATGGGCGTCGATGCGTGTTGAACGGGGTGTTCCCGTGTACTTCGTTGCGGAAGCCGGTAAAGTGGTGTCGCCGGCTGGGTGCATCATGCGTGATGGTTGGTTGTGGCATACTATGACGGAGGGCGTTCATGTTGGTCTCGACTTGCATTGCCATTCTAGGGTTGTGCAAGCGTTCGTAAGCAGCCCGTTGTGCCTGAACTCTACCAGCACGTATAGCAGCGTCAGAGCTAGATGCCGGCACACTGGAAGGGTTCTCGCGGGAGTGCCGACCGCCTCGTCCACCTCTGCCATGAAAATTAGAGCCCCATTCATGATTCTTTGACTCATCTATCGCCAAATTTTCGAATGATTGTTGGGATTCCTGTGCTCTATAGTAATCTTGCTGAGAAGACCTCGTGCTTTGACCAAGAAGAGGTGGGGGATGGCGTGAATGATTTGGCCGGCTACCGTGACCTTGGCTTGACCTACGCGCTTGTGCCCCTTCCGCGCGAGATTGGTGAGTATAAGGATTCATTCGAGCCTGGGCAGCTTGCAGCTGACGCTGATAGTGCTCAGAAAAAGGATTAAGGGGCGATTCGAGACCCTCCATTGCCGCTGTAGTTGCGTCAACGATGTAGCCTAACCTTTGGGTTGTGTAATCAGACGATGCTGAGTCGCCTTGATTGCGAGTGTATGGCATCGAAGGTAGTGGCGAAACCCCATGTGGACCAGAGCCAACGTTATCGGAAAAAGAGAGAATTGAGCTTCCTGAAGAATTCGGACGATTTGTGCTGTGTCTGGAGACTGAGGAAGGAACTGCAGGTGCTAAGGGACGATGGTCTTCGTTTGAAGCCACCGCTCCGTCCATCTGAAATCGAGAAAGGTCGTTTTCGATCGATGGACCACCGCTGGAAGCTCCCCTGCTAGGAGGAAGCGAGCCGTAGTAAGAGAATTGTCCACTGGCGCCTGAAGCATCGCTACTAAAATGTCGTGGCCTTGAGTTTGTCTGCTCCGGCTGAAGCGAGCCACCAGGAGTACGAAAGATGTCTGATGAAGTAGAATAATAGTCGTTGCGAGAAGCAGTAGAATCTGAGGCGTTCCGTCTGGACCGGGGTTCAACCGTTGGTAAAGTGCTGAATACGTCGTCGAACGGAAGACCAGAAGGGGGACGGCTTCGATTCGTGAGAAGAGACGGGGCGGATCCTAAAGACAAACTTCGCATAATAGAATCTTGACGACCACTGACCCGCCGCGGCTCACTGTGTGGTGTTCGTCTCCAGAAACGGTCCTGTCAAGGTGAAGTCACGAAATTAGTGTATGTCTCACAAGCATGTCGCACAATCACAACTTACCTCAGTGCTCTTACGCATGCGATACTCATCCCCCCGGGGAGTGTGATGCCAATAACCTTCCAAGTAGAGTGTAGGCTGGTCTTCGTGGGGAGTAGTTGGTGACTTGGTGGGATCGCCAGAGGGCTCTTCATGTTCCGGCGAACTTAGTCTCTGCATGTGATGCAGCGGAGACGGAGCATGAGGCGGTTCACCGACATCACGCGCTCGACCTCCTCCGCGTAGTCCGGTAGAACTTTCAGTAGAGTCGCCAGAGGGAGATATTGTGGAGCTATTACTGGTGTCACCGATGCTGCTGGCTCTCGTTGAGTCCAGCCTGGCATAGCCGAGTGGCGATCTTGTTGGCGTACGAGCGACCGACACAACTGTATCCGGCTGGGACTGCGTAGTAGATGGTCGGCGGTTTCTACCAAAGCGAAAGGGGAGTACACCATGTAGTGAACGTCGTGGTGGGGATTCCGGCGAAGGTAATGACAGTGCTGGCGAGGGAAGTGACCGTACCGGAGATGCTGGTGACACTGGTGGCTGCATTGAATTGATCCGCAAAGGGGTCTCTCTCTGCGATGTAGGAGAAGCGGGCCGTTCGCCGACGGAATGCTCTGTCGATGGTGTCACTTCCTGGTAAGCATCCTCTAGGAACTCCTCTTCTGCGGAGGTAATTGCTGCCGCGTGTGGCTGCAGTACGGGAATAGACCCAAGAGCAGTAACAGAATCTCGAGTCAATCTCTGGGGGCCAGGTCTGAGGATGGGTCGTCCTGGTTGTGCTGGACGGCCAGGAGGCGGATTTGTTCTCAGTCTTGTTCTCTGCCTGAGGGCCATGCGACGGAAGGTCTCGTCGGTGTCATCGGGTATCAAGGTAAGTTCTGATGTTCTGAGACGTAACATTCTGTCCAAATGTCTGAGCGATTGAAGGCTGAAGGGATATTAGGGCCAAAACGGGTGAGTAGACGGGGACATTAATGTAGAGTAGCAGGAGTTGAGCCTACCGTCTATCATTGTAGCTTTCAACTCTATTTCCAGAAGGGACAGAACTAGGAGCAGTCGATCTAGAAGGAACAGATCCAGAGGGGGTGGATCTGGAAGGAGGATATCTACCAGCAGCGTGTACAGGATAGAAATCTCCAGAAAGAGTAGATCTAGATGGACTTGTTCTAGAAGGAACAGAGTCTGGAGGAGCAGATTCAGAAGGGATTGATCCAAAAGGATACCTGTCTCGAGAAGGAAGACTCATTGCGCGTTGATGGTAGCGACGATAGCGAGTTGATGGTGGTGAAGGATGGAAGGAGTGGACGAGGGCACCTTCCAGGTCCAGAGACATATTCAAAAATTACCCGTACTGTGTGCCCATGACTGTTCATTACGAGCGTGCGAGCGTACGACTTGCTGCCACGTGAAGGCACCGCTACCATGATTGAAGCTGGTGATGTAAGAAAGCGAGGTGGTAGCGAATCAGACGAGGAATCATTGTCAATATCATTGTTGTTACTGCTGCATCCATCGTTTCTGGAATGGACGCGCTTTTTGTCTAGTGCGCGTGATTGATATCGCGACATGTTGGTTGTGGTTGTGGTTGTGGTTGTAGTTGTGATCGTGGTCGTGGTCGGGTCGTGGTGTTGTTGAGCTGTCGGCAAGAATGCTGACAACGCCGAGCCTATGGCATCACCACCAACAGGCTGGAGCATACGGGCACATCATATCCACATCCGCGAATAGTTCTTTTCCCGCCCACAACCTGGCCTCTGGGCCCCTGCCATGCCTTCGTTCCACGCTCGTATTCCGCACGCTAGAAGAGGCTACTTTGACGCGCTGCGGCCGGTGCCTTAGCTTCAGACATCGACTATCTCTCACCCGTTACCGCCAGTGCTGCTGCCCAGTCCCAGTGGCCGCCACGATGAATGGCGACCTGAGTCTGTCGCAGACGCTCGGCGGACTGCGCATCGCCAACCCAGACGAGGACGACTCGCCGCCGCCCACCCAGCACAGCAACCACGATGACACGACGTCACCCCCATCACCGCCCTCGCCGACGCGCGCCTCGTCGTCGAATACCGTGACCCAGGACCGCCCCGATCTCCACCCCACGTATTCCAACTCGCACTATTCCTACACAGAAGACAACGCCTCGCTACACCCCAGAGACAATGTCTACCAGAGCTCCCCCTCTGGCTCCCCGGCCGCCTTCCCCTCCCCCCTGGCTGAGACTTCGTCGATATCATCTCACTCGCCGCGCCTCTCCCACCGCCAGTCCATGCCCCTTCAACACCAGGCCCAGCACCAGCAGCCCTCGTATCCCCCGTATGCTGCTGCCCCATTGCTCCAGCAGCAGCGCAGCCAGGCCCCGACGTCGCAGCCCGCAGGCATGCGAGAGCGCCCAATCTCTACGAGCATGTACCAGCACCCCAACCTCTCGACCTCTTCCACCGCTGCCCCTGGCACCTACAGATACAACGACGATGCAATTCAAGGAGACATGCGCCGGACCGCCAGTTCGCGTGTCGCGCCCGGAGCCATGCCAGTGAGGGAGGCTAGCAGACGCGACCCATACCGCCAGTCTGCCCAGATGGCCGCCATGAACGGCCCCCTTCCGCCCCGGAGGAGCTCACGGCGGATACCCATGGATGCCGGAGTAGCCAATCTATCAAGCTCACCATACAGCATTGAAGGCGGCCCGCTATCGAGCAGCGAGGAGTGGAAGGAAAAGGGCGCGGCTGTAAGCACCCGCCAGGATCTGGATCAGAACGGACGGCCCATAACGCGCGTGGTGAAGAAAGGCGTCAAGGACTTCAACTTTGGCAGAACACTGGGCGAGGGCTCCTATAGTACAGTACTGGCCGCTACCGACCGCCAGACACTGCGCGAGTACGCGATCAAGGTGCTCGACAAGCGCCACATCATCAAGGAGAAGAAGGTCAAATACGTCAACATCGAAAAAGACACTCTCAACCGACTGACGGAACATCCCGGCATTGTCCGACTCTACTACACCTTCCAAGACGAGCGCTCGCTATACTTTGTCCTGGATCTGGCGGCGGGCGGAGAACTCCTAGGCTTCCTCAAGAAGATGGGCACCTTCGACGTTGAGTGCACACGCTTCTACGGCGCGCAAATACTCGACGCCATCGACTACATGCACAACAAGGGTGTCATACATCGAGATTTGAAACCAGAGAACGTCCTGCTCGACGATGCCATGCACGTCAAAATTACTGATTTTGGAACAGCAAAGATACTCGAGCAAAAGTCAAATGGCGTTGGATCGACATCGGGCGATCCATTGGAAGGGGCACAGTCGGATCGCGCGCAATCCTTCGTCGGAACAGCCGAGTACGTCTCGCCAGAACTACTCACAGACAAGAACGCCTGCAAAGCCAGCGACCTGTGGGCATTCGGATGCATCATCTACCAGCTGCTCGCAGGACGGCCACCGTTCAAGGCTGCGAACGAGTACATGACATTCCAGAAGATTGTGGGTTTGGAGTACACATTTCCAGATGGCTTCCCTCCACTTGCAAAGGACCTGGTTGAGCGACTCTTGGTCCTAGACCCATTAACACGACTGCCCATGGAGCACATCAAGAACCACCCCTTCTTTGAAGGGATGCAATGGGGCAAGGGCCTGTGGAAACAAAAGGCCCCACGGTTGAAAGCCTACAGCCCGCCCGCGCAGGAGCCCATCAAGCTGAATGGTAGGAATCCTGGCACTGTTATGGAAACTTCAATAACACAGCCAGGTCCCTCGACACCCGCAGCAGCAGCACCCAACCAACCCCAAGCACGACCGAAGCCGCGCCTTATCACCGAACTGCCCCCTCCCTCCCAGCTCGACATTGATTGGTCGCCGGTGCTCACAAAACGCGACGAGCGGATATTGAAGCTTGGAAACATGTTTGTCACACAACACGCCCCTGGACACCCTGTTGGTGGAAAGGAAGAGCCGGTGGAGCAACCTAAGAAGTTCTCGCGCTTCTTCGGTGGCAACACGGTCAAGAAGCGACAACGACTTGTAATGATAACGTCCAATGCACGCGTACTGATGTGCGCAGCAGGCACGAATGACAAGAAGTTGAAGGAAGAGATATCACTGCTCTCAGCGGGTTGCGCGTGGAGGTCATTCCAGGATTCCAAGGGCCTAACGTTCTGGCTCGTTGAGACGGTACGTTGAAATTATCCGTTCTTGAATGAATGATACTAATATCCTCCAGAAAGAGAAGCAGTACGTCTTCGAAGACCCCAAAAGTACTACGAGCGACCCCGATGGCAGCAAGTACTCCAGCCAAGAATGGCTCGACAGCATCGAACAAGCACGAGACTACGCCTTTGCGCAAACCATGACCAACTCGTACTCTGCCGACGTAGGTTTGAACGAGCTCGTTTCAAATCACACTACCCCGACCAGTACGTTGGGAGGAGACTCCGCCCTCGAGGGCGTCAACATCCCCGCCTCGCGGCATGGCCACCTCCGCAAAGATCAAGGCGATACTGACTCGATCAAGGGTAGGAAGCGCTTTAGCAAACGTCATTCGAAGAACGGATTGGCCAACTTTTGAAAATCGTCTTGAAAGGAAGGTCATGATTGGGTACAGATAGCGCGCCTCCGTGTGCTATCTCAATACCAACCGACGATACGTCCATGTACATGCGACTTTATACTCGACCAAGTGCTGCTCATACATCCAGCCTCATCATCCAGCGTACGGCGTTCTGGCGTCTCCTTTCCTTGTGTCACCATCATCCGATCCAGATTCAAATCCAGATTCAAATCACCAGCTCCAAATTTTTCCTTTGTTTTCTCCTCCAAAGTACGGATTTCCTCTACAAGTACGGATTTCACTCTACAAGGTACGGCATTACAAAGATCTATCACAAGCGATATTGTTGGCTCAAACTATTGGCATTTAGCGACTTTGGTAGCAAACTTCTTTCATTTCGATACATTTCGCCGGTATACTCCGGACAAAGGGTGGTTACTGCTTTCACTACTACCCTTCTTCTTTCTGTGTAGGTTTGTGTTTGGAAGGCGCGTTAGATTGGGCATAGTATTGCCGGCGTCGCACGTTCATGTGTGTATTTGTCTATCCATGTTTGTTTTTATTCTTGAGAGGGATTGAAGTATGTGGGTTGGAAGAGTAGGAAGGGAAATTAGGGGAACGTTGGGGGGGCGCTGAGGGGAGAGAAGGGAAAATTAGATTGGCCATGCATTCTGGCGCAGAAGAAAAATATAACTTCTTTAATGTGAGAGTTGCTGGTGATGACCAGTTTTCTTCGCATGCCTGTATTCTCAATGTCGTTTTATGCGTGTCCTATGTGTACGGGCACCGTACGTTAAGTTTATTACTGTCAAGTTCCGATCTCGATGACTGGGTAATAGTATCGACTCTATTTTAGGAGTACTAGGACGCGCGTTCAACGACGTACTCCTGTCTAAACGGAAGTTGGAATGTAATGACGTGTAACTTGTAACGTCTCAGTTGTTCGATTTCTATCCAGATAAAGATACATAACCATAATATAAACGTAGAATGCGAACCACACATGCAACCCCCAATCCTCATAAGCCTAGGGAAAGGTCATCAACCAGCCTACCGGCGGCGTTTAAACAAAGAAAAAAAAAGGTTAAATCGCTAATTCAAATGCAAAATGTAATGCCTATCCCCATCCATTCATCATATACACATCCTCCCAGCATCTTCTAATAAGCATCCCCGAAAATCTCCTTTGGACTCTGCACAAGCACATCTCCCGCCTTCCTCCCTTTCCTCTCCATCTTCTTCTCCATCTTGCGATCCTTCCTCGTCGTCAAATGCGGCGTCACAGGCGTGATAGGCGTAAAAGGCATATACGGACTATACGGCGTGAAGGGCACTCCTGTTTTAGGAGTACCTAGTGCGAGTTTCTCGACACGTCGGTCGAGGACGGTAGTTTGGATACCAGGGGAAGCGAGTGGGGAGGCAAAAGAGCGGAGGGGGAGACTGGCGTTTGCATTTTGGGCGCGAAGTTGCGAGGTGGGGGGTTGGGCGAGAGGTAGGTCTTTGGAACCTAGTCGTTGCGGTGCTGGGCGGGGGAGGGGCTGGACGCGGTCGAGGGATTCGTCGTTGTAGTTCAATGGCGAGCTTGGAGAGTTCGTTTGAGTAGGAGGTGAAGGGGGTGCGCCGGGGTTGGCGTAGAAGCGTGGGGAGAGTGGTGTGCGTGCTTCGTCGTCGGAATCTGCACCGGGGTATTTTGTTATTGGGCCTGAGATGCGTAGGTTCTTTAGGTTGAAACGCGCGTTCTTGCCTCCCGTTGTGCTGTTGGTGGAGTTTTGAGAGCGTTTGGATAAGATGCTGCGTGGGCTTGGGGGTGCGTGGGGTTCTGCGCGGAGGTGCTCCCGGTTGTTCGAACGGGGGCGGTCTGTGTAGGGTGCTGTTGGGGGTCTGTCTGAGTAGCCAGGTGGGTAGATGGCTTTCACAGGTGAGATAGGGGAGTCGGCGGTGTCTTGGGGTCGTCCGATGGAGAGCGCTGATGGTCTTCTTCGCTCCGTGGGTCGGGGAACTGGCTCCTCTTCATCTACACTGATCTTAGAAGCGTGCTTCTGCGCGTCAAAGTCCATGACGGCGGCGTAGAGACGCTCCATATCAGCTTGGGCTTGATCCCTATGGGCATCAAGCACCTTTTGGTCAAAAGAACTCGGCGATTGAACCACAGGACTCTGAACAGCCGAGTCGGTCTTCTTGAACTTCCTCCACAATCGTGCAGATAGTGGCGGCGATGCTAGACCACCGGTGTTGATAGTCGGTCTTGTTGGTTTGTAGCCGTCCTGGAGCTCCAGCTCCAACTGCATAGGCGGATCCAGTGCTTTTCGTCTCATCTTTCTACCAACAGTGAGGAGAAGTACTCCCCAAATAAGTACTGTAAAGACGTAACCGCCAACGACACCACAAATCTCGTAGGGTAAAACGTTCTTGTCTCGGACAGCGTGATATGAGGCAGGAGGCCCCTCGTCAGGCGCTGGTGTGGGGTCGCGATAGTTGTCGAGGAAGTTGTAGGGTGTAGCAGAAACACCAGATGCAACAAGAAGCAGAGATATGAGTGCTGGAGGAAGCGCTCTCTCCAGCATCGTTTCCTGGGCTTGACACTCAAGGAAATATAAGTAAGAAATAGGAAATGGGAGGGGCGGTCTATCTTTCCTCGCACTCGTCCAGGGTACAGCGTCGATCTAGGGCCGCAAATGCATTCGCTTCCCGACTGAGAGGAACCGGGTGAAGTGCAGAGTGTAACAGAGGCGACATGGTGATTTGAAGAGGGATGGGAAGCGGGTAAGTACTTTGATCGGCGGTCTGCAAGTGGTCGGATGCAAGGAAAGGACGACTGGGTGTGATGGCTTGGGATGCTGCATACGCGATCTCATTGGCTGGACTGTTTCTTGAGCTACATTGGGGCGTCCAGTGGGTGAAGTCTCTCAGCCGCTGAGCGGGGTCGCTTTGAGTAGACTAGACCCAGGTGGGACGACGGCAATACCTGGACGTCCAGACATAGTTCGAGGCTATCGCGCTGAACGAATATTCAGGGCTGCCATGTACTGTGTGAAGGCAATTGATGTCGCGATGGGCGTTGCCGCTATGTGGAAACAGTTGGAAACATGTTTGCCGCGCCACTCGACTGCTCCACGACTACCAACTTTCCGGACAGGCACCATCTGCCAACTCGAGGCACAGTCAGCGGGAAGAGACGGTCCGCATGCATAATAGTGCGGCCCCTGCAGCCCAGAAAATGCGCACCCAGTCTCGCATTCCCATTCGTCAGTAAAGTCTATTCTAAGCGCCCGATGATGCGAATCAGCGCACAGTCACCTCATCACACTAGCAATCACGAAGCCACTAAGGGAAGTAGTATATTAGCCACTTCAAGGATTATATGCCGAACAAACTACTTGAAGTAACGAGTCGGATCGCAAATTCTACGCGACAATCGTCGTAATGCAATGGGAATCACAGACTAGGCTTGCAGCAAGGACCGATTATTAGGCCGCATCACCCTCATATCTTGTGACGGCAATTCGCATTGGCCGTTACTTCTCTTACTTCACGATTCATGCATACTTTCGGCATTTTTGGAATGCCTTTCGGTGCGTCAGGAGACGCTGATGGAGAGATAATGTGGCTTCATTATAGCCCTGCGGTCGACATCACTATCACTACCTAAGGATGCATCGTACCGATGCTGGATTAGCGAATGCTAGCAAACATATCTGCTCAAGAGAGGTTGTTGAGCTTACCCTTTCGAAGCGAGACCCGCTTGGTGTGGGATATGCAGACATGCATTCTGGAGTTGATGGCAATCACTTGCCCTCTGCCTTAGCGGTGAGGGCTTCATCCAAACCGGTAGGCTCCCACATGGTCTTATCTTTCTTGTTCTGCACCCACAGAACATCGCCCTTGAGATACGCCACTGCGCCTCCTCGTCCAGTCGCGCTTGCGGTGATGCGGAAAAGGGGCAAACCGGTCTGGTCGTGAGCTTCACGAAGTGGTATCAACAGCAAATTCTCTTCAGCGCAGAATTCCTCTACCATATCCTTGAATGTTGTCTCCTCGACTTGTGGCGCAGGACGAGGTGGTTCCTTATTGACGGACTTGGAGAACTGGGATGGTTCTGGGGAGACTCTCGTACTCTCGACGTGAGGCGCTGGTAGATGTGTCAATCTTGCGTCGCCAAGATCCAGTGCGGTACCGATGAGCGAGTATGCTTCATTCCAGGATGAGGCCACGGAAGGTAAGTTGCTGATTTCGTCCTGCAAGATCTCGTTCCGCCACCACGCAAGCCACGTCTGGACCTCTTCAAAGACAACTTCGGGACTCGTAAGCCATTGGTGGATGATTTCGAGAAACTTGGGGAAGAACTGTGCTTTCAATAGTTCTCCAATGACTTCATTTGATATCAGCCCTTTCCAAGCGAAAACGGCCTCGAGTGGTGCCAGATCTTGTTCAGCGGGGTTGATGTCAAAATTGTCTCGTAGGTAGGTCGCCAAACGCGGTACTAGATGGGAGGTAAGTAGATGGTCAAACTCGCCCTTTCCAAACACTCTCCTCCACTGGTCCATCCCTGGCAACGGGCCTTTGGAGAGGTCGATGGACTGTAGTGCATGTCGGATCTTGCGTTTGATTTCAGCAACTAAACCTGATCCCTTGGGGTCTAGATCAGTCGGCTTGAGGAAAGGCAGCCACTCCACAACCCATGTGTGTGGGCTTCTCTTGAGCTTTCGAGGATTCCACTCCTGGATTGAGGTGGAGAGCTTTTGTGTGATTTGTTCCAGCACCCGCTTAGCAATGAATGGTGGTAAGACTGGCTTCCAGACTTCTACCAAATGCACCATGGGCTGTGGGTTCTTGACATCCCACTGTGTTACAGCGGAGCTCACTGTTGGGAGCCAATATTTGAGCATCATGGACTCATATGACGATGTAGTGCCACGCTTTATCGTGTCCTCTTCGTCGACTGAGTTGCGGCTAACCAGTGCTTCTGAGGGGTGGGTGTAGGCTTGAGAAGCAACTCTCCTACTTCTGGGCTGTATGATATTTGCCATTTCTGAGAAAGCCGCGGCCACGCCCTCCAACGCATCCTCAAGTGGCTCCCAGGACGCGATAGCTTTGGAGAAGTGTGGATGTATAACGGCAATCGATTCGCGGTGTAGCGGCTTCGATGGGTAGGCGGCGCGCAGGCTCTTCAGCCCTTCGCAAACGACGTCAAACGTGCCTGTGCGCAGAGACTCGATGCGTGCTTGTAGATCCTCCAACTCGTCCATCTGCTTTTCGAGCGCTTCCAGCTCCTTCTGAAGCGCATACTCTTGGGGTGGAATGGCCTGCGACTCGACCTGAAGTTGTTCGAATGCTTCGGAAAAACTGTTCAAGTCTCTGCGTACGCGCGCTTGCAGAGAGTTCTCGAATGAGACGATGTCAGGGCCGCGGAGGGACACGCCTGAAGTTGGAGTGGACGTGCCGGTCGTCGCGTCGATAATGGACTGCAGTGCAAGCGGTACATGCATGCCAGCTGCTTCGAGCTCGAAAACAGTCTTCTTCGGTCGAGGAGCTGATGCTCGCGTCTCGCCCCGTGCTTTGGCCTTCTTCTTCTTCCTCTCCTCGCGCTCCTCTTCTGAAGTGTCGACATACTTCTCTCCGTTTGCTTCGGCCTTGCGACGCTCCTCCCGCCGTTGCTGCTCGCTCTTCTCTGCCACTATACCGATACCGCCCTTGGTGCCGCGGTTGACGACCTGGATAGGCTCCGAGATACCGCCTCCCTCTTTTCCTAGACCTCCCTCACCCTTGTAACCCATCTTGGCCAGCATCTTCGCACCAAAGCCTGATTTGAGTGCACTGCCATCCTCGGCCTTGGCCCTTTTGTTCGGCTGCTGCCTGAAGCTGTGTTTTCGCTTGCCTCCTTCGTCCATGACGCCGATAGGGGGGGTTGTGAATACGGGCAAAGATGCGTATACGAGCTATGTGCAGGCAGTAGCTGCAGATTCTGAGTAGCGGTTCGCGGGCGCGCAAGATGTCGCGTCGTAGAATCGGTGTCGCAATCGGTGTCGCAATCAGTGTCGCATGAATTCGAGACAGGAAAGACGTGAATGCGCCTGGTTGTCGTGGAAGGCGGAGTGAATGTCTTGGTGCAGCGGAAACAATGTTCTGGAATTCTGCCTCTGGGCGACTGCGCCAAGAACCGTTAGATCTGGGTCGCTCCTGCCGTACCGTGGTAACGTGCTGCGTGCTATTCTTGGAATGGATCGGGGTCGATCACCCTTCGACCCATGTCCGGTTCGGTGCAACAAACACGCCAAAAGTCTCCTTTACTGTAGTCGTACCGCAGTTGAGTTGACTCTCTCACCTCTGCGGCACACTTCCTGCTGCTTGCTTCGGTAGTAATGACCTCCCCCAAGGCTGACGTCGACCTCCGTCATCCGGTTCCGGATCTCCAGTCGCTACAAGGGGCGTATGTCGGCAACATCAATCGCCTGGAAGAACATGCCGAACGCATGAGCGAGGCCGGCTCAGACCTGCAGGAGGAGATACGAAAGACGTATTCAGAACTAAAGCTGACTGACAGTCGACGCTCGTCATTGCGCGACATACACTCTCCCGACGAGCCCACCCGCCAGGCCAGTACCCGCAGTCGCGGCGTTTCGATCAGCTCGCACGCCAATTCAATTGTAGACCTCAATGGAAATGCACGATGGGGTGGATACTCTCCGGGCGGTTACATAACCTCGCCCGCCGGTTCGCTGCGCTCCGGCACGGGACCCTGGCCGAAACCCTCGAATTCAGTCCAGCGCCAACGCTCGGAATCAAAGGCTTCGCGTCTTGGGCAGATCGTACACCCCGAGGAGGTCGAGGAGGAATCATACCAACACCAAAATGAACAAGGTGACGAAGGCTCCTCTGCTTCTCCCCCACAGCGAAAGGTCTCGTCCTTTACACGCATATTCGATGAGGTTGCGAATGGTTTGCCAGAAGAGCTGCGCAATAGTATCCAGTTGGGGCGACCTGACCCCGACGAGCTCACACACGAGGACACACATTACCAGTATGCAGACCACCGCGATCTCCCAGACCGGCCCCCGACAGCAGCCTCGACCGATACCACACACCAAGCACGTACACTATGGCAGGACTTTGACGGCGTCCACTGTCCAGACACTGTCGAGGAGGAGCCAGAGCCGTCGCATCACAGTCGGCAGAGTAGTTATGCCCACAGCCGGCATTCGTCAAACCCCCAGTCTTTTATGCATAGACAGAACCCGAGCGTTCACTCGATAGGCGCGCCGCCACCAGACGACGGCATGGTTTTCTATCCCGCCCCTGTGCCAAAGATGCTCAACCTGCCAAAGCGTCTATCGCAATTGCCTAACATGAACCAGCAAGCTAAACGCCGGACACAGCTGTTGGAAACAATGCAGACAGAGCATAGAAAGTCAATGCCGCTGCTCGGTGACAATCTCATGGACGCGAAGCCCAACAAGAAGAGTCGACAAAGTCTCATGGCTCTCCCCCCACAATTACGAGCAAGCGCTTACTTTGATAATCGAGCTGCCCCCGCCCAGGAGTTTGCCGTCAAGGGAGAGTCTGCAGAAGACACGCTTGAAAGCATCCTGGATGCTTCTGCTAATGCTCCAGTATCTGCCTTTACCGACCATCCGTTCGCTGGACATGTAGGCAATGAAGTGTACGGGCCAGAGCACAAACGGAAGAGTTCGAAATTACCTGAAGTTCCACCAACACTGCAACAGACGCAAAGACGGAGCTCATTCAATATCCTGGATACTGACCACAATGCAAAAGGCGAACGTCTAAAGAAGCTGAAGAAGCGGAATAGCTCAGCTGATATGAACCTGCTGCTTGTGAAGGCAAGCGAGAGTCGGATGAGCCTCGGCGATCAGTTGGAGGAGCGTGACGAGGATGCACGAGGACCGGCCGGGCATGATCCCGATGCCTCGCGGCCCTCATTCGAGGAAGGACATCCGGAGGACGCCTATGAAGAAGAAGAATCGAGTGAAGAGGAGGGCGAGCCAGAACCGGAGTACGGCGCGCCGACCACGCTCCTCGCTGAGCTCCAGATACGCAAAGCAAAACAACAGACTAGGAAGATGAACTACGTGACATTGATGGAGCAGGGGCTGATTGATGGTCGCCAAACTCTGCTGCAGATGAACGACGTGGCTGAGGCGGAAAAGCAACGGCGAATCCGCAAGAGAGTCAATCTGGCTTGGGAGGCACCCGCGGAGGAGGATTCTGACGATGATGTGCCGCTTGGCGTTCTCTACAAGCAGACTGCGCCTCCACAAATGCGACAAAAGAGCATGGGTCTTATCGAGCAGCGAGAGTTGGAGGATCGCGAGCCCCTTAGCAGTCGCCGTAACAGGTTACTTGGTGCCGACCACAACCAGCGTCGTACTCAATACCTAGGAGCGTCTACCAGCCAGATCAACATCCCCCAAATCACAACCCCCGACCCAGACTCGGATGAGGAGCCGGGCGAGTCCCTGGCTGATCGTATGCGTCGTATCAAGGAAAAGAAAGAACGTGAGACAGCGCTCGGTGACGTGCGTAAGAGCACAGTAAGTGATGACTTTGCCTCTGAGATGATGAGCAAGTTTGGTGCACCAGAGGCCACTGGCCAAGAACAGTCCAAAGATGCACCTGCTGCACCTGTTCCCGCTGAGGAAGAGGAAGAGGAAGAGACACTTGGCCAACGCCGTGCTCGTCTCCAAGCCGAAGCTGCCGCCCGAGGAGAACAGGCCCCGCAACCTGGCGCCCACCGTCCCGGTCTCGCTTCCACCAACAGTCTCGCAGACATCCTCTCCGCCAACCCCATCGACCCTCACAACCAAGCTCGCAAGGTCTCAAATGAGCAGCTCGTCTCTCACCTCCCCCAAGGAAGTCTTTTGCACCAAAATGTCCTCGATCAAGAGCGTAAGAAACAACAACGTCTCACAGCCACCATGCGCGCCAGCAGCTATGGCTCTATGGACCCCCTGCTCAAGGGCGTGGGCAATAACCAAAAGGACGACGATGACATCCCCCTCGGCCAGAAGATTCAAGCCTACAAGAACGCCCAGAACCCCATGATGATGAACGGGCAGCAGAGAATGAGTACCATGCCTCAGCAAGGTATGATGGGTATGCAGATGCCTATGCAGATGAATGGTATGCAACAACCCATGATGGGCCAGATGGGACCGATGGGTATGCAAATGGGCATGCAGCAGCCCGGCATGATGCAACAAAACCCCATGATGGGTATGCCCATGCAAATGAACGGCATGGGCATGCAGATGCCAATGCAGATGAATGGCATGCAAATGGGCGGCATGCAGATGCCCATGGGCATGAATGGCATGAACATGGGTATGATGCAGGGGGGCATGATGGGCCCGCCTATGGATCCCAGACAGCGAGATCAGATTGATCGGTGGATGCAAGGAATTAGACATTAGCGTTGTAGCGTATTCTGTTGGCGTCTGGCATCTCGTTCCGCACGGCATCGTAAAGCGTTCTGTTTCCTTCTTGGAAAGGGGGCATTTTAGCAGTATTTGCGTGGCAAATCAGCGTTTTGGGCATAGAATTAGCATATTTTTAGTAATTTCGAGGGCACATACATATGGGATGATGATGATGATGAATGATACACGACTTTCGTTGCTTTGTCGAAGAATTGAGTAGGACTTTTGACCAGATACTCGTAAGTTGATTACTTTTCTCCTCAACTCCGTTCATCTATCTTGACTCCCAATGAACGCCTAGAGTCTTCCTTTTTCTTCTTCTCTCGGACCCTTTTTTTGATATACAACCCTCTAAACATTCAACTCACTGACCTTGGCACCCTCGATGTAATCCTGGTATTTCTTCAGCTTACCTTCAAGCACACCACCCTTTCCACAGAATTTCTCGACAATCTCCTCACTCCGTCCCGTGTACAACTTGCTGTCAAGCATAGTATCGAGCTCACCCCAGATAGGCTTAAAGAACTCTGTGTTCCTGATGCGATCAACCAAATCGTTTGATTTGCCCTCGTTCTTGACCTGCGCACCAGCCTGGTGGGAGAGAACGCGAATCTGCTCGTGTGCTTCCTGGCGCGATTCGCCCTTGGCAACGAGACGCATGATGATGGACTCTGTGATCATGAAGGGCAATTCCTCTTGCACGCGTGCGTCGACGCGCTTGGGGTAGACGACCAGACCGGATGTTACGTTGTCGAGAGACAGCAAGATGGCGTCGGCAAGGAGGAACATCTCGGGGATGTCCATGCGGCGGATCGCCGAGTCGTCGAGGGAACGCTCCATCCATTGGTCTGAGAGCGTGTTTGCGAACGAGGCTGGCTTGGACATGAGCTCACGGCTGAGCGCGTAAATGCGTTCTGAGCGCATGGGGTTGCGCTTGTACGCCATGGCGGAAGAGCCGATCTGGTCCTTCTCAAACGGCTCTTCGAGTTCCTTCCACGCGGCTAGGTGGCGGATGTCTCCTGTGATCTTTTGTGCCGAGGCACCGAGACCGCAGATGGCGTTTGCGATGATGAGGTCGACCTTGCGGGTGTAGGTCTGTGTGGAAATAGCGTAGCAGGAGGGGAATCCGGCCTTTTTGCAGAGCAGCTCGTTGAGCTGGTCGCACTTCTTGCTGTCGCCGTTGAAAATCTCGAGGAAGGAGGCTTGTGTGCCGGTCGTTCCTTGAGCACCACGGAATTGCAGGGTCTCGCGGACGAGCTCTATGGCCTCAAGATCGAAAAGGAGGTCTTGCGCCCATTGCGCCGCTCGCTTACCTACGGTGATGAGCTGAGCGGGCTGGAGATGGGTGTAAGCAAGAGTAGGCTCGGTTTTCCATTTCAGGGCAAAGGCGGAGAGGTTGGAAATGACTTTGGCGAGCTTGGGGATGAGGAGATCCAGACCATCGCGCATAAGGATGAGTTCGGCATTATCCGTTACATAGCAGCTGGTTGCCTGTGGGAATTAGTACCGTTTCTTGAGTTGAGTTTTTTTACCGCTTCACGTGATGACCTACTCCGTAATGGATGATACCTGCTGCGGCAGGAGCAACTTGTCCAAAGGCGTGTACATGCGCCATAACATCGTGTCTCCTCTTCTTCTCCTCGACCTTGGCAACTCCGAAATCATCATCCGTAACGGTTAGGTGCTCCCTCATCTGGGTGAGCGCCTCATCACTGATGTTTTCGATTCCTAGCTCCTTCTCTGCCTCTGCGAGGAACAGCCACAGCTTGCGCCATATCGAGTGTCGGCTGCGCTGCGAGAACAGTTGCGACATCTCCGCCGAACAGTACCGGCCTGTAAGGGAAGTCTGGTACGCATCGAATATGGTGGCGCCAGATTTGGTCTTCATATCTGATATGCGGGACTGAATGTCCAGGGAGCTATTGTTGGTAGCCATGACTGTGTGGTGTTTTGAGGGGTGATGTGGTGGATGAGTAACCGTCTGGCGGTTCGTTTGTGGGTTAGTCCGATAGTCTTCCGAATCTGGTATCAGAGTAATTTTTCAACTTTGCCGTAACCACAATACGTGTGATATCACGACAAGAACAATTGTATGGAAGGATATTGGGGTATCGTGAAGTCAATTCGTGAGATGATTCACAGCGTTGTGGCGCGCTTTTTCTACCCAAAGACCAATGACGTCCTCACGTGTAGTCAAAAAGTTTTGGAGCTCGCTAAACCCCACATTTAGGTACTATCGCACCTTTGGAAACGCACGTCAATGGTCGATTCCTAGGGTGATGTCGGAGGGGGAGATAGACACCGATCGACGATAAAATAGCGATTTGGGGTAGCAGAAATTTTCCCGCGGCGTTGTTGGGGTTCTGGGCAACCAAATTGTAGGTACTCGTAACGAGGGACTTGCTACGAGGAACCTCCGAATTGCTTCACATTCATACACGCTCCAACGTTCGGTGGGTATTTCTCCGGTCGAAGAGACCGGCGGGATACACTCAGAAGAATGACTACGACCTCCCCCACGTAGGTGGCAGGTTCAACATGAATAGAAGTCTAGACCTTGGTATCTCATGATGCGCTTACTCTGCGCTACTCCACGTAACCATATCCACCAAGAGCCGTAACCCGTTCATGCGGCTCTGCCCAACTGCGACTCCACAATTATTGCCGTCTCCGCGGACTCACAGCGCCGGACCCTTCCACACGTCCCGGTTGATCTTGAACAAGTTACTCTGCTTGTGCGGAAGGCTAATTTCGCGCTCTTTGTAGAACCCAGCTTCTTGAAGGTAGTTTGCAAGTCTGAACTGTTAGCATTATCCGTCAAGTGCTGGTATAAAACCTACTTTTCGTTATCGACCCTCGGCTCCAACATGACCCTCTCTGTCCGGTTATCCGCGAGCCAACAATAGTGCACTAATGCGCTCAGCCAGATCTTAACCCTGTGTGCGCCCCTAAACTCCTGCTCACCCACCAAGCAGTGGAAACCTCGGTCGTAGTCGCTAACAATGGGTAAGTACTTTCCGAGATTGTCTTCCTTGACCCAGTATATCTCAAAGTAGCCAAACGGCTTCCCGTCCCAACATCCCATGACTGGGAACGAGTTCTTTGATCGTAGGCCGTTCTTGAGAAATTCCTCTTGATGGGACTGTGGACCTGCCTCGCCCCAAAAATGCGATACACGGGGATCGTTCATCCATTTGTGTAGATATTCCGAGTCAGACATTCCCGCGTTCATCGAGTTCATGTTGGGAGCGACGGAGTCAGAAGCTGCAATCTGGCTGTTGCGGTTTGGACTGGAGACTGGGCCCTGGTGTCGAAGCGCTTTCGAAGAGATGGAAGCCACCCGGAAAGACAGGTACTGTCCAACGCTGGGTATGTATCTTGTGTACAGTATCTCTCCCTGTCGAGGTGGTTTCGGGCGTATGGGGTGTCGCGTGTTGTTCGTAAAAACATATTGCGCGGGAGGGGGTGGATAGTACGTTGGGAGGTGCGAGCTCGAGTGGAAGGGACCTGGCGCCGTTGGTGACCACAGACCTGGTGATACCTGATCAAGCTGTTGTTCTTTCTTCGCATCAGATCCACCCGCTGGGGACGACGGTCTCGAGGGATACGGTGAGCCTGACGGGAAGGGTGAGTTGGTGTTGGCTAATGGCGATAGAGTGAACAAGTATATTCTCGGGTCAAGCTGCCAGAACGTCCTTCGACTGACGAACATGTATGTCCACCCTTCAGGAGAAGACTCTTCTTGTGCGCATCCGACAGTCGAATCTTCGCTGGCGATGAGACCCATGCGCTCCAGCTTGGGCAGCACGACCTTGCCCTTGAAAACACCCTCCCTGTTGATGTTTATGCGCCATTCGCCCTTGGGCTTGCCAGCATCTGCGGTGTTCTTCGAAAGCGTGTTTGTGACCTGCAATGTCGGTTCGGGCTGGTGAAAGTACCAGTACAGCGTCGCCCACAGCATCATGGCGATCTGGCGTGTTGGCGACGCAGCCGGCTTAAACTCGCTGCTACTGGGATTCGATATGGACGAGATGTAGAGGTGGTCTCCATTCAAGGTGGGTTTCTTGAAGCGATGTATGCGACGTGGTGGGAACAGCTCCTCCTCATCCTGCTGCTGCTGCTCTTGCTCGTCCGTGGCCAATTCATCCTCGGAGTTGAGCACAACTGTCCAGCCAGGCGGAAATGGCGAATGCGTGTGGACATCGCTCGACTTGAAGAAGAGGCCTCCAAAGACAGGCGTGACTGTAAGGTTTTGGCCGTTGGGCAAGTGAACAACATTAACAGGCGCCATGATGACGTTGGCGGGGTAGCTAAAGTAAGTTGTAAGAAGGAAGCCTAGGTGGAGCGCGTTGGTAGAGGCTATGTCCTAAATGCAGGGCAAACCTCAATCACCTCACATGGGGTGAGATGTCTGATACTTGAATCGAGCGCCTCTTTTTTTCGGCACGCGATTATCAAAATTGCACAGCTGCCACCCACGTCTTGAGTAACTAGTTCTTCCTGAAAACGCCGCGCGGGGCTATCGCGGGGAGTTAACATGTCGCGAAAGCCATCTCTTCTCTCTGGACATTCTCACACGAAGATGCGCGTTTGTTCGCGAGACTCCAGCATACATCATGCGAGCGTAACGCGGCATCAGGGCGTTTTCATTGGCCGAGGGGCGCCTTTCCGTGAGGAGTGGAGGTTGTGCTATGTAGAAGCTCTAAGCTCGGCGGTCGGCATGTTGGTATGACGAAATGCGAGACCATAATAAATCCCGAGCTTCCCCAGCCAGAGTTCCACCAGCTTCTAACCACCATAACACACCCAACACTCAATTGAATCCAAAACATCAATTGAAGCCATCATGAACACCACTCTCCTCCGCACATCTGCCCTGCGCTCGGCTGCGAGGGCCGCCGCTCCCGTCACCTCCCGTGCTGGTCTCGCTGGCACCACATTCGTTCGTGGCAAGGCCACCCTGCCCGATCTCCCATGTGCGTCCTATCATCTGAAAAACACGCATCGCATACTAATACAAGACAGACGACTATGGCGCGCTCGAGCCCTCCATCTCCGGCAAGATCATGGAACTGCACCACAAGAACCACCACAACACCTACGTAACCTCGTTCAACAACTTCAGCGAGCAAATCGCCGAGGCCAAGCAAAAGGAAGACATCAAGGCACAGATTGCGCTGCAGCCGTTGATCAACTTCCACGGCGGCGGTCACATCAACCACAGCCTCTTCTGGGAGAACCTCGCGCCTACCAACCAGGGTGGTGGTGAGCCTCCTTCTGGCGCGCTATCTGCTGCCATCAACAACAGCTACGGCAGCCTTGATGCCTTCAAGGAGAAGTTCAACACTGCGCTTGCGGGTATCCAGGGCAGCGGCTGGGCGTGGTTGGTCCAGGACACGCAGACTGGAGCTATCCAGATCAGGACGTATGCCAACCAGGACCCCGTCGTCGGTCAATTCCGTCCTATTCTGGGTGTTGACGCCTGGGAGCACGCCTACTAGTAAGTCAGACGATGTGATTCTGATAAGAGCATGTTTAACTAACTATTTCTAGCCTCGACTACCAGAACCGCAAGGCCGAGTACTTCAAGGCCATCTGGAACGTCATCAACTGGAAGGCCGCTGAGAAGCGCTTCCAGTAGACATGACGTCTCACGGCAGGGCAACGTTCCTAACTCGCCGTTTAGTTGAAGATAGTCTTGATAGTGTGTATAGTGTAGTAATGCAAGCGAATGAACTTATTCAGACCAAATGTCATCTTCATACAGAAGTTTAAGTGCACTCGCATCAATGTCGATTTTGGGGTAGCGTCTTCAAATATATGTGATCCATATCTGCTAAAATAGGATTCGCAAAGGACATGGTGTCCTGCCGCGTATGTGCTAGTCTAAGAATATACCAATAGTGTAATGGGCCTATGCCCTGTACTGTCTCATCGTGTCTGCATATCCCAAGAATCTGGTATCAATCCTATCAACACCGTGCTGTAATACAAACAAGAACAAGTAAAACATCTTCCAAGACCGAGGTCCGGAATGCAAAACAATGATATACCGCCATCAAGTCGATGAACAAAGCAAACGAGAATAAAACAGTAAATGGACGCTCACTTTTCAGCCGTAGGCGCCTCCACCGCCCTAGATGTCCCGTCGACTTCCACGATATCCACTTGATCCCTGCCCCTGCCCATTCTCGATAGATGTTGTTGCCAGGTCTTGCTATCATCGCCATACGGAGTACCCGGTGAAGGCAACCCTGACGACGAAAAGCCTGGAGAGGGGAAACCCATGGGATTATACTCCACCATGGTTTGTTGGCTAGTCCGATGAAAAGCACCAGCAGAGCGCGGATTATTCTTTGCTGCTTCTTTCCTACGGCGCCATGCAAGGAAGACGACGAAAAGGATAAAGGAGACAAAGAGACATGCGCCGATTGTGCCGCCGACGATGGCGCCTAAGCTGGGTTTTGACGAGCTGGACGAGGAAGACGAGGATGAACTGGAGGAAGTCGGCGTGCTGATGGATTCCTTGGTGACGGTCGCGGTAACGGTTTCCCTCGCTGCGGAACTGCTCGGTATGCTCATGCCCAGGCTATGGTACGCGGTACTCGTAAAGGCGCTGGCCGCACAGCCATACTGTGTGAGGACTATCCTATCATAGATGAATTGCCACTGGTAGCAAGCTGGTGCTGAGCTCGCAGTGCACTTTGCTATCGCAGCGTCGGAGGAGCAGGCGTCGTTTGTGCAGGATGCTGACATAGCTGTCGAGGCAATACATGCTGTGGCTATTGTACAGGAAGTACCCAGACTAGACTGACAGCAGCCGTGGATGCCGAAATAGTCGTTTGTTGCGCATACATCTGTGGGATTTGAACATGTTACTGCGCTCACTATTGGACGGTCAGTACAAGTCGAAGACTAGAGTCAAGATAAACCTACCTGAGATGCCAGAAGCAGAGACATATCCACAAGTATTACTCCCTTGTTGACGCCTGGAAAGATCAAGAGGAAGCTGTGGTGCTGCCGTAGGAGCTGGACTCCATCCATCCATGGTAGGTGTATATTGTGTAGGTTCCGGTATCGAGAAAGCAGCCGCGTATGCCATGGCCGGTCCTAACAATGCGAAGGTAAGAAGTGTAAACGCCATCGTCTTTCCATGAGTGCAGCTCCTAATTATGTAAACACACCGTCCTCAACCCAAGTTTTTCGAATACACAAAGATGACGACCGACAGAGTCGTACGCTGGCGTTGTATGAGGTGCAAAAAACGAAGATCGCTACGCAATACAGCAGACTATAAGAAGCTCACAACACCTCTACGCGGCTGAGTGCATGTGGGAGGGGAACCAGCACCCTGGCAACACATGTTGCGGCAGGGTAAGCTCCCATCGCTTCCCTGGCTATGCGATCGGGCCATGTCCCTGGCGATCCAATCGAAAGCGGTCTTTAGCGATGACGATGAGGGAAGGCAGGGTAGCTTCAGGAAAGGCCTCGCATAACATCCTTCATCTTTCTTCCCGCATCAGCCCAATCACACCTAAGATTTTCCGCCCTGGACAAGACGTGTGCGTGACGAGCCACTGGGAGGTTGGGAAAGGTCTAGTATGCGGCCGGAACGAGGTTGGCGTAGGATCTGGTCGGCTGGGGGGCTGAGCGACGCATTGGTAGATGTGCTGGTGGGGTGTAGAGTGAGTGGGTCTAAGCCTGCATGTGGCGTTGGCCAAAGATGGTAAATATAGCCCAAGTGAGCGTGTTTCGGTCAACGATGCACAGCATAATTATGCGCAATGACGAGCGGGGTATAACACTGCGGTAATCCCTTGGCAGCTGCGTCTGATTTTGTGGGTTGCTATTGGTGAAGGAGCGAAGACTTAGCATCAGGCCTATCAGGCGGCCTGCGAGAGCGATGAAACATACAAAGGCAGTCTCACACGTGGGTGAACGTGGGGAGTAGTATGCACTGCCTGCTTCGGCAGATGTGGTTTGCAAGACTGGTAGTTGCTATGGCCTTGAGTGGGAGTTGGTCTAGAATGATGGACCGTACTGAAACATGAAGCCAGCAGACAAAGCATGCGTGGTCGTGCGTGAAGGGCTGTCCTGCAGTCTTCGCTCGGACAGCTACTGGCCCGCTCATGGCCTGATTCCTCCCTTACATCTGACATGTCTGTACGTAACAGAGCTGGTCGAGACTTGTTGCACTTTGATATCGTCGGCCCATATGCAAATGCCCACTCTTACTAGATTCGTTTGTATACAACGATCGTAACCATAACGCCTGTCGATGATGCCAACGACTTAACTCCCCCATGATGCTGTTTCGTGGGTATACATAATATACAAAGACAAGGGCGCATGATCTAGTCCCGCTTGTGGGGGCCGACGATCTTAGGGTACATTCTCGAGAGGTGGTAGTTGATGTTGTTCTTCTTCTGGTTGTGGTCTCGCTGGATGAAAAGTTAGAGAAGTCCAAAGGTCGCTGAGGCGGTGAACATACTGGCGCATCCATACACTGCCGTAATTTCTGCTCAAGCTGCGCACAGCCCTGTACACTGTAGCCGGAAGACGCCCAGCATCCTGTAGCCATATGTCAGCCTATGTTCGTGGTTGTTTTCCCAAACACTCTTGGCCCCGCATCACACCCTACGGCACAGCCCAATATCACACCCCAACCTCCTCATTCCACAATTCTATCCTGACATACCCAAAACTGATGACATTGCTCCCAGACATGGGTTTGCCTCTGGCTTGTTCGGTCGTCGGACGCGGAGTTTTGGTAGCGGCGGGAGGGGTCGGTGCGTGGCCGACTGAACGGCGGTTCCCTGAGGCTTCGGTACCATCTTGTAGATGCTTTTCGGCAGATTAATGCGATCCGGATGCGACGTGAGTGCTGGCCTTGTGCGGGCTCGTGGGTGTTTTGGCGTCGTCGTCGACGAGTCGGTGGATTCAAAAGTTTCCGCCGCGGCAATCTCCTTAGCGTGCCTGCCCCATCGTGATCCCTGTCCGGCTTTGTTTATGATGGTACCTTCCTAGCGACCGACGGCCAACACAGACGACACACCCTCACGACGATACTAACGAGCCTCACGACACAGGACCCATGGTTGCGCGCCATTGATATATCTATACTAGTACTATTTGACCGCCGACGTCATGGTTTTCACTCCGCGCAAACGCGCTACGCCCACCAAAACATTCGACAACACATGGAACGAGACCGACGCTGCATTCCTCACTCCGAGTGCTCTCCCGGTTTCCAAAGTGCCGCGCGCATGGGAGCGAAGACAGGAAGTAAAGAGAGTGGGTGGAGGAAAGGAGAAGAAGATCTGGCGGAGATTTGATCCCAGGGCGCGTGCCGACGACACACCACAGGAGTCAGAAGATGAGGAGGAACAAGATGCGCGTTCAAGGCCTGTGAAGAGGCGGCAACACATGAGTCCCAAAGCTATGGAGAAGTCCACAAGTAGACTTGGCAAGAAGCGCGCGTTCAAGGCGACGCGCTGGGACCGGAGGAAGAGCGTTTTGCCAAGTACGGCCACAAAGGGTACTACGGTAGCATTCACTGACTGATCGCAGGGAAAAGAGCGACCCAGATTGGAGACTCCGTAATCAGCGCAAACGACGAAGCACACAGCGAAGAGGAAGAAGATGATACTCACAACATGGAAGGCGAGGACAGCTTTGAGACAATCGCAGATGGAGATGAACACATGGAGCCTGTAGAAGACGACGGATCGACTTTCACGTTTGCAGCGGATGCGTCGACGGCCGGAGCCCCTGATCATGAGAGTGTAGGAGACGAACAAGACCCTGAATTTGCCGAAGACGCGACGATCGCGAAGCTGTTCCGTTCGCCACTCAAGCAGACGTCGACTACCTCAAACGCATCGCCGGAGAAGGTCGAATACCCAGAGCTACCCCTGAGCGACAGCCCAGAAGTGGAAACGGAAACTGTACTCACTGAAGAAACGAGTAAGGTCGTAGAGGAGACCAATGCCGAGGAGATTTCCACGAGGGGAATCGAAGAGGAAGTTGTAACCCCGACTCAAGAGGTGGTCAGCGGCAAAAGCAACGAGACAGCGCCTGAAGAGGTGGAGCTAACGTCAGGGGTACCAGATGCTGCGACAGAGCTTCAATATCCAGCTTTACCATTAGATGATGCTGCCACTTCACCAACACCAGTGCTTGACGAAGAACTGAATGAGGACGAGGATGCTGAGTTATCTGAAGTGGTCTTAGGCACATTGGCAGGTGGAATTCAGGACGACGGCAACACAATGGAAGACGTGTCTAGCTCTCCTGAAGCAAGCGCCCATGAAGACGATTTTACGGAAGCCTCTCTACAGCTGAACATACAACGAGAGTACCAAGCAGCCGTTGAAGAGCATGCCCCCAGCCCCAAGAAAGATGCGGCTCCTTCCGAGGTTGACATGGCCGACGCACCTGTCGCATCTACAGACATTGCTGATGGATTGACGTTTTCATTCACACCAACCAAACCGCAATCGCCTGCTCCGCGTCGACTGCACTCCCCTCCGCCGCCGCCCCGCCCTGAGTCTGGACCCGACGATGTTACCATGACGGTTGCTATCGACGATGATACGGCCATCCTCAAGGACTTCCTCAACCGTGCTGCCGCAAGCAAAGCTGAGAAGGCTGCCGTTATCACACACAAGAGAGAGTCGTTACAGAATCGGAGAGACTCAGATGTGGTCCGCCACGCCTTGGCCTCGCCCCGCAAGGTGCTCGAAGAAAAGGACCCGAACTCGCCTTCTAAGCAGCACACTGAATTGACGCTGGATCTATCGCAGATTCCAACACTAAACAAACCCGCTGAGACTCTTCAATCGCCTATTCCAGATGCAGAGGAGACAGAAACTGCAGAGGAGAAGAGTGCACAAGCGGCTAGACGCTCTTCACGGAAGAAGATCTCACGACTACCCGCCCCAGGACCGCCCAAGATCAACATCCGCCGTGCCGACGGTAACGAAGTAGTCGTACTCAAGAAGGACGACGCGAAAGTACTGGCTGACATGACACGAAACAACACACGCAAGAACAAGCAAGGCGCTTTCTGCGTCACCGTCCGGTTGATGAAGCTTGCAATGGATTCGTATAATCTGCCCCCTATTGACGATGCGGAGAAGGAGCCCATCATCGGCAAGAATGTACGCTGGGACGAGACGTTGGCGTACTACCAGGAGAACCCAGACACTGTCGCAAATGCCCTAGCTGAAGCAGAGTCATTATCCACTCCAGACGAACTGGGAATGTCAGATGCTCCTGAGCCAAAGAAGAAGAAGGAGAAGATCAGCAAGGCGTCCACACCCAAGGTACGAAGAGTACGCGGTCTAGGAACAACAAATGGTACGCCTGGCAAGGGTCTGCTCGCGCCTTCAGATCTCCTCCCGGAGGCTGTACAAGAAGAAAAAGAAGCATCGGACAAGCAAGCACCTAAAGCTAAGTCGACTAAAGTCAAGAAGATGCCCGTTGCGTCTTCAACCTCTACGGGCATCGACAGCAGTCTGTCTTCCAGCACATCCGATACCAAACTCCCCTCTCTCGACGTGACACCTGTGGGTATACAGCCAGGAGCTCAACGGAAAAGTCGTCTCGCCGCACCAAAGAAAGTCGTACTACCGCAAACGCCATCTTCCGCGAAAGCTGGAGACAAGGAGAATGTAAATCGTTCCGGTATCAGCATTCCTACGCCCAAGAAGGGACTTCCTGCTCCCAAGGTCGTTATACCCGCTACCGCGAGCGTACCGGCAACTGTGGGCATGGAGTCTGGGCTGCCGAGGCGGAGAGGAAGAAAGTATTAGCTGGGTATGCGGATTGTTGTAGTTATGTTGTCGTATTTGGGGCATCTCTTCAGGTTGTTTTATACCCCTTCTGTCTTTGTTATTTATGCATGTATGGCGCTTTAGCGGTGGCGTTCAATTAGGAAGGGCATTTACATGAGGTCATTATCGACATAATTCATATGCATATTCGATCATTCTAGAACGACTTTGTGAGCTACTCAGCGAGTCCAGTGGTGGTCTTGGATCATATAGATAACATCTCTACAGGATCTACGTTGTTTTAGCAGAAACCTTGTTTCATGGCCAGTGACCGTGGACATTCCTAGCTAAGATGGATTGACAGGGTTGATAGCAATGCGTCGAGGTTGCTGAACGACAAAGTTATTATGGACGCATCCGTTCACGCAACTTCCGGTAATATTACCACATAAAATCTTCCCCATCAATCAACTGCATCCCACCAATCTCCACTTCTTTCACAGCCACTTCATCCTCCATCGCCGGCACCAAACTCTCTAGCTTACACTCCTCCGCCTTATAATGCAAATCAGCCTTAAACCGACACGCCTTCGGTCCCCCACCGCCACCACCACCACTCTGCCCCATACACCCATCCTTCTGACAAAGATGGCCATAAAAGCAATCCTTCTTCCTACACGCCCCCTTCCTTGGACAAGGATTACAACTCAAGACATACTCCAGCACCTGCTTAGCTTCAGGCTCCAGTGGGTTGTGGTCAAAAAGACAGGGACGATTAGTGCATTTTCCCTGCAGGTGAAAGGTGTTGCATGGTTTGGCTTTTGCGAAACGTGCGTTGTAGATCTTCCAGGCTGATGCGGAGGGTGAGGGACGGTATGCGTCTATGCGTTGGTGGGATATATTCAGGGGGATGAAGCCGTGTGGTCTTAGCGCTCGTGGCAGGATGGCGGAGATGTTGCCACGGTCTGTGAGTTGTGGGGATGCCTGTGATGTGGCAGCCGGAGCCTTACATGGGGATGAGGTAGAGCCGTTTACGCCGTCGAGACCTTTTGGGACATGCTGGTTGCGGCATTTTTCGCCAAAGCTACAAAAGCCTTTTCGGAAGTACTTGCAGAGCTGAGAGTCCTTTTGTGGGTTTGAGGTGGAGCCGTTCTTGACGTTTTGAGTGTTTGCGGATCGTCCTTCCCACCCAACGCTGTCTTGTTCATCGAATCCATTGGTTTCTGTAGGCGATAGATCGCCGAATGCGGAGTCTGAGACACTAAAAGAGCCATCTCGCCTCCATGATTCTTTGCGAGGAGTTGGAGACACAGGCTTAAGTATTGGTCTTACTACTGCCTTTTGCTTAGGTACTGTAGCTGACGCGCCTTTGCTGGCTGGTGTAGCAGCGGAAGGTTCGGACCATCTGAAGATGGTTGGAAACTGGGTGACATCCAGGCCAAACTCGTGGAATTTTGAGTTCCATCCAGCGCCTTGGACAAGGGTAATCTTGTCGCGTATGCCGCTGAAGGGCGACAATTGAGCTAGATACGCCGGATCATGACAAGCAGCGTACAAGATGTGTCTGCAAGCTGTATCCTCGATAGCAATTTTAAACTGTTCTCTAATCTTGAATTTAGTGCCTTCTTCGTCTAGAGCGTCAATGAAGTCGAAGAGGCTTATGGCCCGAGTGAACGCGGCAGAGAATGGAGATAGCGATCGCTTTTCCAAACCGATAACTTTAGATCTTGCAAGCTGCTTAGATAGATTTGTCAAGTCCGCGTAGATCTTGACATGAATGCGGGCGGAACGGGCTTGTGGAACGCTTTGCTGTAGGTACTTCTCTATAGCTTCGTTGAGCATACGAGCGGCGCGCATTCCGCCTTCTTCCTTTTCGCGAACGAATTCATCGTTGAACTAGAGTCGGTCAGTGTGAATATTACGAAGCTCTGCTAGCACTTACGATGTAGTTGTTACCGTCTATCAACACCAAGACATAAGGATTTTGAGGCTTTATTGCTGCAGTCACGGTAGAGGCGCCTGCAGCTGCTGGCTTTACGACATTACTTCTGCCTTTCTCTTCATATGCCTTCTTTAAGTCTTTGTACTCGTCAAGCAGCTGACCGTATTCTCTTAAGAGATTCTAGGTAGGTCAGCGGACGTGAGTTGGTAACATGTCGGTATCGACTTACTGTTAGATCGATTTGTCTGTTCTGATCATTGAGCTTGAACTGCTCCAGATGCGTATCTAGCGAGTCGATCTTACCGTCTGCTAGCATCTTGATGGTGGCGCGCCGTCGGTATTGACGCGTTGGGCTATTGACACAAACAAGTCAGCAGATTGAGTCTGCGAAATGGTTGCGCGATGAACTCACAGCGAGTGCGGATCAGACTTTGGCAATGTTTATACACTCATATTTGACTAAACGATTGATGAATTGCCGCTGAGGGAAACGCTTGGTTGGCCAGCCATCTCACGATATGGGCGGGGGTCTCAAGCGCTTGCTCCACCTGGCTAGTGCGAGGCTTTAGCGCCAGGAGTCGGCTCCGCCTCTTTCACTCTTACACATCCTCCACTGCGGCACTGCATTCTAATACTTTCGAAACGTACGCAATAAATAGTGATTTCATGCTACACCCGATCGAACCAGATGAGGCCGCCTTTGACGTCCGGTTCTAGCTCGACACCCACTGCTGTTACCTGCCCGTTCTCTGTTCTGATCTCGCCTCGGATTGTACTGTACAGTTTGCCTTCCCAGATACCATGCATCTCTACAGCAAACATGTTACCCGTTAAATGCTCAAATTCCAGCATGTAAGGAAAGCATCGATCGCTGCAATCCGCAACTAGCTTCCCATCCTTCACCTCAAGCGCCAACCCTTTGTACCCAACGTTGTGATAGCTACCAGCTATGTTCTCCACAACAATACCGAGCGGCTCTACACTATCGACCTTCGTCCACTCAGGTTTCTCCGCCTCTTCCGCATCATCCATAGATTGGAAGTTCTTGAAGAATGTACCCCAGTCGATGCGATCCTCCTTCTGTACGCCGATAACCTCGTCTAGTAGCGTAAATTTCAGAATGTCATTGACATAGGCTGCGCTATCCGAGTTTCCGAAGATTACAAGTCCCCAGTCGAACTTGGGCATGAAGCAAACCATGGCCTTGAATCCAGGTACTGAGCCGTAATGTCCGATCAATTTGTGTCCACGGTAGCTGGTAAGGCTTAGGCCAAGGGTGTAAAGCTCTTCACTTTTGAAGGGTATGGACCACTTCTCGTCACCTAGGAGGTCAAAACTGCGAGGGGTGGCGAGTGCCTTGTGGCTCGCTTCGGAAAGAATTGGATCGCGTTTGATGAGAGCGCGGATCCATTTCGCGTAGTCGCCTGCACTGCTGAAGATGCAGCCTGCGCCATGCCCTTCTGGAGCTGGAGGATAGTGAGGTATTGTAGCGTAGGATTGAGATCCGCTGTGCCAGTGGTATGACGTTGTTCTGCGATCCTTATCGCTGTTGGCTTCGATGTCGGGGACATCATGAAATGTGTTGGTCATGCCTAGAGGTTTCCAGAGCTTTGTCCTTATAAAGTCGGTATAGCACATGCCACTGACAGTCTCGACAAGATGCACCGCGACGCTGAACATGATATTACAGTATACATGCTCGGTGCGAAGGGGTTTGACGAATTCAAGATTGCGCAGGTTGCGGGTCAAAGATTTTGGATTGTCTGGGTTTTTCGAGCGGGCACTCAAGTACGATTCGTCATGGGTAGCAATGCCACTACGATGACTTAGTATGTCTTCGATAGTAACCTGCTCTGTAAGATATGGGTCAGGAAGGACGAAGTCATCTAGAAGGATCTTCGAAACAGGTGTTGTCCATTGTACGTCTGGGTACTTCTCATCGTCTACGAGATGGGCGACGGCTCCTGCAGTGGTACTCTTGGACGTGCTTGCGAGGTCGAAGAGGGTATCTGTATTTGTCTCGACGTCGGGTAGTTTCGAATAACCATACGCCTAGAAAGGATGAGTACTCAAGGTTCGCTAGTTCTGACCTAACTTGCTTACTTTCGAGTAGATATCATCACCCTGCACAACGGCAAGCGAAAGGCCTGGCACGTTGAATTCTTTAATCTTCTCCAGCACAAGCTGATCGAATTCAGCGGTGTTGTGAGCCATGATGCGGGGATGTTCTTGAATTTTGACCCATCCAGATTTTGAAGATCATTACTTTCGATATATATGTGATCGTACTTCCTAGGTGTGGATGCCTAGTCAGTCTGGGCTTCTCCAACCGGCTCCACCATACGTACGTTCATCATAGTGACTCATTTACAACCGTTGGGAGCGATTCTGAATATAGCCTAAGCCATTTGCTTATAACTTCTCCGTTAGGACGGAAGACGTGTTCGTGCATCTGAACACGGTGCGGCTGAGTCAGACCCGCCAGGCCGAAACGGATCCAATCGCAAGTAGAGGTGCTTCGAGCCAATCGGAGCTATTACTCAGGCGATCTCATAGCGCTGACCAAAGATCTTCGTACAGCCGGTGGTAGATCCCGCACATGAAGGATCCCGACCACGCTACCTAGGTATCGTAGTGGACGACGTTAGTTAGTGCACGCACATCACCAAAACAGAATATACAGAACAGAGGCTCAACAATCAAATAAGAAAGCTCGTGCTATCAATGCCAATTAGCGATTGGCAGTAATGAGTCGCTTGAGACCGTGGTAAGAGGATCCAGAGAGCGCGTCACTCACATCTTGTTCAGCGCTTTCCAAAAGTTGAACTTCAGTAGCGTTGATATTCTGTGATCTAGATGCATGGTGAGATGAGGTTATGTCGTGTCTTGGGAACAGAGAAAGAGCAAAAGCTCGAAAGCTAGCTAACTTCAAGCTCTACGTTGACTTTTTGATAGCGTGTGGCCCAGAGAAGAGTTAGGAGACAATGCAGACACGACATTATAGATGCCAATTGATCTTTGTATTTCGAGAAACACTTTCAAAGGAGACAGTACCTGCTCGATATTTCTTTACGATCCACTGACCGAGCCACGAAAAGGATTCACTTCCAGGAGATTCGTGTCTATGCGCTGTCTTTCCCTTTCCCCCTAAACATGACCCCGTTTGCTAGGTTGCAAGTCATAACAGCTATCCAGGAGTCTGTGAGCCGACTCAACCCGAACTTGGACTCCTTCCACTGCTCATCTACCATTTCCTGTACACCGCTTAAACAACTCCTACGAGTACTCATAATGCGCAGTACCTCCCCATATCAGGAAACTAAGGCAGTCGTTGTCGAGCTCTATTGCCCGACCAAAGACCTTACAATCTCTGACTGTTAGTACTAAGCGAGCGGACTAGAAGGAAAACGACACTGACTGGTGATGTAGTTCTCATTACTCTCTCAGCCGCACACAAGGACATTATTGAGGCCATTAAAGCCCGTTTCAGATTCAGGTATAAGATCGAACTGCAAGAGGTCTGGCCCTGCGATATCAATGGTGAGCCGATTCGTACAAGCGAATCTGGCGAGCTGATCGACGGTGTCGCGATCGAAGGCGACCCGGTTTGCAACTTCAGTAACATCCATAATGGTGAGATTATCATGATACGCCTCAGTAGGGATGAGCTCCTCGCTACTGATAGCAATCACGAGACAGTGCTCTATCTGGGAGGCAGCATGGGTCAAGAAGCCTTCAAGGTGCGTGGACCAGTAGAGACAGTTACTGACAGGTTCGCCTTTCGGTGTCCTCCAGTGTTGTACTGACTTCACAGATGATGGGCCGAGAAGACCGTCGTGATCTCATCCGGAAGTTCCGCCGTGAAGAAGCTGTCGAGCGCAGAAACGTCATCCGTCTTACCTTGCCTTACGCGGACGTCGTTTCGGGGCTGGCCGAAGCTCGCTACTCCGCCTCGCTATCGTCTCGGATCATCGATGAGAATTGGAAGATTGCGCAGGTAAATGCTCTAGATCGAGACTGCCTAGGTGCATTGGCGATCCTTAGTCAAGCAACTTGCGGTCAAGGGTGGGTAATTGAACAGCTTCTGATGGAGACGATCATGAATAGACCGGTGGGTGAGAGGACCCTGCTAGAGATCGACATCTTCGGGGTCATCGAAAGGCTGTACAGAGAAGCGGATGCGGTTGGGTCGACATGGGAGGAAGTCGGCATGTCTTCTGCTCACGACACCATCATGAGCTACGTCACTGGCCCTAGTCATAGCTTTATGTAAGGATAACGAGTGAAGCTACGAGTAGTACAGATGACACTGTCATCACTACGCTATTATCCGAGAGAATGATTATGAGCGTTCGCGATGGGAAAACAAGGAAAACAGAAACAGCTCAAAGCGATGAAGTAGGCGCAGATTGGTAGATTCTATAGCCAGGCTGTATTTTGCAGACTACTTACCCACAGGAGGAATCATCTTGAGATCTGCAAACTCTCCAAGTACCTCCTTGATGGCATCGTTTGAGTCGACAAATCCATGCCACCCCATTTTGCGCGCCTTGTTCATGGTGAGATCCAAGGAAAAGCTCATCATTCCGTCGGTAAAGCCGAAAATACGATCAATGTCCATGTCTTGCAGCTTATCCACCTTGAGACCATGCTTAGAGATTATCTCCTCCCATGCCTTCTGCACTTTCTCTTGTTTTGCCCAATCAGTCAGCGTAAAGCGAATCCGGAATGTTGCTGGTGGCCCAAAACCTCGTGGAGGCGGGTCGTATGGTGAAGTGATGACGGTATACGCGCTGTCGTCTAGGCTGGGATACTCATATTCGATACCATACCACCCTGCGTACTTTGGCCAGAAATTGCCCCATGTAAAGGTTGTGCCATCCATTGTGTTGAACTTTTCGTTCTTTGCCCCATCGTTCAGCACGGCCCATTGCTCCATGTAAGCATTCATCTTGCTACTGGACATGCATGCTGTTGCTTCCCATGCATGCAGATCAGTCGGAAACTCGAGTTTCTCGCCTAGGTGTTTCTTCACACTTGCGTATATTCCTAGTGGAAACACAATGTTCATGGCTGCATCCGGGACAGCGCCCAGAATCCCTGATGGCATGCATATGTTCCAGTCAATGCCCTGATTCTTGCAGAAATCCCAGAGAAAGTCTTCCTGTGGGTAGTAGAAGTTGGGTTCTAAAGTGACACGTGGTGCCGTTTCTTCTTGAGGGGTCGCTGCGGGGCCAAGATGTACACCATAGTTCTTCGCGCCGGTCTGGAGCATGATGCGCTTCGGCTTGATATTGGCAATCGGAAGAGCTTCGCAGAAGTTCTTGAGTAGAGCAGCTGCAGTACGTTATTCCTGTATCTTTATGCCTTTTTATCGATTGGCACTTACTGTTCACCTTACACATCTCCTCTGCGTCGCTCCACAAGCCGCCGCCCTCTTTCGGCTTGACTTGCACATACGAGTAGAAAAAGACGTAGTCAGCCTTAACGCCCTTGTCCTTCAATACCTTTGCGATCTCTTCAGGCTCTTGTAGAAAGTCTAGTGGGATATGCTCGGCATTCTTCGGCAGCCCATCCGCGATCGTAGGTGGCCGCCGTGACAAGCAGTAGATCTTACTCCATCTCTCTGGGTCCTGCGCCAATACACGCAGCATATAGTTTCCAGAAATACCATTTGCTCCAGTTATGATGGCTGTGAGCCCCTTCAGCGAGGATGGATACACGGGTAGGCCATGGAAGATGCCTTTGCTCTCGACCAGCTGTTGGTTGGACATAATTGACGACGTGTATGCGAAAAGGTGTGAAAGATTGAGGAAAGATGCTGGTATCACTCTGTATCCATGTTAAAGTTCTACAGACACTACATACCTGACAAATTGAGGTCCAGCTGTACAACCTCGGATCATGACGTATTGCGGGGAAGTGCGAATGGGGCGATCTCGACATCGAACAGCGTACGGGTCAAAGAGTCCACTAACCCGCAGTTGCTAGCGAAGAGTCAACATCAGCCCCCTCGAGCGCCGTACTGTTCGCGGATCGTACATTGGGGTTCCCGGCTGGATGGAAGGAGCATGTCAGGATTGGAACAGCGCGTCAAGTCACACCACCACAATACTCTACATCTCGTCGAGGACCTGAAACAGAGCAGGCGCTTGCTGAGCTGCCGACACGATGACAGTGTGTAGACCTGCAGAGATATCGGATGACTTCATGATCAGGGGGTGGTTGGGAAGAACGCGGACGCGTTTGGGAGCGAGCCCGCCCTTGGCGTGGCGCTAAGCAGGCGCCCATCGCTACGAATGTTACACGACTTTACAACATTTGACATTCTCCACAACAACGCCCAATATTAAAAGCTATTGGATCCATCCTTTGGACACAAATACTGATACATTTCTTACGGTTTTCCCTGAGGAGGCCAGAATTCTCACCACGCTGCACCCAAGTCATTCACTGCGATAGCAAGTGTTAACGCATCATCACTTATCTGAGCCTTCCGCTTGAGGGCACTTGTATGCACCTCTCAGCGACTCCATCCCATAAAAATCTCTCAAACGCGACTCCGGCTGCACATGGCTCCAAGTTTCAACATGCCTCAATCTCATCATGGTAATACGGTGAAGGATAACCTCTCAAGACTTGTAGCTGTACCTAACATTGTCCCAAGGACGAAGAGTTCAGTCAGCCCGGGGTTCTCGACTTCGACAGTAGCAGAACCGCAAGTCTCTTCTGAAACAGGGAAACATGCCATACTACGATCTTCCGGAACAAGTGATACCTCCCAGAGTGATTTTGTTAACCATTCATGGGAGTATGATGTTTACGCGACTCCTTTCGTTCCTCCAGCTCTACGATCGATCAACACTGGGATGGCGACCATTATTCCAACAGTTCCTCGGCATCAGATTGATTTTGAACAGTATGTGCACAGCTTTGTCGGGACAAGCTTCATACCTACACCGTACACGGAGGCTGAACAGTCATTGGGTCTATCAGCCGCCGGTTCCTTGAGACCGGCCACTGCACTCAATGAGTCCATATACCTCCAGCACTTTAGCAGAGTGGCCGCCATTGAATGTGCTGCAAAAGAAGAACAGAATGAAACGTACGCAATGTATCGTGTTCCACTCCAGCAATCGCCTTCAGCTGGTGGCCTATGGAGCTTGTCGGTACCTGGACTAAGAGAAGACAGCCCACATATCGAGATGGGCGACGTGTTACAGATACGACAACTGTATGTTGACGGAACAGGAGCTATAATGCCCATGCCGGTGTACGTAAATGACGACCAGTACTGGTATAAGGGAAATCCTTCAGTCAGCTTCAAGTCGTGGACGGGCATACAACACGACGGTGCAGTGTTTGGTATCAACCGTGCACAGGAAACAGTCTACATCAAAGTAGACGGCCTAGGTTTTCCCGATCCTAGCATACCGCCTATGCCCATGTTCGCCAATGTTGTTATACCGCTCAAGTTCAACATTATCAAAAGTCGGCGAAGAGCTTTGGTGCATCTCAGCTCTGAGCTGAAGCATATCAGCCTGGCCCTTCGTACAGATGCTTCTGGATCTCTGGAAAATCACTTCGGCGAATCGCCCGGCACGAAGTATGCCACACTCCAGAGAGAGACTGCTGAGGTTACATCTGATGATCATCGTAATGACTGGAGTCTTCGAATGCTGTTTCCTGAAGAATCGCATGGAGTACGTCAAACTACATTGCGCAAGGTTCCGCATCGCGAACTGTACGATAAAGCCATCAACTATGAGCAAGCCCATGCCGTCAATGGTATATGCAATAACACGTATGGCATTCTTCCATATTTGATCAGTGGGCCACCAGGCACGGGCAAGACGAAGACACTAGTTGAGACGGCGATGCAGCTGCTGGAGACTTCAGAAGTCAAACACCTGCTCATATGTGCTCCGTCGGAGGCTGCCGCAGATACAATCGCTTTGAGACTGAAGAGTTACCTTTCAAGGAAGCAGCTTTTCCGTCTCAACCGACCCGGAAGAGCTGATAACGAAGTACCACGGGAGTTGTTACAATACTGCCATATCGAAAACGACATGTTTTCTTTACCGCCTTTCAAGGACCTTATGGCTTTTGACGTCGTGGTAGCCTCTTGCCAAGATGCTTCAATACTGGCAGAAGCAAGGATGACTAACAACGATCTCTGGACCATGCAGAAGGCTATGATCTCGGCGTTCAATCCGAGGGAAAAAATGCCTACACCGCCGCTGCACTGGACAGCTTTGCTCATAGACGAAGCAGCTCAAGCCACTGAACTCGACGTTCTGCCTGCCATCAGCGTTGTATGTCCACCTTCCACGTATCCAGAAAAGTCACCTCAACCACGCTTCGTGATGGCAGGAGACGAGAACCAACTCGGCCCCCGAACAGCTTCCCGCGATACCCGAGTTACCATGTCGCTATTCGCCCGCCTTTTCAAGCGACCACTATACAATGACCACCCTCTCTCGCGGTCCAAGGTGAAACCTTCATCTGGTCCACCAGTCCTGAAGCGATCGATGCTCCCCATCACATACCCACCCTTCACATTGCTGATCCGAAACTACCGTTCCCACCCTGCAATTCTCAGCGTGCCAAGCGCTATCTTTTACCAAAATACGTTGATTCCCGAGGTCGTGATACCAAACACACCACTCCAGCAATCGGACATCTGGCGCGGACGTAGGTGGCCCGTTCTCTTCGTCCCGCATGATGGAACTGACGAGATTGAACGTGATGGCGGCGGCTGGTACAACGTCTCCGAAGCGAACATAGCCTGCGATATTGCGCAAACCTTGATATACTCTTCTTCCGTGAAGCAACCGGATATCTGTATCATGTCGCCATTCGCCGCGCAGGTCAGACTAATGCGTTCGTTGATCCGGTCTTCCAAGTATGGCAATGGTTCAGGTCTATGGGACGTGAATATCGGCCCTTTGGAAGCGTTCCAAGGCCTCGAAAAACGCGTCGTGATACTATGTACGACGAGAACGAGGAAGAGGTTTTTGGCGAAGGATAACAGTATGGGTGTGGGTATCATTGGAGAGAAGAGGAAGATGAACGTTGCTCTCACGCGAGCAAAAGAAGCTTTGGTCGTAATTGGCAACCCCAAAGTATTGGAGCAGGACGCAAATTGGCGTCAGTGGATGGCCTACAGCTGGAGGAATGGACTAGTTCGTGATGACGAGGGCATTTGGGCTGGATATAAGAATGAGTTTGGTGTGCCCAAATTTGGTGTGCTTGAGAGAGCACTTATGGCGAAAGAAGATCAAGGAAAAGCCAACGGGAGGGTGCTGGGTGCTGGTCACGAGACGAACGAAGACTATGATGCTTGGGTGGAGAGTCTCAGGGAGGCGCTTGAGGAAGACGATGAAGAAGTAGAAGGAGAGGAATACGAGGAAACGGAAGAAGCTGAGTATGCGCCTTGAAGGTATATACCTTTATCTCAGTGAATATTCCAATAGAGTGTAGGGATTACCTTTAGTTTACCACATGGATTCAATGTATCGACGATTTTGTAGTGGTCATTATGGGTATCGAAATTCCTACTACACATGCTTTAAAAATGTCGTCTCCTGTCCTTCACCATGTCCTCCCACCAGAAGTTACCAATGACTACCGGAAATCCACCTTATCCCAACGACTCACTGCGTACTCAACTCTGACCCTGGAACAAAAAGCCCGTCAACGCGCTCTCCACCTGCTGATCATCAAACCCCTGACCCTGCATCTGCTGGATCATCTGCTGCTGCGCAATCGTGCGCTGCTGACCCTGAAGAGCACTACCAACACTACCTGGCGCAAATTCCATCTGTCCTGGTGGACCGTAAGGCGTGTACAAGCGAGGTGCATCGTTCGAAGAACCCACAGCCGGACTGCTACCTCCAGCACCATTCATACCATTCATACTTCCGTTCAGAGCACCATGCGGACGTGAATACGCATTCTTCGGTGGCCGGCCAATGCCTGCGTATGTAGGTGGGGGAACGGGCTGGCCCTTAGCCAAAGCCGCCTTCTCCCTATCCCTCTTCTTTTGCTGTACCAGTGTACCTTTGACACCACGAAGATATTTGATCGCTGCATCAACCAGTTCCTTCTTCTCGGGCGAGTTCTTGAGCGCTTCAAGCATCTCTCGGACTTGTGTTTCGGATCTGATGTGGGGACATGTGCGTGAGTGGCCGTAGTGTGCTAAGCCGCAGAGACCGCAGTGCTCAACACCTGCTGCTTTGAGCTCGCAAGCCCCCGAAGGATGGTTTTTATGGCAGGCCGGGCAGATGTGAATACCAGGAGGGCCATATGTCGGCTCGAGAGGGTTGCGGATGGGTATGATAGCGCGTGCAAATGGTTTGACTGTTGCTTGATTAGTTTTTGGTGCTTTTGGTGCTGGTGCTGGTGCTGGCTCTGGTGGAGGCGATGAAAGATCGATGAACGCAGATGGTCCGCGAGCCGACGATGCCTGCCCTGAGAAAGTGTTTGACTGCGTCTGAATGTTGCCATTGAGATGCGTCCCGAGGTCGAGTCCAACTCTCGAACGGTCTTTCAGCGGTGACACCTTCAATGGCTTCGGCGGCGATCTGACGGCCCTTGCGCCACCCTTCTTGGGCGTGTTCTGGAGAGATAAAGTGACAGCGGGAAATTGTGACTGTTGAGTAGATGAAACTTTAGACGCACCTGCGCCATTCTGCTTGTAGGGTGAAGAATTGGCGATACTTGTTGTATTGGGACGGTGACCGCTACCGAGCTCTTTGGCAGCGTCAACATTGTCATAAGTTGGCTCGGGCTCGCTTTCATCTTCAGACTCGGCTTGGAAGTCGGTATCGCTCTCAGATCCAGTCTTGTTCTTGCGCTTTCTGCTCGGCTTCTTGATCGGCGAAGGCGGTGCGGCAGTATCCTCGAAGTGATCTGTACCCGCGACAGACGCAGCATCAGCATCTCTCTTCTCCGTAGCATAATCGACAGCCTGTGTGATGTCAGTAGGTGTTCTTATCAAGATTGAGGTATTACGTACTGCTTTGGTCCGGCGTCCCCGACCCATAGCCTCTGCCTTTGCAAGTGCTTCGGCGGCCGCGGCAGCTTGTCGTTCCTTTAAGATCTTATCCCAGACACCTGGATCTGGAGCCACCTCTTCATCCGCGATATCGAAGTCATCTTGCAAGCCGCCCTTCTCATTAACCCATATACGGGCGAAGCCAAATTGAGATTCTGCAGAGTCATCGTCACCAGTTTGGGTGTTTTCGATCTGGCTACGGTCGAGTAGTTTGTCGATAGAGGCATCGTCATATCGAATGTCGTTATCTGCGTCATCATCCTTGAAGAGTTCTGCCGCGCCATATTTGAGTATGGACTCAACATCCTCATCCTCCGGATCTTCCTTGTCCAGATCCTGTACAACAACTTTGTCAAGAGCCATCTTCTTCTTGCCCATCTGCATGATCTTCTCCTCTACAGATGCTCGAGTTGCTAACTGAAGACACAGCACCTTCTTCTTCTGACCGATTCGATGAGCCCTAGCAATAGCTTGGAGATCTTGATGAGGGTTCCAGTCAGGATCTAGGATGATGACAGTGTCGGCAGTTGCTAGATTGATACCAACACCACCAGCGCGGGTGGAGAGGAGGAAGGCGAATAGCGACGAGTCGGGCGCGTTGAACTGGTCAATACGCTTCTGCTTCTCAAGCGAGCCCATCGTGCCGTCTAGACGCTGATACGGGAGCTGCATGCCGTCCAAGAAGTCTTCGATGATGTTAAGCATGTCGAGAAACTGGCTGAATATGAGCACGCGATGACCACGTTCTTGAAGCTTTGGGAGAAGAGTCTCAAGAAGAGTGAGCTTGGCAGAAGCTTCGACAAGGTTGCGATGAGAGACGGCAGCAACGTCGCTCCTCTCTTCAATTTCCCGACTGTAGACGAACGGATGGCACAGACACTTGCGCAGTTGCATGAGGATGTTACTCAAGTTTGCACGCTCCTGCTGTTTCAACTGCTTATCGGAGGTGAAAAGAGCCTTGAGAAGCTCTGGGCTCTTCGATAAAATTGATTTGTAGACTTGCTTCTGCAAGTGGCTCATGGAGATTGGAAGAATGATCTGACCCAGAGGCGGAAGGAAGGTCAGCACCTTGGCCTTCGTACGTCGCAGGATGAAAGGTCGGATCTGATCATGAAGTTCCCGAATGTTTTCCGCTGTCATCTCAGCGTACTGTTCCTCAAGTTGCTCGGCATTGATAGTGTCGTCCAGGAAGTGCAGCAAGTTGAAGAGCTCTCTAGCATTGTTTTGTAGTGGCGTGCCAGTCAACAGCAGTCGGAATGGCGCGCGTACTGCTGTGAGGGCTGTGTACAACTGACTCTTGTCGTTCTTCAGACGCTGGCCTTCATCGATGACGAGACCGGCCCAGCTGACACCTCTAAAAAATCTCCTGCAGTTATCGTCGGCCGCCGCTTCGTATGAAGTTACAACAATGTGGCATCGTAGGTCCTTTGTATTCTCGGGGTACATCTCGTACTTGTAAGCCATCTCGCGAGCTTTGGCAGATCCAAAGTAGGCGACTACGCGAAGAGAAGGTGCCCATTGCTTGATCTCCCGGCGCCAGTTGGCACATGTCGAGTTGGGCACTACAATCAAGAACGGGAAGCAGTTATGCTCCTGGATAAGGGTTGCCATGAAGGCGATGACTTGGATCGTCTTTCCCAGGCCCATCTCGTCTGCAAGGATGGCGTTCTTCTGATCGTACCATTTGTAGTAGAGCCAGTTCAGACCGTCCAGCTGGTATTTCATCAGCTCACCACCAACTAGATTATCAGGTTGTTTCTCTCGCTCAAGCTTAGCGAATGGTGTGCTTCGAGCTTTCTCAATCCGTCCTTTGAGGGGACCCTGCTTGGGGATCTTGACGTAGCGACCGGCAACCCAGTCGTTGTAAGCAGTGACAAAGTCTAGCCACCTATCACCGTCTTCTGGAGTAGGCACACTCTCCCAGACAGTGTCCTCATAGCCCAAACCCTTGTACTTGATAAGCGCCTTATCAACTTCTTTTATACGGGCTTTGTCGATCTCCTCGCTGCGAACCTCAACATAGCTTGTGTACTTGATGTCAAGGACAATGTCGATGCGAAGGTACTCTTCGGGAATGGCGTCTTCAGTTCGCATCTTTGGTCCGTCCTCACGCTTAAAGAAAGCCTTGCGTTGGACTCCAGCTGTCACGCCCCAAGTCCAGGCTCCGGAGTGCCATGACGCCCGGAAGTAGGACTCGTTCTCCCATTTGATAAGATACTGCTTGTCGTCTTCACAAATCAACTCACATGGGGTTCCTGGTCGATAAGTCTCGACATCCGATGGCCGCCAGGCAATGATGCCGCCAACCTTTTGATTAATGGTCTCGTCGCACTCCTTGCACATCCATTTACCAGAGTACTCGCGGAATCGCTCATCTGCTATCTCTTCGTCGTCACGATTGACGTCCATAGCATACTGCGAGATAGGTGGTAGGTGGTGATAATGCCAGGCGCGAGAGCACTTTGTGCAGCGAAACAACACATTGTTACGGTCGTTAAGAAGCTCAGAAGGAACGTCGACGACAGGATCATAGCCATCATTCTCTTCGCGCTCCTTCATCTCTTGCTGTGTAGTCTTGCGGCGCCTGAAGGGTCGGCACGAAACCCCAGAAACAGCGCAGTCTTGACATCTGGATAAATCGGGAGCGGTCGCGTCCTTCTTCTTATAGAAGCCAATGCACCTCTTACACTGCAGGACAAACTGCTCATCGCTAACCTTGGTGACTAAATGATCGCGAGTAGATCGATTACCCAAGCAATTCTTGTGGTATGCTAGAGAGCAACCTTGACAGTACACCAGAGGTGCTACGTTGGGTCCATCGAAGCAGACTTCGCAACCCTCTGCATGTCGCGCACGGAAAGGGTCGCTCCGTGGGAGCTTCGGGAACACTTCGCGGACAACAGAGACCTTCTGAGCCACGGCTTTGGGCGCGGTGTCTGACCGGTATATGTCGTTCATATCCGCCTCCTGCATGTTGTTGGTAGCACGTGTTGCTCGATCAGACTGTCGGACGCCCGCTCGAGGGATCTTCTCAGGCTTTGCTGCACGTAGAGACTGTCTCTTGCGCTTGCGACCAGGAAGTACGTCTGACCGGAGAATATCTGAGGCACTGGAGTCATCGGTATCGTCCTCCTCCTGTTCGTCGTCATCGTCGTTATTGTTCCTCGTTCGTATTGGTTGTCGTGTTGAGCGTCGTGTGGGCTGCTGTATACCCTTGCGCGGTCTGCCTTTGCCCTTCCGGTCGCCGTCATCAGAGTCTTCGTCCTCCTCACTCGTAGAGAGTGCGATCAGATCACTGATCTCTGAGCGATCTCTCGATGGCTTTCCTCGTCGACTTCCACGTCCTGTCCTCTGTGGGCGGCGTCGTGGGCGTCCTGATGTGTCAGAGGCAAGCTCGTCTTGCTCGTCGTCCTCGGACGATGATATGGGGAAACTTGTTATATCGACAAACCCCTCAACATCCACCCTAGTGTTCTGGTTGCGAAGCCTCATGTCAGCGTCGTCGCTCGAATCGTTGTGTGGTTGGAACGATTGCAGTGCCTCAGGACCACCACGGAAATCAAGGAGCTCTTCGAAGGTAACCTACAGACACTTAGTATATATTCAAGAACAGAGGTTCGTAAGAGAAAAAAGGACCCAAGTCGCCTGTTATATAGTAACCCCGCTGCATTCGTCGCTCCTGCTGCCTTTACCAGTGATAGAGTGATAGATGGAAACTCACCTGCTTGACGCGATCACTGCCGAACAGCTTGATCTTATACATCATTCCGCCCTTCTTTCCAACAGAGGCCTCCTGAAGGACCTTTTCCACCTCATCCTGGGGCTCATAGTACTTGTACTCGGCCTTTCTAATTTGTTTCTGGGGTATGCGAACACACAAAAGTCTTCGTTTGCGAGGCGGGATTTCGATACGTAAAAATTCCAGATCATCATTCGTGTCGTCTTGTAGAGAGATGGTGGCTGGGGAATCAGATGCTTCCCCCAGAGGTGCTGCTTGGGGAGCACTCGTGTTGCGCCCAGCCAGCTTCTTCTTGAATGCTGCCATGAGCGCTGCGCCGTCCTCGTCGCTACTCATAATGGCGATTTGCGGTACGTAGTTTTTGGCGCAGAGGGGCTCCCTTAAGCGGAAAGGCACAGTAAGTTCAGGACAGCATCCGGTAAACTATTCGCTGGAATTTCGTAAAAGTGCAGGTAAGCGGCTCGATTAGTCGACTGGAAGGTTTAATGGGCGGAATTCTGACGTAGAGATTGAAGGGTACGGGTGGAGATGGGGTGCGCGTGGGCGGTGCTGCACCCGTAGTTTCCGTCGCGTCTCGGTGAATGATGAACGCCAAACGCGTGACTTCGCGTTCTGCGCTTATTCTTAGTGCGAACGCCTGGCTTGGCAATGTGGAACTTTTCGTCGCATCGCTTCTGCACTGATGACACAGTCAAAACCACAAAGACGTCCAAGTTGACTCTGTTATGGTTTATTCCTGCCTGACTAGTAGCACGCTACTGCGGTCTCATCAATTGGTCGTCCCTCGCACCTTCCTCCGCTACAAATCCATCACTGCTGCCATCGAGCGGGGCAGGCAGGGTGGATCAGACAGACCCTTCAGACCACGGACACGAACCGGCCACAACGATGAGGGTGACGGACCGGTGAAGACCCGCCGCGAGGCAAGGTTCGAGAGATTTGGTGCTCCTCGCGAAGATCCGGAACCAGCTTCCAATGACAGACCGCGTGCATCACCTCGCAGTAGCAGGTTCGGACGCATAGGGCCATCGCGACCCCGCGACAACGATGCGCCGAGTAGGTTCCGCAAATCTCCAGATGCACACACTAGAAGCGGAGATACGTGGCGGGACCGTCCTCAAGAAGAGACCAGGTTTCGGTCTTTTGATCGCAAAGTGGCACCGCAGGAGCAGGGCAGCGACAACAGACCACGTCGTCCATGGACAAACGATCGCCGTGATACACGAGCAGACAGAATAGACGAGGATTCAAGCTCTCATGTTCCGCGTACTCGAGATTTAAGGGATGATCGGCCACGATTCAACCAAAGACCAGACTCAAAAGGCGCTAGAAGAGAAGGATACGGACGGGCGTCGTCTGATACTAGACCAGGAGCAAGAGGCGAGACGGAACCCCAGAAGGCTTCAGTCCGTGGACCAGAATCACTACCCTACACCACAGCCGCATCCGAATTCATATACGGATATAACAGCGTCGTCTCTGCGATGAAAGCGAACCGACGCAAATTCTACAATCTCTATGTGCATTCACGAGGTGCGAGTCGAGATGGTCTTATGTCTCGTATCAGAGCTCAGAAGCTCTTCTCGATCACGCATGAAGTCGGAGACGAGTACATGCGCGCTTTAGACAAAGCTAGTAGTGGTCGACCACACAACGGTGTGATACTCGAGGCATCGCCTCTGCCTGTCCCGCCCATCACTGAGCTAAAGACGGTATCTATGGAAGACGAGAGCTTTAGCGTTGCACTCGATAGTCAAAGTGCAGAAGATGTGCTTGTCAATGGCAAGCAAGAGTTGTACTCTTACAAGTCCGGAGGATGGAGGCATCCACTGATTCTCTACGTTGATGGCGTGGTGAGTAAGATGATCCGCACACCAGATGATTGACTAACACCAACAGGTCGATGAAGGCAACCTTGGGGCTATTGCTCGTTCGGCCTATGTCCTAGGTGCGGACGCCATCATCACGCCGACCCATCACACTGCAAATTGGAGTCACATCGCAGTGAAGGCTTCCGCCGGCGCCGCCGAAGCTATTCCGCTTTTTAAAGTCGGAGACTCGAATGATTTCCTGAAGAAGAGTGCAAACGCAGGCTGGTGTATATATGCGAGCGACGCTGTTCCACCTCCACCCTCATTTGCCTCGTCAACTGTTGATTCTATGGAAGCCGGGGCCAACAAAGTCGTTTACAGTATCTCGCACACGAGAAAACGACTTCCTGCTGACCACAGCCCTGTTGCAGAGCACCCTACAATTCTCATGATGGGCGCAGAGGGCACGGGGTTGAAGACCAGTTTAGTCAATCTGGCGCGTTACAAAGTCGGTATTCCTCATGGCCGCGAGTCCAACGAGGTTGGGGTCGACAGTTTGAACGTCAGTGTCGCAGCATCGATACTCTGCTACGAGATGCTGCAGAAACCCAAGGCACAGCCTGAGCGCGAACCTGAGGACGTTGTCTTCTAGAGCCCATTCCCTTTGGTGTTCATTGTCTGTACTATATATACTTCTACTTGACTCTACAGAAAGTCGGGGCCCGATACTTTAGGGTTTAGACGTTCTAGCCTTGGGTTGGCGGGCCGTCCAATTGCCGTCGACGACGTGCATCGTTATCAAAGCGTCTCCCCTCCATGCGAGACATGCGCCACCTAACACCTACCGCCCAATTACAGTCGCAGGCCAATATCGGTAGCTGCTGCAGTTGCAGTGCGGAGTGCATCCACTAGGTCCTTGCCGGCTTCCATGCCCAGCGCCTCTTATCACGTCTGGGGTACACCTATGCTAGCGACAGTAGCTTCATAGCAACATCAGTCTTGAAGTTTAGAGCGGTGAGCAGACTAAGATAGACTTTGTTGTAGCTGTGCGTGGTTTATACCACAATCTACCACGCGAGTTACCACCCCACGTGTTCGCATTGCCGGTGCTGATCGGTAGGTGTGGCTAGTGTGCGTGACCATAGCCTTATCAGTGTATGCAAATCGCTCTCGATAATCTCGAAAAAATGCCTCGAACTTGTGACATGCAAAGATTCGGAAGTCTCCAAAACTTGACTTGCCCAGACTGGCAAAAGATGTAAGTTAACTTCCAAGGAAGTAACAGGGCCTAGGATCATGGCAGAATCTATCACGACATGATCGGCGATCGGAGGGCGGCGCAAAGCACAACATGGGATTTGACACCGCTATTCTCAAATGCGATACACACAGTCTGCACCCGCATGCCCCAACAATTACTGTGTGGTCGTGTGTTGAGGGGTGATGTTTGTAGTATGATGCATAAACACCAAATGAGAAGGTACAAACATAGCGAGGCTATCAATACCCACAAGGCGCGGTGCGCTATCAGTAGGTAGAGAAAGTATTCCTAGCGGTGAAAGCCCCAGGGTGGTCTTCGCGCGTATGCGTGGGGAAAGGCGTCCGAGCTCACCCTTGTCGTCATTGAGTGCACCTCCCCTCCTAGCGCGACTTGAGACGGGAGAGCAGCGTTTTTCACACCCTCCATCATCACGCCCATGGTGTCCTGACCTGACCGACTTGTAGCCCCGGCTCAATCCGCTCCCCGCGTCTCCCCTCAAAAACACTGTCACCTGTCAGAAGGTTTACTTGTGATCGCATCTCCTTGCCTTCTGCGTCGATCCGCTGGTGGCGCCTCCGCAGAGAACGCCTGCACGCCTGCAACCCTTTGTACCGCCGCCTAGAGCCTCTCGCCTGCACGCTGCACGCTGCACGCCTCACACCTAATCGCGCATCCCTCCGTATCAAAAACCCCGCAGCTCCTCGCATTGCGCCACCGATCCGACAAGAAATTCGGACTTGTTTCTTCCTCACCTCGACATCTTACCTCTAGAGATACACTGTTGATACATTCGCCATGACGCGTAGAATTGTATATGGTGTGGGGCTCATCCTCACACTGGCCTGTAAGAGACGACAACACTTGAAAGAGGAAGTAGCGACTGACTAGGCAGGCACCATCATGACCATCGCCAGTATCTCTATGCCGCGATGGGTCAGCTACAGTCCCAACGGCGAGCGCGAATACTCGTACGGCCTGCACAGTCGCTGCTCCGCCGTCACAGGCACCTGCGTTCCCTTTCCCAAGATGAGCGACTGCACAAAGGACCCGTCCTTCTGCAATATGTGGAGGACCGTCGGTTTCCTGACATCTTTTGGCGTCGTCGTTGAGCTATGCGCCATCGTATCCTTCATTGTCATCATCTCTGGTGGGGTGCAACGCAGGGCCGCAGGCTGGCAGGTGGCCGTTGGCGTACTTTCCTTCAGCGCCATCGTCCAGTGCGCCGGCATGGCCATAGTGGTACGTTGTCCCTGCGTGCTGCAGGGTCCATATCGCAGAAGCAAAGCAATGCGCAGTACTAACACCTCCAGGCATTCCTCTTCGACAACGACGACCGCTTCTGGAAGGGCTGGCACCTTGACCTCTCGTGGTCTCTCTGCACCGCCAGCTGGACCATCCTCTTCCTGACTTCCGTCGGCATCGCCGTCTCCGCCTTCTACCTCCCCGTCGAAGGCGACTACGAGCTCATTCCCGAAGAATACTACGGGCCGCCAGACGATCGGTGAGCGCTCACCATTCCGCATATAACTGCGCACACTTTGCTGTGTGCTTAAGAATCGTTTTAATGGGTGTTTAGGCTTCTTTCGCGCATTTCCGCTTGGGACAACGGGTTCAAGGGCCCTGGCGAGGGTATGCAGTATAGCTACCAGAGGGATCAGGATAGCATGAGCGATGTTGTTAGTATTGCGGCGAGCAGTATTGCACCGAGTAATAGGAGAGAGAGCAGTGTTGCCCCGAGTAATAGGAGGGAAAGTGATGCTAGGAGATGAGACGATGGACGCGATTCGATCACGAGACGATGACCCTGCGGATATACTTATAATGTGGATGTGGTCGGTTGGTTGTTTGGGGTGGGGACTTTGGAAACGGGTGGCATATCTGTCTATCACTTTGGCGCTAGATTGCGATTTTTTTTGTGAGCATGTCTTTGTTCTCGTCTTGCTGTTGGGTTGGATTTTGTTCTTGTTTTTTGGTCTACGATACCCCCTGCCATCCACCGGTGGTTGGGCATATATCTTCTCAGCTGGTTTGGTATAAGATATCCAAAACTTGCAATCAATCTATCAATCTACTCCTTCATCTTGCTCTGTAGCTAGTGAAGGTCTTCGAGAAGGTCGCTGAAGCTGGTCATAGAGCGACAGTATTCTAGAGTCTTCTTGGTAACTAGATCGAGCAACTGGGGACTGTCTTCCTTCTGAGTATAATCAGTATCCTGAGATGGACAACGTGTGGCCAACTTACAGAAATACAGTGTAGGAGACACAGTATATTGCTCAAACATGAAGCGGCTTCCGAACAGATGACCAGCATCATTGCCCAGTCATCAACATACTCTGTGAAAAATGTATGAGCTTGTCCACCGTCAACAACCTTCAACTCACTTCGTTCGAGGTGACGAGCCCAGTTACAACCTGCGTAATAGAGCTCCGTAAAGTCGAACGCTTCGTCGCACTCTCCAAGTCTCCCTTGACTATCCAATCTAATGCCTCCGTGTCCCTTCGGCATACGAATGAACTTGGACACATGTTGTACAGCCGACTTGAAATTGGCCATTTTCAGTCCATTACTTGCTTCACCTCTTAGACGGCTTACGATGGCTTGTTCATCTCTGAGACCTCTTGCCAAGCCTGCGAGACCTCTTGCCAAGCTTGCCAGTTTCCTTTGCTTGCTCGCTCGAGATTTATAATAATTCTCTCCCGTCTCCTTTATACTCTTCACAAGTTCTGCTGTCTCTATACTCTTTACAGTCTTTATAGACCTGTGTCTTTTTACTAACTCCTCGATAGCATCTCTATCCTTCCTAAATTGCTTTTCCTCCTGGTCGCAAAGTTGTAGTAAATTGTTGTAAAGGTCTGATAAGTTCTCGAGACTGTTTGTTGATTCCTCGTGACTGTCTGTTGATTTCTCGTGACTGTTTGTTGATTCCTCGTAACTATTTGCCGTTTCTTCGAAACCCTTTACGTCCTTCCCAAATTGCTCTGTCTCCTGCTCGTAGACCTCTAGTATGTCCTTTGCCCGCTGCTCGTAACTGTTTGCTTCTTCCTCGTGACAATCTGCCATGAGTTCGAATACCACCATCATCATTGTTCTCCTTGAAGTCAAGTCCTCATACCTCTTTGATACGAGTTTTCTTTTGCTACCATCATCGTTCTCGAAGAAGTACTCTATCAGTATCATGCACCGCGATGCTAACGCAGTATGAATTTGTGCTTCGTCTACCCAAAAATCGGCATCGGTACATCGGCTTCTATCCAGCAGGAAATCGCGTAACGAAGGGTGATGAATGCGAAGTGGCCGCATGTCGTCTGCTGGCACATCCAGAATCGCATGCAAGTCTTCCAAAGTGGACCGAATATTTTCTTCTGTCATGTCTAGTAGCCCGCCCAAGGATCGGGCGGTGAGAGGCGATTTCATCACTACCAAACTTCCAAGAATGTGTCTCAACATCTCGCAATGCTCTTCTTTCTCTTCAGCTGTATACTCCGGCCGGATTGAGTTTCTTAGGATGGTAGTATATATGGTATCGAGGTGCTTCTCGGGTTCGGCTTGTGGATCACAGTCATCCTTGATTATTGATTCCAATCTTCTCGCAGCAAAGCGTCTTCCCCCTAGACGGATGAATTTGTGGGCAGTTGCAGCCCAGATGAAGAGACCACTGGCCCTTTGCACCATCTTCGCAATGATCTCTGAGCCGGGCCAGTCAGCAGGCAGGCGCTGTTCTCGACCAGTGATCGCGAGATTGTGCTTCAAGAAGAGCTCTATATCAGCATCGACAACAGAGGATGCGATGTGGTGCAACACAAAACACTGATGTGATGCATCTGGCACATCGTAGAAGCTGTGCCGGATCGCTACTTCAGGCCTGCTCGTCAAGAATACCCGCATTTTCGGTCCGCTCAGTAGCTGCGCTTCAGCCAACAATCCAATGATTACCTGAATATCGTCATCGTCATCGCACTCATCCAGCGCATCGATGACAAGGACTAGAGCAGTGATGTTGCCCAAAGTGTTGAGCGCGGATAACGGACGAAGGACGAGTTGCTGCCACTGGTCGCGCAACGTGGAATCCGAAATATCAGGGCGCTCTGCAATTGCATCACATATGTGCTGCCGAGATACCGGAACATTGTATGCAAGCTGAACGGCAATGCTTGTTACGAATTTGCGCGCATGACCAAGGTCGCCGCCGCCTCTGGCAAAGAAGAAACTGGCTCCTAGGCTTCTCCGCTCATAGTGTCTACGAGCTACGGTCCGCGCAACTGTTGACTTTCCGGTACCGGCTAGACCGTTTAGCCAGTAGACACATCGCTCGTCAAGTCCATCGGTCCAGGCGTATATGTCGTCTAGGAGCGCGGTTCGCGTGGATGGAAGGCATTCCGGGTCGTGCTGCCGATTATACGCGTTGAACGGCGCTTCGGCGGCGTACGGTAGCTTCTCCAGATCACCTTCTTGTGCTTGACTACAGCTTTGTTAGCGACCGCCAATCTCGGTACGAAGTAATGTTGCATACTTTACGATGTTGTCTCCGTGGACATGATACTCCGCCGCCTGGATAGCGATCCTCCCACCCTCGTTGTTGAAGCCAATAGTCTGGCCGGTCGCGCGCGCGTTCATGCCCACCGAGCAGCCAGGACGAACAAAAGCGACAGACCAAAGGCAAAACAGGGCGATACAAGCAGGTAGTACGACTCTGTCTCAGCTCGGGAACACATTGAACGGACGGTAGAGCTTGAGCAGTTGGACAGGTGCTTCGCGAGGCAGACCTCCAAGGGGCCGAAGGATCATGCAGCAACAGGCTGCGGGCAGCGTTTCAGCCTCGCGTGAACACAGGAAATGAAAAACCCAGCCGCGCCGCTTTCTAACGGGACTGCAAAAGATCATCGTGTGATTTTTTTTCTCTGTCATCATTACCATCGTCTAATCAGATACTATGGAGCCTGCTGGTCTTGCTGTTGGCATCGTCGCCTTGGCTGGTCTCTTCAACAACGCCGTAGACTGCTTCGAATACGTCCAGCTCGGTAGCGCTTTCGGTACGGATTTCCAAGTCAGCCTGCTCAAGTTAGATATTCTACGGCTGCGACTTTCACGTTGGGGCAAGTCTGTTGGTTTGGATGGTGACTTGAGCAATACCCATGCAATCAGACTAGCGACAGGGCCGCCGGAGGATATTGAAAAAGCTGGAAATGTGCTAGGGCAAATAATGGACCTCTTCGCAAAAATGGAGAGTAAGTCCAAGAAATACCAAAGCCGTATGGGGGAGACCGACGGGGATCTTACGGTCCTTGACGTGGCTACAAACCTGGAGGCCTCGGGCCAATCGTTACACGAGAAGATGCGCGCTATGTCCATCAAGCGTCAAAATAGCACGCCTTTGCGACCGAAAGTGCAATGGGCACTGTATGAGAGGAAACGCTTCAAGGAGTTGCTCGAACACGTGACAGATCTTGTCAATGGTCTTGTGGAATGCTTTCCTGCATCACGCGAAGAGCAGCGCAGGCTGTGCAGAGCAGAAGCTTCCGCCATCGGCTCTAAGGACTGTGTTCCTGCTCTCAAAGAAGTCACTGCACAACAGGACAAGGACCTCAATGAAGCCTTAGTCGACGCCTTGCTCTCAAAGGTCAGTTTTTGATTCCACCACTGCACTCCTTAGGTCGACGATTGATTATCTGAACAGGACAACCGAAACATGTCAATCAATAACTACAACTCTAAAATCGGTCAGATAAACGATACGAACCACGTTTATGGAACTCAAGTCTTCAACTTTTGACTGCGAGATCCGTACTTCGAATCATGCATGACGCGTCACATCTCTGCAATCAGTTTTTAAGTGGTACTTGAATGAAATTGGATTCGTAAGGGTTTCTCCTATCGACAGACCACGTTTGTGCATATAGAATCTCACGTGAGGAGTTTTCTTGGATTTCTGCATCTATTTCATACACCGCTGCCTCGAATCATGTACCGACCGTTCCTCAATCGCGAGTTAAACCAGAACTATCGACTTTGTCTCTTCACCGTTCTGCATGATCTCCCCATCCATTTGATCAAGCAGGAAACAGTCCCCCATCAAGTGATATGCGCTCTCGAGCCGATGCCCTTTACTTGCTTTTCGCAGCACGAAGGGCACATTCATACCTAGCAAGGCCCAAACTTCGTCTCCAGGTTTCGTCCCAGGGTAGCACATTCCGAGGTTTCCCGCTTCTGTAATGAATAAGCAACGATTTTCCGTGGCCAACAACATTGCTGATGTGAACGTGTAAGGCAACGTGTAACCTTCTCCTGTCAGAAGGTTGAGCCAAGATTCGGGGCTGGGCAGGTCATCGTCTTCGCATCTCCTCCATTGCCCACTGTCTTCCACGTCTTGTGTGATTGTTGCACAGATAGTCCGCATGAATGCTTTGTTTAGATGCGCCTCCTCGGTGTAGGTCAAAGTTTCCGACGCCAACTCATACGACTGTAGCATGGCTATAATTTGTGAAGCCACACCAGATTTCTGTAGTCGGTGTGATTTGCTTACAACCCGGATGGTGTCGGCCTTTCTAGCTTTGGTGTGAAGCTCTCTGCCATCTTTCACGGTGACTGTGTTCGACGACCCTGCGGAACAATTATATAAGCTAGAAAGCCGCGCTCTGGTCTCCTCCCAATCTTGCCCGTCATGTTGCTTGGAGAGGTCACGGGCCCAAGATGGCAAGCCTTTATTATATGGTCCAAACCCTCTACCCAACAAGACTCTCGAAGTATCGTTATCGTACTCCAACATTCTTCGATAGACGTCTGTGAAGCAATCCGTCAATGGTTGTTGGTAGTTGGGTGTGTATGCATCAAACATCCGCGCGGGTGCCAAACCGAGGACAGAGAAAATCTTATCGCGGGGATCTTTACATTGTCGGCCTGAGAAGGAAAGTAAGATGTTGTGAAACGATGGTGGTTGTTCGTTGCTGGACAGGACGTCGACTACTTGTTCGATCGTCTGTTGTCGATATCGTCGCAATTTATCGATGATCGCAATGCTGGACATGAATCGGTTGAACTTATCCATTTTCGGGCCCCAATGTTTCGTCGCCTCCGTACCTTGTGCGCAGCAATGAACGTATGCGGCGTTTGCTCTTTCGAAAACTAGCGCAAAGCGATCCCAGGTCATGCTATGTGATCCATACCACAAAATACCGGATGTGGGTAGTATGATCTCTTGAACAGTCCATGATCGCGTCCACCATGCACTGTCAGCAATTAGGTGAAACGCAGCCATTTGATCAACGAACACATCACTTGGTGCTCCCTCGTCATCCCCCTCTTCAAGAACGCCCGGAAGATCATGCCAATGCTTTCCATCCGCAATATGTTCGAACGTTGCGAATGGATTAATCTCCAGTACCATCTCCGACGAGGGCGTGCCCAACCAAGCGTGCACGACTGAACATCCAAAGTAGATGTCTCCCATCATCGCCACTTGGTGGGACTTTTCTTCCAGATCGTTTTGGTTTATGCAGATAGCATCCACCCAAAGGATGAGGATATCATTAGGATCTCTGATGTGATGCAGAAAGTCAAACAGGTTGAGCGTGATCTGCATCTCATGCCCGTCTACTTCGATTGCTACCGTTTCGTTCGGATTTCCCCACACATAGGAAACGCATGAGTAAGTCTCAGCAGCGCTCTCGAGATCTGCTACGCTCAACGTAGCCGTTACGTGATCGGTGGTTCGTGGGTGAAGATGCAGCAGCCGGATCTCTCTTCTACTCCTGTCCAATGGCTCTGTTTGGTATGTGGGAATGCTATATCGTTCCATCCTGGTTCTCGAATAGCAATATGTCTAGAGGCTGTTGGTGAAAAAGGCAAAGTCAATGGTCGCAGGACTGCATTGCAGCATTGCGTGCTGTATGTAGACAGCTAACACGACAGCTGGCTGCCTACAACGAACTCAGCCTCATGTCTGTGGAGAAGAAGAGGCTTAGCCGAAGCTGAGCCACAGGTAGAATATGAACCTGGATCGTCCCATCGTCTGAACCAGGATGCTGAGATCCCGTACTTCATAGCGGAAAACTCGCTTAATGTGTTGATCGGGGTAGTCGAGACCGAGTCCCTGAGCGCGTCAAGGGCAGGTCCAGATTCGTGGCGCTACAGTGCCCGTGCACCAGATGAGCACCATCGCCAGTTGAGCACCCCCACCACCACAACAACAAAACTTCAACGCGTCAAAACTCAACCAATATGGACCCGATTCAAGAAGCGATTGCAGAAATCGAATCGCGAGAACCAGGAGATAAATTCTCGTACCAAGCAATCGCGAAAAAGCATGGTGTAGCACGAATGACGTTGATGAGACGACACCGCGGCGAAACTGAGGCCTATGGCGTGCGCAACCTCTCCCTCCATCCACAACACGAGAAGGAGCTTGTACGATACATCGATACGCTTACCGAACGACGTTTGCCACCTACGAAGGAAATGATACAACGCTTTGCTTCAGATTTGGCTGGAAAGCCGGTTTCAGAAAGCTGGGTTGACCGGTTCATCCGCCGGCACCCCAACCATCTCATCTCTGCCCACAGCAAGGGGATGAGCAAACTTCGTTGCAACGCCGATTCAGGAGCCAAGTACAGCTTGTATTTCAAGCTTCTGGTTGAAAAGATAGAGGAGTACAACGTCCAACCCTCCCATATATTCAATATAGACGAAAAGGGGTTTCAACTTAGAAGGATTAGCAGAACAAAGCGTATCTTCTCCAAGGCACGTTGGGATAAAAAGGGGGTACGCCAACCGCTTAAGGATGGCTCAAGTGAGTGGATCACCGTTGTGGCGTGTATTTGTTCGGATGGGAGCGTATTAAGTCCTTCTCTCATCTTCAAGGCAGCCAACGGAGCTATACAAACAAGCTGGGTTGATGCTGTACGAGCAGGAAACCACTCAGTATTTACTACGTCATCACCCTCTGGCTGGAGCAACAACGATATCGGGTTGCATTGGCTCAAGGAGGTGTTTGAAAGAGAAACCCGGCGGCATGCTTCAACTAGGTATCGATTACTACTCCTTGACGGCCATAGATCTCATGTTACAATGGACTTTATCAATTATTGCCACGATCACAAGATCCTATTAGCTGTTTACCCACCTCACGCTACCCATACGCTTCAACCACTTGATGTAGTAATGTTCAAACCTCTAGCAAACGCTTACTCAACTCAGTTGACTCAATACCTTCAAGACAGCCAAGGGATACTCAATATAACTAAAGGAGACTTCTTCCCGCTCTTCTAGAGGTCCTAGACTAAGGTTTTCAAACCTCCCCTCATCAAGAGGTCCTTTGAAGCAACTGGGATACACCCACCCAACCCAGACGTTGTACTCAGTAAGTTTGCTAAGGAGGGGTCAGATTCAGAAGCCAGTTCAACCTCTGTACTCTCCGGGGAGGATTGGCTCAAGCTGAAGACAATTGTACGTCGTAAGGTAAGGGATCGTAACAGCAAGGACGTCAGGAAGCTTCAACGAAGTTTACACCACCTTGCAGCTCAAAATACACTCCTCCACGGCGAACTCAAAGGCCTCAGGCAGTCCCTAGCCATCAAGAAGAGGCGGGAAACCAAATCCTATACCCTACAGCTTAAGGATCATCCTGAGTATCATAGTGGAGCTGTTTAGTGGTCACCAACAAGCGTCAAACAAGTTCAGGATAACAAGATACAACAACAACAACAAGCCGAGCTTGAAAAGCTTCAAAAAGCCGAGCAAGCCGAGATCAAGAAGGCAGCTCGCGATTGCCAGCTTCAACTTCAAAAAGCAGCCCGTGTTAAGCGGGAGAAGGGTTGGGAGGAGACCAGAAAGCAGAAGGCTGCAGAGAAAGCCGAAAGAGAGCATCATAGAAGCCTCCGCGACGCTGCCAAAGCTATACAATTGCCCCAATCAGGTAAGCGCAAAGCGTCAAAACCTCATAAGCCAGCTACAAAGCGTCAAAAGTGTGGTGGTGTTGCTCCAGCTGTGGTGGGAGCCGCAAGGGTTGCACGAGCTGCTCCACCGCGTAGTCAACAGCAACGACCGATAACGCCCTCCAAAAAAATTTCTGAATAAGCCAAAACTTTCGTAGGCCTGTATATAGTATAATCCTAGCTTTGCGCAATTTTATTACGATTTGTGGTGGCTCTACAGCCTCATCTTGTTGACTATATTAAGTTGTTGGGGGTGCTCAACTGGCGATGGTGCTCATCTGGTGCACGGGCACTGTAGTGGGACGTTACCCGAAGTCTTGGCATGCAGGAGCGGTGGGCGCCTTTTACCGATGGCAAGGCACAGCCTCCACGAGCCGTCCGAGGTTCCACGAATGACTGCAGAATCCTTCAAAAACGGCAGGCTACAAAGACGGATATGAAGATTGCAGGACGTACCCCGAGTACAGCCACCGAGTCTGTATACTGCTCATCATTCAAGCCAAGATTCGAGCGCTCAGCGAAAGCCAATGACCATTGCCCTACAGATTTTAGGCCTCCAGCAGACCCAGAGGCACATCTCCATCCTCTCGCTAAGATTCGAGGCCCTTATTATAATGCCTCAATTAGCATCAATTGAACGGCCAAGGCCAGGCTGCAGGCTCTAGCATCGATTCCTTCGATATGGACGGCGATTCCTGACTCCATCTCCAATACACTGGCGATCAACACAAGGATGGCATCTGAGAAACAGAGTTCTACCGGCTATGATTTCCGGACACGAGTGTCGCGGGATATCGGCACTCAGAAGCGTTAGCGGCAAGGAATACCTCAAAACTCTGTCGATCTGGACAGCGCAACCTCGTCGGTGTGTGGGCAGATGAAGTATTGCGTCCTACCGTTGTGCTCGAACCACCATCGATCCCAGGCTGGTCCTGCTTCATCATCTTCGCCGCGTACATCGTCCTGCGATAAAGCTGAGGCTGTTTGTAAGCCCATCCGAGGGATAACGTCGCGTACGAAAGGATTTCGCCGGGTTGCTATGATCGAGCCCCAACGGACTGCAATATTTGCTTTCGGGTGTGTTACATCATACGCACAGTCTTGCTCTCGTTCCTTCGAGTGGAGAAGCCCAGTGAAACTGAACGAGATGTTTCGTAAATACGTGCTGTGGTACACTACTTGGATTGCTTCGATGAAGGGTCCCAGGCCCATGAGCTGATTCTTAGGAAAACCCATCGCTACACCCAAAGCAAGGAGTGTTGTGCGATAGTTTTCGAGGTTGACGGGGGACTCGATATATCCATCGTAAAAACAGTCCGGATCCAGGATGTCGAACAGCTCTTCGCAGACCGCGCAGACAGCGTCCAGATATACCTCCAGTAATGACTTGTTGTAGTTGACGTTGATGCGCCACCTTTCAGCAGTCAGACCAAGTAGACCGTACAGCTTGTCCCGCGGGTCGTGACAGTCGTTCCAACAGTACTTGTACAGACACATCTCCAGCGTTCTGTAGTGTTCTTTTTCATGGACCACTGCTGGTATGCGGTCCAAGACGTCGAAGTGCTTTGCTACAGCATCAAGCAAGTCACTCCATTCGAGCTGCACGTCTCCACATACAATAACCTTTTTACGCGCGAGCGCAACTTCCTGAACAATCCAGACCCTTGAGAAGTATGGATGATGCAACAATGTCGCGACAGCATTACTAGTGTCGCCATCGCCATACCGCACCTGTCGCGCAGCTTCGACCATAGCAGGCTCACATCCTAACCAGACGAGCACCTTGCTCGCTGATCGAAATATCTTATCCATCATGCTCACTTGCTGGCTCCGCTCATCATGATCGAGCTGATTGATACATATTTGATCAACCCAAAGATTCCCATTGGGTGATGATCCCCCGGGATGAGCGACGAGGTAGGCTTGAAAAAAATCGAAAAGGTTCTGAGGAACATCGTGATTTCTGCCTTCGATGAGAACGCTACGCGTCGGCGTAAGGTCACCCCATGTATACGAAAGCGCCGTGTATCCATCGCCGAAAGGGACAACAACCCGTTCTAAGTCACATACTAGCTGCAGAGTGGCTGCATGTCGTTGTATGCGAAGGAACCGGATTTGCGAGTCTGCGAGAGGAGCGTACGTATACTGCGACATCTGGAGGCCTTATACGTGTCAACTCGACCCAATGTTCGCCAATCGCTAACATATCTGACTAGCATGACCAGATAAGTCGATCTTACTTACCTATTTCACTCTGTGTGTGTTCATGTCTCGTCGTGTAGAGCTGACAGCCAGCATGCCCCACTCCTGGTGATCATTGCGCAACAGGTGTAAGCTTGACTGGGTGGCAGTGCACGGCATCGGCGTCAACGGCCTATGCCGATACCTTCCTCAACCTTGCAAGACATGCATGCGCTGTCACCGCGTCGCGTTTCTCTTCAGCGTGCACTCACACCAAATTAGCCCAGTTGTGGACGTGCGTAGTTCCGGCCGGATTAGCCTGAACGTCTGGAACTGCGGCCGAGCTACTCACGAGCAGAATTTGCTTATTGCAGACGTTTGTCTTCCTTCAAATTTCAAAAGTACACGCTTTGCTGAATTCCCTGTTAGGCGCCCATTGTAGCGTGTTCCAAGGTTAAAGTCGTGGCACGACAAGCATAGGCTTAGCTAAATTTGGCAGTCTAGCGAGAATATCAATACGAAGTACACATCTGAACTCACATCGGTTACCTCCGTTCCATTCGAGGTCATCTCATATAGACGTTCAATGACGATGATGGAATGTAGTCTGCACTGGTAGTCTTAATTAGCAGCGTGTTCGGCCCTTTCTTTTGAACGTTGTTCGGTAGGCAACCATGCCCAGGGAAACCGCGTCGGCTAGGGCTGAGTTGGTCTGAAAATACCGCTAAGGCGCAAGATCATCTCCGCTAAGTGCTTACCAACTAATCAAACTTCTGCATTACCGCCAAGCTTTCAATGTCAGGCCTGTCAGCGTCCGACAGGGTCTGGCCAAAGCGCAGGATTGTCCAGGGCTTGCACGACTCACGAACGGTTACTGCTACCTCCCATCGGGTTTGCCCCTTCGCATAATATGCTGTCCAACCACATGCGGCAGGGCTTACGGGACCGGAGTGGAAAGGGATGAGATTGAAATACAGCCTGCTGCGCTGCTGTCAATTTGCGTAGACTTTGCACTTCTTTGTATCTTCAGCATGCTGGCGTCCATGGGTGGGTCAAAGCCCGCCTGGATGAAGTCTCCAAGCCCCTGGAACATCTTCACAAGCCCTCGATGGATCCGGATCACACTGGCGACAGTAGTGATATTGTCGACATGCATTTTTCTCGCTGTGGAAACGCGCGCCTTCGACAAAATTCCTATGCCGGCCTTAATCAGCCACAAAGCCGCCGAACCCGAAAAGCCGAAACCGATTCCCACACCACCGCCCTATCTCGAAGCCAACGTCACTGGTACCGACAGGCCGGAAAAGCTAGCATACGTTACTTTCCTCACGGGAGTTCCCACTGAAGGCGACGACCTGTTTAAGCCAAATGGCGATGCAGACAATTTGGAGGACGACAAATACTTCCAAGCCATCCGTATCCTCATCTGGCAATTCATTCATAAACCTGAGACGCGCACAAAGCATGATGTCATTGTCATGGTCACTCCTACCGTCACCCAGGCACGACGCGATCGGCTGGAGAAGGATGGCGCCATCGTTCATGCTGTAGAATTCCTGCACACTGCCAACGACAGTTGGGTCCACCCCGAGGTGCACAGATGGGACGACGTAATGACTAAGCTGCGTGTTTGGGAGATGACCCAGTACGATCGCATCGTCGTGATGGACGGCGACTCCATGCTGCTCAAGAATCTCGACCCAGTATTCGACGACCCCGCCGCTCAGCTTCTCGCTACCAAGCCGTCCAACGATACCGATCTGCCCTCAACTTACCTCCTCGCGTCCAACTCCGAAGTCTGGGACTCGTCCCATACTTTCCCGCCTACACATGGCACAGGTCTCAAGGGCCCCGGCAACATGAACGCCGGGTTCTTCATCCTCGCGCCTTCGCTTCCCGTCTTCGAGTACTACAAGACGCTACTCAACACACCCGGCTCCTTCGACCCCCGATATCCCGAACAAAACCTTATCAACCACGCGCATCGCTGGGACGGACCCATGCCTTGGCGGGAGATTGCCTATACTTGGAACATCCGTTGCCCCAACGACAACGACATTGCTAAAGGTCTGGTCAGTGTACATGAGAAGTGGTGGAAGCAGCCGTACATCTACGAAAATGCCAAGACGAAGCAATGGTTGCAGTCACGGCGGTGGGAGATGAAGGGATGGTATGATGCTTTTGAGGGATCGAACTTGACGCGAGCATGAATTTATTGTAAGAGAACAAGAGCGAGGCGCTGTGGAGTTGACGATGTTTTGATGCGATAATACCCAATATCTTATTATGTCCTATTTCAAGACCGTTGTAAATGTCCTACGAATATGAACATTTTCATGCCCAGTTTCCTAATTTCCTGTGTTGTGCTGCGAGCTACTGCAATGTTTCACATGGGAGTCACCGTGATGACTTGCCATTGTCACTATATTGGCGGGAAGAGCTGTTGTATAATCATCATGCAATACTCGTCATTGGACAAATGCAATTGATGAATTTCATTGCTTACCGCTAATGAACGCTTGAACGCAAAAGAAAGGAAACGTACACATTGCTAGTTGATAGCACTGATGAGTATTCTCGATGCCGAATGCCAGTTGTAGCAAGTCAACATATTACGTTTGACTGTGGCCGTGACTAGTCATGCCTAGTGATGTAAGCAGGCCAACTATAAACACTTACTTTTGCTTGGCGATACTCTGTAGTCGATCCTGAAGCGACTTGGTGGCGTTGTTGATAATAGTCAGTCGCTGTTCGTTGATGTCTGTGCCAGCAGGTACGCGGGGCCTGAGTTCTGGATGCGCCAGTACCTCCTCAACTGATGCAGTCAATCTGTCCCTCTTCTCTCGTGCCGTATCACGATCTAGTACGGCTTGTTCGGCCGCATTCTTGAAAAGCTCCAGGGCATGCTCTCCTGCTGTACCGGCCGACATCATGTCCTGATAATCTATCAGTGCTCTTCTAGCATGTATCTCCGCCTGGGCTGCAAGAAGAGTGGCATCATTCACATCCTTGAAGAGTTTCTCTTCGGCTCTCACTAGGTCTTGAACGACTGATGCAACTTCCGTGTTCCGTTTGGTAAATGCCCTCTTTTGTTCTTCTGCCGTGCCTTTCGGTCGATCCGGGTCGTCGTTATCGTCCAAGTCTGGCTTGTCAAAAGTTGACTGTTCGTAGTCATTTTGACCTGTCATCTCCCAGAGAACTGGGCCAAGATCGATGTCTTGTTCTATAGAATCGGCACTACGAGGTGAGTCAGGCCTTGTGACAGCGTTCCTATCTGGAGGAGAGATTGATGGCGTAGCTCCATTACTTGACGCTAAGTTGACACGGCTCATACTTTCGCAAAGTTCGAGTACCCTTCGTGTATCTGATCTGTGAAGGTATCCTCTGAATCGAATGTTTGAGGACCAATATAATGACGTTCGGTAAGAGAGATCCAAGAACGACCAACGATCCAGAACGCCCTGTGCAAGCTCCACGGGAGCATTCAGGGACAAAAACTCAGGGTCTTCATCGGTAAGTCTGTCACGATCAAAATGTTCTCCTGCTTTACGAAAGCCAACTCGACAAAGTCGCTCCGTTTCGCTGAGGCCCTGCAATCCCTTTGAACCGCGTGATCCGATTGGAGCGAATACCCCATGCTTGGGATGTTTCTCCAGCAGAATGTGGAAACGATCTTTAGACACTGCCTTGCCAAACATCGTGGCTGTGATACTGTCATCTCCAACTCTGCTGTTAGGATCAGTAGTCGGTTCATGGACGCTTGCGAGTACTAAATCGCCTGGCCTGAATTCAGATATCTGCTGTTCTGTTAGTATGCGCTCTTGCCTGATGTTTGAAGCTTTGACAAGATAAACCGCTTCGGTCTGTTCGTCAGGATATTGATCGATGATCAGACCGTCCCAACCAACTGGCAGCGCTAGCTCTAGGCGTCTGTCCAATTCCTCATCGCTTCTTGTGAGTCTCGAATACCTTGCGCTTCGGCGCCTTGGAAGCGGTCTGGTAACACCTGAGGGTCCCCGTGGATGTACTCTATCGATATGGCTTCGCATTGTCAATCTAATGGAGACAGCTGCCTGAATGTGCGAAGGAACCAAGATCGAAGCACCCTGGTTTAGTTCAGGACTACAGAGATTGTAGTATGCCTGTGGTAAGATTTGATGTGAACCATGGGAATATTCTTGTGGTGATCTTTGATAGTGCCTTTACGTTCTTAAACAAAAGCATAGTTAGTCAACATTGAGAGTGGAAGCGGAATGATCTTACCGTCGCTGGTGACAGAGTGGTATTCTTCACAACGTCCGCCGAACGATCGATCGCCCTACTCGGAGACACGGATGCCAGCAGATCGGTGCAAGGTACAACGTAGACGTTGTTACTCACATGTTTTGAGTGACCGGTAGCTATCTTCAGAGTATTAATGAGATGATAACCACTCGACTGTACTTCATCGAGGAATAATAGCTCACGCACTAGAGAGATGATGAAGAACAATGCGCAGACAATGCGAACGGGTGCTTTGTTCCTTTTGGACCATACATTTACCGAGCACCAACCCTTCCTGAGCCTTCGATACAAATACTACAGTATGACTAACATGAATGGCTATAGTCAGCGAGACGCCCAACACGCAGCTAGTAAGATCGAGAGTAACCGAAAACGAGAACTCACAGTGGATGATGCGGAAACCGTCAGTGGAAGAGAAGCAGGGGAAGAAAGACAAAATAAACGCGCCAAATTCGACAATGATATTCAGCAAGAGCTACCAGCTATCGAACATGACAACAAAGAAAGTAAATCTTCAACCGATAAAAAATTGTTGTGTCCGAGCGAAGGAGTAGAGATGGACAAGGGTCCAGAAACTACGAGTGATCCCAAAGACACGAGCAAGGACGGTCACGCAAGTCTGAGTTCTCCCTTAATTAGAATAGAGGATAAAGATACTGGAAGCCAGGCAAGTGTCGAGCAGCTCTACGCTAATGGAACTTCCGAAATGTTCCTGTTGAAAAAGGTTGGCTCTAAGCCGCCAATAATGATGATGAAAGTTTCGTATGTGCTAGCCCAGATGATTGAAAAACAGGTGTCAGCTGGGCGGGCATATCGACGCGCAAAAGACGCACCATTGCGGGAAATGGATGAGGCACTGAGGCAAAACAAGATCTTTGGAGAACATCTTCTTGAACGCATGCGAGGTATGGTGAAGCTCAAGGGAGACCGAAAACCGACCCCTGAGGAGAACAAGGTCGTCCAGCGCATGCAGCAGGAGGCGAACCAGCTAGATAAAGCAAAAAGGACGTTCAAAGAGGAGAAAGCAAGGTTGGAACAAGTTGCCGAACTTGCTCGTCAAGCCTGGGAAGATGCTACGTTATCAGTGGAGAATATCCTCCAGGATGTTTTTGTGCAATGCGGACTGATAGGCGAGCTCTTGTCTGGAAAGGACCAGCGTGATAGCAGAGGCGCCCTTGAAGGACGACTAGAGAACATCCGGGCCTACATCAAATTAGAGGAGAAGAAAGCACGTCGGGAGCTGCGTGAAGCTCAAAGACGGCACGAGCAGCATCGCGACACCTTCCGACGAGGACTCGCGGCATATGTTGCTGGTGTTGTCGATCGACCAGATGCATCAAAGCATCTTTTGGAGGAAGAGTTCAGCCGTGATCATGTTCGGACTTGTTATGAGCTTGCCGGACTAGTGAAACGCGCAGAAGCAACACATGAGGCTCAGTTGGCAGCAGCAGCAGAGGCGCATGTCTCCATCGTCGGTTCAGATGATAACATGAGTCTAAACATGCCATACGACCTTAAGGAGTATGCAACAGTCAAGATAAAGAGCCTTGATCACGATGCCGTAGAGGCTTGGAAAAAAGGCATCGATGCTAATGCTAAGCCCAACTTGAAGCCTGCAGGATATGTGCTGCACATGGCAGAAAAATGGCAGCGGGCGCTGGACGCCGATGACGATGTTTCGAGCTCGACGGACGAGTCGGTGTGGAATGATGGCATTGAGGATTGTCGAGTCCCATCAACAGTATACGAGTCTATAGCACAGCCGGTGTCGCAAAAGTCGGAGAAAGCGGAGCAGTGGCTCAGCGTCAGCGAACGCGCGGTAGGGGATAGACGGCGGCGGATCGAGACTCGGATGCAAGAGATAAGACCCGTCGAACCGTGACTATCATATTGTTAGTGACCAGAATACAAACGTGTATGTTTTAGCAATTTAGTTTCGCGTTCAGAGCAACAGTGTTGACGCGGAACAAGCGCGTCGTGAACGACTTGAATGACGACATGCCAAGGCTCGATGATATGCGATTAGTGCTTCGGCGGGTATCGTCCCAGGAAATGAACGCCAAACGTCCCTTCCGCTTTCAACCTAGTTGTCATCACGCTCTCTTTGGGCCACTCTGCTCTCGAATCCGGAATATACTCTTTCAGCGTAAGTGATACCTCTGCGTTGGTCCCACACGTTCCTGCCATGTATCGCGTAAATAGAATCACAAGTTCTGCAGGACGAAAGAGGGACTTCTTTTACGGCATGTTCAAGGCTACGGCCTTTCCGCATCTGAAAAGTACTTTAGTGTGTATTTTAACCGGAGCAAAGACAGTATATTCTCCCATGGAGCGCCCAAACCTGAAGAGGGTAAGCCCTACAACGCGTAAAGTTATTCGTACTAAAGGTTAATTCCAAGCCTGGTCTTCTACAGAAAGCAACGATCTCAACCTGTCATCTTGCCCTCAATAGCACCGTTCTGGACTTCATCGACTTCTCGCGTGGTTACCTCCAATGGGTCAGTACTCGTGTCTCTCTTTTGGTATAGCTGCCTTGACACGTGGCCGGTCAAATACTCATCAAAGTCTCGCATACATAGCGATGCAATGATTGCCAGCCCTCCAATAGCTACAGCAAAGTAGTACACATAGGCGTATGACTTGGAGTAGGCGTCGCTAACAGCTACGTTGGTGGTGTGAAGCAGCTCCGGTGTCATGCCATCGATCTCGAGAAGAGCTGTTTGATTGGCGGTAGCTGCAGCCGTCATAAGTGCGCTCAAGGAGCTTGCAGGTAGCCCATCCGCTAGAACACGTTGCGGTACTATCGATGTGAGATAGCCTGGCACCTTGTTCGTATACACTGCGATAAAGGCAGCGGTGAAGATGGAACCGAAAATGGTACGGGATGCTGAGATGACAGCTGAGCACTCTTAGCAAGCATCGCACATCTCACATGGAAAGGGTAAACTTACAAAAAGCCACTCCGAGATCTTGGTCGGAGACTACATACTGTACGACGATTGCTGCTATGACTTCACCCCACCCGATAGTCCAGCCTGCAAGAAACGAGAAAGCGATTGCGCGAGCTTTTTCCTCAACTGTGATGCTGGCCATCGCACCAAGAAAAGCGGTCATCCAGATCGAGGAAATCAGGATCTGGTACCTGATGTGACCGATCCATGACATGAGTGGCCCGAGAATAACTATACCCCCCCAAAGTCCGAATGCAGCTGTCGTTGAAAGCCAAGCGGTCTCCTCCCACGAGCTCACAGTCGAGCCGAAGATATAGACAACCTGTTGCGGCCACATAACAAAGAGCGCGATGTTGATGATGCCGTAAGTTGCTGAGATAACCCCCAAACAGGTAAAGCCACGCATGTCGCGGAAGAAATACATAGGAATGATCGGTTGTGCTGGCGGCAAGAAGACTTCGTAAAGGATGAATGCGACGATGGCTGCAGCACCCGAGAGTAATAGACCGAGAATTCTTGGAGAGGACCAAGGTTGCGCCGGACCGCCCCACGATATACTGAGCAGGAAGAGAGCTAAGCCAGCGACAAGGAGACCGACGCCTGTCCAGTCAACCTTCTTAAGCTCTGCGAGTTTGCTGGATCTTTTCCCGTGGAGCTGGGTATAAGAAGGTGGGTGGTAAAAGAAGAACCATAAGATAGCGCCAGGCACTACGCATTGTCATTGGTATGTCAAAATCAGGCATTTTCGAGATGACTTACCCATCATCATGATATATACGTAAAAGATCCACCTCCAGCTAGCCACCTGGACCAGCCGCAGGCCAATGTACGCCCCAAATCCCGTTGCAATGACATTAGGCACGACAACCAGAGCAGTGCCGATATACTTGTGTTTGTTGCTGACTAGCTCACCAGCTAGAAGTGGATAAGCCGCTGGTACTCCAGAGGCAATACCCATGATGACCTCTGCTCCGATCAACGTCTCAATAGACTGTGCTGTTGCTGCAACTATGCCGCCAACGATCGCAAGCACACAGGAACCCAAGGCAAAGTTGCGACGGCCAAAGCGATCACTGAGCCGACCGAATAGCAGAAGCGAGATGGGTTGCGACACAGTCCATACTGTGTTTACAAGGGCGATATTGGCGCTGGGTCCGATATCTGCGTTGACAGAAGACACAGCCGCAGCTAGGGCTTGAAACTGGAAGTACGTCGCAACAACGACGATGCCCGTTCCCATGAATGACCCTACAATTCTTGGACTGGAGAAATAGCCGTTTTTGAGCTTGGTAACATCGGTTGAAAGTGCTTTAGAACGTAGCTTGTCTGCCTCTTCGGAGTCGAGGGAGGTAAGAGGATTGTTAGTCTCTGGGATGACCTTCTCAGAGACGATGTCTGGTGGTGGACTGTTGTCGCTTCCTACACTGGGCATTGTGTTTGATGAGGCCGATTTGCGGAAACCTGGAAAGGATATGCGAAAAACAGAAACGAGGATACAAGTCAATATCGGTGTACTAGGGGGGATATATTAGCCAAAGACAAGATGGCATCTTGATTCATGCAAAGAGATATGCATATCTGGAGATACGACCGACCCCTTTGTCATGCCTTAGATCAGCTTCAGACTCGCCACTTCGTGACTGGATGCAGTAGCGTATGCACGGTATCCAGACAGACCTCGAGGTACGTTAATCCGCAAGGGTAGTGACTAACATATACCCGCCAATCAATGAACATATTCGGCCTCGACTGTGGAGGTCGTAAGTCGCGGAAAGGCGCAAGGCCACCTGATGTGAGCCTCAGCACACTGATGAAGGGTTGACGGTGGGGGTATCCGTCCAATGATCAGTGATGACGAATGTTCGCAAGGGCTACAATACCTGCGGCGGACAAGGGTGCGATGCACATCGCTACACCACTGCTGAGCGTCGGTACTAACCACAAGAATGGCTAATTAGCTATGCGTTGACGACAGGGGTCCTGTTGCATCCCAAGCCACAGGTCCCCAATCATCACAGGTACATGCGCAAGACCCAAGAAGCCAGGCTTAGGAGGGATAGAATGCGGAAGTTCGGGCACAGATGCAGACCTGGAGCAGGTTCACTCCACACATACTCTCAGTAGGAGGCGCTCAACCATAATAGCTTGTTACCATATTCACGCAGCCTAATATTAATCACCATGACGATAAATTCCCCGAGCCCCTTCTTTGTACCAATAGATCAACCGTTAACTCTCAGTTCTTCAACCATCACTCAAGTTCTTCATGAGCCTTTCCCACTCTCGTAGCTGACCTCATACTCATGATCAACCTGAATACTGTGTGCATTTGGTCGTCCATCTGTGCTCATAATGTTTCTTGTGGACCTGTCATCTTCTCCCAGGGATGAATTACCGTCCAAGTCTTCTTCGCCTCTACTTGTTGCACCGTTTCCTTTCATGACACTCAGCCTTTTTGATAGTGTCGCGGACTTTCTATTGCGGACACCCTCTTCGAGCTCCATATATCGGTCGCCGGACGCTTGATCGCCGGTGCGCTTCTTGCTGCCGCTGCGCAAGGCGGAACCGATGTCGAGCACCTTTTCGAGGAGCGGGCGCAAAGCCGAAAGGTTAGCAAGAACTACTCCAAGACCTAGCTCTGCATGTGCCCAGGCCGCTACTGGCATAGCGTAGTAGAGAAAGTCCGTTGTCGCACTAAGGTTGACAGTCACGGTGAGACGAACGATGGCCGCAGTCGACGCGAATATACCGAGGCCGAGGAGCGCGATGATGGATATCTTGACCCGGAAGTCGATCTGGACATTCCAGAGTAGTGGGATAGGACTGTGATATGATAAGTCAACGAAGCTCATCGAGTTGCGAACAAACTTACATGATGGCGCAGAACCAATCTGAGAAGATGGAAACCGCCGAGAGAGCAAAACTAAACCCAGTGATGTTGCTTTGAGCTTTACAAGAGCCACCTTCCACCGCTCTCCAATTCATCGCGATAGGTGTGCAATGAAAGAACTCATATATAGTCGTTGAAGCCATGACGGCAGCGACTGCGGCCATGATGGCATATATCGACCATTCATATGCCTTCTTGCCATTGGCTATGCGCAGCAAAGTAAAGCAGATAGCCCATTTCACTGGAATGGCAGCTAGACAGAACATGGTCTGCATGATGAACCACCACTGTCAGATATCAGCGTAGCAACTAAGAAGATCTTTCATCTTACGTACGAACATTGCGGTTTGTTTCTCATCTGCAGTAAGCTCGTTGTCCCTTTTCCCACCTCCTGTGAAAGCGATCCCTAGCATGCCCATGGTTGACACGATGAAGAGTGGCTGTGGAACGTGAGTACTCGTAATAGATCATTATGATAACTATTCTCTCACAATTGCTACCACCATAGACCAGTCATCTGGCCCCCATGCTTTTCGCGAAAGCCGGACATGGAAACGAAGAGCCCAAGTTAGGACATCGAATGGTAAGAGAACGAGGACGGCTAATGCCAACTGGGGAGACGTAGGACCGGACATAGCTCTTTGTGAATTCTCGTGCCCTTCTCCATGGCCACTTTATGTCTGCGGTGCAACTAGACACCTGTGCCTGAAAACGCCCCCTTCCATGGATCCCTTGACATATGGCGCCCTCAGTGATCCCCAATGATGAAATCTTTCTTGAGATTTACACACACCTTCCTCGCAAACTGAGACGAGATGGCACGTTCCAACGTTGGGTATCTCTCTTGCTGAAGCAACGACCCAGTCGCGGTCATTTTCACTCCCCAAAGCAGTACCTCGCAGGATTATCCTAGACGTTCGAGGGCTCTGCGCTGCTAAGCACGCTCGCTTAGGCCACCGATTATGATGTGACAAGGTCGCGTAATCGAGGCTGGCGATGAAGCGTGAATCTCGTACGTGACATGCGAGGATGCGGCATGGTAATGATACTTTCGAGTTCAGGCGCATATTTTGCCCCCACGTTACTCTGCCGATCTCATGGTGAGGCTTCTAAGCGACAACCAGTATTACCACTACCATACGAGCCACAACCGGCGGTACAGGGTCTTGAGTAGACTCATAGGGAACCGGATCGGGGAGAGGGGAGAAAAGTCGTCACAGTGAGGAAGGCTTGGGGGAACGGGGGGAACCCACCCGGATACCCGCCGCGGGGAAGACGGGAGAGCGGACAAAACGGGGTGTGGCGCGTCATCCCTGAAAACTGCCCGCTCCCGGCACACTGCATACCATGCAAGCACAACCACAATCAGTATGGAGCTACATCAGTCGCGAAAGCTCAGATGTTCTAGACAGATTTTACTCGCAAAGCCGAACGGCAGTCCAGACCTTCCCAAGCACGGCACATGCGTTATGCCTCAACGACTCCGTCATGTTTGCAACGATCCTAATGCTACAGGAGAATGATTCACTGCGCGGTCAAGCCACCATCCACATTCAATACCTGCCCCGTAACCCATTGCGCATCATCGCTAGCAAGATACACCGCAGCCCTTGCATGATCGGTGGGGTGCCCAAAGCTGCCGCGAGGAATGGAGGCCTTGACGGCGTCCGCTGCGGCGGACAAGGCCCCACCAAGCGCATCATCAAGCATGGCGGTTTGAGAAACTGATAACGAGCGTCAGGGCGACCATTGCCACACCGAAAGAGTTGACTTACATCCAGGAGCGATGCAATTGGCTACAATGCCTCCTTTCGCGACGTCCAGTGCAATGGTTCTCGTCATAGCTGCAACGGCACCCTTAGACGCTGTATACCCAGCTGGAAAACGTAAGCCCAACGCTAAAAACAAATCACTCGCTAATTCCTGCGCGGGATGACTTACTAAGTCCCTGCATCCCGATATTGGAGACCATAGAAGCGAGGTTCACAATCCAGCCGCGCATACCGTTGGATTGTGGCTCTTGTACCTTGAATTGTCGAACGGCATACTTGCAACCGAGAAAAACGCCTCGTGTGTTGATGCGCATGTGAGCGTCGAACATGTCTTCGTCGACTTGGTCGATGGGTAATGGGTTGCTAGCCTCAGCGCAAATGCCTGCGTTGTTTACCACACTGTAAGTACTGATATCAGTTTACGTCCTCCGAATGGGTGGTTACGAGGCGAGTTTATACGTACATATCAAGCCTCCCATATGTCTTGACAGCTTTTGCGATGAGTGCTTCCCAGCTGGAGGCTACACTGACATCGGTCTCGACAAAGATGGCTTGCCCGCCTTCGCCGACAATCCATTCATGCGTAGAAGTAGTTTCGCCCTTTCCAATTGGCTTAAGATCAGCGCATACAAGCACTGCACCCTCAACGAAAAATTGATGGCAGATCTCTCTACCAATTCCCTGGGATGAGCCAGTGACTATGGCAACGCGATTGTTTAGCCGCATGACGGAAGACTGGATTGAACGACTTATCTGGAGAGTGTAAATTGCAAGTCGGGATGAGGATAATTTTCTGTGAAATGTTGAAACGTGAAAAGCTCGAACGAATCTGTGATTGACACTTGAGTTACATTTCCTTCCCCGCTAATCTGGCCAAGCCTGTGAACCCAGAGCTGGATCATACCCATGCTCTTCCGCATCCGCGGAGGATCAGAGTCCCTGAAAAGTGTTTGATATGCTGTATGCAGCATCCAGGGTAGTTCGCCACCAACTTGTTGGGTTTTATGCATGGTTTGCTGTCACTTGTGCATGCATATTAGAATTCAGAAGGTCGCGCTTAGACTAGCACATGTCAACTCAGCCACCACTTGCACCATGACAAGGCCTTTGGAAAACAAACTTGCGATAATCACTGGCGCATCACGGGGTACGTATCATCATTGTCCTCCGATAACTACTCAAGGACGGGGTTGACAAGCGTTGGAAAGGGTTTGGTGCTGCCTTAGCACATCATCTGGCATCCAAGGGAGCGAACATCGTCATCAACTACGCTTCAGAGTCATCCAGTGTGCTCGCGACTACTCTATCCCAAGAGATAGAACATCAGCATTCCGTCCGGGCATTACCAGTAAGGGTGGACATCACTACGCCTAACGGCCCAACCCAACTGATCGACGCGGTAAAATCAGCTTTCAGTAACGGCGATGGGTTTCGGATCGATATACTAGTAAATAACGCAGGCGTTGTCAATCCAGCGCCAATGGGTTCAGTCGTCTTGTCAGACTTCGAAGCAACCTTCGCATTAAACGCGCGCGCACCGTTATTTATTCTACAGGCTGCACTACCGTATCTGCCCCATGATAGATCAGGTCGTGTGATCAATGTCTCCAGCATAACGACTTCGATGGGCTTTTGGTGGCAATCTTGCTACGCTGGTACTAAAGGCGCTCTTGAAGCAATGACACGGGTATGGGCACGAGAGCTCGCCGAACGCTGTACAGTCAACTCCATCAATCCGGGTGCAATGGCTACTGGCATGTATACGGGTCTACCGAAGGAAATGTTGGAGAAGGTCTGGTCGCTCAACTACATGGCGCCACTGGCTGCGACGAGAGAAGGTATCGACTCGGAAGATACCATTGCTGCGGCGAAGGACATGGGTGGGAGGCCGGCGTATCTAGATGAGGTTGCAGGAGTTGTCGGCTTGCTGTGTATGCCTGAGGCTGGGTGGATCACGGGACAAGTGATCGGTACCAATGGTGGTGGTGTGATGACCAAAGGATAGACGCAATCGTTATAGCTTGGTAGCTAAGATTGCCCACGGCGAACACTCACGAGATGATAAACAGCTAGAGTGAGCTAATGTTTTCGATTATGTCACTCGATACCTACCTGTTGTGAGAATGATGCCATCTTGACATTAGAGTAGGAGATTGTGACCTACCTAGGTATGCACCCGAAAACGGGAAAGCGTCACGATGCGGTAGCTCCCCACTTTGACAGCATAATGTGACCCCACTGCGTATAGCAATGGTGAAAACTGTGCGCGGTGATTCCAAAGATCTACACCCTACTTGAAGAAAGTCAGCTGCGGCCATGTCGAAATGCTGAAGTTCGGGCGGCCACATCTCTCAAATTCCCTCGTTCTGATTATGTCACTGCTTTACACGTCCGCTCAGAGCATACTGCCGCTCGCTCATTAGACTCTTTCCCCCCTGGATTACCTACGTCCGTCGCCTCTGTCTGTGCTCCTGCCGCGTTGGCGCATGTTCATGTCGTCATCACGACCTTGGCCCCTTCCGCCCCGCCGGTCATATTGGCGGTCGGTCCTAAGATCATAGTCAGATTGACGAATCTGACGTCCGGGCCGCGACTCGCGTATGGTATGACGATTCTCAGCGTTGCGACTATCTGGCCATCTTCTTTCTTCGCGTCTCGCATGGTAACCTTGAGTCCGGTTTCGATCATACCGTGGTTGCGAAGAGTACTCAGGCGCATCATCTCGATTACGATATCGCTCCGGCTCCACTCCATGTGGAGATCTACTACGTCGACGTCGTGTCTCCTCCGTTGAGCGCCCTCGTGGATGTCGCACTTCCGTGTCTTGCCGGTTGTTGCTAATGACGTTACCCTCGCGGGTCTTGAGATGATGATTTTGGGTAACTCTGGTCGTAGATATTATCTCCTCACCACGCTCACCGGGAAACTGCTGGCTTTGAAGTGAGGCGTTGTTGCTAGTGGCGCGTTGAATCAGATCTGTCGATACAGCACCGGCTACCCTCTGTTCGTTCTCGTCTAGGTCTCCGGTAAGATCATCAAAGACATCCCTGATCTGTCTTCTAAACTCTGGAGTCTTTTGTAGCTGCTGAGTTGCAGTTCTCGATACAGTGGACATGTACAGCCCAAACAGGCGAACCCAACTGTCCATTTCCAAGTGTCCGTCTAGCACGACATATTCATCCAATTCCACGGTACATATGCTCCTGAACTCGAGGTATGAGTTCTCCGATATTTTCTTGCTGTTATACATTCTTTCAATGATGAGAGGCTCATTTGGTGCGTCGCCTCTGTCATTCTTGTCACGACCGGGCGGTACAAGCTTGACATGGAGGTGATAGTCCTCTCGTAAGCGGGCCCCTCGCCGCAACCCACTTCCCCCATAGGTGTGACGTTGCATACAGTGTAATCTCTTCGGCAAGTGTCTTTCATCAAGGTCGACATCATAAACTACCAAGGGGTACCTCTTGATAAGAATCATGCCGAGTGGGCTCTTGTAGAAACCGCGTTCCCGCTTCCGTCTTCCGTCTCGATCTTTTCCGAACTGTATCACCGGTGCAGTGATGAGCGAGCCTCTCACGATATTCCGCACAACATTTGCTGAAGCCGGTTTAACAATTCCCCAATGACTCTGTACCCGCATGTCAAGTTCCGACGGGGTGACGTCGCTTGCTACAGAATGTGCGGCGTCTTCTTCGGTATCGTGAACACGGTCGCCTCCAATTGGTGTTTCATGACGGCGTACTCTACCAGGATCATGCTCGTCTGGATTGTTTCTCGGTCGGTGGTCTTGTGCTGGAGGCCGAGCTGCAGGGTCAAGGGATTCTCGTGACTTATCCGTCATAATCTGGAATACCTATCAGACCAGCCGTTTGGTCGAATAAGGGGTGTTTTAGGCACTTTGACAGCGGAGTATCAGTTGAATTGAGCGGGCAGTTGACTGGGCAAGAGCGCTCAAGCATCATGAATCTTGAGAAGGTACTCAATGCTGCTAGGTCGCATTGTGTGTTCAGATCTTGTTGTATTCACGCCCAGGGTACGTGTGTGGATTTGTCGAAGTTCAAGCAATGAAAAATCTCATGTTACTTCATGCATAAGCCGATCGAAGGACATCATTCACTCCTGCCACTACGCGGCTTCTACACTGGTCATTTGCATAGGCACGATTGAGACCATTTAGTACATGATCTTTCACGATGACGATAATATGATATATCGATCAGGCTTCGCGGGCGTATGTTAACGATGGTGATGCAAAGGTGCCGTACTTGCAACGCTCCAAGATCAATCACAAATTGTCTTAAGCTCGGATGAAACCCATAGGGACACTGACACGAGACGAAGACCTTCATTACCTTTCTAAAGGGCCCAACGCCCGAGTTATAAACCCCTGTGATAGGTCAGCATGCGCCGATAATGCGGGTATCAGATGTCGAGGTCTTAACAACACTGTGGCCACTGGTTCTTGGTTGTAATGACTGCTACTTGAGTAAACACTTCGTTGAAACACGTTTTGCAACAAATCTGATAGTATATGCTCTCCTTATTATTGACTCAGACAACAAAGAGGACAACGGCAGTGAATGGCGCGGTACACCTTTGTTGTCAGCCGTACATACCGACTTCTTTGTCTGGGGCTCTGTTTGGTGTTCCGAAACTCAAGACAACTGTCGGGTCGTTTGTCCTTCAAAAGATGGTACTGCATTCCTATCGTGTGGATACTCACACACAAGCCGAATCTGCAGGTTCCACTAAGATTCGGAAGCAAGTTCGCAAATATTATGCTACACATGACAGCAACGTACATTACACAGACGATCACGGTTATTGTGATGGTAAGCGTGCGATGGTAACATTACAGGACAACGCGAACGAACAACCAAACGAACGCATCATGCCCAAGCCGAACATGCTTCATAGCAAGCCAGCTTCGACGAACAGGTTGGAAGAATCGACAGACTTAGGAAATGTGTCCACGCATAACAGACCAATCCGGACAAGTTTGGAGCAGGGCACAGCGTCCTCGTTGGAAAGTTCAAGCTCAAGCTCAAGAACCCCTGGACCACAGAGTGCCTTTATCGAGTGCAGGCCCAGCGCCGAAGTAGACGACACTAGAAGACCTTTTGTAGCCCATGAATGGTGGACGAAGGATAAAGAAGATACAACTAAATTCTTCTCTTCATTTTTGCCTCTTCTGGTTCACGCTCATGACGGCAAAGATCTTGTTCCGGCTATTACCATATCAAAAAATCTAGGGACACGTATCAGTAAGGCGATTGCTGCGGAACGTCGATACAAGAGTCTTTGGACGAAAATTGACGACAACGACATAAGAACCCAGGATAAAAAGTCGAGGATACTGAAGGACATTGAAATTTTTGATGAAAAATTAGCGAATCACGACCGAGCTATGCAGGACTCATTAAACCCACCGAGCCCCGCGCAACGCAACAGACGACAAGATCTTGTGACTCGAGCGTTCCTTGCGCGTAAGGAATTCGATCACATTATCGACAATGAAAACTGGCTTTGGGCAGACTGTAACTCTGCTGAGCAAGCGTGCAGAGACGCGGGGGAGGATGTTGGTGCACTATTGCTTTCCGCCTGGCTACAAGCAGGACTGACACAGCCTGACTCCATCGACGATAAAATACTTCCTAGAGGTGAGGGACGTGGCATCACCCGCCGACTTGTAAGTGAGACGCCCGCTACAAGTCTCGGTCGCATTCGAGATAGTGTGCACCAATACGCGAACGCTTTACGCAAGGCGCGCGATCGATTTGAAGACATGTGTCATCATTACTCAAGCTGGGCACCCTGGGAGGATGGCATTCCTGGAGAGTTCAGAGACAGCGTTGTGAAACCAGCCTTCATGGACATGTTGCAATGCGAGAAGGCGAAGCTTGAAGACGCCAAACGTGATTACCGACGAGCCATAGGTCGCGCTTGGCGTGAGAAGATTCCCCATACGGATCTAGATCTTGGGTATGTTGATGACTTGGAAAGCGTTGAGACAAAACTCCTTGAGGGTGAAGATGCGTGGTTCATTAGAGAAGGACCTATCAACGCGCTGGAGATTTGGAGACGCCAGAATCCAAACCGTGCACCTTCTGAAAAACCTTTGTATCCAATCAGTGAGGAAAGAAACAAAGAGGATATACACCCGTGGGAAAGCAAGAGCAGATCGTTCACTGATCTGGCTTCGAAACAAAGGTCCGCGTCACTGGAAAGGAAACGACCCGAGCCGCCAGCCAAGAAGCTTCATGCTAGCAGAGATAAAGACAGATACGGCCAAAGAAGAAGAGCGTACCTCGATGACAGCCCCAAGGCTTTTGGTCCATCGATCCATGCTCGGAACAGTAGAGTTAGAGTAACCTCGGCGCCTACGAAGCACCGACAACCTCGAGAACCAAGAAGATTGATGGCTAAGCAGCCCTGCAGACAGACCAAGAAAATCAAACACGTGCGATTGCCAATAACCAGTTTCTTCAAGAAGCGTACGAGAACAGCATAGGAATCCAACACTGGCCTATACTCTCACTATTCCAGGCTAGGTGCGATGGTTTGACGACCTACGGGTATTTACAAAGGTCCTATAGGACTAATGGGGTGCTTGCTATCGGCCTAGAGCACAAGTATTGTTATGAACAAAACCACAAAGGCTATGACAAACTCATGGTTGCCTCATTCTATATATACCAATCTCTCGCAATTCCAGCACTGTGTATGTGCACCGACTACGGAACAGAGCTCAGGGCGCAGCCACACAGGTAGCCCTGAGTATTCACCATGCGCCTTCCCCCAGGTGCGATGGTCGCTCAGTATAATGAATGCCTGAAGACCGAAATCCTTCCCCCCTATCTATATATATACCACAACATCATGTAACATCCACAACCCTCAGTTACCAAGACCTACTGTCTCTTTCAACCGGTTCAACCACTTCCTACACAACAATGGAACAGAACACCTTTTTCACAGATCTGGAACTTCCTCCTCAACCACTTTATCTCGGTCGCCCTCGTTCTGCCTCCGACCCTGTGTTCTCGACATCTCTGATCCACGGGAAACATTACATCGACAAGAACACAGGCAAGCGCGAATACGGCGGTCCAAATCTCAAGACGCTTGCCAAGCAGAAGGGTAAGGAGTGGTACTCTTACATGTACACCAATGTGAATGAGGACATGATTGTCTGGGAGGGTACATTTGCCGATATCCATGCAAGTCCAGACACTGTTTCCTCGGCGGATGGTTACTCTCTTGGCAGCAGCTACAGCTTCATGGACAAAGAGAAGACCACAATTTCCGTACCTGGATCTCCCCCAGTGTTCAAAAGACCAAGGGCAGAAGATTTCCCACTTCGTGTCGCGCCTGATACTGGCTATCATTTCATGGACGAGCACGCGGAACGTGCTCCAATATACCAGTACGAACCTGCTTTCCAAGCCATGGCTCTGATGAGCCCTGATACCCGCTTGAACGACGTAGATATTGTGATTAACCGCACCACAATACTTAACCTGATCAAGTTCCTGAAGGGTACATCCTTCCAAGAGTTTCATCTCCATCTTGACTTCGAAAAGAATACCCTCTTCATCGGTAGACAAGTGCGCAACGCGAAGGTTAGATCTACGCCTAACTCATACGGTCGGAACTTTGAGGCTGCACTTACCGGATCCGAGATCGATGGCGCGACGACTCATCACCGAATGCTAAAGTACAAATTTGGCTCTCTAACTTTAGTCGTACGTCATGAGGTCGACGCGTACGATCCGACTATTGTAACGCCACGGGACCCTGATGTGCTGCCGACTGTCCACCCCAGCTTTGATCCAGGCGACTACAACGCCGAGAACATTCAATGCGATGAATCGCAGGGTACGATAGTCATTCCTCAAGGCAAAGTTGTTCCACAGCACCAGATCTTGGAGCTAAAAAGCAATGCTAGCTCTCGGCCCCTCGATCAAATGTGGCTGGGTCGAACACCCACTTGCTGCCTGGGTGGAAAGCACAACGCAGCTTTTGATGGGACCTACAAGCGAAGGGACATTCGAATAAAGAGTGTCACTCAGAAAGGTGACCATAAAGACAATTACAAGGGTTTTGAGAGTTGGGAAGCAGATAACCAGGAGGTGCTCCAGAAGCTTGTAACGCTGTTGCAATTGTTGCGAAAGACGGTCGAGGAGAAAACCGAACATCGGTCGGCAGTCTTGGTGGCAATGAGCGGTGACGACATGAAAATATAGCAGACGAAGAAGCGGATCGGGGCGCTGCCGAAAGAGATTGTTGATCGTTTTTGGGACTAAGGATGTGCTTGTTCGGATAAGGAGCTTCCTCCGACAAAAGCAATATTGGAAAGGATGTGGATATCCAGGTAACTCTCATGTATCAGAATATAGTAGTATCAGTAGTTGTGATCATAATGGCACCTAGGGGTAAGCAAATTTGTTTGATTCTATCATCACCAACTTGAACGTCTATGTGCAAATCAACTAACTATGACGAAACTGTTGAATGTCTCCTTCAATGATACATACGATGCCAACCCTTCCTGGCGAATGTTCGCTTCAACAAGAGTATTCGCATGTAAAACAATCGAGCTGTGTGATATTATTCGAGATGATACAAGTTTTCCGATCCCAAGGAGTGTAAGTTGCAGCTTACCACTCATCTTAACGACATCCTGCAAGACGCATAGCCTAACCAACGACTACCAATGATCAATAGACCCGCTAGAGCTACTTCCATAATCAGGGGTCAAATCAGGCTGGCAATCTCGACATGCGCAGTAAGGCATGTGGCGACCACGAGTATGGCTGCCGTACCCATCATGAAAGCGACCGTTATCACGAGCATCACGGCTACGCCCTGACTGTTGGTAACCTGCGTCGTAATCTTGGTCATTCTCGTCATCGTCGCCATGATCGTAGTCGTTGTTGTAACCGTCGTCGCTGTATCTGTCATCATTATACCCTTCGTCATCGTAATTGTCCCCGTCGTTGCGTAATCCACTATAGTGAACGTTTTGCTGCCCAGGACCGCAGTTGATGTGAATGTTATGACCCTCGCCATTGATGATGACAGGACGTTCTACTTGGGCGTTGCGCAGACGCTCATGTGTGCGAGGCGGAGTATCTGCATTGTTGTCACGGTGTGGCTCGGAAGGAGTTCTCATCCAACGTTCAGGCGGTAGAGAATGAGAACGCTCGCCGTATCTATCTAGCGCGTGCATGGTACCACGCTGTACGAATGAGGTTCTTGCGGGAGAAATGCCGTCTGCTGCATCACGCATACGTTGGCCCTCTTCGACGTACGACTGCAAACCGGACGATAGCCAGTCGTCAATTTCATTGTTTGCTTCGTCTTGGTTTGGACGGTGGTCTAAAAGCATGGTTGCAGGAGCACTCGGTGCTGATCTCGGTTGAGGTACACTCTTCGACATCGCAGCGCGAAACTTCGCGGCTTTATCACGTATTTTATGAAGTTTGCTTCCGCGCATAACATCAATGTTGAGAATGAGTTGCGGACTGAACCTTCAGTGGAGAGGGGTAAGTGGAACGGAACAGCCTTTTGATTTAAAAGGAGATGTGCAGAGTGAGCAGATGACTGCAATGCGAGAAATTATGACATTCACTAGGAGCAGGTGACTTAAATTTGGTTTCTCTAGACTAGTTTGGAATCAACGATGTGTGCGACTGTTCAGAGAAGACTCACTTGCGTCCATGCTGATTCAGGTGTCGCGGTTGAGGAATAACCAACCAATTTTCTTGCATCCACCCCTTGACTATCGATTGGTAGACATCTGTTTGGTAGATTCTTTGGCGGCGTAAATCTGCATGGTTCTCGCTTTGTGAAGAACGTGTTTAGTCTAGGCGATATCTTCGCTCGTGGATACATGCGTACCGTCGAACAGTGCTTTGTATGAATGAGACAATGATGGAGTCTCACATCAAACTCGCTAAGCCTTCACAATGGATACTGTTAACACAACGCAAGTCTAACACTAGAATCATCGCAGGATAGGTCAGCGCGAAAAGCCGTACCCTGGGAAGACTATAATGTGCCATCCCAGTACATCAGTCTCGGCATTCATGATATTTGCCGTTAGTATACCTTGACTTCAAGAGCGGCACCGCCGGTTCATTCATCTATCCGGTGGGCCCTTTTTCCGATCGGAGCCCTCCGCAGCCTATCGACGATGCCTCAGTGGCCATGCGAAGTATGTCGCTGGCTCAACGAAGAAAACGCAGACTCATGTACGCAATGCGATCGGTCGACGCGTGAAGGCGATCCCGGTATGTTTTTTTTGTTGTCCATTACTTCATCGCTCGAGTACATGTTGAACATCTGTTAATACCACCTGGCAGGAATGACAGAAGGCGAATCGAGTTCGGAAGATGAACAACCAGAAACACCAGCAAAAGACGAAATAGACCAGGAATATGAGCTGCCAGATGAGGAAGGAGGGGAAGAAGATAACGAGGAGAATAATGACGAATACGACAGGGAGAGCGGGGAGGAAGAACGCTGACGAAGTTGGGACTTTCATAGGCGGAAGAAATCTGATACGGGATACCCGAAAAGGCGGTCCAGATTAGCGATCATGCAAAATACGACTTTGCTAAATCCCAAGAGAACCGACGAGCAGGCACGCAGTTAGTTTTTGCCGAAGTCATGTTCTGCCCGCTTCAAGCCACCGGCTCGCCTCGAGGCACCGGCTCGCTTCGCAAATGGTAAAGAACAAACGAGATGCTCGGGCAGAAGATCTGGATAGGCGGTCGCTGAGATTGGACAGCAAGTGTTAGTGTAAAAGAGCAAGTCGTATTCTCCATCAAAGCGTTAATAGGTATGATCTTCCTAGTGCAATTGTTCTTTTGCAACCACCCCACAGCTCGGTAAACTCGTGCGAGATTTTACAACAACCCCCAGGCCAGGACAGCAGCCAATATCCCGCTTCCCACAACCGGACTGAGCCTGCCTGCCGCACCAGTTGGTGTAGCTGACGCTTCCGACGATCCGTTGGTCGTCTCAGTCGCAGCGTTCTCGATAGCGACACCTGAAACCCCTGTCCCGTTCTGGCATTGATCGTCCGAGAGCAATTCAGCTGTGGAGTTGAACATGATGTCTGCGCACTACAAATCGTTAGCCTCGCCCACTTCTATTCAACCTCACGCCGACCGCTTCCATATCTCTTCTTCATCCTTCGCCGCAAACACTCAAAACTCACATTGTAAAGCGCACTTCCGCTATGGCCTAGCTGAATGACCTGCACGGTAGCCATCAACCCGTTGATCCTCTCATCATCCAAGCCTGAGTAGCCCGCCGCCTTGAATCCTTCCTCTAGATTCGCCCGTCCAGTCTCCTTCATACAGAACACGCCTGCACCGGTTTGGTTGAACATTTCCAGAAGCGTGATGTTGAAGTTTGTGGCATTGGAACCGAGGGCTAGGTTAACGGCTGTGAGGGCAGATGTGTGGCTGCCGTTGATTATGGTCGAACCACCACTGGGGGGCCAGAGAGTGCCTATCATTGATTAGTTCGTGAAGTTTAGTGGCTCAATTGGGTCGGCTGATGGGATGCTGGGTGACAAAGAGGGGGAGTCTTACGGTTCGCCATGTCAGTCGTCTCATTGACATTGGCACAGGGATATATCCACTGGCTGGCTGGTTCTTCGAAGGAGCTGCCGCGCCAGGTGGGTGTGAGGAGGCGGAAGTGAGCGTTTGCGCCTGCGGCGAGCGCAGCGACTGCGAGGAAAGATTTGGCCAACATGATTGGAGCTTGGTATTAGAATGTGGAATGAGGTATGACGAGTTGGAGGGATGGAGGAGATGTGAGAAGAGAGAAAAGGTGTGTTAACCCAACAAGCGTGCAACAACTGACATGCAGCTGCCGTACCCTTTATACACACTCACCCAACGAACCTTCCTCTCTCCACCGTCTCTTTAGCCGCATTGCCGTCGTTTTAGCGGAACAAAGTCGCCAGCATTCCGCTGCCAAGCAAACACCATGGTCTTTTCCACTCGTCTATCCGCAACCACGGCATTGGGAAAGCGAAGAAACGCATATGGTAAACCAATGAAAGCTTGTTCTCAATGCTGAAGAGTCTAGAATCGGTGTGCTTGTGGGTTCAGTGGTAGTTGTGGCGCGAGCTATAGCTGCGACCCTGCATGCCGACCCCAGAATAATGTGCTCAAGTGAGCAAGTTTTCGGGTTAGCGAAGAGAGGCTGGTTCGCGTGCCGGCCGTCAACATCCAGTTGAGAAGGTGGCATGAGACCACATTATGAAGCTTACAAGAGAACCAAAACCCGAATTTGAATCAAATCTGATCGCGATGAAGTGGGTGGTTGAAGAACCAAGTTGGTGTTGAGCATACCTCAGAAGATTGTAGTTTGCCGCTAGCCCAGATGGGGTAAGATGGCATCTAGGCACTGCAGATCAACAGGGACACATCTGACAAGAGAAGAGAGATGTGAATGAACATGACTAAATTGCAATGTCTGGTATCATAAAGACTCACAAGGTCGGAAACTCCATATTCAATGCCGTGACCCAGACTCCAAGAGACTAATGCTATCTTTTGCTCAAAACATGCTACTTTTCTTCTTCTTCAGCTTCTCGGCATTACTCTCGCTCTGTGTTCTCAGACCCCAGAAGCTCTTCTTTGCCTTTGCCACAGGCTTCGGGAGACCATTGCTGAAGAAACTGCTTTGACTTGCTGCAGGGCGATGTTGGACAGGCGTCTGCAGATATATACCCGGTGTTTGCTGCATGCGTGGAGGCTGCGTGGGGACAGGGGCGGGACGAGGCACTGGGCTGGGTCGCTGGTTTTGCCATCCGCCTTGTACGAGTGGTGCGGAGTGTCGCTGAGGCTGTGGCGACGGGCGGAGTAGGTTGGACTGGTCTCCGAACTGCTTCTTCAGGCGTTCGGTCTCCTTGTCAATCTCAGCCTGCTTCCTCCGTCGCTCCTTCTCTTCGCGTTCCTTCTGCTTGCGTTCCTGCTCAAGGAATTGTATTGTCTTCCTTTCTTCCTCCTCTTCCTGCCTGCGCCGAGCTTTACGAGCAGCTTCAGCTTGGCGCTTCTGCTCGCGTGCCTCGGCCTCCACTTGCGCCTTCAATCGCGCGGTCTCGGCATCGATCTCCCATTGTGCTCGGGGATCTAGCCTCGGACCTTCTTGGCGTTGTTGTGTTGGGCGCTGTGGCTGGGCGGGCCGCTGTTGTTGGACAGGTCGTTGCGGCTGGAGGGGTCGCTGTTGTTGGGGAGGAGGCTGATTCGAGCGACCTTGGTTTGTGGCTAGCGGAGGTAATGAGGAACGCTTGGCGGTATTGTTGTTGCTGGTATACGAGGGCAGAGGTGGCTGTGCGTTCACACCAGCACCTGCTGCAGGCTGGAGCGGGACCTTCTCGGGTGGATACTGCGATGACGAAGGGGTGTATGCTGGTGGGGGCGGAGGCTGGGGTGTCATGACCGGTGCTGTAATGTTCGGGCCTTCTAGTGGCGACGACCCCTTCCTCGCTCGCAGTGGCGCGCTGTTCTTCCGGATGTTGGCGTTGATGTGAAATTGTTCATTGAGGTCGCTGAAGAACAGATCGCGTATCACAGCGGCTCCAATGAGCAACGCCACCTCCAAGCCCTTGTAGTCTTCAATCTCAACGCGGTAGAGATTTGACTCCATAATGGTCAACTCCTTCAGGCCAGAGAAGAGAGCGACGGCAATGTCGGGCTCCTTACTCTTCTTGACCTTCTTGCCGGTAGGGTCGGTCGATTTGCCTGTCATGTAGCAAGTCATATCCTTGCCCAGTCTTCCCTCCTTCCGCCACGCAAAGTTGACCCTGGGTGTGTTCACATCGGCACCCGGATCCGTCATGGTGCGGTCAAGGGCGGAATTGCTAGGCGTCCTAAAGGTAACCTGCGGAATGCTGAACTCCCAACTCACGGTGCTGCTCCATTTCGCCGTCGAGTGCTTAACAACAACGCGTGAGTCGGGGTTGTACATCTGGATGGCGAATTCGGTGGGGTAGATGGGCTGCGGTGGGGGTGGCACGCCACCATTCTTGCGAATCTCCTCCTGCGAGAGTGTTGGATGCGACCATCCAGGCTTCGCCAGCACTTCGCCATAGAGAACGTCGGGGTTGCGCGAGTCGAACAAGGCTACGGCGTATGTGTTCTTCGCATCGTTGGAGGTTGGGTCGACGTGGTGGAGGGCATACTGGGCTTCGGGCTCGGAGCCGTTCTGGGTGAAGTAGAATGATTCGTGGTGCTTGAGCTTGTCGGTCGAGGCCTTGAGAAAGAAAGCTAGGGATGGTTAGTATGGCCATAGCATGACGATTGGCCGCATTAGTTGGCTACACGTACTGGGGAGATTCTCGTCTAACATTGCGTCATGTTACAATCTTCTGACCTGTACGTATGACTGGAGTTATGGTCAGGGATCTGGAAGAGCGATGTGTTGGCAGGTCAGTAGATGTATGGCGGCGGCGTCGAGGTGGTTATGCTGGACCGGATACGCGTCTTCCATGAGGCTGTACGGGCATCCCTGCAACTGCGCCGGGAGCCGCTGCCCAATGACGCCGATCTGCCCCGCTAATCGGCTATTCTTAGGAAAGTCAGCCTCGTGGGAACCGTTCTTCTGCTGCTCCACCCCTCGTTTCTCCCACTCGCTCGCTCGTATATCATCGCCTTCATCATCCCATCTACCATTGGACGATTGAACATCGTGCTGCCCTTCACACCAGGCTGCTGCTGAGCAGGCTGTGGCATGTTGATGATGCTTGCGCAATGCACCACTGTACGGCGTTTCACCACGGCCCGCAGCACAGCCGACCGAAGGACGACCGCAGCCCATCCACTCCTCCAAGCTCAGCGCTATAACTAAAGTCTTTTGCTAGGCTGTTCACAATCGAGGCTTGTCAACGGCTTTTGGACTTGGCATTTTCGATCCTATGTCAACAACGATACTTGAGCTTACGCGTCTTTTCACCAAGCGAGATGCAGGCTTCTCGCAAGGCATGCTGCATCGAGACTACCCGCTCCGAGAAACTGGAAGAACGACTTCAGGACCAGTCGTTGTCCCACTCATCGGCCAGTGTGCATGCATCTACAGGTTAGTTGAGCGAAGAATTACGATCATGTTGTTGAACTGGTCCTCTGATCGGAAGACCTCGTTGTACCGCTAGGTGGCCATTGCTTTGAATTGACGCGCATCCAATCGCTACCACTCTTAGTTCGCTGTGGAATGGTATCAGCACTTGGAAGCCAGGACGGTCGATCATGTCCTCACCCCAACCACCTGCGTTGTATACTCCTCACTGTGGATGGTGACGACGCAGCAGGAGCAGCCACCGCACGGCCACAGTTTGCATCTCCTGCTCCTAAAAACGCAAAAGTGGAAAGACCCGCCAGAAGGCGCCTCCATAGAAAGGGCAAGAAGAAGCAGAAGAAAGAGGAGTAGCAGTACGTCAGCAACCAAGATGTTCGCTCTTCAAGCTTTTAGGGGCAACAGCAACCTGTCGGTGTGACGCAAGCTGGTACATCGCTTACCAATGCGGAAGTCTTCAGATCGAGAGCTTGGTACTGGAAGATGAATCTGAGTGATGCAGAGTTTAGTCCGCTTGAGGATGTAGGAGGCGAAAGTCCAAGAGGGACCTGTTTCGTTTTCCCCTGACGAACCAATGTGAGTATGCTTTGTGCAATGGTTGGTATCTCTGTTTCAACTCATCCAGATTTATTTCAAGGTTTCAGAATCTGCACTTTCTGTATCTTTACGTCAACCTATGCTACATGCTCATGTGAGTGAGCTACGCACAGACGTATCACGTGGTTTCTCGTAATCATCATCTACCTACGCAGGCGCATCATCCAGCATTTACATCGATACGACTTGTAACGTGGGTAGCACAGCATTAGGACAAAGAACCTTTCAACATCTTGTTCTGCAACCCGAATATGGATTAACGCACTTTGTGAAGACAATGGGTATTCACATAAGTCACATTCACTTTGGGCAAGCTGTAGAGCCGACGTCGCGTTGGGTGTACCGAGTTTTCGTTCTAGCTCTGCGCTAGTTCTTGTTACACCCCGGCCACTCGTCACGCCTGCCATCCACGATACCCAAACAGACTGCGTCCTCACTTGTTCAAGATAACCAAGAGACCTCACGTGTGCAGAAAGCCGTAGTTATTAGTCATGCCAGGATGCGCACCCGTGACTGACGCCGCGCCACACCAAGACGCTACCCTCAGCAAGGTGTCTCTTGCAACTAATAGTACCCTTCAAGGACCTGTCTCGAACGAAACATCTCCGCCAAAAAACGAACCTTCCGGGACAGCTTCAGAGTCGTTCGAGCAAGATTCTACTCGATTGCAAAACTACCCGGCAATCCAATCGAAGGCTGTGGTTGCGTCTTCCAATTTCGTCTGGTATCGCAGCGCCGCTATACAAACACTACCACCTAGCAATGCGGAAGAATTCGAGAAGATCTATGGCCGTCAGCCCACAAACCAAGAGCTTGTCAGCAAGGTCGGCAGCGCCGCAATCGGTCATTATGTGCCGGGACTGTCATCTAACCCTCACGATATCGTTTCCAGTAAGCCATTCGCCATCACGACTGTCCCAGAACGAACTCCAAACTATGCAGACTCTTCCTTCCAGACCAGTGACGTTGCACAATGTAACAAGGCTTTGTTGCGGGCAAAGGTGAAGGCGTCGCTTTTGGTCAACAAACAGCGTGACGGTGCTCGAGCTGCAGGGTTCAGAGTGTGTTCTGAAACAAGAGACGAGTACATCGTACATTCAGAGCAGCTACCGATCAACCTTCAATTTGACACCAAAGGTAACGCAATCGGTACGAACGTTGATGGCTACTCACTGCCCAATATCTACGGTGAAGAAATCAGCATCGGCAGGGAAGCCAAAGACTACACCTCGAGCGCTGTTATGACTTTCACCCCGCTGCCTACGCCACTGCCACCGCCAGTCCATGATTCCGTCACCGAGATGAGCACTCCTCAGCGCATTCGTGCTCTCGAGCCTCACGTACCGAGCGACAAGTCCGATCCGCCACCAATCGAATGGTACGGCTATATCGAGCGCATCCCGATACAAGATACCGTGAGGATCGATGGTGGAGAAGTTGAACTGGCAAAGCCTATTGGTTCGAGGTTGAGCGACCAGAAAGCCGCAAGAGAGGAGCGGGATAGATTGGGCGAGGTAAGAAAGAGTGAAGAGACCATGTTGGTCATAGGCGGCGAGAGGTTCGCAGACAAATACATCGTGTATGACGCAACAGCGCCAAATCATCCGAGTTCTTCAACGACATCTGATGCAAACTCTGATATGAGCAAGAAGAGAATCTTAGAGGACGAGTGGGAGATGAAGATGTCCACAAGCTCACCTAAACGCACAAAAGCTTCGCCCAAACTTACGAGTTGTTTAGACCTCTCAACGAGTTCCCCTGGAGACTGCTTGGCTCGACATCAAGGCCGATTCGCTGAGAGAAACGACGCAAAGGGTTCTCATATTGACTATAGGGAGATTGGTGAAGAAGAGACACCACACAGGGCTCATGAGGACAAAGCAGGCGCCAGAGGCGAGCAGAGTGATGCTAACACATCAGCCCAACGTGGGTTCAGACGTCGAAGTCGCTCTCATGGCGGGGGCCACGTCGTTCGTTGTGAATCCAGAAGCAGCGTTGAACGTCAATCTGAGGACCCATACGAGGAAGAAGGGCAACGCCATAACGCGGCACACAAAAGAGAAGATGACTCACGAACACATTGTAGATCTTCGGGTAAGCAGAGTCGACTGGAAGACGGCAAGGAGAGTAACGGACAACACGGGGGCGTGACTAGGATATTATCAGCGCGCAAGCAGGAAGATAACCGCCGAGTGCAGCGCGCGCAGCGCATCGAAGGGGAAGGCCCTGCGGAAACCCAGAAACAGGAGGAATCAGAAATTCAGCGCGCGCGTACAGCCAAGAACCAACGGAAGCTGGAGATCGAAGAGAGAAAGCGAGCGCAAGAAGCCGATCGACAACGTCAGCAAGAGAAAGACAGAGACCGACGCCACCGACATGACGACTCACACGACAAGAGTAAGAAAGCACGCCGACAGACAGCGAAGCAGGACGTAGAGCCGCCTGGGCCGATCGATCCATATGCAGCGGCACGACAGGCTGAGGCAAAGCGGAGAGAGCTTGTATTTGCAGCGCGTGGAGCCGAAGAGGCTGATAGTCGTACGCGCGAGCGGCCTCCTGCTCGCGACGAAGGTCCAGGTAGACTTGATGCGGAGCGATCGAAGCCAGAAAAGACGGTTGGAGAGAAGAAGGCCACTAAGACGAGACGGAGTCGGACTGCGAGAGGTGAACTCGAGCGGTATGATCCGAGGAAGAAGTTTGGAGGTGGCAAGTAGACACGTTGGATAAGGCTGCGGATGGCTGGAAGCTAGGATATCTCCATACACACGAATTATTCTGATGCACTAAAATCTAGGTGCCATGTCAACTCTCCTTCTAGATTACTGACCTACATTGCCATGCTGTAGTTGTTCGTTACGGTATCTAGGGGCGATGCGTCGATATGTAGCAATGAGAGGAGCACAAATTATGTAATGAATTCTATATCTGCGAAGAGAACAAGATGTAAACATATGAGGTAGTTGCCGCAAACATCAGCGACTCAGCCACGTTGAGCTGGACGGCATGTAGGGGTAGGTGATTGGCTACGGCACTTGGCAAGGCTGACACACGTGGCTTACCTCCTTACCGACACAGCCCCGTTACCGTGATTTCATCGTCAAACTACCCCCGCCGAAACGTTCGAAAACCTAGACTCTTCTGGAGACTTCTCTATACAGTTCGTGTCTATTCATCATCAAGTTTCAACAACGCACGTTAATCACCACCACGAAATTCCTCACAATGCTTCTGTGACTCTTGCCATGGAAGAGATCTCTCGGAGGAAATCTTGCGCCCAGGAACACTGCCCCGCGTACTGTCCATACGCAGTCAACAAAGAGGTTGTCCCTGGTGCAAACAGCTTATACGGCTGTTGCGGGCATCGTTTGCCGATCATGAAACTGAAAACATACCCAAGGGTTGTTCACTAGGCACACGCTCTCTATCGCATCCTTTTCTCGCCGATCACAAAGCAACGATCTTCTCACTGAAATACAACGACGATGACCATATTCTGAGAAGATACTTGCTTCCAGTTCATGCGCGCTTCGTCAAGTCCAGTTCTAGCAAATACACTTATTTACCGTGTAGTTGAGTAATTGATCGTAGCTCTATGGACTACGGTATGTTCAACGAATGCATCAGACTGTGACAATCTGAGCATAGGCCGAAGTGTGTCAGCTCTGACTGCTGCGAGTTCAGACCGACAAGACTCATCGATTGCAAGACGGGAGTACTTCGCGCAGCTCCCCACTGTCAATACATATGTTTGGGGGGATGCATCTGCCGAGAACGCAGCTTCCAACACCCAGAAGCTGACGAACATCCCACAGACAGTGTCGGATGCCATGTTTGTGACTCTGAAACTCGGTATGCGCTACTTGTGGGTTGATAGGTACTGCATCAACCAAGATGATCCGGAAGAGAAGCACGGCGCCATTCGTAATAAGGATTCAATCTATCGGAACGCTTTTGTAACGACCATCGCTGCTGCGGGTAGCGGCTCGGACTATGGGTTACAGGGGTGAGTTGACCTCGAAAAGCAATGCCTTCTGTTAATATTGGAAGTCATGCTTCCGTGGCAGTGTATGACTCATTGACGGAGATGGAGACTACGGTATGAAACACGCGGGGCTGGACCTATCAGGAGGCGCTGCTTTCCTGTCGCCGCCTCATATTCACCGATTATTAGGTCTATTTTCAGTGTCGAGGACATCAGATTATGGAGCAGCAGGATAGAAATTCTGAATCGAAAGAACTGATCCACTTGATCAGGCGGTACAAAGAATTTCCCCCCGTACAGGATGAGCGTTTCACTATTAATGACATATATTTTCGCGTGAAGGAATATTATCCTCGGACACTACGATACGAGAAAGACGATATCAACGCCTTCGACGGAGTGTTCTGGACATTGGCTGCCCGCACGCCAAAGGACTGTGTCCTGGATTGCGGGTCCGAGCCTCAACTTTACATGGCGCGCCGAAATCCCCATTTCTATGGCCCTCCGCTCTGGCTGCAAGAACCTGAGTTATCTGACGATCCTGAGACTCTAGTATTGCGTCAATCACCCGAGATTAGCGATGATAACAAGGTTTAGTTGCGCTTCGGCATCAATCTTGGATGGAAGGTGAGGAAAAGAAAACTGGAATTCTCATCTACACACACTGGAGTCTTAGCAAAGTCCACTTTTCCGTCTTGGAGTTGGGCATCCACAAAAGATTGGAACCGCAAGCTCGGCCAGCGACCATTATTCTTCTCTGGCCGTCCTGATGTGATCAGGAGGACTCAAAACGCTCATTTCATCGTTTCCGTCACGCATATACTTGGACAAAATTTGAGCCTGTTTGGTTACACAGCTTAGAGGGACAACTACACCCTCTTCCATCCCTGGTAGATTAATCAATTCCTTTGACCTGTGTGTTTATTGATGTAGAATCAAACAGGATAGATGTTGCCGCGTACACATCTCGCGGCTACCTGTGGGAAGTCGATCACCAAGAGTACGGATTCTCCGGGCTGCCTGGTGCTGATGTGTATCTGGATGATGACCAACAATATAAAGCTAGGGAAGTGAGAGCCTTATATCTTGGCATGTCTCGACATCCAAATGCTCCAGCGACGAAAAAGGCTTTGTTCTTGATACTAGAGGAAGCCGAACAGCATGCTTCCAGGCGTATTGGACTTTGTGAGACGTATAGCAAAGCATCTAACAAACTTTTCGATGTTAAGGGAGCATTCCAATCCTCACAAACGCAAGAGATGAAAAATCCTGAAGCAGGAGCAGACTGGAGGCGGGAACAGTTGAGAATTGTCTGAGGAAAGGACACGAGATTGGGATGGTGGTTCTCGTCTATCTTTTTATACCCTATGAATTTATGAAAAGCCACCAATGATGGTAGCTATGGTGATTCGAGTTTTTCATCGTCCATGGACCATTGTTCGCGTATGAGAAATGCCTGACGTATCCTCATTACAAGACATGTTGGACTTGATATATGCATACGCCTACATAGCCTTCTGAATAGTTGTCAGTCTACGTGTATCGAGCAGCGGAATTCGGAGCGGACAGTTTTGCAACACAATTGCTGCCAAAGTTGCGATCGAAAGTGAACCCCCGATATTGGTCCGTTCAGCCCTGAGCTTTTGCTCTCCTTTCACTTGCAGTCACTTGCACTCGCGGGGAGTCCCTCCACCGCTTATCACGCAGGTGAACCGAGCTTGGGATTGTATCAGCTGTCGCACACTTGCCTTTGCATCCAGCGCCACAATAACCAACGTGACATTCTTGCAGGACAGCACCTCAGCTCTCAGATACGTCCAACACCACATCACTTACGAATATTGATTGACCCACTCCATCATTTCTTCTTACAGAAGAACAGGAAACCGAACAGATCAGTCACGATCGACGACATTGACATGTCTAGCGCGCCAGTCATGACGGACCGCAAGTGCAGTTCCAAAAAGCGCGTCATCAAGAACATGCCTATCAATAAGGCGCACATCACCCGCCGACCGGTCTACCATCGCGTCGAGCCACATTCGGCAGTGAAAGCGAAGTATGTGCAGACGAAGACACCTCGCCGTATGGATATCGCTCCTCTTCCTCGCTCGCGCTTGGCGCAGAAACCACTGGGCTTACGTTTCACGAAATGCAAGTCAAGCTGGAAGACACTGTTGCATGCATATATGCTCGAGATGTCTTATCTCAGGGATGCAGAAATGTGGAGTTCGTTCAGTTCAACACCATGCGCACAGTATGAGGAGATGGACTGCGAATACGACACGATGGATTCGCGCTTCGCCTATCATATGAGTTACGGTGTCTTCGGCTCCCTCTCCCCTGCTTTCGGCGTGTCGATGGCCAGCACCAACAGCTTTGGTAGCTCGACTGGATCCGGAGGTGCCGTATCAACCTTCAGTGCCGCCACGCGGTCATGTCCCATGAGCGGCCAGTCTTCCGTAGGAACTGTCAGGGGCTCCTCGGGTAGCATGACTGCAGGTTTCAGCAAACTGTGGACGTCAGATATAGAGATGAAGGACGCACCAGAGGCATCTTCAGACCACGACGCCGTTATACCCAGCACTACTACCATCTCCGTACCAGTGCCAGCACTTTCTCAGCCGCCCAAGCACGCGAACACGGTTGTACTCCAACCACCACAATTTACAGGCCTAGGTTATCTCCCATCAAGGCTTTTGACATCCGAGACTGTCATAGTACCAAAGCCAGCAGAGATGTCGAAGGATGAAGTCAGCGCCAAGTCGCCGTCTGTTTCTCTGCCGAACCCTGCACCAGATGTTGTACTACCCCCAACTCCTGCCTCACAGCGCGAGGAAGATGAGGAAACATTCGCAAAAGCGCAGCCTTTAGCACCAGCAGACATCACCAAGCCGGCTATGTCTATCCCTCCAGTGGAGGACACAAAATCCTCAGTAACTCCATCTTCGATGGTTGACAACGAGTCAGCTGTGTCATCTACTCCTTTGGAGAGCATCGATGCAGCTGTTCCCCTTGCTTCGATGGAAAATGACAAGCCGACGGTATCGCCGCCTTCGATGGCTAATGTCAATGCGCCCACAGAGATATCAAGACAAAAAAGTAGACCGAGAAACAGAGCCTTGGTTACTTTAGTAAAGCCAGAAGAAGCATCCAAGCAAGAAGTAGAGCTAGGAATGGGTTCGTTTGCATCCTCGAACATCCAGTCTCCAGAAGCACAAATCTCGGCCTTCTCCAACACCCACTTCAAGCAGCTATTCGGTGGGGAAATGAAGACATTACAGGCCAGCCTCCCAAAACAGGAAGACATTCAGGGATCACAGGTCATCCTCCTCTTACGTTCGCTGGAGTGGATCACAGACAGCCATGAGGCTGGATGGTTCGAAGACGATATCGAATTGGAAGACGATGTTGCAGACTGGCGTGGGAAACTCAACATCTTGATGGCGAAATTGGAGATATATGCGGGCCCGGACGCGAACAGCATAGTCTCAAACACACGAATTCAGCTTGAGAAGGTGTTTGTGATTCTTGGCGGCGCGGAAAACATTAATCAAGAGGTTGCTTGAGGAAAGGAAAACAAACCTGGGGATCGGGCAGATACAAGATGATACTCAATCTCCAAAAAGGTTGAGTAGTGCGTGCAGAGATGAAGGCGATGTTAGTGTATTTGTATCACGATTGATATGGACGCGAGAGGGATGCGAAGTGGCTGCAAGCGCTCATGCAAGAGCACTCCATGGTGCTATGAAGATATCGTAGCGCGATGCCTCCTCTGAAACGTCGGACAAGCGGTCTTTTTTGACAAGAAGCTATGCGAAAGGATTATTGAAAAGAGTAAGGGCTGTGACGTCGACATTCGCACGTCTTGTATAGGATCGGCTGTAGCGCAAGTCATGCGTTGCGGATATTGTTGGTAAACTGGTGGCTTCTAGACAAATTTTCAGTCTTTCAACGCATTTGTACTTTGTGTTCCTGATACGTCGTGGGATGCATTGCTTCTCAGTCGGCCTACAGTACCTTTCACAGGAATACTCAAAACCGTCATCAGTTGGGTTCTTTCTTCTCTCCTTCAAGCAGTATCTCATGCCCATCCCCTTCTCGAACACCTTGTGCGAGTGCCCACCCAGCGACAGCAACAGCAGCCATACACCACCACGCTAGACTTATTATACCCATGTCGAGTCCTTTACCGAACACCCAAGAGAAGAGTATTGGTCCAATTGTTCGCGTGAGGCTGGATACCGACTGACCTATTCCATGAATAGTCCCTAGAACGGACGGATGGGGGCTGACGTTGTTGACGAGTATGCCTGTGCAGGGCAACGCGAACGTGCGAGCGAGTACTTGTATGAACAAGGCGCACGTAATAGCGATCCAAATCCAAGGTCCACTTGCGCCATTGGGTGGTGACGTCCAGCTGGGTACCAAGCTGAGGAAGGGAGCAATCGTATACATCAATGGAAAGAGAGCAAGGAAAACGCGATAACACTTTGTTGTTCCTAGACGATGCGCCACTTTCGGGTACACCAAAACTTGCAATGGTATACCGATGGCGCCAATGATAGCAAGAGATATGCCGATACGCGCTGGAGGCATGGCCAGACCTCCAGTAAAGTATAGACCGTGAGGCACCAGGCCTGGAGGATATGGATTGGCAGGGTCGAAACGAGGTGTAGAGAGATGGATGGTCCAAAGGCCATTGAAGGTTCCTAAATGCATGTGAAGAACGCCGTGAGCGAATAACGTCATTACGAGGTTTCGTGTCCATATGCGACGGAACGGTAACTGCTGCTGAACTATGTTGCTCGGCTTGTCAAAACTGTCGAAGCCCTCTGCATGTGCCGATGTTGGTGTGGGCTGTAGTTCGAAGTCATCTTCTGGAACGGCGCTGTACCCAGCCTCAGATATGAGTTTCTGTCGAAAAACAGCTCGACGTATCCATCGGCCAACGCGCAGACATGGGTCCGGTTTATGTTTGCATAGCTCGCCCGTCTCTTCAAGAAAGAAAAGAACGGCCAAGAATGACAGGCACAGAAAGACGGCACTTGTAAGGTTGGGGAGTGCATAAGGATATTGCTTCATCCACTGTACCCCATGTTTGCCACCAAATGTTGAGTCTGGTCCGAAAAGTGCTGGATAGCTGGCAAATGGATCTGCAAGCACGCCACCTACTTCTTGTTAAAACGAACCCATATGATTCTCCCTGCGCGCGACTCACCAAGGATTGGTCCAACCAAAACACCGATGTTGAAGACCATGGGCAAGATCAGAAAAGCTCTACTCTGGTACTTTCTTTCCTTGATGATCTCACTGATCATGGTTCTCATAACTCCAACATTACCATTTAATATGCCTCCGAGGCATCTGAAAGTCACTGCCATGGTGAAATTACGCGAGAATCCAAAGCCAATAATGCTTAGCATTGAACCAAGCAGTCCAAGATAAATGGTTCTTTTTCGGCCGCCGTACTCAGAGTCTGAAAAACGACCCCACAGCATGGCGGTCATAAACTGCGTCGCCGGGAATGCTGCACCGATGACTCCCGCTTGATACGAGATAGTAGACTCTGGTAGCGACGGATCGAAGGATTGGAGTTGGTAATAGAGGTATGCGCCCAATGAGGTTTGCGTCAATGGTTCAGAGAGACGGGCAAGCATCAACACTAGGAGTTGATCTTTTCGGGGTAGCGCACTCCATGTCACTGGCTGATCCGCAGCCTTGGCTTGTTCAATGTCGTTGACGTGAGGGGCCGTTGCATCTGCCTGTGTCTCGAGTTGCAGGTCACGAGAAAGTCTTCTAGCCTTCCCATGCCCATCATGCCCGTCGAATTTCGATTTGTTGGCGCTCACACTCGATGATTGAGATGTGGCAAGCCCAGATTCGTAGCCGGATTTCATTGGTTTAGAGGAAGTGCAAAGAGAGGGCCGCGTTGCGGAAAAAGAAAGACCTGCAACAGTTCGACAGATGAATGAGCCATCATTATCGCTATGTCAAAGCCGTTATCTGCCACCGGAAACAAAATCATGCAGCCAAAAACACTAGTGTAGCTGTCTCATTGGTGAACAGATGATGAAGAGTCAATCGGTCGGTTGCCTAAAAAAAAACATCGGACTTTAATGTTGCGTCGCCACTTGGCGGGGCACGCTCGGCTTATATAATCGGACCGCACAAATCCCAATCAGACTCTGCCTCAAAAGATAACAAAGTAGAGTTGATGGCACTCGTAGCGAAGCACTGAAACGATGATTGTAATAGATGCTTGTTATAGCGAGATCAAGAGGATGTTAATGTGTCTAGTCTTCTGAGACCTTCCATTCCCTCTTGATCATAATCTGCTGAGAGTCATGGCTAGCTATAGATGCGCTATCGTGGTAACACCGCGATTCGTCTTTTGGTCCATTCATCCCTGCCTTAGAGGAAGCCTTCGCTTCCCACGGAACTGCAGCGGCGCGCAAGTAAGGATCCGTAGTATCGGGCGGCGAGGTTCTCGATCTCGACTTCGTCTTTGTGAGTGATCTCAGCTCGTAGCTACGTGAGGTTCCACTGCCTTCACCCGTTGTCTCGCGTAGGAAGTATCCTAAAGATCCACCGGTAGTTCCGAACCCTTGTGTGAAACCTTTGAGTAGTGGAGTCGTTGCGGACATGAGGTTGTAAGAAAGTAGAACGCTTTGCCAAGCAACAGTCGGCACAATGCTGATGGCTGGTTGCTTGCTGCCGATGAAGTTGGAGTAGGCGACCGCGTGCATGATAGCAAATATGATGTTGCTGTAAAGTGATAGCGTCAGTGCGTACTCTGACGATTCTGATAGGGACAATGGTGTGGACGTACGGTATTCTAGTAGAGAAGGCCGACACCACGACGGCCTTACTTTTCATCGACATCAACGACTTTTGGAACCCTATGATCGGCAAGACTATGATTACTGTCTCAGTGATAATATCGCCAGTAACCAATACCCTCAGCCATAGAACCTGAATTGTCAGTTCATGGTCGATTCAAAGCTTTTGATGAACTTTTCAGTACAGGCTAAGTGCCACATACATCTCGAAGAACGTACTGTCAGGAACGAGACCGCGATACCCTTTGCTTTCGTAGATTAGAAACATGAAAACAAAACTTACGAAGCTGCTACAATGTTTGTCGCCAGGTTTCGGTACAAGGTTTTCGGCTGGACAAACGATGGCAGAAGCCACCGCCCCAATCAGGGCCCAAATCGCTACCAAACTTATAGTAGTCATGGCTACAATCGATACCCTAAAATTCCCGGCGAACACGTTACGAGTTAGTATCAGAATAGAGCATTTCGACATGGCGAGTGCAATATAAAGGAGTATTTGGCTTGCGAAGAAGTACTAGTAAGGGGCGATAGTGTTAGTGCTGATTCGGTTTGGTGATGGATGAAACATATAAAATGGATGGTCTACTCACCTGCTGCGCTTGGGACATCTCTGTATCATCAAGGAGGACGTATGACTTCCCGAGGCCGTTCCTCAGCGATGTAAAAATCGATCCCCACATGCTCAAGGCTACAAGCTGTATCTCAATCAGCACTCTTTGACGTTAACAAGCACTACGACCAGAAACTGCGCAGTACATACATGCGCTATCGTGACGACAAGGTCGTCAAATCCATATTTTCTCCATTTCGTGAACCCGAGACGAATTGCCAACACAAGCATTGCATATATTGTTGATAGTAGGGTGACTACCCAGAGTTTAGCGCTATGGTCGTTCGTAGTAATGCGAGCAAAACGGCTATCTGGTGTTGCCGAGAGGCGTTTGAAAATATTCGAGAGCGCCATCTGATGCTCAAGATCAACAGACTAGAATGCGTGCTGAAGAAGCGCAACATATGGTTCGGAGTCGATATGCCGTTATCAGGTGTGGAATTATCAGGGCACAGACGCCTTCAGGATGTGTATACTGCGCCACTCATGCTATCTCATCACACGACAGGTTGCGAATCGTAGGAACACATCCTGGGAGCGTGAAAATCATCGTTCCAACACTGCCCATCCTTGATGCTCAAAGTGTTCCGACTTGCTCTCAGTGCACTAATTGTCTGTGGTTCTGGACCAAAGGATACCGGCAAGCTATGCGGCAGCAACCAGCCATGGCAATTTCCCACTGTGTTGGTATCTCATTTCGGGACGCGCGCATCGGACTGCGTACTGCAATAGTGGGAAACGCGCCGTGCCACATACTCTGAAAACCCAATCAGGGAATAGTTCGGATTTGACACTGGGCCATTGCCTAGTACGGTTTTTGTGGCCTGAGAGGTTCCAGCCGGTATGCGCTGGGCGTTGAACAGGAGCGGTGGTAGTTGCGAGGCGGTGTCGATGCGAAGTTGTGCAATGACTGCGCGTACCCCCACGCCCGGACAGTTATCCCGTTTTGACCCACGCGGGCCCGGCTTGACTTCCCCCCTCGCGCTAATGAACTGAGTCCTCCTCCCGCTCCCGCCTCTTCTGCAAAGCCATTCCGCCAACAACAACCGAGTGCTGTTCCGTTCACTATCTCTGCTGTTGCTGAACATTTTCTTCGTCAGACACCGCGCAGTACACCAGAGTAACTTGCGCAGCTCGAAGAGAAGAGTTGAAGACCCAATTCTCTCTACCATGACCACACATCATTTGTCACTTCCATATTGGGTCTTTTCGCCGACGCAGAAGAGAGGCACTGTCAAGCGCCAAGGATGCACTTCTGATACCCTGCATGCTGTTAGCGTCAGATCGTCGGCAATTCTGCAGGAGCTCTGTGACAGCCAATTTGCCATGCATACGCGAACGGCGTTCAGATCATGGCCATATCTATCCGCTTGGATCTCGTTAAGAGAGTCGCCTGAGGGCGTAAGCTGACGGACCAAGAAGGTATCAGTAGATCTTAAACTGCCGTAGAGCTATATATCCATTTCCGAGTATCGAGTACGCCACATGCCACTGTACTCACGTTTGACGGCCCAGATAAAAATCTATGGATGAACAGGGCCCTTGTTCTTCACCCCGCTCCTTTGATCCTTCTCAACATCTTGCACCAATGACTGTGTATAATCGTTAACCGAACGGCAAGCCTCAGCGCATTAGACCATAGCGCCGCGGACCTCAGATTGAATATCAAGCTGCTGTGCCACAGACATGCGACACGTCCTTTCGGACTGATCTCGTCTCTTCACCAGACACACTGTTACTGCATTCTGCAACATACATACAGTACGAAGATGGACGACAATGTTTTGAAGGGTCCTTCCCATACCACCGATACTCGCAACAGCATCGAGTTAGCTAACTTGGATGCTGCAAGCGAGAAACATGGCACACATGGCGATGAAAAGGATATGGAACGTATGGGAAAGATTCCTGAGCTAAGGGTATGCTCCGATAAGCTCTTCATCTATTCTTACATGCGCTTACAACATCGTCAGCGACAATTCAAGTTCTTGTCCATCTTTGGATTTGCTGTAATCCTTGGCAACACATGGGAGTATTCCCTGATGTAAGACGAGTCTCCAGCATGTTTGAAATAATGGCTGATATAGATTTCCACGTAGTGGTATCGGCATCTCTCTTTTCAACGGCGGCCCTGCAGGCGGCATCTGGATGCTTGTCGTTGTTTGTACTGGCATGTTTTTCGTCATGCTTTCCTTTGCGGAAATGGTGTCGATGTAAGCTACAGCGACGTTGATACTACTGAAGCCTTGGCTAATCAGTCTGACAGGGCGCCAACAGCTGGTGGTCAATATCATTGGGTTTCCGAATTGGCGCCGAGGAAACACCAGAAGTTTCTTAGCTACCTCGTTGGTAAGCTACCCTTCAATACGACACACCCTTGGTGCTAATCCTATGCATCAGGATGGTTGTGTGTCATAGGCTGGCAAGTCGGTATGGCCAGTACGGCTTTTGCAGTCACACAACAGATCCAAGGTCTGATCGCCTTGAACATGCCGTCCTACGTCAGTCATGGGTGGCATGGTACCCTGTTCTCTATCGCTATCACCATATGCTCGATCGTTTTCAATACCATCTTGGTGAAGAAGCTGCCATTGATGGAAGGTATCGCACTAGTCCTCCATATCTTTGGGTTCTTTGCCTTCTTGGTCGTTCTCTGGGTTATGGGCCCGCGCTCGGATACGAAGAAGACATGGACTCAATTTGAAGATCCCAGCGGCTGGGGAAATACCGGTCTTGCTACGATCGTCGGCATCCTGGGACCGATTCTTACCCTAGGAGGTGCTGACTTGGCCGTCCATTTGGCTGAAGAAGTCAAAGATGCCGCCTGGGTCAGCCCGAGAGCTATGGTAGCCACATCCGTCGTGAACTACTCGTTGGCCTTCATCATGACAGTCACTGTCTTCTCGACCTTGGGTGATGACATCACAGTGCTTCTCTCCACTCCACTTGGTCAGCCATGGATTCAGATTCTCTTGAATGCGACCGAGTCTCTAGTGGCTACGAACATCATGACAGTAGTCGTGTGTCTATTGCTCCTGTTCTGTTCGGTCAACCAAGTCACAGCAGCTTCGCGTCAGCTGTGGTCTTTTGCCCGGGATCAAGGCCTTCCATGCTCAGCTTGGCTTTCCTACGTACGATTGTTCCTCTCGTCTTTGCAATTCCCCGCTGATACATCCTGTTAGGTGCCTCCCGGCTGGGATATCCCCATCAACGCAGTGATGCTCACACTTTTATCGACATCAATTCTGTGTCTCATCATCATCGGTTCGACCTTTGCTTTCAATATCATTCTCTCGCTGAGCGCTGTCAGCATCTTCATTTCGAATATCATCGTCATCGGCTGCATGTTGAGAAAGCGCATTCTCGGAGAACCACTTCTTCCCTCTCGTTTCGACCTTGGTAAGGCGGGCATCTTTATCAACACTATCGCTGTCTGTTATCTTTCGCTTGCGGTCATCGTAATTCTGTTTCCGTCCGTGCCGAACCCGTCCCTGGCTGACATGAATTGGTCATGCCTTATGTTTGGTGGTCTTGTTATGTTCTCGATGGGTTATTATTTCCTTTACGGTAGACACAACTACGATGGGCCAGTGGAGTATGTGAAGAAAGAGTGGCCTCTATCAGAGCGGCGGTAGACGAGATGCATCCGATCGCTTGCATATGCGCATGTACGATAGAGCATAGCTTCATCCACATTCATCCACATAGAAACTTTTCACCTATTGGTGTCGTATCAGCAACAAATATGCACATAGTAGAAAACGAAGCAATCACGTTTTGGAAAGAGCACATTGATCACATGCATACTGTCCTGTAACCTGGACCTCATGGTACATCACACAACAATTTCATCTACACATACGTGCATGCGCACTGGAAAGCCCATCTCTGGCAATGATCTACAGAAATTGCACCAGCTTTTGCTCTCGGAACCTGGTTCATCAACCATGTAAAACAGAAAGACTCACTGGCCTAACATTTTTTATGCGCCAGCATTTGTATTTTGAGACGCCCCGACAAGAATACGTGCCAACAACGGTCCCAGGGAAGTTGTGTCCAGGTCTAATGCGATCAGGGGGAAGCCGTCGCGCAACTCGCGATCGGCCTCATCCCAGGCGTCCTTGTCATCCAAATTTGTATACTTCCAACCACGGCCAATATGGGTACCACGGCGAAGAAACCCCACGTTGGGGTTGATCATTGTGAAAAAGCACAGGTTAGGTGTTCCCTCATTGGAGTCGCTGCTTTGCTCAACATCGATGTACATGGAGTGCTTGAGCTCACGAAGAGGCAATACATCGTCATTCCAGCTGACAAAGTAGCCCTGAGTGTCACGCTGAAGGTACTGAGATAGATCTTCCTTATTGGGCGTATGATATCCTCGATCGCCATCGATAAGTTGCCATATGAATCGTGGCTTGAGTTCCGCAAAGTGGAACAAGATGGCTCGATAATGCTTTTCGCTCGGCCGCTGTTGAAAGTCCTTGGAGGTGCTGCAGAGAGTGTGGTGCTGCGGCGAGTCACGTAGCTGACATTCCACCGAGCAGTACTTGATGTTTTCGCACCCTTCACAAGTGATGGCAGAATCCATGGGACATACTGCACACGAATCGCTCGCGGTAGGCGAGATAGGATCGTTGATCGCGGGTGCCATGCTTTATTGCTGTTGATAATACTTGGCAAGCTGACTTCCATACATATGTGAAGTCGATGCTTGCTACTCGTGTCGCCTGACAAACCGTGTGATGTCAGCAAAGTGTTGTCGATGCTTGTGCGTGATCTATTAATCTGAGGCGGTAGACGAAAGTCTCCAGAATCTGTCCTGAATTAGTGATAATGGCAGTGCACAATATCCTGCAAATGCAAGCAATCATATCTTGTGTCGTCTCTCATTTCATCGTCACTAATACACTTAGTACCGCATCCCCATATCTACATGACTAGCTCTTCCTCTATGGACTGTTCTTTCTCATTTCTTATCCTCAGGGGAGAAGTTGATAGAAATGCCGTTTACACAATGCCTCTCGTCCTTTGGATTGCCAAATCTCTCGCCCTTGAAAATATGTCCCAAGTGACCTCCACAGTTGTTGCATACAATCTCCGTCCTCATCATGCCAAGACCAGGGTCAGGCTTCTGTCCGACAGCGCCTGGCACGGCATCCCAGAAGGCGGGCCATCCACAGCCAGAGTCGAACTTGTGGTTTGCTTTGTACAGAGGCGCGTCGCATCCGGTGCACGTGTAAACGCCAGCGTCGGGATAGTGCTTGTCATATGTGCTGGAGCCGGGCATCTCAGTACCCTTCTTTCGGAGGATGCGGAATTGCTCTATGGTCAAGTCAGTAAGTGTGTGCTGATGCCAACGTTGACGTGGACGTACCAGGTGATAGCTGTGCTTGCCATTCGCCCTCGGGCTTCTGGACTGGGTAGTTTGTGTTGTCCGCCATACTGCTAGAAGATCCGAAAAGGGCACCCAAGAAAGGGATATTTGGCATCGAACGGTAGATGATTGCGCGCTGCGGTGAGTTATAGATAGTGCGACCGAGATTACTGGTAGGGTTCGATCGGAGAAATGCGCTCGTTGTGTTTGTGACCGTGTGGAAGGCGCGGATGAATGTTGGGAAGGAAGGAAAGCGCATGTGGAGTTGTTTTATGTGAAGATGGCGAATGTTGATTTGGAACAAAGATTACTCTGCGACGACCCCGAGATGATGCTGAGGGGTGGCGGAGAGCTCCCGCGCCACCCAGGAGCTTTGACATTTGCCGATGGCGTCATGATTCTTGCGCGCCATCAACACAACCTTCTCTTCAAAGTCAACTTATCGTGACCTCACACTCGAGCTTCGTGTCGACGCGAAAATCGATTCTAATTGCCGGGTGAAGGTTGAAGTTGGGTCTAGCGACCTGCGACCCTGAACTGACCACGTATGGCCCGTGCCACCTACCACAAAGCAGCTCGCCTATCATCGTACACTTCTCTTGCATGTTCGGGTGCTCGGCACAGCCATATGACACGAGGTTCTTCTACATTGTGTTCATATTGAATTCGAATGTAAGCCAAGGCTGACATCAAGGCGCCCTGCTGTTCAGAGGTGACATCGATCACTAACATCGAGTTACTGATGTGTGAGCATTATCGGACCATTGTGTCTACATCTCGTGAAGAGAACACGTACCTTACGTCTCGTAGAGGCTGACGAAATGCATATCTGCTGGTAATGAGATGGACCAGAGTAATAGCGAGATGGCCAAGGAGCACGCATCAGCTCCTACATCTTCAAGAGTAGTAAGGGAGGCAGATCTAGACTTGCCAGTAGATTACGACTCCAAATCTCCAAGCTGAGGTCGCTACAAATAGCGCATCAACCAGGTCGTAAAGTGCTGCGCGTCCACAAGCACGCCACACCGCGAGTAGCGTCTCAGCGTCTATTACGAGTGTGTCAGGGTACGAAAAGGATGGACGGTTGAGGTAGTTGTATTGATTTGGGACTTCTTACTACGATGTCGCAGCTAAACTGGTGGAATGAGAACGCAGAGAGTTGTGAGTGAGACAAAAAGGTCTGGCTTTAGTGCATGAACCATGATGGCCGATAGTACATCGTCGCCTCGTCACATGCTGAACTTTGGTATTATTTCAATACCACAGAAACTGTGTTGCCTCTTATACACTTATCAGGTTCGAATCAGCCAAACCGGCCCTCGATGTCCCCCATAGGACCCATAGCCATCTCCACCGCCCTCTTGGTAGCTTCATCTAAATCTTCCTTCTCCAATGCCACCTTCTCGTTATCCAATTCGCGTCCTGTCTCGTAATTACCCCACTCACACGCGAATACCTCTGCATAAAGCGCCTTAGCAAACCCCAACATCTTCCCTTCCTTAAACTGCTTCTTACCATCTTCCAGCCTCTTCTCGACAGGTTCAAACCTGATCTTCCAGTCTTCATCCGTGGTACCCAGCACACGATGCAAACTCTCCAAGATATCCCTTTGAGAAACCAGGAACGAAGAAATGGTCAACCCTTGATTCCTCCAAGTCTCCAGTCCAACACCATCTTTCGTCGCGTCTGCTTTGACAGGAAGCGACAACAAACCCGCAACAGCCCTTCCGCAAGCATCCCACGTACTCATGCTAATCTTCTTCTCCCCCTGATCATACATCGTCACGCTCCTCTCCCTGATCCGGAATCCCAACCAAGGCTCCCCCATCGCCAGACTAAACTCATACCAGAAGCCACACACAAGCGCTACGTAGTCAGCACCTGGTGTCTTATCAACATCCTCGATGAACCGCTCGAAATTGTTTAGCTCGTTTCGTCCTTTAAGCTTCCGATCGCCGATACCGTAGCCGAAGTAGTTTGGCATGATCCAGCGTACCCCGGCTTTGGCTGCAGCGGCGACAATGCGCGGATGCAGAGTTGCGGGAGCGCGGGCGCTGATGGTGATGATGAGGAATTCATGGCTGCTGAGCGCTTCTGTCAAGGCATTGTCATCGTCGTAGTCGACTTTGGTGACGGTAAGGTTGTCGTTGGTGGGGAAGGCGGCGTCGCTCGAGAGGCGGGTCAGGACTGTGACTTGATGCTTTGAGGTGCCAAGCAGGTGGGTGAGGATATGGGAGCCGACTTGTCCGGAGCCCTATCAAACTTGTTAGTACGCAATATGATGGAGAGGAGAGGGGTAGCGAACGCCAATGAGGGCGACTTTGCGGATGTAGTCTGTTTGCTGCGTATTGGCTGACATGGTTGCTGGAGTATAATAGTCTGACTAGAATTTGGTGTTTATAAGAAATGCCAAAGTTTCGATGTGCAATTCGCTTGGTGCTTTCCGCTGAGTCCTACTCTTGCATGATACTGTGATACACTGAACAGTCCTCATATTTATACTCTTGTACGCCTATTTTGAATAACTAACTTTCGTCACCTCCCTTGTCGGATCTGGAAAATACGCTAACCTCACGTCGTATACAGAACGCTAGAGACAAGCCACGGTTCGGCTGATTGATGTTTCACAACAGCATGTCTGACTAAGTCCGCTTAACGCCGTGATTGCGACAACGATACAATGCAGTATAACTAGCAAGTTCGGAGATTCGGCAGTGACCATCCACCGGCCTACTCTTTATTCAGACTACAGTCTTACACAAACAGCTCTCCATTGTTCAACGTCCCTCTAGTAGCTACCAATCACGTTCTCAATCTCGATACTCGGCTGGATATACGGCTTAACCTTCGTCCGCACCATGGTCCTTTGCTCAAACGCATATGCGAACCCAATCAAACTCTCCTCACTCCACAGCGCACCGGCAAAAGAGATACCAAATGGAATGTTCGGTGCCGTAGCGTTCAAGTCACCTCGCTGGTTTGTGACAACCGTCGTGTTGGACGGAAGCGCACCAAGCGGGATGGTGACCACGGGTCCACCGATGATGGCGGAGATACCAGAGGCATAGTCCGAGGGAACGACGACAGCATCGAGGTTGTATGTTGCAAGTGCGCCAAGGAGACCACCTTCACCACCGAGGTAGTAATCCTGTTGCAAAGCATTCCAGAACTCGATGTCGGTGTTGGAGAAATTCTGCGATTGGGCAATTGAGCTGTCAAAATCCGCTGTGTCTCTGTCTGGGTAGTCCTCAGCAGGAAAGTGCTGTGTGAAATTGCGAACGTCTTCCAGATCTTGGACGTCGTTGGGGTTGTATGTAAGTTGCGAGAGGTAGTGCGCTAGGTTGGGGACGAAGTCACCATCGAGAACGATACCTTCAGCGTTGGATTCCAGATACTGTTCCCAGGCGGTGTAGTTGGTGTTATCGACAATGATCGCGCCAGCAGAGCGAAGAACGTCGAGAGCGGCTTCAAAAGCAGCATACAGGGGTGCTGAAGAGCTGTCGGGCGTGCCAATAGCGTTGCGCGGCACTCCAATGCGCTTTCCTTCCAAAGCATCCAGGGTGCAGGCCGCAACGTAGTCAGGCTTGGTCACATTTGTGGTATTGCTCGCCCATGGAATAGCTAGCGTATAGTTATCGGCACTGTCAGGTCCAGAGATGGCTTGAAGAATATACGCCGCATCTTTGACAGTGCGAGTCATCGGTCCAACGGTATCTTGATGTTCAGAAATGGGAATGACCAGCGCTCGACTTGTGAGACCGACAGTCGGCTTGATACCAACAACGTTGTTGAGTTGACTGGGAGAGATGATGGAGCCGTCTGTTTCCGAACCAAGAGTACCAAAGGCGAGTCCAAGACTAGCTGCGACACCACTACCACTGCTACTGCCACTGGGATCCTGGCCAGGATAGTACGCGCCGTACGTCTGACCACCTCGAGCAGACCATCCATTTGAAGAGTTCGAGGAACGATAGTTGGCCCACTGGGAGAGGTTGGTCTTGCCAAGAATTATGGCACCAGCTTCCCTGAGTTTGGCAGCGATCGTAGAATCGCGTGGAACTTTAGCGCCCATCAGCGACCAAGACCCGGCAGTGTTGTTCATCTCATCATCAGTTGCGATGTTATCCTTGATAAGAATTGGGAGGCCATGGAGAGGGCTATTTCGATTAGCGGCAGCTCAAGTACTCCACAGAAGACGACGAACCCTCGAAGCTTTCCACAGGCGCGCTCTTCATCTAGTTCCTTCGCGATAGTCCAAGCATCCGGGTTGATCTCCAACACCATGTGAAGCGTCTTGTTGACTTCGATGATGCGTCCAACATAAGCCTACGTTATGTCAGCGACGAATTTCAAGGAATACCCATGCTTGTACAGATCGTGGGCAACTTACTTGAACTAGATCCAAGCTTGTGAAGGCTCCAGCCTCAAGGCCAGCAACCAACTCATCTCCTGTAGCATCCAGCAGCAAAGGAAGATCGGTCGTGGTGTTGTACTGCGCGTAAACAACCGTCGTCAGTGGCGCAAAAGCCACCAAGACCTTAGTCAAGAACCACGCCGAAACCATGGTGGCGATCGCAACGGCTACCGTTCGGTAAGAAAGTGATGCCTTGATACGAGGTCGAACAGAAGTTGCTTTACGACTGTGTACAATGTCATATTTCTTATACTCATGCTTCCCGTGTCGACCCGACAAAGACTGCCGTTGTTCACCCATGTCAGACCAGGGTTATGCTGCGCGCGCGTCTTCCCCGCGGCGCAAATTCGATCCTGGTAGTATATCGATCTGCATGATAAGAGGTACAGCGCTGGCGTACCGAATTTCAGTGTGCGTTAACCGTCGCGTGGTAACGGTCGGTATGCAGGTACTATTCATCTAATCGAGTTGCATACCCTGGTATCTGATCAGCGTAGTACATGGGTGTCATCTGGACAGACATGTCCACATTGTCGAAAACTCCTATTCGAATATTTAGTCGTGTCTCATGTTCTTGGAAATGGACATAAGAGCCTATTGTTGAGGCTGGGAAAGTGCAGCTGCGATTGCGGCAGCTGTAGATGTAGATCTTGGACGAGAAAGGAAGGTGCTAAGAGAGCGAATCGTGAGATCGAAGGCTTGACAAGTGTGCCCGCGGGCGTCCAACGGGCTGCTGGGGACGGATAGTTATCGATATGGCTAACGTACATTTTCCATGATGTAAACACGGAATGTATTTGGAGTTACCTATGCTATCGACCTTCCGCAATAGGCTTCACTGGCTGCATCGTACCTCCAATAATTTGGAGAGCCGTCGGGCGCATGCAGTAGTTCTTCATCTGGATAGCGTAACTTCAGGTTCCCAGTATTTGAGTACATCGTAGTCATAAGTCATGCGCCTTTGCCAATAGCGCGCTTGCTGGCAGCTTTCGTTCAGTCGAAGTAGCCAGGGAAGAGCCATTGCAGCTTCTTCTCCGCTTCTTGCCCGCGTCCTTCCTTCTTTGTCATGGCACCTGCGAACCTCATCTGGCCATCGAGGTGCTTAGCGAGGACCTGCTCCTCATGCTCCTCCTTGCTGAGCTCGTTGAGCACCGCGCCGACGAATCGCCTGGCGTTCTCAGCATTTGCCTTCATGTGTGCCATGACCATCTCAACGTTGACATCCTCAGAGCCGTCACCCCTCCAGCAGTCGTAGTCCGTGGCCATGCAAATCATCTGGTACCCAATTTCAGCCTCTCGCGCAAGCTTGGCCTCGGGCAGAGCAGACATGTTGATGACGCTGCCACCCCACGCACGGTAGAGGTTTGACTCTGCGCGTGTGCTGAACTGCGGTCCCTCCATGCAGATGAGCGTTCCCTTATCGTGTAGAGTGACGCCGTCTCCCTCTAGCGCGTGTCCGCACTGGCTGACGATCTTGGACAGCTTCTTGTCGAAGGGGTCGCCAAAGCCAACGTGGCCGACCATGCCGCCCTCGAAGAAGGTAAATGGCCGGATGCCCTTTGTACGGTCGATGATCTGGTCGGGGATAACGAAGTCGCGCGGTCGTACTTCTTCTTGTAGCGATCCGACGGCGGAGAAGGCAATGATGGTGCGCACGCCGAGGTGTCGCAGCGCGGCGATGTTGGCTTGGTTCTTCACCTCGTGTGGTGCGAGCTCATGGTGGAGACCGTGTCGCGAGATGAACGCGACTGGGATAGGCTTGCCGGAGGAGGGCGAAGGGTGTTGGAGGATGGAAACAGGCGACGAAGGCTTTCCCCATGGCGTATCGACATCGAGAGTCGCGGCGAGGGTGAAGCCTGGCAGGGAAGAAATGCCAGTGCCGCCTATGACAGCGATGTGGACGGGCGCTATACACAGGGTAAGCAATGGGCGGAGCAAGTGCAGGATGAGGGTTGCGCACCATCATAAGTGTTCGGAACGCCGGCCATCTTGCGATATGGAATCGAGACGCGTCTGAATGAAGTAAGAGGGGTGAATTGAGGTTTAAAGACACTGGGAAGGAGTCTGACGCGTGGAAGCATTCACCGAGGGGCATTGGGCAGCCTCGCGTTAACAATTTTGCTACGGCGGGGTGCTACTTCCTTCCCCCTGGACCCTGATGGCGTCATCTCTCGGCCAATGAGAGCTGACCGTGATAACACGCTAGCGGCTATCGAGTGGCTTTTACTCCGTGTTTCCTAATCATCACTTTCAAGTCATTAAGCTCTCTGTCATCGAGCAGAATGAGTTCGTCGCTTCCTGTTGTATGATACCTTCACCCGTGAATCGCCATCCACTCATCCTTCATTGCTTCCGCCAGATCCCAGACCTTCCCCTCGTCAACCACCAACTTGACCTTGTACATCTTCATCTTCTCCACCTGCGCTTCGTCGAACAGCATTTTCATCGCTCCTTTACAATGCTCATCCCTCTCTTCCTTAGTTTTCGCCTCGGTCACGAATCGAATCACGATTCTAGCTCCAGGTCTGAGTTCAAAGATACCATCAAGAGCCTCCCGCATTCGCTCTGGTGATTTCGGTATGCCGAACATGTAAGCGCGGAAGGAGCCTCGATCATGCGACACAGCATTCAGCCCAATCTCAACGCTAGAAACCAGTGCTTTAGGAGCTACCCCAAGTTTCATCTCATCTGTGTTGAGGAAACGCTTCATTACCCCCGGATCATCACCAAACAAGAACGTACTAGTACGGTAATAGTTTTCCAAGAGCTCGCAGTAGAAGCGCTGGGATACGTATTCAGGATTCCAGTAGTGCGCGGGAAAATGCTGCGCTTTCCACCTCTCGAAATCATACGAGTATAATCTCGTAAGTGGGTCCAAGGTTGTCCGAAAATGCTCGCGCTCGATGAGCTCGCGACCGCGTGTACTGAGGTGAAAATAGATCATGTCGCGGATCTCACGCGGTAATTTAGTCAAGACGGCGTTGGCAAGCTGCTGGCATTCCGTCTTTGCAAGCTCTTCGACAGCATCTTGTGTCATTGGTGTGGTGCTGGCAAGATCCTTTTCCAGAAGTGCAAGTTCTCGCTGTAGTGCTGCGAGACGGGCTTTACGGATGCTTTCTTCGGAAAGTGCTCTACAGGTCGTGTCAGTATGATGGTACATCATGGAGATGTCTTTGCCCGATGCATTTGCGCCTACCTTAAAGCGCGCCTCCGAAGTTGCCTGCATGTGCAGTCACTGCCATTCATTTGCGCAGCCGCCAATATCTCATCCATTGCTATAGCCATATCTTTTTTCCTACACGTGAAGACAAGGGAAGATCATGGTAAATCTACATTTGCGCCGAAGTATCAGTACTATTGTTTATCAGGGTGCTGCTGATCGCTTATTTAGGTACTCATGCCCTGCATAACATTATGTCGTACCCTTGGCCAGGCCCCCCATGTCTCACCCACGGAAATACACTCAGCTTACGCCAACCAAATCCTTTGTGGACATTTTACTAATCGTGCGGAAGGTAATTCACCAATTTGGGCTAACACGATTAGACAACAAGATGTGGGCTTGACGCCACTCCGCATTATCGGATAGTTGCTAACCCCGCTATGTTTAGAGCGACACCAAATCGACAAATTACAAGCCTTCCTCGCTGGAAAAGATTCCGAGCATATAACACACATCAGCAACGCGAGATACAGGTCAACTATGCTCATTCGTTGGACCTGTTCAGCCGCAGCGCAGCCCCTTACCATTTATCGCAGTCAGCGTGTGGCCTAGTGAGCAAGAGCTCAATGACTCCTCGCGTTCTTCCATGGGTCCTCCATACCTTCCAGAATTACCTTATCATTGTCGATTTCCAGTTCACAAACGCCATCCAGACTCAGCTTAGTTTTTGTACCAATGGCGGCGAGCCTTCGCAGTGTTGGCAAGATGATCGAAACCACGGCTTTACATTCCAATTCCTTAACCTCTTGTGCGATCGGTTGCCAGACGTTGTCTTGCTGGATACAGACGGTGAGCTTCGTGCCAGGCTTGAAGCTGAACAATCCTTCTAGTCTAGTGAGAAAGACTTTGGGCCATAATGGCGTGTCATAAACGAACCAGGGATCGTGTTTGCACCGAAGGTCTAACCAATCAAATTTGATAAGGAAAGAAATGTCGAGGGGGTAATCAGCAGGTATGATGCCGAGTCCTCCATCCCATGACCCAAGCGCCGTTATGAGGCTCAAGTCGTCCCCAAGATCGAACGTAGTCGTTTGGAAAAGTCTTTCAAGTATTTCTCGGTAAAAATCTTGGGGTCTATATTCGGTCTCGTGGAGATGCAACGGGATCATAGTGGAGAATCCCACAGAGCCATTACTCTCGACGCAAACTTGGCGAACCTGGCCATCAAAGTCCATGGCAGTCAACCTCTTGGGTACTGTGTTAGAATGGGGTAGAAGGTGCCCATAGATGGTATCGCGCAGTTCGCGGGGAAGTACTTCGAGCATGCGGTCACATAGCTCACGACACGAGGCTTGTGCGTATTTGTTCAGAACCGCATTGGTTTTTTCCTTTTGGCCGTTGCATACTTTACTCCGTCGTTCGAGTCGCTTGACCTCTGTCTGGTAGAGGTCTTCGAGTTTAAGCCCGGTACGGAGCTGTCTAGCGTTTGTCAAACTTCTGTCTTCCAATTGACCAACATGACTTACTTGCAACATTCTCCGCAGAGATTGTTCATCCGCTCCTCTGATTCCGTTTGACTCGCCATATTTCGAAGGGAAGACACGTGGTAATTTACTTGGTATCTCGGACCGCAGCTGTGGCAGAGGTGGAGTGGAAGGGTGTATCGTGAGAGGGAAGTTCAATGGCAGAGAAAGGCGTTCATTTGTAGGCGAGTGGAGGAAGTAGAGAGATTACCGGTATGTCTGCCTATAGGCTGAATGAAAGGTCACCTTCGAGTGTTACATCATTGGGCGCTGGTTCACGTGAATGTAAATTCTGTATCGCGGTAGGATTAAGGATCATCCAATGAGGTATCAGAAACGAAATGGCAACGCACTATAAGGAACTGTCTTCCTATAAAAGATGAGTTTTTAAGCCATGCAAGAGTAATTTTCAGAACTTTTAGACTAGAAAGGAAATGTAGAGAGGTCACTCTAACTGTGACCTGAACAGCATCAGTCGCTCACGTCCCTTCTTGTACGTGTGGAAACAAAACCCAATCTGAACAAAGCAAAGACTTCTCGAAAACAGGAATATATCACGCAGTCTGTTCTCCCCAGACGGGCGCCACGCCCCATTGAATACTGTTCCCTCCATCGATAAAGCCGTCCAAAGGTATGTCATCTCCGTCAGATTCGGCCTCCAGCCCAGCTTGCACTGCACGTTCGTGCTCGGTCTCGACATACTACAGGTGTCAGTCTGTTAAACAACGATACATAGTAAGGCCCTTGTACATACCTCCCAGAATCCTGCTGTGATGGCCTCGATAGATGTCGGGTTCCACTTTGAAGCGAAGGGCATGTGCCCGTCTTCGTCGGGCCCGCTATCAGTCTCCGTACCGAGAATTAGACGAGCGCGACAGTTGGTGTCTTTGAGTCGCTGAAGTACCGGAAAGATAACAGGTACTACACGGTGACACATCCATTCCTGGTCTTCAAGACGGGTAGTCTGAATGTGGTGCTGGGATCGCATCAGCCTGATGGTAATGCCAGTGCCTGGTCTAAAACCAAATAGGTACTCCAGCTCCACGAAAATATCTTCTTGGGGTTTCCTATCGTCCCAGCAACACCATTCGCGCTTTGAGCGTAGCTGGTCTTGATGTTCGTCGACAAAAGCATCGTCCTTGGCGGAACTAATGGGCCGGAACTTGTATTCGCGACAATCTACAACGATCTCCACGTTTGAGACGAAGTGCACCGGTAGGAAGCCGTAATTGAACTGGTCCGTCGCGCGAAATCTGACGAGCTGGGAGAATACCACTTTGAAACGGAAGTGAGATTCTCGATAGTAATGCTCACCAATCTCGCGGGCCATCTTGGCACCTACGAAATCATTCTTCCACCAGTGGTCGCTGTGCATTCCTGACGAACAGAGGCAATTCTGAGTTTCCGAATTCGATGAGCGGTAACCACACCTGTGCCGTGTGCGATGATTCTCAGAACATATGTCGACTTCTCCACAGCCGATGATGTATCTATAGATGATGTCTCGAACTTCTCTAGGAAAAGCCTTGTAAACTTTGTTGCAAAGCTCGAGGCAATCATGTCTGGCAAAAGCAAGGAGCAAATCGGCCGTTTCCCACGCGTCGGCACTGATCCTGTCGTTGAGAGATTCCTCATGGTCTTGCAACTGTTTAATCTCGCTACGCAGACTTTGCAGCTCGAATTGTGTTTTTAGTTCTTCCTTCAGCGCCCTGAGATGATGTTAGCTACTGCTAAGAATTACTACCTGAAACTTACTTGAAGCAGTTGGCACGTAGGCTCTTGTTCGCGCCCAGCAGAGTTGGTGTGGTTGCCATAGCGTAAGGCGATGTATATTTTTGGGAATGGAGGAGGTGGGTGGAAGGAGGATTGGTCAAGGAATCGAGTATAAGTGATAGAGCGAGCTCGCCAAGCCGCCTGACACGCACGCGGTGAGAGCACGGGCGCCAGCAGGTAAGTTCACCATTAAGTGGAAGAGAACGGGAGACGGGTTCAAGGTTAGTATTGGCAGGTAAGGGTAGTCCATACATGTCTCATGTGCATGGACCTAAGCCACCTACGGAGCCTCAAATCATGGAGAAGGCCTATGGAGCGGTCGATCCAGCCCGATTGCGTATGGGCGCTTTCCACCCTCACCGTACTTGTCTAGCTAACAATAGTGCATTGGAGGTATGCTGAGATCCTCGTTCGCACACAACGCGAGCTCAACTCCTAGTTCAAACTTTTCATCCTCGGTAAGCTCTGATTGTTCCCAGTAGTCGTCATCGCTGTAATCTTCGGTTCCATCTTCCGAGCTGGTTGAGCCATCACTTGATGGGTAGTCGCTGTCTCTATCGTAAAACTCAATCAGTGTATTGTCATAATACTGGTCGAGCTCATAACAAAGCTAAGCAACAAAGTCAGCGGCGTGGATTGTGATACTGCGGTGTCATGACATACCTTATGAAATAAACATTCCTGTTGAGAGTGTGAGAACTCTGCCAATCCAGGTAGGATCATTTGCACTTCAAAACCACTGCACAGGTCGTCGCCAAGCTTGCCATGGCCAATGATGTTCTCCATGTTGTACTTCTAGTGTAACGTTCACACCTCAAATTCCAACTCAACTTTCCAACCTGTCAAGCTTGAGAGCAGTTGTGAGAGTTTTTTTTTTGAATGTCTCGCCTCGTGCAATCGGGTCCGGTTCGCCGAGATTACTGAATCTGGAAGGGTCATATGCCTTCGGAGGTGTGCTAATCTTGAAGGAAGTGTCAAGATTTAGTCGAAGGCGTGCTGGTTGTTCCAGCAGAGCAAGATCTCTCAGAGTTTGGCCAAGAGTCTTATTGAACCTTGCTTCATCCATCAGGACATCCCGAGGGACAGCGATCTCTAACTGACAAACTAGATCAAAGACCGGAAGACTAAGTTTCAAGGATCTAAAAGTTTGCCGCATCTCTTTTGAAGAACGCGCGGATGAGGTGCACATCTGTCGCGAAGTCGAACGTGCAGGTCTTGTACCAGCACTCTACCAGTTTCCGTCGCGTCTGGCGGGTAATATGATTCTTACGTCGAAGAATGCCCCAGAAATCTTGTATAGAACTAGTCAAAACCACTTCCGGTCCGGCGGGATTGTTTGACTCTAGTACAGAAACAGTGTGATTATTGTTATGCCACTCGGTGGGGCCTATCGCATGTTCGTAGATTATGTCGCAAAGTTCGCGTGACAGATACTGCTGCATGCCTTCGCATAGAGGATGGCATCGACTTCGTTCTATTATGACCGATTCTTGTATAAGTTCTTCAGCCTCCGGATTGATCCGCTGCCGTTGCTTAAATTGGTGTTAAGCTTTGTTTCTAGCAACCTCCTATTGGCTTTAATTTCCGCAAGTTCTTTACGTATGCGATATTTATGCTTTATTAACACTTGTGTTCGCATCTGCTTCTTTCTTTGGTACTTATCTAGGCGCTGCTGCAAGCTGTGTTCTCGTCAGACATGTCCCATGTCTGGAAGCTGTTCAACCTACGCGCGGGCAGCCGTTGCGTTCGATGCAGTTCTCAATATGGACCCCATGTTTGGTTGCTACGCGACGCCGTGTTCCACAATCACGAGAGGAAATTGAAAGGCCAGAAGCTCTGCGCAAACAACACGATCAAAATTTGGTTGCACAGCGCGAGGAATCGTGTTGGCCAGGATATCGCGCTAGCGAATCCCTGCACTACGCCTAGCTCGCCCCCACAAAACTCTCGAAAGGCGAAGAATGGCTTGTGGCTTCCATAGCCACACTGACAAGCTAGCAGCTGATTGGCCATCTCACGTACGCAGCTAAGCGTCACATCAAGATACCGTATCTCTGTGTACTTATTGTACAATTGTATGCTGCCTTTCTCCCCTATCTCATCCTGAAGGATCGGAATTAGAGTCGTGGCGTGGCGTAGTTCTGCCGCGTCTCATCCGCAGAGTTCTTCCAGACAGATCATAGATGGTAACAGCACGCCGCTGGATCAGTGACGTGTTGATTGCTGAAGCGTCGATAGTAAGAGTAATCCTATCTTCATGGACAACAAGATCAAGTGTGGGTGATTGAGACATTGGGAGAGAAGGTGAATGAGGTGCTCATCGGTAGTCTTGGGAAGGGTGCGCAGTTCAGTTGAGGTCAGTTTGGGTTGACGTAGACGCAACAGTAGTGGTACTCAGCACGTGTCAAAGCGATGTGTCATAGCGACGTGTCAAAGCGACGAGCCGTTTCTACTGCGTATGTTAGGCTGGGCGGACACGAATTGCGAGGTTCCAGTGCGATGTTCCATTGCGCGTTTTCTTCACGACCTCGGCACGCCGCAATGATGACCCGTGGACCCTTGGACCCTGGGAACGCCCCGCAGACGCCTAGCTTCTCGGCATGCCGCCTCAAGCGCACCTACCGTAGCTGGAAGGTGATTTTACGAGAAAGAAGGTGTCTCCGTAGGGGCTGGACCCTGAGGATTGTGGCGCAACGGTCATTGGTCTTCCGTCTTAGCGTACGGGACGCCCCACAGGTACCCGCCAGACCGCTCACAACTCACCAACGCAGTTTGAAGGTGGTCATGGCAGGGCAAACGAGCACTTTCGGCGTAATTCCTAATTGGAGCTCTATTTACCACCGGTGTAATCGACGCACTTTAACATGGGTAGTCTAGACCGTGACATCTCCAGCTCGCAGTGCGCTAGAACAACGCAGGCATCTGCCAGCTGAGTGCGTCAATAGAGTCTCTTGGATTTCACCAAACACTGTAGCCGCTCGATACCCTAACAGCAGCGCAGGTCGATCTGCATCACACTATCTTGCTATGATCAAGCATGAAACGCGTCCTCGAGACCTCAGTGATTCCACTACCATGAGCAAAGCTCCAGTCGGGCTCACCAGCAGAGTTTGGTAGAGTTAAAATTCAGCCTGAATGGTATTAAGAGTGTTCATGTCTTTCAGGCGCCCTACCTATAGTGGATCCTGTGGACCCAAAGCCATGATACTTGGCAGATCATCGTTACATGGGACGACAGGGCAGCCGTCAAACTTACGACCAACAAGGTGTAGAGCAACACTGCTAGCCAGACTAACAGATGCTGGAATACGAAGTCAGGTTGAGGAGAAAAGTATATAACTCTTGAGCAGCCCTCTCCATTCTTCCTCACCACCACACTCACATCAATCAATCCTTTGGTCAGATTCACCTTGTCCACAAGAAACCGCAAAGATGAGATTCACCGACATCCTCTTCTGTGCCATTCAGGCTGCTGGAGTTCTCTCAGCTCCCCACGCCGGCAACGAAGGCGAAGCTCCCGACTTCGCCAATTCTTCCGTCCCACCCCCAAACACACCTTGGTTGTCCTTCACCGACAAAGCTGTACGTTGATTCGAATTGCACTTCCCCCCTTCCCAGCTCAATATCCTGGACATACATCCCAGTTCATGCCATACATCTCCAGGTGTATCTCAACATGCTTTCAGTGGGAGATCATCGCAGTCATCTGCTTCTGAGACACACCTGAATATACAGATACTGACTCTTCCACCTTTTAGAGTCCCCTCGACAGACGCGCTTGTTGGTCAGGCTCACCATACGGATGCGATCTTGGTAAAAAGCGCTGCTGGAAGGTCTGTGGTGATGGTGGACAGTGGTGCTGGACTGCAGGCGGTGATGGAAGTGGAGCCTGGAACGGATGCACAGACTGGGGTCAATGCAACCAGCAGCAGTCGTGTGGAAAGAACTGCAACAACGCCGCTGAGTGCGGATGCAGTTGCTAGAATAACCAAGCAAGGGCAATCATGGGTTCGACGCGTAACTAGTGCTTAGCTCAATCATAATAAACCACGAACGCATCCTTAGCAACGCCATCAGTTTTCTCCAAGCAGTAAATCGATCACTTCTCATAGACTGCCACACCCTTCACCATGAGATGCAACGACTTAGGATGGAGCCTACATCCACCATACACTAGAGAAGTCGTAAACCATCGGCTACCACTCTGAATGTGGCAGAGAAATCGGCAGTGAGTTGAACAGCAAGGAATCTTCAAAGTTCTAGGTGACTCAGATTACCACAATGGTGCTTACATTGTTGGCGCGGTGAGATCTTGACCCGTCACAAATCCCGTTTTAAGGTAAACCCAGGTTGATTTCCTCTTTCCTACTCTTTAGCATGACTTTTTGCCTCGGGTCCATGTAGCGGTCTGTCCCAGATAACCCGTTTGGTAATCTTCCTTGATCCGTAAACTCCCAATCATACTTGAGAAGCATGTGTATGACGATGACTTTGATCTCGTTACTAGCAAAGAACCGTCCCGGGCATGATTGTTTCCCGTAGCCAAATCCGAGGTGCTCGGGCGAACCAGTGACGAAGTTCCACTTGCTTCGATCAGTATCGCGTAACTTGAGGAAACGGTCCGGTTGGAATTTGTTGACATCGGACCACAGGGTTGGATCTCGAAGGCGGTGCTCCACAGCCAGTCTGTAACCTTTAGGAATGATTGTACCGTCAGAAAGAGTGACATCGGTCAAAGCGATCCGTTGCATCGAGACTATGAGCGTGAGAGAAGAATCATCAATGAAGTTGGACATGTCACTTACGATCCGTGATAGGATTCAACCGCTGTGATTCCTTCATCGCGCTGTCAAGCAACGTCATTGAAGCCAACGATGTCTTTTTCCAACCAGAAGTCGAGAACGTCGAAATAATCTCCTTCCTGAGCTGTGAAATTGCCTCTTTGTTCTCAATCAGATCAGCCATGAACATTGCGATTGTCTCCGTAGTCGTGTGTACTGCCGCCACCACGAGCAAGAGTTGAAACTCTGCGAAATCAATCTTCACACCCTTCGCCTTTGCCTTGTCGTCCAGCCAACTTAACATATCAGCAGTCTTCTCGGTGATTTGCCCGTTGGCCTTTCTCTGTAGACGATCCTGCACGAGTGGAGTGATAATTTTCCGCGCTTTGTCAACCTGCTCTCTACATACGCCTAGTTCGGGAAACCACCACCGCGCTAGGGGTCGTAATAGTGGATGCAAGCCACGAAGCTTCCGCGTCACCATGCTTGCTTGGGTAACGTACGACAAGGCAATGTTCAACCATTCTTCGTTGTTGGAGAGTTCAGGACCGAGGAAGACGCGGCTGGAGATGCGGGCAACAAGGCGGTGAATAAGAGGCTTCAGATCCACAGTCTTCCAATCGGAGATGTCTCCTAGCATCTCCAGGAGGGCGGCTTCAACTTCGGTATTCATGACTTCAGTGACGGAATCTATTGATGTGAGCAGTCAAGTAAGCAGTCTGGAACTTGTATCTCATACCCAGAGAGCGAGTAAGGTCGAGCCGGGCAACCTCTTGCATGACTCCATGATAGTCAATCGCCAGAATCGGGTTCAATCCTGGTTCGCGAGCCAAAGCATTCTACACAAGACGAAGTCAGTGATGTTCATAAGCTGAGTAGCGTAACGTACTTTCACAATAGATCGACTAAAGCTGAGTTCTTTCATGTTGCGAATCTCACCTGCAAACGAATTTGGCAAGAAGATTGTCGGCCCAATGGGGGAAGTGACTATGATAGCGCCCTTGATCTCGAGGACATGTTAGTACAGGACGTTTGCCCGCATCTGAATTTTTCGATACCTTTTTGAGTCCTCCGTACAACAGCTCCTGAGCATCTGTCATCCATTGTTCCCTCGCCTTTGAGTGATTCGACAGTGCATCTTCAGTAAGCGCATACCAAGTCGCGTTTGTACTAAGCCCTCTACCAAAGAAGTATAAGTAGAAAAAACACAAAAAGCAACTGAACACCGCGGTTGCAATCGAAGGGAGAGAAAATGGGTAAGCAAGATATGAGACAGGTTCAGAGACAGTCGCACTGAACTCCATGATCTGCAGCAATTAGGACACACTTCAAGGTCTCAAAAGATGAACTATCATCGCGAATGCATTGGAGACTCCGTTCGGTCTTTATCGGTTTAGTGCACTCGGCCGGTTTTGTGACTTGATAACGTTGGACATGAGCGTGAACGCAAACTCAAAGCCGGCTCATTGTGTGAACGACTTTAAATTCACCGTTCTTTTTCATCGATGGAAGAGTCGGACCGACCATCGAGAAATACACCGACATGCGTCGTCCGTGTGTTGGAGCGGGGATAAGTGGATCTTCGGTCAGAACTTTGTTGTTCCTGCTCGGCTAAACAATCGTCCTAGAATCACTGACTCTTTTGGCTCGTTCAAAGGTGACCGGGGTGGCATCGGGCTCTTTTCTTCGTCCGCTGCTGGCCTCAATCCCTTTACTATGCAATCACAATCTGATATGTCGCCTGTATTTGTTCATTCAAAGTATGTCTCGTGGGCAATTTGGGAAGCTTTGGGTCTGACCGCAGTGTCTCCGAGACTACCGGATAAGTATCTGCGCCGATCTATAGCAAACCTCACTGCACTTCCCTTCCTCAACACGTGGTGTCTTTTTCGTCTCCTTTACCTATTTCCCATCTCTCCTACCTATCATCGCAAACACATCCAAAACTTCTTGAAAATCATGCTTATTGAGTCTACGTTTCAACTACGATACCGTACGTCGCAACACTAGTGCGTTATCGCAGACGGGCGTCACACTTACCACGCGTCATGAAGTCTGATAAACAGGAAGGCCCGGAGTACCACAAACACTTCCCGCTACATAACGGCGTGAGAGAGTACATAGGTAGCTACAATTCACGGCTTTCGTCATGTCTTAGATCGTTCCTACCCTGTGCGAACTCAATGATGCTCACGTTCTGCTCTCATAATGTTATCCTGTGACTCTTTATTCACTAAAATGGAAGTCTCTACATAATACCCCCGCTGTAATCCGAGTAGTTCTTATACGAGGATCAAAATCTTCACGATACAACAGCACGCCAAATCCTACCGAAGCCTTTCAACAGCAGCATACATGTCTTCTCAACGCGGTAGTACTGGTTTATCCAGAATCACTCAACCGACCGGCGTTCCTGCAGACTACGTTGACTCGAATCACCCTCACTTCCCTCACGACTCAGAAGCCCAACTTCCACCTCGTTCTTTTGCCAGGGCCAGCGCCTGTTTCGGTAATAAATGGGTTCTAATTGCTTTCAGCTTATTTTTTGGCCTGGGAATGATCATAATGTCCCTGCTAACCGGCATTCGAATCGGCATGTCCAAACTTCCCAATGAGCATACCATCGTCTACCAGACGACTCTCACGACATCCACATCAACAGGAGGTACTGTCACAGTAACACCAGAAGTGACGTACACCATAACGACAGCTCAAACGATCCCGGGTCGAACGACACCTACAGCTACGGTGTCTTTCATCAAAGCGCCTACTAGTCTCACGACAGTGGCTTCTCCGCAGGAGACCTGTATTAGCAAAGGTAGTTGGCCAACGATAGAAGAATGCAGGGAAATTTGTGATGTGCCAGGAAAACGGTCAGTGTGTGGAAAGTGGACCGGAGAATACACGTGTGTGATATGTCCGCTTACGGATGCTAATGCTTTCTTCTCGTCTCTGTGATGGAATAGGTGGTAGCCAGAAGACCAGGTCCAGACCTTAGGTATATGTTTGTCAGCGAAGTCATTCCTAATGGAAAGTTAACACATATGTTCAATACCTGGACGAATAAGTCGTATTCTACTCGCATAATAATGCATATAGCCGTGTAGATCAGGAAAACCTATGTGCTCTTACCGACGATGACTGCGAAGTTCTTGAGATCGCTGTGACTTGGACCGCGTTCACTTTCTATCGTCTTAAAGCGACACTGTGAACCAACAGCATTGGGCGTGGACGCATCATGTACCCTACAGCGGACTAGCAATGACTCTTCTAGTCTTTCTACCCTCATCTCAATTAGCAGAACGGCTCTCAACTCGATTCAATCTCAACTGGTGCTCAACCGTACCACATCATCAGTGTCATGGCTCATGATACAGACCCATTCTGGCAACGTGCCGAAAGCATGCGCAACAGTCTAAACCTGCTTGATAGCAGGCAAACCAGAGCTTCTGTTGTCGGAGAGGGCGCTGATGCCGAGGAAGCACTGCCGGCGGCAGTTCCAACCCCAGCAAATTTGTCGACAGATCCCGAATCCCGTAAAAGCTTCCCTGAGCATCTTCCGTACCGCATGCCACAGCAGCCGCTATGGAATCGTCTTTGGCGCAGCAACAAGCTTCGAATTTCCATAGGTACATTCTGTTTTCTGGTTGTTGTAGGTGGCACAATAGCAGGCGCCTTCTTCTTGGCCAACGTTATGAGAACGGGTATGTTTCATCCAAGTTCTGATGCTGGTGTGAGAGACGCTACAAAAACTTCGTACGTTATTTTGACTACTGTGGTTCCTGGATTGGGCGAGATGGGGCCGGTGACGGAAACAGTCAGTTGTATGCAAGAGACTCACTTGTTGACGCAGTGGATTGTCTCAGTACCCAAGACGACTACCACGCCAGTCATGCCTACTAAAGCTATTAGTGGACCTTAGCGAGGTGCTCTACAGCGTTTTAGAAATTTGCGGAGTATTCATAAATCTATAGTGCTTGGTCGAGTAACGACAAGGTGAGGTACAGATAAGTTCTAGAGGCGTCAAAAGTATAGATGTATGATTGCGATACAACAAAATAGGTAGGCAATGCTTACACTGAGATCAATATTACGGCTTCTAACATATCCGAGTGCCGGATGCGCGCATGATGCGATTCTTGCCAAGAAGACTATTTCGTCGACGCCGGTGCTATTACATTTGAACTAGACCAATCTTGAGAAGAAGCTCCTCGTACGAACTTCATAATGCGGGCATGATTACCAATACAACGACAAGTTCGAAGGCATATCCGTAAGTTTCACAAGGATTGTGTGTATTTTGTCCTCGGCACAGGGGCATGTGGGTTCTGAAGCGATGACTTGGTGTAAGTGGTGACAGCCCAGATGCCGGAGATAATCCAGTTGCCCTATAAGCTACACTAGAAGTACCCAGGTCTTACACGCGTCATGTTCAGCTGCCGTACTACTAGTAATCAGCTTCGTACAGAGGCAATTCCAAATATAGGTTCAAACTTTTCCTTTCCTTTGATGGAGATGTCATTACATTTACTTCTCCGTCAGCACTCGAATCATTTCAACAACTATAAAATCATGGCAACCATCCAGGGCGCTCTTTCTGCCCAGAACATTAAAGCTATCCCGGCTTTTGCAAGTCCTTACACACGGGGAAACACCGCACCACGTTTCAGTGATGTTGACATCCTTAAGATAAGGTACCGCACTGACGGCGCATCTGCCCGAGAGTTGATCCCAGAGCAGCTGTCTTTTGAAAGACAACCCATCGTCACAACGTGGGTGCTGGATTATGGCTTCACAAACATCGGACCATACAAAGAACTTATCCATCAGATCGAAGTAACATTTCAAGGAAGGAAATACGATTACGCGATCCTGCTGGTTTCGGACAATGAAGATGCTGTCTATGGTGGGCGTGAGAATTTCGGCTACCCCAAAGTTATGGGCGAGATAGACTTCAATGTTACCAAGAGAACCGGAGTAGCGAGTTTCGTCACTGCTACTGTCTCGCGACCGCCTGGTAATCCGATCATCGAATACCTGTTTAAACCCTCTAACTTCATTGGAACGGGCCCAATACCGCCACGGGGGAACGAGGGTCTTAACCTTCGAGTCATCCCCAATATTATTCCTGGAGCGAAGCCCAATATTCGCCAGTTCATTCCTATCACGTTCAAGCCAGACGTCGGAGAGAGATGGGAGGGTATCGGCAGCCTGAAGTTCCCATCAACAAGCGAGTTTGATCCTTTGCACAAAACGCCTGTTGTCGAATATCTGGGCTCAGAGTTGCTACGGAACTGCCAGGCTTCGTTTGGAGGTTTTTCTACTGAGGCTTTCGATTTCTGGTCTTTGATTGACTTATACTCGCGGAAATGCTCGTATCCTTGATACCCGTTCACTCTCTTACGTATTACTGGGCATATGAGACGACACCGAGGAGTCTAACTCTGGACGACTGCTTGAAGTTCCACTATAGCCCTCAATTAGCGCAAATTAGTTTTGCTTGCAGCAGAGTCTTGAGCTTCTAAGCGCAGTACCGACCGTGGTAGCATCTTGTGTCGAAGTGCTAGTGGAGACGTGACATGTCATTCTGATATGTAGTGAGATTAGCAAATGTTGGTGACGATGCATATAAAGCAAACGTGAATGCAGTAAGTGGAGTCAAAGGGGTCTTCCGGTAGCGACTCGTGAATACATTGATGATGGTTGTTATCATAGTGAGTCGTGAGGAGACTTCGCGCTTGTATTGCCCGGATACAAACAGTACGGATGCGCTCACAGAAAGATGCGGTACCGGCTACCACATGGCCAGTAAGACACCTCGTTGTTTCGAAGAACCAAAATTCACCAATCATGCTTCACCAACTGTTTGTCACCTAATAAGCTGCAGCTCTTGGTACCAAGTGACAGAAACTTTCGGTTGACAGGGCCTACATTGACATCAGTTAGGGATGAACCGCATCTGGGGCGAGTACTCGCCTCCAAATCAACCCTGTTTCACCTGCAGGAACGTGTGCAGCGTCTTCGTCTAGCGAGTTGGGCTCGCACAAAGAATACCCAAAACTCCGTTGGCCAACAAGCAAGGTGGTGCTAAGAATGTATCCAGCTCTTTTCAAGCGGCTCATAGATTCCAGAATCGGAGCGGTGCATGTCGCGAGGATGTCATCTAGTCGATCATCTCCCAGACCAATGCGTTCTGACCCGTGGACGATAATCTGTATCGACGCACCGCTCCTTAATTGAAACAATGCTTCAAAGCCCTGAACCACCTGTCCCCATGTTGGTCGCAAATCCGCTGAATTTGCACCATTCCAGTTTCGGTTTTCCTGCTTCCAATCCACGGTAATGCTACTTGCATGTATCGTAACGGAGATTTTCGTGATCAATCTATAGCGTGGAAGGTATAGACAAGGTGCTTCCTCGTTGAGGAAAACACGCAAAGAATAATCTCTCCAGTCTTCCCTCCAATATTGCGTCCCATGCATCACAAAGTTACTATTTCTGTACCAGACAGTCATCATCCTCGCCAGCATAAGTCTTCCGACGTATTCCACTTTCCAGTGATGTTCTAGCGATTGACCTCTCGTGTTTGCGTATACTGGCTCGCAAATGCGGTTCACTTTCACGATTGCGTCATTGTGGTCGATGACATATTCGATGATCACATCACACAACTCGGGTGGTAGAGAGCGAAGAATTTCTTGACATATGTATCGACACGACGCTTGTCCGTACAAATCGAAGATTTTCAATCTTTTTGTGAGTCGAGTGATGGCTTCCGGATCCTGATCGGGAAAGCGCATATGAGTACGTCGTCGTGCACTAGTGAGTGGTTCAGTAGAAGCTAGCATCAACATGGCTCGCCAAAACATACGCGACAGCTTGTTGATATAGCTTCAGGACCTCTTTGGCAGTAGTATCTTGAGACATCTCGTTATTGGTGCAAAGAGCGTAACGGATGATACGACAACAATGGAAAGATAAATGTGATGTGAGGGTCTTTTGATTTAGGCAGCAGCACAGGGATCTCGGTAGCGTCTTGGCACGGTAACACGCGAAAAGTGTGTGCCATCGATGTGCTACTAATGTAACATTAAGGGAGTGCCTGATACACGCTTCCTAATCACAATCAGCCATGTGTCTTTCTCTCGCGGTCGAAACCAAAAACATACCGCCATATCAAACAGGAACCGTCTTCGTTAGCAAAGTACCTAGGCCTCTTCCTCAAGGGGTAAATTCCCCGAGCATAAGTCAAATAGTGAGCTTTTGTCTGGCCGTCTCGAGAAAAGTTGGATACCCATAGCAAGGCGGTATCCCTTAGCACTCAGACACGAAAGAACATCGGACATCACGGTGGTGACCTGTCGCAGAACTTTCCTCTCGCGACGCGGGGATCGGGCGTCTATCATCATCATACGGCGAGTCCACCTACAGCCTATGATCACATAAAGATGAATCGAGGCACCGCGCTTCAACAGGAAAAGGTGTTCTAGTCGTTCCAATATACGTGCGCGAGACGTAGGAACCCTTGTAACGTCTCCCCCCAATGGTTTTCCGAGAAAAACTACGTCCCTCTGATTGAAAGTAATACTGATCTTCGTGATGAGATGGTGACGGGGTGTGTCTAGACGAGCTACATTCGAAGATAAGAAGCGTTCGATATATCCGAGATCCTTGCCCATGTGAAACCGGGCCGAGCGATACCAAGCTTCGAGCAGCTCTTTCCAAGCCATGTCGGCAACCTTCTCTACTTGCCAGTAATCGAGGCCCCATTTTCGTGTGGCGATCGCCGACCAGCAGCGAGACGGCTTAGATGAAGCGCACAGTATTCGACGAGCGAAGGGGAGGAGGGGCAGTAGAGTTCAGCAGACCTCGACCATGCGAAGGTTGATTCAATGGCGATGGTGACGGGGATAGAAGTAACGGGTGGAGCGAAAAGCGGGGGTAAATACGTAGCCCCCGCATTAGCGAAAGTGCACCTGCACCTGTGGAAAAGGCTCAAACAAGTCAATACTCTTCCACAAACAATACGTCGTATACACTGACGCTTCAATCAATTTACCTATAGCACACACACACACACACACACACAACCGTACGCTAAAAGGTAACACTTTACGCCAACCCTCGCACACTGATGCCCTCGATCACAAGCCGCAGCATAGGATTGCTTTCGCCGGTGATCTCTTCCAACTGCCCAATTTCGGCGATGATCTCAGCTTCCATTCGACGGAGCAATTTCAGCACAGCCTCGAACGTTCCCTCCGACTCGAGGAGGTCCAACACATGTTGCTTAACCTCTCTCGCCATCGGCGTGGTCTCTCGTCCTGTACCACCACTCGGTCGCTGCCGGAATATGCTGATGACGTGGGCTCGTAGCATTTCCGGCGCATGCTGCAGGAAATGTACAACTGGATAAGAGAACTTGCCCTCATCCAAGTCTTCACAGAACCCTTTCTGCTCAGCGTATGTGTCTGACTTCAGGTTAACGTAATCGTCACGCACTTGGAAAAACCGGCCCAGCAGCGCCATCAGCCGAATCAGCCTTTCCACATCGCATTTGGGCTCCTGTGCGCTTTCGCCGACGATAAGCTGCAACAGCATACGGAACAACCCGCCAGTCTTGCTGTCCACCATTTTCATGTATTCCTCCTCTTTCGGACTGAGTAGATTGTGCTTCCAGAACAAATCCCAACTCTGTCCAAGATGCAATCGCTCCAGCTCATACAGCACGATGTCCACCGCCTGTGGGTTCGAAAGCTTGCGTGCGTGCTGAACGGCTTGGACAAACATGAAGTTTGCACTGTTGATTGCTTGCGAATGCCCAAAAACGAGGTGTGTGGCCGCCCTGCCCCTGCGAAGGGGCGAATCATCTTCGATGTCATCGAGGATTAGCGACGCGTTGTGCAGTAAGCGGATTAGCTCCTCTACAGCCTTGACAGACTTCTTGGGAGCTTGTATCCACACGTTCAAAGCATCGATGAGCATCGATCTGACCCCTTTCGAAGGTAAGGATCTGATATAATGGCATGGAGATTGAACCGCCATGTCATCGGGCATCTCCCAACCGAGTTCTGTATGGACCTTCTTGCTTGGGCCGTCTTGACGAGACCCATCTTCGATGTTCCTCTTCTGCCCTCGTTTGCTCTTCTCCACGTTCGTGGCTACCTGGACATCCCTGGTTTCAGGGCTCTCGCATATGAGCGTAGCAAATGAGGTGTTACTAGAGCAAGCATCACTTAGAGCACTCGTCTCGCTGGAAGCTCCTGGGGAAGATCTGTCGCTGGTAACGTTTAAGGGAGAATTCTCCTGTGCAACCGATTCGCGGAACCGGACATGGTGACGAGGTGCGCTTGTCGCCCAGTAATGGCTTCCAGACACAACACATCCGGCGGCTTCAATCCAACGCCTCACGTCCAGAGAGACATCAGGATATTCCTTGTAGAAATCGGTCTTTCTCTTGACGTAAGTCTGCTCAGTCTCGATAATCATTTGCTTCACAACATCTCGAGCTGCGTCGATAGGTATCGACCGTGTTCGCCGTACGACGTCAACAACGTTGACAAGCCGGTTGCCATTTGTTTTCCAATCCTCGTATTCGCGATCCCAGCTCCAGTAATCGTTGGTAAGCATGAGTGCTTCTTCAATGGGCTCCATTACATGCTTGATAAGTTCGTGTTGCTTTGAGGTTAATCGGTAGCCCATTCCATATTCGACCATGGGCCAGAATGCTCTAGTTTCAGTAAGCCACGAAACCTCCCATGGAGTGAGTGGAGACGCTTACCTCATTCCAAAATTACACTTTCGATAAGCGTAGTAAGCTTCCAAGTCGTCGAATTCCTTGTCGTCGTTCTTCTCAACGATGGCCAACCATTCTTTCTGGTACATCTCCAACATATGCATTCCCATCTCTCGGTCGATTTGAACTGCTTCTAAAAGAATTTGAGCGCCAAGCTTCTTGAGCTTGTCCGCTCTCGAGCCTTGAGCAACCTCCTCCGTCGCTTCAACGTCCAGGGATCGCTCAAAGTCATGGTGCTCGGCTATGGCATCTTCTAAGCCCATCCCTTCGGTGGCATCTGTGGAACAAGTAATATCAGCTTTACTCGTTTCGAAACAAGATTATAAGTGGAGCACGTACCATCATGGATCAGTCCAAGGTCGAGTAAGTAGGACAATACACCCAGTCTCTCCGGCAATGCCTCAGTGTATGTGAAGGCATTGAGATTGCCTAGGTGACTGAATGATGTGAGTGCCTTCTTCTCCATGCCATCACCCACATGGTGACCCCAATCACGAAGGACCCTACGAGCGGTCTCATCGGCAATGTCATTTCGCTTGTGGATGCGAATAGGGAGGGTGGTGAAGGCACCATTCTTGCGGGCCTCATCCGGATCAATAAGGCGAGACTGAATAAAGATCTGGTCCTCCATGAAGCTTGGTGTAACGAACTGTTCTTAGTATGATGTTCGAACGACTTATATCTCCCGGAAGCAGATAGTGGGATCAGAACCTCCTGTTTGGTTGATCTACGTTGTAAGCAAGATGCGTGGGCTATATAGAAAGCGGAGGCTCAGTTGGACAAAGTCGGTGTCTTGCACTCGGAGCATATAGACAATTCACGTGCTATTGGATACACGATAAGCAGTCTCCACTGCGACGATCTCGTATACGCTCCTTCAGGCGATTACCTCGTCTCGATCACAATGGTCGAGGACCCCAACTTTCTAATAGTGGTAGAGATTTCATCCCCATTGCGGCTAAGTTGGTGTATGTTTGTATATATCGTTGTACTTATAGTCAACTCGTCGGAGTCGGAGTCAGAGATGGGTACAACGATTTGTGGGTATCCTTACACTAGTCGCGAAACTGATGTGCAACGCTTCAGTCCTCTTTGATGTTCTGACACACAATTAGATCGCGTTGTCCAAATTCACAACACCGGCGTATTTGTTAAAACCATCGATCTCGGTGAATTTGTTCAGTCGAGCAAAATTGGGGAGTTGTGATTAGTAACCATAGGTGACGCACGTTGCTGACACCGTGATGGTGCCGGAAAAATGCCGAAACGGAAAAGGTCATTTCCAAGAATGATCGTAGATACGAACTTGAAAGCATATCTTGATTTTCGTCGGTACTTTAATTGATAGGTAAATAGAACCATGTAGTGGGCCGTTGGCCTACGTACTCCGTAGGACGTTGTCTTGGGTGTCTGTTTCGCTGACCGACATTCCGTGTGATCATCTCACTAACCTTCATCTCTCTCTACAAAAGATTGTTTTAAGTCATAGATAGCATGAGTCGTTCAAGATCGTTCGTGCCAGTCATTCACACAAACTGGAATTTGACTTAGCTTCATCATGATGGGAGACATACGTGCACCTATCATTGGGATCGTTATCATCTCCTACCTTCTCAGTTTCTTCATACATAGGACAGAGAATTTCAAAGCGCCAATCGTTGGCCGTCGATCATGGTTAGAACCAATCCTCCTTCTACGTTACCGTTTTCTTCAGAATGCTTCATCCATACTTGCCCAAGGATACAGCCAAGTCAGTCTCCCCAAAACAGACGTTCCATATTTGGCAAAGGTGGACTAAAAGTAGTCTCTTATATAGGGCAAAGCATCGATGTTCAAGCTTCTCCGTGCGGATATCGACCTCCTTGTCGTTTCGAACAAATACTTGAACGAGCTTAAAGCTTTCCCCGAGTCAGAACTGAGTTTTGCTCATGGACTATATCGAGTTAGTTCCCTCTTTTTACAATGTAAAATATCACCCCACAAAATGTGATATTAGAAGTGCAAGCGAACTCACCCAATGGGCTTTTCTACTGACTTGTGGTTATCCAGAACTTCGTGGGCAAATATTCAATGTTGCAGCTCACGGTAGATAGCAGCATCATGACAAAAGCCGTCTTGAGCAAGCTAACCCCAGCATTGCATTACTTCATACCCATCATGCAGAAGGAACTTGAAGCCGCTACATCCGAAGAAACGCCTGAATGCAAAGGTATATGCTCATGAAACACTGCGAACGCGACCTAACAGATGACATCAGATGAATGGAAAGAGGTAGATTTGATGCGCCTTCTAAACCGGATCACCACCCGCATGTCCGCTCACTTCATCGTCGGTCCCGACCTTTGCAAGAACGAAGCGTGGCTGCAAGCATCGATCAAGTACACTGAAACGGCTATTCCGACAGGCATCATACTGAGACTCTTCCCGACCTTCCTTCATCCCTTCATTGTCCATCTTCTACCAGTTCGATGGGGAGCAAAACACTGCGTTAGAGAAGCTCGACGTCTCATCGTCCCACTTGTAGAACGACGTCGAAAAGAGCAAGCTGAGAGTCCTCAAGGCTACGTGAAACCAAACGACTTTGTACAGTGGATGATGGATCTTGCGAAAATTGAGAACGAGAGCGATCCTGCCAACATAGCACACCGAGCGTTGATCATGAGCCAAGCGTCGATTCCGCCTGCGGCACTAACGGCAACACAAGTGTTGTATGACCTCTGCGCTTATCCGGAATACATCGAGCCAATACTTGAAGAAGCTTTCGCTGCGATTAAAGAGGACGGCGAGTTAAGTCAAAAGACATTATTTCGAATGCGCAAGCTGGACAGCTTCATGAAAGAATCTCAGCGTGTGAATCCTCCGCAACTACGTAAGTCTCGTTTCCCTAAGCAACAAACTACAGGCGTGCACTCTAACGCACTGCAGTGAGTTTCCAACGCTATGCCGCCAAGTCACTAACCCTATCCGATGGCACCCACATCCCCAAAGGCACACAAGTCTGTGTGGCTGCCAGTTCCATATCAGCGGATCCGCAGATCGTTCACGACCCAGAGCGCTTCGACGGATGGCGTTACTACTACAAGCGTCTTGTCCCAGGCGAAGAGAACCGTCACCAATTCTCTAGCATAGACACCGAGTGGCTGCACTTTGGATACGGGCCCCATGCGTGCCCAGGCCGCTTCTTCACTGCCAACGAGGTCAAGATGATTGTGGTACACTTTCTAACCAAGTACGAACTTGCATTCCGCCCAGGCGAGGGAAGACCAAAGAACCAGGTTCATGACGAGTTGGTGTTTCCGGATCTGGCGGCGAGGATATTGATTCGGGAAAAGAGGGTTGCAGACACATTCAAATAGAGATGTACTATTTCCAAAATCACCCTCAAGAATTCCGTGGTATAAGCAAAAACATTCATGATTGTAATAATCGAGGTATCTGATTAATCATTCATCCGCTCATCTTCATCGAAAAAAGGAACCAGCCTCTCTTTCTTCATCGCTTTAAAAAACAAGGGCAAGTCGAAATGCCACGTACACACAGCAGCAAAAAACGCTCCATGCTAGAAAGAAAAAAACGCCATCAATGCAATTCCTGTCTCCGAACCTCCTTCTACCAGTCAGTCCATATATCTTCAAAGACTAGGAGGAAAAGGCGGTTTCATGTCAGTCCGTCTTTTCATATCCGTCCGCCTTCAACAATTTCCCTGCCAATCAACTCCAATTCCCCGCTTTCAGCCGTGCGTCGACGTTCTAGTACCCATCTTCCTTCTCCAGCTTCGTCGTGTTCGCGTACATACGTCACGCTATCCGCTGCACTACCCTTCCTGCTATGACCACGGTTCCAGCCGCCACCGCTTCCGCCATTCGGTGTAATGGGAGAGGAGTTTGAGATGGGACTAAGACCCATGCTTTGTCTCCGTGGTCCGCCAGACGTGGAAACGGTAGGTGCGGATGGTGAAGAGAGCGAAGTGTCGATTGAAGGGGGGTTGGGTGGTCGATTTTGGTGTTGCGGTAGGTATGGCGAAGAGAGCGGCATTGGGAATGGCGATACTGGGAGAGAAATGTTGGACGGTGAAGTGGCGGACATGCCACTTGGGGACATTGCTAGACTCATCATGTTGTGCTGGGCATAAAGTTCCGAAATGGGAGGCAGAAGTGGTGCTTCGTTCCCAACGCCATATCCAGTCGGACTGGAGAGACTATTGTAATCGCTAGCTGTGAGAGTAGGACTTTCGGGTCGTTCGTCTCCGTCGTAATCATCTTCGCTAGAGCGGCCAGACTCGTACGCGCCATTAACCGCATCCATGAGTCCCTCGTCGTCTTCTTCATTGTCTTGGTCGTCGTTCTGGTAATCAGAAGAGATGTTGTTCGAAGAGTATGAGCTCTCAAGCGACTCAGAGGGCTGCTCTCTCATGCGGTTACCGACAGGACTTGATGTTCGGGGTACGAACTGCATGCCCATGGGAGAAGAGTTGCGCGGACTGTTGGCAGCACTGACTGGTAAACTGGCAACGCTGCTCCCGAAGGCACCTTTGCGCAGCTTGAGCAGTGCGTCGAGACTCATGTCTCCTTCCTCTTCAGGTCCAGGGAAGCCGTACGGACTCATGCGAGCAAGCTGCGCTAAGCCAGGACTTGACATTGGCTGTTGTCCGTCGCGGAAGTGATTGAGACTGATGAATGAATTGCGCGTGCTATATTCGCTGCGCTCCGTGATGGGCGTCAAGTTCGGTTCTCGCACAGCGTTGCGACCGCTGACCGTACGACCAAGACCAGATGGCCCAAAGAAGCCACCCCAAGCGCTCGGTGACTCGCCATTTCCAGATGCGTAGAAACCGAACTCTTGGCCGTAGAATCCCTCATCATCATAAGCCAGGGCTTCAGCATTGGCCTCGGCAATGATTGGGTCATCTTCCATGGCCGAGTCAAAGTCGCTGTAGTCGTAGTCGTAGTCGTCCACATAGCCAGAGCTCATGCCGTAGATGTCATCGTCCTGCGGGAAGCTGATGGTATCTACACTAAAGCGCCCGTCGTCAGGAACAAGGCTAGGCCGCGAATGGCTGGGTGAGGGCTGATCGTCAACGTCAAAACTAGTCTGACCAGCATCCACACTCGCTTTTCTAGTGAAGCGGCCGGCAGCCTCAGCGCGTTGTGCTGCATCAGCGAGCGCACTGTGATATGCGCTGAGGTTGTCGAGACTCGGTACAGGCCGCTGCTGTGCGATCGAAGTCTTATGTGCGAGTGAAGGTTCCGACTTCTCGAAATGCTTTGGCACGGTGTCATCATCCGCCTCGTAACCTGTTTCCGAGTTCAAGGCATCAAGCGCACGCGACTGGTGAGTAGTGGGTGATAATTCGTCTTCAGCAAACTTAACTTTCCTCTCGTATAGTGGCCCGTTAGGGTCGTCGAAGACATTTTCGTCGAATTCTGTAGGCTCAATGTCGTCCTGGTCGCCAATGAGGCCGTCGTCAAAGTACATGTCGTCATCGAGATCGAGGTTCACAAAGTTCTGTTGTTTTGCATCTGAAGGCGCCGCATCTTCGGATGTCCCAGGGGTTTCGACTGGAGAAGGCTCAACAGGCTTACCCGCAAGGCTTGTCAGGTTCCATCCCGAAGCCTGCATATTCGCCATACCCTGTTGATTCGGTTGACCACCCATCATAGACATCTGATACTGCTGAAGCATCTCCTGCGACATGGCAAAACCGATAGGGTTTCCGTTCATGTCAACAGGCATCTGCATCATGTTCAGAGGACTCGTGGTATCGTTCAAGTTCTGCTGCTGTATCGACAGAGATGAGAAATCGAAGTTGTTGATACCAGAGTCCAGCGTCTGGTCTCCTAGACCGCCTCCAAACTCGTCCTCCTCGCCAAGCATTGGTATCTCTTCGTCAAAGCCGCCGTCCATGTCATCGTAATCATCCATGCCATAATCGTCATACTCATCTTCGACCGAGTTGGTAGAGTTCCGCGCCTGCTTCTTCTCTGCCTCCTTGGCCTTGTGTCGCTCCTCGAGCATCTTCTCTTGCGCGGAATCCGGCCCTCCAGATATTTGGAAGCTGAATCTAGACGCTCGACTGCTGAAATGTGCCGGTAGCCCCGCTGGCTGAAAAGATGGGTCTGTAACAGACGTTGCCCTCGATCGTGCAGGTGGCGGCGGTGACTTTGTCGACTTATTCTTCCGTGGAGTAACATCTGTAGAGACGTCCAGGGGATTCTCCGACTCTTGTACAGGTGATAATACTGAAGATCCGTTTTCGAAACCCTGGAATGACGGTCGAGGTGGTGGAGACGCTTGTGGAGGAGGCGGCGGCAGCAGCGGCGGTGAGTTCTTGGGTTGCGGCGGCGGGGGAGCTGAGCGTTCAGGTGGAGGGAATTGTACTGAATTTCTTGCGAGGAAGTCGTTGTTCACCAGCTGCTCTGCTCGTATGGCAGCTTGCGACTGTTCGTAGCTGGTGTCATCGTCAAAGTGCTCACGGAACACTGGTGTATGCTCCTTCTCGATCTTTGGTGGGCTGGCACGAGCAATCTCCTCCTGCACTTCCCCTCCCTCTGACGCGTTGTTGTAGGAGTAGCCTCGGTTCAGTCTGGGCGCGTCGAAATCATGTCTGATCTTTCCGCGAATACTGGGGTCGTAGTTGTCGGGCATGGGTGGAACATTCGACGGCGACCGTTGAGTGACGAGCGATTCGTCGGCGAGAGGGTCCAGGGTCTGTCCCGACCTTCGTCGCATTAGAAGCGACATGGGGTTGCGCAGGGTCAGTCTCGACTTTGACTTGCTGGGGGCTGCCGTTGGTGTTGAGGTGCCCTTGGAACTGCCTGTGAGTTTGTCGCTGATGCCACTCAATAGCGACGTCTGTGACTTTGAGAAGTTGGTATAGCTGGGGGATATGACGGAGGGTGCTAGATGTGAGGATGACTGGGGACGTGTCTCAGACGATGGTGCGGGTTCAGTCTTCTGTGGCACGTTCTGTGTTGGTCGATTCGCGCTCGTGGGAGTGCCTCCAGCGTTTGAGCGCGCAGAGAGCGGCTTGTTCTCATAGCCAGGAGACAGATGGCCCTGTGTCCTTTGGGGCGGGGAGAGCATGCCGCGGTCCTGTGCCATGTTACTGCTGCTGCCGCCTCCAGTGCTTGCCGAGTGCTGACTGGTGGTGTATTGGGAACTGTTGGGCGACACAGACTTGTCGAGCTTCGAGGCGACGCGTGTGATGGGCGGTAACTGAGGCGGATAGGGCGATATGGGGGAGCCTGAGGTGTAGCTGGCATTGTCGTTGAAGCGCGGGGAGGAAAAGTACTCGGGTGTGGTATGCGACGGCGAGGGTAGAGGGTTATGGGCGTGGGCGTGGGCGGCGGCGGGGCTTGGAACGGGCTCTGGTGAAGCGAGACTCGAGGCATTGCGCTTCGCATGGCCGGGCCTGAGCTTGGAGAACATCGACGTCCCCGAGGGCGCCATTGCTGTGTTTCGTGTCGCCGCGCGGCGGCTTTCGCGTTGCTGCTACGCGGACTGCAGGGAGCGTCGTTGCTACCAGGCGGGGCTGGTTCGGGCGGTTATGGTGCCTCTCAGCGAGGCCTTGCACCGAAGCGCACCATCACCGGGCGGGGGTAAGTTGACCGCGGCGTTGTTGGGGCTCTGCGGCAGTGACTAGAAAAGTTGGTGATGCGATTCCGGTGTGGCACGACTATCGGAACGCTAAGCGGGTGAGGCGCGACAACGTCAATTGCGTCCTCGACGTGTGTGTGTGTGAATCAGGTAAACAGGTGCCGGAATGTCGTGGCCGCCTCCTGTAAGCAAAAAGAAGGTCGATACTGTTGACTCGGTTGCGCTTCGTCGTGGCTGCTCGTGAATGCTGATGCGACCTCCTCTCCCAACACCAAGGTTCATGCGACGCCCGCTAGCAGGGGATCTTCCCGCACCAGTCCCTCTTAACCGCGACTTTTGGAACGCTCTTGCAACGGCCTCGCGTAGACTTTCTTTACCCGCAAGAGCTCTGTCCGCTAGAACTTTTATGCAGGTCCTTCTAGACGATCTAGAAAAAGAAAGCTTTCATGAAAAAGACATTCATGGCTGGAGGCAGTGAACATCGCAGCTGATGATTGACAATCATACAGACCATTATGACGTTAGAAGCTCATTGCACTAGTTAGCGCCAAATGTATGCCGTGTGAGTGCCACACGGCCTCGTACTACAACCCCACTATAGCCTAGACAGGAGATAAGGCCATGTCATGATATGCTTTTTCATTCAACATTCATGTGAAAATACATTAGAGCCGCGGATAACCAGCTACTCGCCCACCAACTCAAGCAGGCCTCTTTCCACCCCTCGACTTAATCGGCCTTCCCAGCCTTCCAACATCGCGCTTCCTCAGTGCCCTCTTCGCAACCTCTGCATCTGCTGCCCAAGTGGGCTCAGGGTCCGGTCCATTGAGCGCCGTGTTGTAAGTCGCGTTTGCCGGCAGTACCTCAAACTGGATCGTAGCATTACCCTCCCTGTAGTCACTTGTCGGTGTGCCCACAGTCAGATAGTCGCCATCGCACTTCTCCTTACCGGTCGCGATATCAACCTGCTTCAGCGCACGCTCGAAGATCTCTAGCGACGCAAGAGGTTGGTAGAAGGGTACCTCGTGGCCAGATTCGTAGATGCGGAGGAAAGAGAAGAGGCCCGCCTGCTTGACCTGGCCATGGACGATGCCGTCGCTGGTAGTGATATTGGTGAATCCAGCCTCAGAATAGCCCGTCGCGTTGATCATGTCAGCGACAACTTGTCCACCGAGCCAGTTGCAGTTGTAATCCGCATCACCATAGTACAACATGACCTGAACACCCGCATCGAGCAGCTCTTGGCAAGCCGCAATGGTACCTGATGGACGGTCATCGTCACCCGTGTTGCCAAACGCAGCAGAGACCGTGCTGGAACTCTGAGAGAAGTTCTGGAATGCACCGATCGCCTTTTGCACATCTGGCAGATTCAGGTAATCGGCGAAGTATCCGTAGGGGAATGGGTCTGGCGTCAGTTCCCTCATGTCGTACTCGTCACGTCCACTGTAGATATCGTAGAGATTCTCGACCTTGGAGTAGCAGAAGTCATCCGCGCTGGCACACACAGAGTTGATTCCAGTCTCGTAGCATTGTACGGTTCGGTCGTAGCAGTTACCCGGGCCATACATGTTGTTGTACCACTCAGCTTTGACTGTGTCGTTGTACGGGTCATAGTCATAGGTATTGCCAGGGTAAACAGAGTAGTTGTAGTAAGCCTGGTACTGGACAAGAGGATCGAACCATCCGTTTCCAATAAGCACATTCTCCAGCTCAATCTTGTGTGCGCCCGAGATGTTCTTTGCGTTCTGCTCGAGGAAGTAGGCATTGAAAACGGGTCCGTAGTGGCCTCCATAGCTCTCAGTTGTGAAGCTGAAGCCGTTGCGCGAATACTGCGGGAACGCACCCATAAAACCTTGCAGTGTCTTCCACATGCCTGGCGCCGCACCCTCGGTGCTGTTGGCAGTCAAAGTGTGGTCTGGCTTGGAGTATGTTCCGCATGTTCCGTAAGTCTGCGCGTAGTCTGGGCAAGTCGCGTTTGGCAGTTGAACGATGGTGCTACCGTCTGAGTAGCCTGGGATAGGAATGGAGTAGGAGAAGCCAACATCGGTAGGCTGATCGATGAACAGCATGTTGCTTGCATTGCTCCACGAGTACGGGTTGTTGAACGGCTTCAGATCTGGTCCAATACCGCATGGTCCCAGTTCCTGGAAGAGACCGATCATTGAGCTAGAGCCTGGGCCTCCATTGATCCACTGCAAACAATATTAGTACATCCTTCTTGTGTTTTGATGAGAAACTTGGATAATCCGGTTTTGGTCTAAAAATACTTGTAGGTCATGGCTACATCCAATATGCTTCCATAAACAATTCCTCCAAAACGCAACCCGGAAGACGAATTTATCTACACTATGCGACTTACCACTGTCAATGGCGCCTCAGAGGGATCCTGGTTGCGCGACTCAAAGAACCACCAGAAGACGTGCTGGTCCTCCGCAATATCCGCATATCCACTGTAGCTCTTCACATTTGGATCAAGCTCGCAGATACCGGTAGGTACCTCCTTGTATCGTACGCTGATGTTCGCATAGCCTTCCTTGGTAATCAAATCCGTGGGCGCAGGTACGAACTGTGCAAGAGTACCAGCTGCCAACAAAGGCGCGGCGAGTAGCTTCTGTGCGCTCTTCATTTTCGGGGTTGTCGCAAGTCTCCGCGTATTGATGAACTTGCCCGACTCGATAGAGGTGAGGAGAGAGGGAGCAAAGGTAGCGGTGGCTAGAGGAAGAGCAAAGCAGCTTCTCATATGACGCGTACCAACTACATTTTATCCTCGAAGCTTATGCAGGTCCGATAGCCAGCTCTCACCTTCCCATGTGAGCTAAGTATTTGCTTATCTCGGTGCCGTGCATGCTGGCCGTAATCCAGTGCTCGTACCAACGACGTCATGGTATACTTCGGTGCATCCGCATTCGCATACGGCCCTTCGCTATTTGAAATTTCCGTGAACGGGTTGCCGGCACAAAGATCGGTCGCTTGGATGTAGACCAATTAGCGACGGGGTTTCAGTCCAAACAAAGGCGCTCAATGGATCAAATCCACGAAGACCATGAAGCTGGCGACTGTCAACCGAGCGAGAAGCTACCAGGAAGGTACCCCGCTATTCGGTCCCAAGCTTGCATTAGCAAAGGCTTGTACAAGCTTACATGGCTTGATCGCGGTCGAGGCGATAGTGGAAGATGATCTATGCCTGTATGGGAAGGTGGTAGGCACCGGGTATCCGTGAGTACGGACAGACAAGGTCTCTTCGGCGCCGCGGCTTCGATAAATCCCTCTATGACATTCCTTGCAGAGGGAACATTGTCTTGCTTACCCTAGATAGTGGTTGTCTGATTGTCGGACCAAAGAGCTGGGAAAAGAATACCACGTACGGAATCGGAGTGGAGTTGTCGCGTCAATACCCAGAACAGCTAGCGCCATGAAACACGAGGTTCGCCTCAAAAACAAGCACGCGACACAGTCCAAGGTTGTCATTCAAACATATCTCATTGGGGTTCATACCATTGTGGTAGGTATTGATCTACCCATTTCCATCACTTCATAGCAATCGTCAAGTCCTCCCAACGCCTCTTACTCCATGCTATGCAATGATGCAATCGAGGCCGCTGGTCAACTACAATACTGTACCGAAACCGAAAGTCGTCTTGATACTTCGGACGTAGTACTGGTCCCAGTTGGTCTTGGTGGGTTCCTCTTGACCAACTGGTACACCCTTCCACTCTACCCTCATGACCGTCACAGCATCAACATCGTTCTGATCAAACCATATCGACAGGGTCGAATAGTGTCCCGCAGGCCATTGTGCAAGTCGCCATTTCTGGACGATGTGTGTGGGTTCCTGGAGCTCGGTGAACTCTCCACTGACGTTTCCGCCGAAGAGCTCGAATGTGCCGCCAGGTTGTGCGCCTGTCCAGTTCCTTGGTGGGGCCCGCGTGAACGCAGCGATGCGTTGCGGGTCTGTGAAGGTCTGATAGAGGTTGGCCGCATCTGTGCGGAACTCTGTGCTGTCGGTGATGGTGGTCACATTGACAACTGCGCCAGAGCTGCTCTTTTGAGAGCCGGATGCTTCCGTCTTGGAGCTGGACTTGTTCACGCTTGAGCTCGAGTATACCTTTGGCGCTGTGAAGCTGCTACCAGGGTTCACGCCTGGTGCATGCTGGATATCCTTTCCGTGTTCCGCCATGACCGCGGGCGCAAGCTGGGTGAAGCTTTTACGCAGCTGCGGTAGGATCTTGGATCGTACTAGGTCCTTTACGGGCTGTTTGCTGCTCTCGTCCGAGTAGACATCTACCTCAAACTATGGCGAACTGTTAGTCGCGATGCACATGGTCACATGGAGAAATCAAGGGTGGTGCCAGCGAAGGGAACATACGACATACTCGTCTTCCTCGGTGTCATGAGCGACTTCGGGGACGGTAATGGTGCCGCTAGCCTCTTCGCCCTCTTTGTTCTTGCCTGCCGACCGAGTCAGCTCAGCTCGCCCAAGAAGAGTGCAACCGAGAAAGACCTACCCGAGTATTCGATCTTCAGTTTGACATCAAAGATGGTAATCACTTTGCCTTTGCGTTGGCTCACGTCTACGTCACCATCCATGCTTACGACTTTATCGATCTTTGCTGTCACGCCATCCTGCTCCGCTGATATCTGCGTGAGCTCCTTGTCGAGGTACTCGCGCGTCCATCCCGACACATCCTTGTTGACCCAATGCCAGTTGTTCGGGTTGTGGAGGACCATGGTGATGTCTGAAGAGCGCGCTCGATCTCGATAAAACTTCTGCGAGAGGCTTGTTAGCTTCAATCTCTTCCACTTATGCAAAGATAAACGCGTAGTGAGGTATTGTCAGAAGGCGACTAAAAAGTCTAAGCAGCTGATCCGCATGCAAAGAGTACAAGTCTTCTCAGACTGGTGCCAGCTTGTGTCTCATCATTCGAAAATTGGAAGAGGGCGTTCAATACTTACAATAAAAAGCGCTGATGCTGAGACTGAGCTTCACGGCGCGCGAATTAGAGCGATGGTGTGGAATACAGAAGGAGAGTTCTGCAAGTTATGTAGAGGGGAGCTCGAGGCAGAAGTTTCTGGAACTGATATCCCAGGACGCGCTATGCTCGGGCCGACCAAAACGCCGGCCGTCCCCTTGGCCTGTGCTTACAGCAGCACCCACTACAATGCAAGATGTATGCTTGTGAGCGCCATTTGTTCGCTTGTCTGCCAACGTTCTCATGAGACAGAAGGCTTCTTTATTCATTACTCCTTCGTCAAGAGTTCTTGGCAGATGGACATAGCCGAGATTTTGGAAGCCCATCAACTGGTGGGGGCCTATGGCTGCCTTCACCTGTGCGCAGATCCGTGCATACAGGATGCACTGGCATAGGAGACTATGCAGCGATCGAACCATCGGTTTCACAAAGATTCCGGTATCAAAATCTCAATCTAAGATATGCAAGACAGTGTCTTTATTGAATACGACACGACTTATCGAATGCAAGACAGTGTCTTGACGAAACACACACTATTAGCTCAAGCTCAACTAAAGAACGCCTCCATCTGGGCGACAAGATCAGGCACCTCAGATAAGGATCCTTGGGCGAGGACATTGTCCTTAATCGGGGTACATTGTCTCAACTTTGCTTCGCTGCGAAGCATTCTTAAGAGATACTCTTCGGATTGCGCTGTCTTCCGTATGCTTCGCGTCGCCATGAAATTTATCATGTCCAAACATGTGCTTGCTTCCGCTAGGTATAAATATTGCCATGCCCACTCGTATGAACACTGGAATGTCTATACTTCAGCGGAACTTGCTCCATCACAGCTACAGCATCTTTGTTCATCAACAACCAAAGATTGAACGTTCGATATCGCAGTCGTATGCGCGTTTGCCTTGTCAAAGCACTACTTGCCCCGTCATGGCGAGTCAGGGAAAAAGACCAGGTGAGTATCATATTGCCCTTTACATGCTACGTCTTGATCTCTATATGTTATTAGTTGTAATGAGGAACTAACGACTACAGCTGACGACCCATTGCAATCAACAACGCAGAACCTAATTCCTCCATCAGCGAAACGGCGTGTAGAACGAAGCGTAGCCGGATACGAAGAGTTCATTAAGAATGACAGCAAAGACTCCTATCGTCATGACCCAGCAGGGGACGCGCCCCCCGAACTACCCATCTACCATAGCGAGTTTCTAAGAGCCGCGAGTGCTTGCTTGAAAATGCTACCTGACTTCCTTGTCGCGGCAAAGGCGGACAAAAACCCACAATTGACCGCAGTACTGAAGCCTGAAATTATCCGCATGCTTGAAACTTTTAAGAGCATGCCGGAGTCTGTAGCGGTTGTTGGTAGAATTGGGCAGGGAAATCGAAACTGATAGACGCTCTTTTGGGAATCGGTCAAATCGCGAACTCAGTAAGCAAATCTTCATCGAAGCAGTGCATTATTAATCGCTATAGGGTGCAACTGGCGTCGCTGGAACTCGCGTTTCGATCGTTTACTTACCACGTCCGGCCGACTCACAAATACCTTACCAAGCAAAGATTGAAGCCATCGACCCGAGGGAATGTCTAGGTTCTGTGCGCCAGCACCTCTGCAACATCATAGCGGGATTTGAGGAACATGGAGCATCATCCCCATGGGCCAACGATCAAGCATCGGACAGCATGAAAGTGCTCACGGGTCTATTCCGTAGCCGTTCAGAGTTTACATCAGAAGACGCCATCCGTACTTTCCTGGGGTACACAACTGGTACGTCCGAACTACAGTCGCTTGAAAAACAAATTAATGCTCTCAGAGCTTGCATCGAATGGGCTGAGGAGCGGCGCCTGAAGATCCCTGCCGTATCCAAAATCCATACTACCAATGTAACCGAACTTTGGCACAAGAAAGGACCATTTGCGAACGACGAAATCACAACCGGTAACCCTGCGATTGATTTCAATCCCACTCTATTGGTAGGAAAGATCGAGATCTTTGGTGATCTTTGAGTTCGTTGTTCAATCGGCGACTGTCCCGGACTGGACGATATCATTCAGGACCGTAAAACGAAAGCCGAGAGATATCTGGAAGATTGTAAAGTGGTCATAGCTGTTGAGGAAATCACCCGGGCTGGTGATGATGGCTTCCTAGATTGGTTTCTCCAAGATCGCTGCAAGAACAGGTCCGATCAACGTATCATCGTTGTCCTGAGCAAAGGAGATACCGGTCTCAATTCTGCGGATCGTACGAAAACGTCATTCGAAGAACATGAGATAGCAGATCTCGATTGGTTAGCCAGACGAAAAGAGATAGTTGGAAGAGCGAAAGGCAATTACGAGCGGACACAGTTCGAAGAGAGGAAGCGCTATGCTTGCGAGATCGCATATATCGATCTTGAAGAGAGAGAAATTCGCGCTCGAGAGCGCAGCCGACACATCGAAGATCGGCTGAGGTCCCGATACGCAGGAATATCCGACAACTTCATCGTCAGAACGACTTCCGCCAACGACTATATGAGGCATGTCCAAGGTTATAACCGATACACAGCCAATGATCTTCCGCTATCTGTCCAGTCGACACAAGTTCCAAGTCTGATCAAAGACCTCGCTGACGTAGCAAACGACCGGGCCAAGGACCATCTCATGCGCCTTTGTGGACATGCTGCCCGAGCTATTTAGCTTGGTCGAGCTCGTTCGCAGCACCATATCTATTAAGTCACGAGCAAGACCCGATTCCAAGTTTTATGAATACGATAAGATGTTTAGAGCGCTGCTTGAGGCTATTAAATGAGGTTATCAAGGGTAATATGAGAGGGATTAAGGCATCTTACGAAAAAATTAGCACCTCCGAGCAACGGAAGCATGCGGTGACGCTGATGCGTGCCCATCTAGAGCGTCGTGTCGCTGCGGGAGAGGAGCAGTGGAGAGGTTCAATTCTGGCTTCTCTTGTAGAGTGCGGACTATATCCGCCCTCGGAGAGTATGGAATCTTAGTACCACTTAGCGAATATCTCTAGACTAAGTATACTTTATGAACCTTGCGCATGCGTGCTTACTTCTACGTGTATCTTACTAGGATAGGGCTATAGACCTACGGAAATATATCGCAGTACTGTCGCAGTTCTTCAGAGTCATTCTAGAATGCCTTCGGAATGTGGGTGGTTACTGAAGTACTCTTCAGCAGTACCGTAGTCGCAGTTGGCCAGTTTACTGGTAATGTATCTCGATGACCCACTTACTGCTTCCGTTGTTGATACCACAATGACATCTCCGAACATGCGCTGTTGGCTGCTACGCACGCGCCTCAAGGACTCTTCGCGCTTTATGGTAAGTGAGAACGTTCCTTTCACATGTATTCGAAAGGCTAGGACTTCGGAGGACAAGCCTCCTCTCGTTATGTTTGATGAACATGTGTGACGAGTCGGGTTTGGTGAATGTTGTACGTGAAATAGAGCATGCGTCCGCCTTGTGCACTAAACTCTTGAGACCGTTCATGGACATCCCCATCCATCTATAGTCGCTTCGCAAAACAAAAGATATGGCACCTATCAACCGTCTTGCAGAATGACTTTCACTTCAGCTTGCGACTCTGCATCGTCGTGAGTAGCAGCTTCAACAGCATGACGAGCGCAATCACTTACCTCCAAGTAGATCGGCCAGAACCATGCCCTCATCATCTACCATCAACTTTGCATCTGTGCGAAACGTTAGCAACCACAATCGACATATCTATGTAAGCACACATCGGTCGTGGAAACATACTTTTGAAGATCAACTGGTACGACTCGCCCTCCTTCTTAGCTGTCACGAGCTGTACCAGCTTCTCATTCTCTGCATTTGCTTTATACCAGGACACTCGTTTTGGCAGATAGCTGCGGTTCTCTACTTGATTGCGTCCCATGATCCAATCTCCAGATTGCAATCGGCTATTCTTAAGGCTGAAGATAGCTGGCACGGCTCCCAGCTTTGCTTGAGAACCATCCTCAGCGTCTTTTTCGACGTTTGCAACTGGTTTGCCACCAATCTCGATAGTGAAAGTCGATGGAATAGAATCCATGATGTTTGCCTGGAAGAATCCAAGGAGCCACAGTGCAATGAGTCCTGAGAAACACAGGAGTAGGATTCTACCTGGAGCTGCGTTTGCGACTGGCATCCAGAAGACTTGGGAGACCAGGAGCGATGTGATAGTGCGAGCGTGTCGCGGCGATGAGCGGTGATGGGCCGATGTTGACGCTTTACACCCAGGTACCTAAAACTTTGTTGATATCTCGGTCGTACTCACTGACCTATATGCGAGTTGCATGAATGCCAGCTCGTGTTCGCCGGTAGTGTGGCCGGATATGATTCCGATTCCGTGCAAGTAGATATCGCGATATGCCAACTTTGGCAGCTGGTTTCACATCATGTAGGACTAAGCCTGAGATGTGTTAGTACACCCCACAAAGCTCATGCCAAGGATATCCTCCCACGCTTGGCTCTTGCCTGTTCGGGGTCGCTAATCGTCACACCCTCAAACATCAAAGGGGACTTCTCCGATATCCCCTACGCATTGCTCACGGCACTTCAGGCATTGCTCTCTCATTACACTAGATGACGTGCTCACAATTTGCACGCCTGTTTCGCCCAGGAACGTCTTGGAGGTAAATTGTCGATGGCACCACGTTATGTGCGATCTCTCTTCGCCAGCACACAGTGCATCAACGCGTAAGTAAATCTATGGTAGCTTCCTCTTTTCCTTGACACCAGCCTTTCTGCAACTCTGCGATAATCTACGCGAAGTATCGAGGTAGGGAGATTCGCGCAGTCCATTAAGTCCAGGTGAATCTTCCGATAACGGCCTCGTTCATGCAACTGGCTAAATTCCTACACTGTACCAAGACAAGCTAATTGCTATATTTTCTTTTCGACTACTACGTCCCACCAATCGGCGATTATATAACTTACACAGCACATGACGGTACCGCCCGAACACGGTGTAAAGGTACATCTTGGGTTTCCCATATTGTCTTGGCTCTACAAGCTCCGCCAAGGTAGGTTGTCGAGTTTTGCCAACCCCGTTCTATTTCTTGTCAATTCCATATCTGGAAGGACTTTAGTTACCCCCAGCTCACAATGTCTTGGGGTCTCTACTGGCACCTCATAGTGCGACCGAATACGAAGGTTCGTGTTCGTGCAAGTCACAGCGAAGGAGATTACATGTTTTCTCTCTGTTGTATAAAGATGGAAGACGTGCCTGCCTGGAGAAGCCAGTCAGTCGCTTCTCTCCTCATCTCAACGACCTTTACTCCAGTCGCTTTGCACAGTCCCCAACATGCACGCCAAGTCCATCCTTGCCGCTCTTGCGGTCCCGGCCCTCGTCTATGGCGCTGCTATTCCCCAGGAACAGGAACTGCCCGAATTCAACTGGGATGAGAGCTCTCCAGACACTTCAGACATTGTTGGTGGCGTAGCCGCTTCCCAGGGTGATTTCCTTCCCATGGTCAGCGTTCAACTTGCTGGATTGGGTCACCTGTGTGGTGGTACTCTTCTCAACGCCAACACGGTCGTCAGTGCGGCTCACTGCTACTATGGTCGTACCACCGCTTCATTCAGCATTCGTGCTGGATCTCTTGTGAGTACCATTCTCTTTTGTTGAATTTAATCAGGCCTATACTCACTATCTCTAGAACCGTGGCTCTGGTGGAACTGTCTCCACTGTCACTTCCGTCCGCCTTCACCCCAGCTACAACGATAACACTTCGGACAACGATATCGCCATTCTGAAGCTCTCGACTCCTGTTGCAACGAGCTCCACTATTGGATACGCAACCCTCGCCGCCTCAGGCTCTGACCCTGCTGCTGGCTCCACTGCGACAGTGCTCGGCTGGTAAGTAAAGCTCATCAAAAGAAGGTTGTACATTATGCTAATTTTTCTTCAGGGGTGACACAACCGATGGTGGCAGCAGCTCTACCACTCTCCGTAAGGTTTCGGTACCAATCGTCTCCCGCGCCACTTGCCGCAACAACTACTCAGTTTCTGCCGTTACTGACCGCATGTTCTGCGCTGGTGTCCCCGAAGGTGGCAAGGACTCTTGCCAGGGTGACAGTGGTGGTCCCATCATCAGCTCCAGCAAGCAACTCATTGGCATTGTATCTTGGGGCAACGGCTGTGCTCTGCCTGGTCAGCCTGGTGTGTACGCCAGGGTTGGTGCGCTCACCTCTTTTGTTACTAGCAACTTGTAAGAGTGCCTAGTCAGGATGAGCGGTCCTGTTGTGTGATAGAACGCGCGTGGTACTGGTGTGAAGGCGGTGACATGGGGCGGTAATGAGTGACGAATATGATTATGATCATCTAAATGTTCTCATCACCCTATACAAGAGAAAGATCGAACAGGTAGAGATAGTAAACTCTACTTTGCAGCTTACATCAGCTCCTAACAAGAGAGATTATAGGGATTAATAGTATTGTAGGCTTCTAGGTTCTCTATGTATGTCTATATAGCTCTAATACGCTTTGTTGTAGTAGGAAGAAGTACTCTGCTTAAATGAGATACTTAGTTTCTCTCTTTGGCGTAGTGTCATCATGATATTAATATTTAGAGTGCTCCCATTGAACGATAAAATGTGCTAATCATCCAACAAGTTCTTCCTCTCCGAGCAGACACGAACTTTGCTGACTCACTACTCTTTCTTCCAGTCATCATGATCCATCCATGTACTATCCTACTTATATTTCCACAGCGCAGGGCTAGATTCGCAGGCCAACAAGGGCGTTCTCGTCTATCCGTCTTGTCTCTTTTGTCTCTGCAAGTAAATCCGCGCGAAAGCTGATGCGACCCTCCATGTATCACTCACAAGAGTCACTGGTAACGCTTTACCTTCGCACATACCCTAGTCCGTGCTAATACAACACGGCCGTGATGTGTTTCGAGAGAACTACATGAAGCCAACCAACGGCGATATCTGACCCGATCCGCCTCTTTCCTCGCCATGTTGCTCTTTTCGGAGATAAACGATGATATGTTGATTGAGTGACTCTCTCATGTCGAATCCCATGATTCACCATGCGACTAAGTAAGAGAAGTCGTCCCTGATGTACTCGAACTTCTTCTGGTTCGACTCTGCCCACTCGCGCACCTTTTGAATACCCTCCAAATCCGCCCGCATATGTTCAGTCGAAGTCGACCCATTCAGCACCACAATTCCTTGATCCATGACGAGAGCGTAGAGCGCAATGGGCAGTTCAACATTCGTCGCTTTGGCCAAAGCGGCAACTGGTTTTGACTTGAGAAGAGCGGGATTACCGGTCAAAGTCCAGAATGACTGATACATGATGCCACTCAATCGGCAGTATTCACGCAACTCTACATCGTGATACGTGTCAGGGTAGAAGCGATTCTGCACCACTGCTGGCTTGACCTTGGCACGCAGCCACAGATCTCGGAGGATGGGAAGAGTGACATTCGAGATACCGAGGGAACGAATCTTGTGCGGCACATAAGTCTCCAGTAACCGCCAAGCCTGCAGTGTTTGCTCACTGGTGGGTAGTGGCGAATGAAGAAGTAAGCAGTCAATGTATGAGTCGTCTTCCGATTTCTGGTCATGTCGCAAATTCTTGAGTGAGGATGCGACAGATGTGCGTATCTGAACGTCTAATGGCGCTTCAGGGTCGTAGGGCATATTGCTCAGATCTTGGCCAGCGGGAGTGGTGTATTTCGTCTGCAACTGTTGAACATAAACGCCAAACATCTTGAGAGAAAGTGTGGAAGCTCATACATATATCTCCTCTCGCTTCACGAGACCTTCCTCGAACGCCTCACGAAGCGCGTCCCCAACTAAAGGTTCTTGGTAATGCCGAGGCTGTGCAGCTGTGTCGACGCGACGAAACCCATGAGCAAGTGCTTCTTTTATTAATCTCTTCGTCTGGCTTTTCTTCCAGGCAGTACCATAGATGAACGCGGGCTTTTCATCAAACAGACGTGATTTACGTTGACTGATCGAAGCAGAAGCCATGGTGCGTGTGGTCGATAATGAACGACTGACACAGGGCTTCGGAACGGCGCGATATGCAAGTAGAGAGTACTGAAGTCTAGATGCCATGTCTCACCTTCATTGACTAAATCGTGGCAATTCACATGTAAACGTCCACGTCGGGAGTGACGATGCAAGGTACCTGGACCCTGATGACTAAGCCAACGGTGACGCCTGGCATCTGTAAGCCCCACCAAGGTTCCGATCGGACCTTCATCATCCCGACCAGAAAGTGCTCGAAGTACCACGCTCAACACGACCCTTTCTCGTGATAACCGCCTTCCTCTTCCCTTCATATCCTGGATTCATCTTCCAGGAGTACTACAAACTAGTCAGACAAAATGGGTCGTCCAGACGGTCCTCGCGACCCCATCGCCGGTGCCGATACACCACAGCCACCTTTCCCAATAAAGCTCCGAGGGCCAGTAGTTAAGGGCTTTGGACGAGGAAGTAAAGAGGTACAATTCAATTAGTCGACTTGACTGTCTCCAAGAGCTGACAATAGCAGCTAGGCATACCAACCGCCAACATTCCCCTCTCTGGCCTAAGCATAGGCGGCCACGACGAGCTAGAGTCTGGCATCTACTACGGTTGGTGCACACTCGACACATCCTCCATCGCATCCTCCACAACTTCTTCCAGCGTACCAAGCGCCACGGACGATACCTCCGTCCCTAGCAAATCCTCCTCGCACGCCGTCTTAGACCTCGAATACTCCTCCGACACCCCCACACCATCAACCATCTACCCGACCGTACTGTCAATTGGCTACAACCCGTACTACAAGAACACACAACGCAGTATTGAGATTCACATCTTACATAACTTCAAACAAGACTTTTATGGCGCGAACCTCAGTTTGATGATACTGGGCTTCATACGACCGGAGTACGATTACGTGAGTAAGGACGCGTTGGTGGAGGATATCAGAGAGGATATTAGGGTTGCACAAAGGAGTTTAGCAAGAGAGGGGTACGAAGCTTGGAAGAAGGATGAGTGGTTGAAGGGTGGTGAGGATACCAAGATCAATTGGAATCAAGCTGGGCAGAAGGACGGGGTGGGAATGTCGCAGATGATGAATTAGAGTGATGGAGGTTAGAGGATAGAGGATGCGACCATATCTATAGACGACAGACGATCCCACGACGTGCATAGCGATATCCGTGTATGAATGAACATTGTTATTATACCGATGTTCTAGCCGTGAAAGCATTGGTATCGCGCCTATGTTGGCAGCTGGTCTACTCCGATCACGCCCTTGATGTGCGCCGTTTAACACCTAAACCAAACAATAGCAATTTCCCAGATTATACCTTTCCAAGATGCACATGTCTCGTGAGACGACCTAGGTATCCATCCATGCGTATGCGCCGGTCATGAAAACAACCCCAGAAACATAAAAGCACTTTTTATACTGCCGCTATGACGTGATCACACATCAGCTGTGAAGATGGCGTCGTCCATATTCATGCGACTATCCGTCAAGTGAGACGACCTCGAAGAAATTTACCTCTCGTGAGACTATGTAGGTGATGCAACGTCCAGCTCAATCGTCCTTCAATTATTGCAAACCCTTGTCAAGCACAGGCATAACCTGGATCCTAATTAGCAGCTTCTCAAATACAGAACGTTGGGGTTCAACTTACACTCATGCAAACAAGCACAGGCATATCAAACATATCGCGCTTGATATGCCACCAGATCATACAATCGACCATACCATTCTTCGCCCCAAGCCTTTGCATAGCGCTCTCGCCTTCCACCTTAACGAGTGGGTCAGCCTTGACGTCAGAGCCAGCATTCGCATTCTTCATCTCTTGGATGCGATCTATGTCGGCTTTGGTCTGGTATCTCAGCATGTTGACACGCTGAGAGGCATAGCCATGAGGATCCTGGTAACAAAGTTCGGAGAAGTGCTGCAAGAACTCCAGCGCGGACTTGGGATCCATAAGCTCGATGATGTTGACGCTGGGTGTGGCCGTCTCAGAGTCTTGCGCGGTAAGATTGGGTGTTGTGTTTTGAGTTGAGCCAGTGTCGCTTTCACTTGTTTCACGATTCGTCCCAGTGTTGACGTTGAGGTTTGGCTCGTGGCCGAGCAGAACTGAGTCTTTCCAGCCGGTGAGAATGGTAAACTCCTTGTTAATGCCGACAATCTCGCCTGATCGCCGACATATTAGAAATGGTGTACCGACCTCTGCGAAGTGATCCTGCAATGTCATGACTTGGCGTTGCAGTCCCATTTCTTGATGGATCAAGTCGTCCCTATTCAACTCTTCTCTCACTTGCAACAGCACAGGTCGGTAGTTCTGCAGATACTGTTGGGCTTTGGCAACCCATGGTCTTGAATAGTTCTTGTCAATTAGCTGGTAAAGCCTGTGGTAGCCCTTGACGTAGTCATATGGCTTGGTAACTCCTTGGTAGATGGCCTTGGTATCTCGTTGACGTTTGCGGATACCATTTGAGTTCATCGGTTGAATTGCTGTCGTTGAGGGTCTGTGTTCGCGCTGCGATCGGTTGACGGCTGGAGAGTGTTGCGCGTGAGGTCGATTAGTGTTGGCGAAGAAAGCTGCAGTTGCCAATGGGTTGTCGCCCTCGAATGTGGATGCATCCGTGGAAGCTGGGCTTGCTGTAGAGCCCGGCCCTTGGCCAATGACGAATGCATGTGGACCACTAAGACTGTCGTTACGAAGACTGTGGTGGTCATGCCCGGCTGAAGTGTTTGGCGTGTGCACATGCATACTGCCTTGTCGCGAATGCGAGTCTTGCCACTCGCCCGCTGGAAGCCCGTTGGGGTTGTATGCCATTGCGGTTGCGGCATTGTTCTGGTCCGCATAAGTAGAGGGCATCTGCTGATTGTACATGTTCACAGCGCCATTCATATTATTCATCATCCCGTTATCGTGGGGTGTGTCCACTGCGCCTGATGACATATGGCCAAGCATGCCAAACTCGAGCGCTCCGTAGTGGTTGCCAAAGTTCAGACTTGAGATATCAAAATTGAACAATGCAGGGTCACTTGGGTCAAACAAGGGTCCAAATTGCTGCAACTGGCTCTGTTGGCCTTGGGGCATAGTGCTCGGTGCGTTTTGCACCGGCCCGTGGTGCGGTTGGTTGAACGGGGGTGAGATTGGCGACTGCTGATTGTTGAAGGCGTGGCCATCTTGCGCAACAGGCAGTTGCCCTGGTATCGAGTTGGGTGGATAAAACGCTGCTGGTTGGGTTTGATTGTACATATTACTCTGTGGGGAGACAGAGACAGTTTGGGCGTCGTGGCTCGGGATCGGTGTTGGGCGGTTACCGTTCATGTATGGATAGTGACCGCCTACACCTGGCATGAGAGCTCCATCTGGCGCATCGTGTAGATACTTTGCCTTTTTGCGCACGCCGTCCATGCAGTGATCTTGGAGGCCGCGCTTGATGCAGCGATTGCATGGTCTTTCATCACCTAGAACATGTCAGTCTTTTTACTGAGTCGATCCGTATATTTTCACTCACCACACGTCAGATGAGCTCTTTGGCAGGCGAAGCATGCCCTCCGCGCCTTTTTCCTCCGTGGCCTTAGAGGATCTTTTGCATTGGGCTTTCCGTTGGTAGGCTTCTGGGTGGAGTCACCATTGCCAGATTGGGGGTCTGCGGACTGTTCAGCAGCCATGTCGTCGTCCAGATCGCTCCTGTACTCGGGCGAAGGAGAGGCATCTTGGGCGTCTGGGGTGGTCATGATATCCCCTCTACTCAGCGCAGGCACTCGGCCAAGCACGGACGTTCGCTGCTGTGAACTGAGGCGCTGGGACTTGGCGCTTAGTGCTGCGTGTAGCCGTCAGTGGTGATCTAGGGGTGTTCCCGACAGAATGGTTCAGCCAATGTGTCTGGAGTGCACGGCTGGAGGCGTTCCAGCTGTGTGTTTTAAGGTGCGATCACGCGTGCGTTGGCTGCTTGAACGAGCGCTGCCGTGGCACTCTGACAAGTCCAATGACGAGCTCTGCAGGGGAGGGAGATAGTGAAGGACTCTCAATCCGGCGGACAGGTATGGGATAGTGCTGTTGTGGTACGGGGCCGGGGTCCATGTAATCGAGGGAGCATTCCAGGAGCACACAGAACCATGTTTGATAGCGAGATGCTACCGCGACGCGCTGCCCATGCTGCTGGGAGTCGGCTGTGGTTCTACAAGCGGTGCCGGGCTTCGTATCGTGAGCCCACAGAAGGTGAGAGCAGCAGCGTGGCAGTGACGGGTGGGGCGTCGCCTGGAGCACAGAAGGAGCGACGCGGTAGGTCAGCGCGGTGGTACGACGCTTGAGAAGTCACGGTCGGCGCTGGGGCAGGTGCGATGGGTGATGATGATCGTCTGGGGAGGCAGGAAGCAAGTCGCGACGGAGCGCGCGGTCGAGGCGATGGAGGCGCTGCTAGGTTTGACGAGCTTCCAGGGCACTTGCAGCGCTGTGTGCAGTTGGGAGTGGGCTCGAGGCGTCGGGCGCTGGTCGTGTGTGGTAGATTGGGGCTCTCGCTGCAAGATGCGCGCAGATGCGATTCCCCGCAATTGGCTGTTCGAGGTTTGCTGGAAGTTGCAGCCCACGCAGCTGCCTCGGTCCCTGTCGACCGGTAAGCCGCTGGCTTGGCCTCGCGCTAGCCTGTAGTCACGCACTTCTGCTTCACTATTTGGACATCACTAGCCGCAATAGCCCACTTCAGCCACTTCAGGCCTCTTCGCCTCTCGTCTGCCACCGGATCGTCGCCAATACGCGGTGGGTCTTGTATATCATTGCAGATTGAGCGCTGTACTGCAAAGAACCCTGCCCAGTTACTCGCAATTCCCACCTCAACATCTCATGCCACACAGCGCATACCCAAAAAGCAAGCAGCCGGCATGCCCAAAGTGCATCAGGCTCGGCTATGGGGCATGCATACAGTATGGGATACGAGCTCTTGGCGCCAAATATGAACGGTTCCTCGTCAGCCTATTGGCGCGCTCGTACTACCAACTATCATCACTCCTTCCCACTCGTCTACGTTTCGCGAGCTTTGTGTACCCTCAATGTCTCCTTCACCGTGTCTCTGGCCTGCCGACCACGTTTTCTCACACGCTGGTGCACCGCCCTCGGCAACGGTACCATCCGCAACCGCTTTCGGCTTTGGTGTATCCGTTGTCCCTCGAGCTGGCGTGGCCGCCCTCGTGGCGCTCATGTTCCGTTGCACAGAGGCCCGGCCAGCTTGCTTCATGTGGTCTCACGTGTGGGCGCAAAATCCTTCATTCAATGAAAATCTTTGACATGCAAATGCCGTGTCACTCTCTATTATTAGTCCGCTTCCAGTCAAGTCTGCCACATGCCCTCGCCTCGCTTCCGTGTAGACTATGCTGATGCATATCGACTGCCTCCCCTGAGTCGCTTGCCATATCGAAAGAACAAGATTGGAAATCTGCAATAAGACATATTAGTGAGTCCCACAACCCTCGTTCTGGGTCACTTACGGAGCCATTGCAAGTGCCAGGAAGGCAAGCAGAGTAGTTGCCCACTGGTAGCCGAGATCTGTTCCAAATCAGTGACCGCTCTTTCATCAAGGCGCATCGTCCTCGAGACTTACTGTTGTACATCTGAACACCAAATAGTCTATGACACTAATTAGCAATTACGTCTGACCCAACGGTGATGCTAACTTACGGGAATGCCGCAGCAAAGTACGACCGCGCGAAGCTGTTGGCCGCAAGAGCCGATGCAGCGTAGACAGGGTACTGTTCGGCGAGGTCACTATCTCTGTACCCAGAAGTCTGGTCCGATGTCGGTGCGTGGTACTTACGGCTTCGACCAAGAATGTGAAGACTCCTGAATAAACCCAGATGACACTACGTCACGCAATGCAGTCAGTGAGCTGCTCTCATTCATCGTACTCGAAGTCTTAGAAGAAGAAAACATACCCAAGGCCAAATACTGCCGAGAAGATTATTGGAACTGCGGTGTCATGGTCAGTTATTATTGCGATTCTACGATATGCAGGATGTTGTCATACCTATCCAATGAACCTGCAGAAGCCGGGGTGTTAGCGTAGAAGCTTCCATACCAAAAGCATTCTGAACTTACTGATGAGTACGTTGTCCACCCAAACCCTGCATACGCATGATTAGAAGCTTGTTCCATTCGAGGCCGTGCAGAAGCTTACCAAAGAGAGCGACAGGGACGACCCAGGCCCCAAGAATAGTTGATGGAAGTCGAAATTCAGGTTCCGAACCTCCAGGCTCGCCCCCTTGTTCCTCACGTTGGCGCACGAGCCTGCCGTATATCCTTCTCCAGATAGGGTCCGTGGAGATACCCGCTAGCATGCCTACCAATAGGCCCAGGAATGCAAGCCCAGTCTGCGATATGCTAAAGCCGTGATTGTTTTGGAACACAAGGGGAAAAGCGCCAAAAAAGAGGTACAAGATACCCAATAGAATAGCAGACAGTATGCAGAGGCTCAAGCACTAGAATGCAGCCGTCAGTACGCCAATCAAGGCCTCATCGAGTGCGGAGACCCACCATAGGCTCAAAGAACAGCAGTTGAAACGGGCGAATGCATGACCACAACACGGTTTTGGCAATAGAGCGGTCCATCTTCTCAATCGGCGCTATCCACTCTGGGTTGCCGGTCTCTTCGCGTAGTCGAATCGCCTTCCGACGGAGCAGAACGGGGTGGTACGTTTCAGGCACGAACATAACGATCAGGCAAAGCTACAAGGCTAATGTTAGTCTTTGGTACACATGGTGTGCAGCACAACCTTACCTGAACTCCAGACCAGATGATGAGCACATAGAAACACCTGTTTTCATGTCAACACACCGCCAGTTGCTTCCGCGAGGCCTAATCTAGGTGTTCTTGATACGAACATCTGGGCAGATGCTGCCAGCTTGAGCAGCGCCACTGGATCTGCAGGTGCAGTGTCGCAGGGTGAGAAAGGTGGGTCTTGGATAAGCACTTACCATCTCCACGTAGTGTTCTCAACGATGAAGCCTCCTATCAAGGGGCCAACTTCTGGACCGACAAATGGGCTAGCTGTGTAAACCATCATAGGCGCAGATAGCTCCTACACTACCGTCAGAAATAGAAAACTCGTGATCACAGTATTGACTGACGTGTTTTCCAAACATATCACCGACAGTGCCTCCAGCTACACTGAGGAAGGCTGAGCCGGCTAGTCCATCTAGAAAGCGCGCAACCAACATTGTCTGAATGTTCTGTGCCACAGCGCATGGTATCATCCAGATCAGGAAGAACGTAAACGAGCAGATATAGATAGGTCTTCGACCATAGAACTACGATTGGTTAGTTAATCACAGGGATATTGGAGTGCCGTAGTCCCCGGCAGCTGTACGCACCTCCGAGAGGGGACTGAGGATCATCGGTCCTGCGCCTAACCCTGCGACGAACATGGACAAGCCAAGCGTACACACTAAGCGGGAGGCCCCAAACTCTGGCTCCAGCTGACTATAGGTTGACGTGTATAGTGATGAAGTGCATGTCCTACATTTGGTGATTATTAGTTTGTGCTTGTGCAATGACTGAGAAACCAATATCATGACGTACACGCAAAGAGAACTGCTGGCGCATATCAATACGATGAGCCATCTTCGTAGTTTGCCCATGCTTCTCGGGTTCTCTGGATCTGCGTCACCATCCCAAGTCACTAGATACGGCTGCTCCGTGACAGCTCCAGTTCTGGATTTGCTCGGTCCTTGGGTATTGCCTTCAGCATCGAGGCATGTGTAGCCGTCTCCTCCAGCTCGTGAGTGATGCGATCTGATCGTCTTCAGGCTCCTTCCATCTTGCGAGCGTCGGCTTTGGCTGCGACCTCTCTCAGCATCTCCCTCTTTCGTTGATCGCGTAGCTCCATCAAGTCCAACCACTTTCTCCTCGTCGATGTCGGCAGCAGATTCTCTTCTTTTCTCATAGTCACTTGACGCGCTGTCTTCGTGTTGTTCCTGCGCTGAGCCAAGGCTCATCCTTTCCTTTGGCTCCATTTGTTCCGATTTCGCCATCGTTCTCTGATTGATGAAACGATGTGCAAAGTTCGATGAGTACCAAATGACACTCACTAACGACGCGCCAATCTCTTAGAGCCCGTTCCACCCTGGAAATGGCCGTTGCCGCTCGGATTTTACTCGCTAAGATGCCTGTAGAACCCCCTGATGACGAACCCTGGTCAGGCGAAGCGGCGCATGTCCAACATGGGAAGGAATTTGGATGGAGGAGACAAGATGCGAAAGACATCGCGCTTCGATCAAGCTTCCAGACCGCGCCGCGGCAATCGGCTCAAAGGCCCTGGAGCGGCATATGGGTAAAGTGGGGTGACGTCTTGCTGCCATAACGGCGCCGCTTCGTGATTCTGGGGTGTGTAGGTGCGTCATCCGGCTATAAGATCGGTTACTGATCTGGTATGGACATTTCGCCACATCTGCAGGAAACGAGGCTGAGATTTAGAAACGGTTTCAACGCTTCGCGCATGCCTTATTGAAATGCAGTCATTCTTTCTCATCTTCTCTTCGGGGCTTCTTTTTGACTGCGCGCTCCGTCTCTTTCTTCTTCAATTGCCGCGATCAGCGCAAAACCTGCCGTTCACGAAGACTAGCGGGCCGCATTTAGCAAAACCATCCGTTCGGAAAAGCTTTTGCCCTGCGTGCTGATAAAGAACCCTTTCTGCCCTATGCTCCTCGACCCACATTCTTATATGATAACAGGTGCCTTGGCGTGGTGCTGTGAAAAGTGATTGTGTGAACTTGTGCAACCAGTGGTCGAAGGTCTTCCAGGCGCACCTGCTCCATCATCATCTCCGAGCCTTGAGACCAGGCGCCTCGATTTCGAGTTGACAACATTACCCGCAATGTACGAAGTATGTTGACCCTGTACGATATCGTACATTCAGGATATTCCCGATGTCGTTGGACAGCTCGCATCTCCAACTATAGACGTTTGACGTTTTCGGCTGTTGCCCGCCGCCATCAATAACGGCACCACGTGGGAAATGCACTAGGCGGTTTAACAAGCTTCGATAAGGAAAAAGGAATGAAGTAGCCCTCCTTCCAGACGTTTCTAGTAGCGCCTCGAGCACGCAAACAAAACGCTAAAACGCCTTAACTAAGATAGTGGACGCATGTCTCTCTTCATCAGTCGGGCACAGCGATATTGGGCGGAAGGCGTTACACACTCGATGACCCCAGAATGAACGATAGGTGTGCCGCGTTCTATCCTGATTTAATAATGTTGACTACGCGACTACCTGTCATGCAATTTGAGAGACGCTTACATCACAAGGTTCATGCACTCTAGTCATCTTCGCAGCGATACCATCTTCAGGTTTCATGCTGCGTGTACAAGGATATGCTACTGCGACTGGAGATCTCCTAGGAATGGTTCGCTGTCAGAGTGAGGTTCAATATATGCAGTAGTGTTATGGAACACATGTCTTCGAGAAGTACCTCCTTAGTTCGAAAGTGCGCGCATGGCTACCAAGATGTCCAGCATATCACCCTTCCTTCTACGCTAAAGTTCTGTGAGATGTTGTTGACTTGGCCAGATGGTGACGAAGTGCTTGTCCAGATGATGCGGTGAACTTCATCGTTACCTCATGCTTCCTACCTACCTAGGTACCCTGGTCAGTCTGGAAGAATCGGAGTTAGCAGTAGAGACTACCTGATGATAGAACAATTACACGTATTGTAGATTTTATGATTATTCCAGGAAGATCTCATCTAACGTTCGCGAGGAACGAAGATTGGTCACAGAACGGAACTCTAGTTGCGAAAACCTAGTTTTGTCGCGCCACACGCAGCCCATTACGAACACGACCGACATCCTTCGCCCGCTTAGCACCACTTCCTGTGGTCGTACCAACATAAAAGTCGCACTGAAGAGTATAAATTCTTCGTGTCCTCTCATCCCTTCTTTTTCTCTATCCCTGATGTGTTTTCCTATTTCGGAGTCCATGGTTGAAAGGCCATTCAAAAGAAGAATTTCTCGGATCCCAGGTAATTCTTGAGTTTCCTCTACTCATTCCCGCCAGCGAAAGCTACCAGCTTACATACTCGAAACCCCTTTCTGTCGAAAGCGTAGTTCTGGGTAGTTTGCAGATAGCTCGCTCCTAGGGTCGATCGGAGGCGGTGATGATAATGGCAGACGGACAAACTCTCCTCTGGGAGTTTACAGTTCCAGTACCGAATATCTGAGCCTCAAAAAGATCTTTCTAATTCATACAAGGGAGTTGGTGAGGAGAATCATGGACAGGCGCCACGCCTCTCCTATTGCAAGTGCAGTGCTGGAGATCGTGAACGCGCTCGCCGCATCCATGGCTGTCTAAATGGTGGCAGTATGTGGGTAATCGGCAGAGACAACTTTTAGATTAGATATTCCAATATTTATCATTCTCGTCCAAAGATCTGCTTTGTGGAAGTGAAGTTTGCATCGTGCTATGTGGTGTTGTTGGTCGTTGAATCGGACGTTGCCTGCACCGACACGGCAATGAGTTCCTGAATCGCCCGGTCCTGAACTCCGTTAACTTCCGGGCCTGCGGTGCTAAATACACTCGGCACTCTAACTCACCAAACCTTACTCAAGTCCCAAGAATGTTCAGCAGCGCATGATAGCTTGGTAAATGTTGATGCCTACAAAAAGGCCCGAGTATAGGAGCGAAAGAGTGTTCTGGCGCCGACGCCTACGACAATTCCATGTTTATTCGCCATGTACAAAGAAGGGAGCTGCTCCGTGAAGATGTAGTATCAAATCACAATATCTTATATTCTTCATAGCCACAGATCTCGTCGAGCACCCAGAACACCCTACGAAAATGTCAGACTCAACCAAATACACTTCCAAGCTCCTGAACCGGCGAGTACTTGTAATCGGCGGGTCTTCAGGCATTGGTTTCTGCGTCGCAGAGGCATCCTTGGAACATGGCGCAATAGTCACAATATCCTCTTCCAACGAGGACCGCATCAACCAGGCAGTCGAGAAGCTACAACGCAGTTATCCTTCAGCTAAAAACAAGGTGTTTGGTGTTCGAGTTGATCTCTCGAACCCAGATACACTCGAGACAGAGCTGAACACAATGTTGGAAAGCACAAAAGAGAAGTTAGAAGGACAGCAGTTGGACCATGTGGTCTTTACAGCCGGCAACATGGCACCTACGATCAAGCTAGAAGACATGGTAAGATTGCATTCCATATGAAAGAACTTAGGCCGATCGAGATGGACTAAATTTGAATAGACCATGCAAAACATTTTCCAAGCAGGTCAAGTCCGTTTCTTTGCTCCTCTTCTCCTGGCAAAATTCCTTCCTACCTATATTAAGCGCTCGTATACATCTTCCTACACTATCACTACGGGCACTACGTCAGAAAAACCTGTGCCTAACTGGAGTGTCGTGGGATCTTACGCTGGCGGCCATCATAGCATGGTTCGCAACCTGGCATTGGATCTTCGGCCTATCAGGGTCAACGGTGTCAGCCCAGGGGCCGTAGACACCGAGCTATGGGCAATGTCTGCGAGCGAAAAGAAAGCAGCCATGGATGCAGTAGCGGAGAAGATGACAACGGGTCGGCCTGGGCAGCCAGGGGATGTCGCGGAGTCGTATTTGGCCATTATGAAAGATGTGAATATGGACGGTAGCGTGGTCAGAACGGATGGTGGATACATGCTCACGTAGCAGACACTTCCAGAACCATAACCATGTTCGCCAATGAGCATCCTGCCAATATTATTGTACATTACCAAGTAGAGCTCTCACTCTGTGTCAACCAAACTAAGCCATCGGCTCCCAATAATGGCTATCCAAACGCTCATCTCGCCCGCACGCCTCATAACCGTACGTCATGATCCTGTTGAACGCCCCGCGGAGCTGGAAGCAATGTCTGCAAAGTGAGTTCCTTTTCCATTCCTCGCCGTGGATGTTCTTGTAGATGGAGATGTCGTGCGTCCACTCGTTACTTGTGTCGAAAAGGTGCAGTGGCCGGAGGAAGCTTGGCGTCTCGGGTGGTTCGGGAGTGGCGGAGGAAAAGCGGCGCGCTGTGTGTCTGGCCGGAGTCGTGGGCCGAGCAGGTGGTTTAGGGGCAGGCCCTTCTGGAGAGGCGATATCAGGCCGGAAAGAGGATAGTTCGGGGAGCTGCTGTGAGGAAGAGTTGGACTTTTGTGGTCGCACGGGTGCTCTCTCAATGAAAGCGACATTTCGTATCACACGCCTGTTGTTACCAGAGAAGCTTTGGTTTGCCAAGGGGTCTTGTGTTTCGTCTCCAGTGATATTTTGACAACACGTCTCGGGCATGGTCATGATGCGCATTCGTTTCGATAGCGGTCGAGGTTCAGTCGCGCTTTGCGCCAGAGCCATGTCCCATGCTGAGGTTGAGGGACGCGCACGCATGGTATCCGGGTGAGACGAGGTCGAAGCTGAGGTTGGAGGTGTTGTGTCACTTGAAGGTGCAGTCAATCCTGAGGTTGGGGGCTCGTCGGGAGAGGGTGTGGAGGAGATGTCGGAATCGCAGAACATCAATGGTGATTTTAGTGGTGCAGTACCTTCTTCGTCAGCAACTGGACGTGTGATGAACCTCGATGATGGGATCTGCAGGCGCTTCAGCGACGGTCGTTGGCGTGGTGTTGTATCGGTCCCATCGTGAGAGGCTCCAAGAGTTGTGTCGACATTGTCAGGTGTGGCGGCGCCTCCTTGACTTGCATCTGACCTAGTCAACTCAGCATTGAAGCCGTTGTCCCGATTGTATTCAGCTCCTGTTACCTTATCTCGTCAAGGAGATGGCGTAGGAAAGATGCGGAACGTATAGTATTGACGGAAGACTTGTAGCTAGGACCTCGCTTGGGAGTGGTCATATTGCGTTATAATGCTCAGATATGAATCGGTAAGCAATGCAAGTTCACGACACTGGTAATGCTGGCGGTGACACAATATGACTGAGACTGGGCTGGAGGAGGTGAGTAGGAAGGTTAGTAGAATCGTTCAGGTATTCGATTGGACGTCGCACGCAGGGAAGGCGTTGAGGTCGGGCTAGAATCGAGGCAGCAGCAGGTCCTGTTACAGGCAGCTGCCATGATGGCTTTGGATGATTGGCACGTGGCAGAAGGAAACGAGAGCGAAACTCGGAAGTCTACACAAAAGCAGGTCGTGACAGGGTGAGATTAGCTACGAGATGTCACATAGCTCTCACCTGATATGGTATACTACAAGCCTCGTGTATCATGCAGAGACGTTTCCGTTGCGCCTGTTCATATCGTGCATTGGTCGTGTATCTCATGTCTCGGACATCTCTGTATCCTCAGCCTTGGCAAGGCCGTGCTCCTTCAGCAGAGCATCAATCTCGTCCGCACTCCACAGGTGATGGTAGATCTTGCCTGACTTGGTCTTTCCTACAGTCGCAAACTCGACTACGAGTAGTTAGCACTGGCCTAGTTTGTTGTACGTAGTCGTGGACATACTCTTCTCGCTGCTCAGCTTAGTTGAGTCCATGGTCTTGCTGAGCACCTTGACTGCAAGTCCGCAAGCCTCTTTCAAATCGCATTCCTCCTTGTAGTCCTGCTTCAGCAGACTCTGTGCAGAAGCGTTGTTCGCGCCGACACTGGTTGCCTTCCAGCCACCGTAGTTGCCACTGGGGTTACTCTGGTACAGCTGGAACTGTCGCTGTGGGTCCCATCCTGCGTAGATGAAGGATACACCGAACGGTCGGAGACCTCCGTGCTGCGTGTAACCTTGCTTGAGATCGCATAAACGGCGGACGAGCTGCTCGCAGGGAATGTCTTCGTTGTAGGTGAGGAGGTACTTTTGGGCGGCTTGACGGGCGTAGTTGATGAGAATGTTGGCATCAGCGGTCATTCCTGCTACGGCGCAGATCATGTTACTGCAAGGCATCAGCCATTTCGTTCGGGACATGTGTCAGGTCCAACCCACTCGTTCAAGATGTACAGTTTCTCGGCCGATGTGTCTTGCTCGAGCAACTTGCTGGTAACCTTCCTCTCTGCGGCGAGAACGATGCCATCCTGTGCCAAGATACCCAGTGCTGTTCCGGCGTGCGAGATGGCTTCGAGGGCGTATTCGACTTGGTATAGGCGACCCTCTGGAGAGAAGATGGTCGTCTAAGCACTATTAGCTGGGGTGTTGGCCGTATTTGTTGTATTTCGTACCCTGGAATCGTATCTCCGTGACATGATTGCGGTCTACTCTGGTCGTCTGAGTTATACTGGGGGTGTAGACAGCTGCAAGAGAGAATGGGAGATCGGCGGGGAAGTCGGGGCGTGGGCTGGTGTTGATGGAAGCTCCAGGCACAAGCTCATACGCAGCGCGTCGGCGATTCAGGTTGCTTGGCGCCGACCAGTTTTTGGATCGCGCGCTGCAACACCAACTTTGCCCATCACCAACTCTTCTTGCAAAGGTTGTACGGCTTCAATCTTCGACTGAAGCTTGACATCATCATGTCTGACATACCAGTGCGACCGCCTGCACCTGCGCCAGCACTCCCTGTAGGCTGGACTGAGCACAAGGCGCCCTCAGGTAGCTATGGACAGCTCCGACTTGCGTCATATGCTCCCGCTAACATTCCACAGGTCACTCATACTACTACAATGCCGAGACGGGAAAGTCAACATATACGCGACCAGTTGCAGAAATCCCACAATACCACAACCCCACGCCGCCTGCTGCACCTGCTTCCTACAACGCGCCGCAAAGTTACAATCTCGGCCACGACAGCCAACCAGCGCAAGTCGCCTTTCAGCCTCAACCCTCAATCAACGACTTCATCTTCGCGAGCGCACCGAAACAATTCCCAAAGCATGGCGGCGCGCATCAACAATCACGAGGTGGGCACAGGGGAGGAATGCGCGGCGGGCATAATAATTTCAACGACCGAAGAAGAGAACGGGACGATAGGCCAAAGCATCGCCAAGACATCCCGAACTGCGCGCCCTGGGTGCTGGTGAAGACAAAGTTTGGACGGCGGTTTGTGTGGAACAAGGACACGAACGAAAGTTTCTGGAAGTTCCCGCCCAATGTCATGACAGCCGTCATCGAGTTCGACCGGAAGGAGCGAGAGAAGAAGGAACGCAGGGAACGGGGTGAGCCAAGCGATGTGGAAGAGGATGACGCCATGGCCGAGATTGAGGCGGAGCTGGCGGAAGCGGAAGAGGAGGTGGAGATTGTGGAAGTGGACGGTGAGGAAGGCATGGAAAATGACGAGGAGTACGAAGAAGTGGAAGTTACAGACGATGAGGGCGAGGCGTCAGGCCACGCGCAAAAGCGGCAGCGCACCGAAGAGCCATCTGGAGGCCAACCACCTGAGGAAGATGACGATCTTGCATGGCAACTGGCACAAATGGAGGAGATGGAAATGGACCAAGGTTATGACGAACAGTACGATGACGAGGAGCCTGCCTTATCTGAAGAAGATTGCAAGGCGCTTTTCAAGGAGCTGCTGGATGACACCAAGGTCAGCCCATTCGCGCCTTGGGATAAGATTTTGGAAGACGGTGTTTTATTCGACGATGAGCGGTACAAGGCTTTACCAAACATGGCAGCGCGAAAAGAATGTTTCAACGAGTGGTCGCGCGACAAAGCTCAGTTCCTCAAGGAAGAGAAAGCTCGACAGGCGAAACGCGACCCGCGGATACCGTACTTGGCCTTCCTCGACCGACATGCAACACCGAAGCTGTACTGGCCTGAGTTCCGCCGAAAATACAAGAAAGAGCCTGAGATGAAGGATACCAAGCTCCCAGACAAAGACAAGGAAAAGCTGTATCGCGACCATATCAAGCGGCTAGCCATGCGGTCATCCGATCTGAAATCCGATCTTTCGGCACTTCTACGAGCCCAACCTCTCGCCCTGCTCAATCGTTCCACGACTATTGATACCCTGCCCTCCGCCGTGCTCAGCGACCTCGCCTATATCTCTCTCCCGCCATCAACACGGGATGGTCTTATCAACACATACATCTCCACTCTGCCACCTGCGCCTGAGGGTGTTGTCTACTCCGCCGAAGAAGAGGCCGAGCGTGCGAAGAAGTGGGCGGAGCGCGAACGAAGGGAGAAGGCACTTGCGGACCGCGAGAGGCGTGTGCGCGAGGAGAAGAGAAAGCAAGAGCGCGATCTAGCCTACGGAAAGGGCAGGCTACGTGAGGAAGAAGCAGAAATTGAGAGAGCGATGAATGTTGGCAAAGAGGGTTTGAAAGGTCATTTGAAGGAGTAGTATACCCATGCAATCAATACATATGTCGAAGTCCAGCTCGATGTGTTACTACTGAAGTTTGACGTAATGACTTGCAATACTCGTGATTCTGGTAGTTAGGGTCTGTACTTACAGTACCACTGGTACGCGTTGAGCACCTCGTCATATGTCCGCTTACCAGTATCTCCACACTCTCAACCACAACCTGCTCCCCACGAACCCTATAAAGACCTCTCCCCAATCCACAGTCTCTCTTCATCTCCCCTTTACTCTTTCCATCACCCCAGGCCTGCATACGACTCGTGAGAGACGTATGCTAATAAATAGAACCTTCCTACCCCTTGTCCTTCTTTCACAGGTGTGATTGATGTAGATGCGACATGACCAACAGGGGTGATTTCCCTGGTTTAGTCGTATCTACTGCTTGAGATCCAGTATCGATGCGACGGAACCCGTGCAGTTCTTTACTGTTCTCTGCAAATTGATTCCGTCATAGATACTGCTCGAAAAGGAAAACAAGAAAGTATTCTTCACTGAATGCTTTCTGGCCTGGGTGTGAGCGCGGCGGTGATGAATAAAGGACAATGAACGCCCATCCTAGCAGAAATAGGAAAATGGGCATAGGGTGTTTCACCTCTTGTTCTAAATATCGTTTCGAGCCCGAGTTGTATTGGGGATTGTATTGTTCTGGTGAACGTGTTGGTGCCAGAATTTAGGCAAGACACTGTTATAAAATACTAGATATCCAGTTGACGATGGTATGGATACAGCAGATTTCTCTCATATAATTCTCAGCTGCTTTATGTAGCTGTGCTCTTCATTTAAATATGGTACCTGGAGAGAAACACGTATGTTGGAAACACGCATGCGATAGATCCTTTCATTGTCAAAAGTAGTAGTTTGTATCAATCAGAAAGTTATGAGCCCGCATTTGCGTCCTTCGTTCCTTCGACCAAATCTGGATGGTTTTGTTGCTTGACGGCCACTGCACTCTCTTTCTCGTTCTTGTTCTCTTTCTCTTTCGTGGTCGTAGCACTCGCTTTCGCTTCACGCCACGTCCACACCGCACATTGGAACAAGGCTTAGCGGATCTATCCGCACATACAGCGATTGTAATAGGGTTGACCCTGCTGCTGAATATCAAGCCTCATTTCCAGCGGTCTCATATGGCCATGTATGGTAAGTTGTTCGTTTTCCGTTGATAACAGTACCCGCGTTCGTATTCATCTATTTGGGATACCATGTCTATTATGAATAAGTAAACATCTTAGCCTGATGATTATTGATCCTTCTACCTCTAGACTCGCCATATAATTACCGTGTACAGTATTGATTGTGGTGATCCATCGATCACTGCGTGCGCATTCGTATTCAGTTTCTCGGGATGCGCTGTCAATGACAAATAAGTAATATTGCTGGGCAGACCTACCTTTACCTTAACCTTTGCTCTAAGCGTACCGTAAGCAGTAAATGATCCATCGTCCATCGATCACTGCAATCGCGTTCGTATTACCATCTAGGAGATCCATGTTTCAGGAAATAAGTAACCATCTTGGCTCCATGTACAACGACACTAGCTTCGCCTTACAAAACACAAACGTCGCGAGCAGTAATTATTTCAAAATCCATCGATAACTGCACTCGCATTCGCATCCCCTACCTCAAATGGTTGTGCTCTTTGCTGATAAGTAAGTGCTAGTTGTGTCTCGACCACCATAGCGTGTGTAGGACGGGTAGCACCGTGCCCTACTCGGATTCGCGTTCACTGCCGCACACGGCAAGCTCCGCACCTAATCGGTGTGCGCATTTGTTATCTCGTACAGAACTTGGGATCTCATAATCTCCTCTTACTGCATGTAGTATTTGCTGTGAAATGCGTGGATAGTAGTGCTCGGTCTCGCGTTGTTGTCGGGTACGGATATGTAGTTCCACTGCCGGATGTAGTACTTGTTGCGACGTGCGTCGATGACTGCGCTTGTATTCTCACTCTCGTTCTCATTCTCAATCTATCGCTGGTATTATCTTGGCGATGTTGATCTCTCATTTGGAATACTTCCTGCGCTTAGATTTCACATATCGTCATGCCTGGATATCAGGTAGGAAGGCATGCCTGGAAATGTCAAAGGTAGAGTGGCGAACTCGAGATGCGTGTCGTCAGCAGAGACTGCATGAGGCAGGAAACACAGGGAATACCGCCCAACTTTCGTTTGCTTGTACGATAGCTACACATGAAGTGTGATGGCATGTGAAGTGGTGCCGGCGTTTCGGGTGCGATACACAAAGGGTGCCCATGTGTGTTCAGTGGAGCGCGGACCGCACAGAGTGTTTTGATTGGTCGCCCCACTTTCCTAGCTACCGCGTCGGGAAATTTGCCGAAAACCATCGATGATGGCCGATTTTTAGTAATTACTAAATCCACTAAGTAAATACTACACGATTTAGCAAAATCCCGATCCCAATTTTCTGTCTGCGTAAAGCCAATCGAAACTCTTAGACATGGCTAGATACCGCATCGGGCAACCTTTTGAAAGCCATTGATCGCAGCTCATGGTAACGACCCGGTGCCCCGACGCCGCGTCGAATTGAGTCGTGGAAGGGAGCTGGCTTTGAAGTCGATCAGAGGGGGTACCACGTTAGACAAGTTCTCTCGATATCTGTAGAAATTGGTCACAGGGAGAGAATACTATATCAAGCAAGTTCTCATCGACCATCGATCATGGCAAGGGCTCTACTCTACCCCCAGTCCAGCGAGCTGCAGACAGAAAACACCATATCTAGTAACTTCTACACTGACCATCGATTGCATGTCACCCAATGCTGTGTAACCACAGACCGCGTACTGCATGTACTGTAGCCTGCAGCAGAGTACAACATCTGCAGTCATCAAACCGACCCCGCCAAATTTACTCAATTGAGAAACTTCTGGGCAAAGTGTTGATTCTAGGTGCTGTCTGCCTCCGGAGTTATCGCCTTCCAGTATCGAATTGGACACAACAGTCGTACAGGACTTGCGCGTTTTTCCGCAACGCTCCTTCCATCACTCGTATCGAGATGCTCAATATACCGTATGCAGTAAGTCGAGTGAAAGGTGTCGATTCTCGTTCCTCAAAACATATTCGACAACACCCCTGCCACATGGGGGTTTGTGCAACAAGTACATATTGCACAAGAACCCGACAACTTTGGCTGTTACACCACACATGCCGCCTTCTTTTTCAACACGACTCAACAGACTCAATATACCGTATAGAGTAAGTCACCAAAGAAATGTGGATTCCCTCCATCCTTCCACCACATTAACGGGTACACCGTCCATGCCGCCGTCCAGAGCCAGGGCACTCAAAATCCCGCGCCAAATAGTTCACGAGGGAAGTGAAGATTATGGATGCATCTGCAGAATTACACAATTGACATGGATGCACGCATGTCACCGGATTAAGGAAAAGGTCTGGTTGCAGAAAGACTCGTGGCGGGGGAGAAGAAGTTTTCATGTGTCATCATAAGAGAGCGAGATATGAGGATGCGAAGACAAGGGTAGACGAAGGAGGGGTGCCTACGATTACTGCATACAGTAAGAAAAGGAACACGGAAGAAAAAGTATAGATTGCAGTGAACTGTCAATCTCGCTTATCGCACGGCTTACAAGAGGATTGAGATTGAAGGACGATAATGCGGGAGCTGGACGCCTGATATTGCGCATGCAGTGCCACGGTTGGTTGATGTACGTTGCATGTGAAATTGACTAAAGAACAACGTGTAATATTTGTAAACATAAGAAGCAATGAGCGTACAAGTAAGCAAGCAATGAGGTAACGAAGGGTAAAAACCGCTCCGCTCTCATCGCACAAACACAGTTTACACCACATGTGGGTATCTAATACAAGAAAAACAGAGCGCCGCCCCGACCGCCCGCCGCCAACACCCAGCCTTACTTCAGAAAAACGTGTATTATCCAAGCGCCGCGAAACACCGCATCTGAAGTCCTCCGCCTCCCATTCATCCGAGTTCAATGTTGAAAAGCCTCAACCTGACCAGCATTTCTGCAGCCACTTTCTAAGGGGGTCCAGATGGCTGTGCCTGTTGTTGCCCATTTGACTCGTTCTTTGAGCGCAAGTGGTTTGTAAGCACCGTTATGTTATCGCGCGCTTCAGGTACAGTTTCGACAATGTGCCTGAGGTTGAGCATCTGTAGTTCCGAGACCGCCGAGTTCTGAGACAGGCTGGAGCCAAGAATGGTAACGATGACAGGTGAATCAATGTACGGACCAAGAATCTCAAGTGCCTTGGGTATCTGGTGATGTGGCGGTGCGTTAATTGGCGGCGTCGGTTGTTGAATAGGGACCATATTTGCAGGCGGAGCGGCGAATGGGTTACCGTACTGGCCCTGTGGATAGGCAGCACTGACAGGCGACATTTGCGGAGCATGAGGGTTGGTGAATGGAGATGGACCGTTGTTGAGAACGGGCTGAGGAGCTTGACCGGCTGCGATATCCTGTTCTGGGTATCGCTCGAAATGTTGGGTAGGAGGAAGCTGAGGTTTGACCTCAGGCAGCTTAGCAACCATGGCGAGTATCAACATGTGCTCCTTGCGGGGCGTCTCGATCGTGCAGTACTCAAGCATGTCGATGAAGGGCGGCAGGTTGCTGCCACCCTCTTCGATAGGAATGACATAGAGGTCGCGCAGTATGTCGTTGCCTTCAACAGGTACTACACCCCATCTGCCACGCGAGTGGAAGTATTCGTACAGATGGTCCATGATCGTGCGCCCGTCCGTGGTGACGGGACTGATAGCAAGGATCGACACCTCATGGCTTTCGGTGTGTCCGATGTTTTGAATGTAATCGTTACCCTTGGTACTTTCGATGCGTCCTTGAATCGCCACAATGTTGGTCAGCAGCTTCTCCCAAGGCACAATTTGACCAAAATCTCCACCAGCGACGAATCTAGCAACAGCGTCAAAGGGTTCCATTGACTGCATGTTGATAGATCCTTGCCAGCATACTGTCGGGTCCGAGGAATAACCTGACATTTCTACATCGTTGTCCTCATCCTTGAGCAAACGATCAACGTCCGCGTCATCCACGGCGGCTTGAGGCTTGTCTTGCATATGCATCGAACTCTGGCGACGCTGAAGGAATGTCTGCTGATCATGCTGCGGCGATCTGACTTTGTCGAAGACAGAGTTGATGTCAAAATTGGCCGATGCCCGTCGTGCATGCTCGGCCTGCGAAGCATCATTCCCAGTAGATGGTCGTGCGCCTGCAGGACTCTCTGGTGGGCGTGTTCCGATAGGTGACTGCATAGCTGTGTCCTCGGTGATGCTCTCGCGCTCGCGAAGACTGGGCTGCTTGAAGTCATCATGGTCATTCTCGAAGGTGTCTTCGCCAACAAGCTCTTCGCCCTTGTGTGTCTTGCGTAGTCGTGGTCCAGTCTCCTCGGTTAAGATCATCTGCTTCTCAGCCGCTTCGCGCATGGCGGCGTACTCGCGTTGCTTGTCTTCGCTCGCCATCTCTTCCGCCTCCATGCTCACGAGGTCATCGGCTTTCAGACTTCCAGATAGGAGGCGATCTACAAGGACCGTGTTCTTCTTGACATTGAACATAATGGCCCGCATTTTGATAAAGTATGGCGAAGATGAACCTGTGGGCTCACCGTAGAGCTCAAAAGCAGCGTGGCTCATTTGAAGAGTGAGCTTGGTGGCGAGAGACTTGGCTGTCTGGCCGTCAGGTATGCGGTATCCCCTGGAGTCGGAGGCGGTGCTAATCAATGGTGCCAGGGTATCACGGAGTTTCTCTGCGACAGCCTTCTGGTTTTGCGGCAGCGCATCGATGTCACCAACTGGAGTTGATTGGGGAGCAGGCTTGCTCTCGTGGTGACTGGACTTTCTACGCTTCTTGCTGGCGTTGGCCTTTTCGGTGGCAGGCTCGTGGCGACGCTTCTCGCCGACAGGCGATTGTGGCTGACTCTTGTTTTCCTGCTGAAGTATGTGAGTTTTTGAACGTCTAGTTGGATGGTGGCAACATACCTTGGGCTCTGCATGTCCATTGGAAGCTTCTGGCGTGGGTTCAGCTACCGGAGCGGGCGGAGACGTGGGAGTCTCGACAGGAGCTGGAGCGGTTTGCGAGGGGGTCGCCGAAGCCTGCGGTGTGCTCGCCTTCTCCGAGACGGCTTCCTGCTTGACGTCGCTGGGGCGGGGCTTCGGCTTGGAGCCCTTCTTGCGCGCCCATGGTCTCTCTCCGCGCGCCATGGCAGCAAGAAGCTCGACATGATCTTCGGGCTTGCACTGCTCGCAGTAGTAGTTCTTGCCTTCCCAGAAGTCGCCTTCGGGTAGGCCCAAGCACTTGTTGTGTTGCCAGGCCTCGCATTTGTCGCAGCAGATCATCTGGCGTCCACGGATGTCGCGCTGGTCACCGCATACACACCGGATGATGGCATCTTCCTCCTCCTCATCGTCATCGTTTTCAGCGGACTGCGTCGATTGTGCCCGCTGTTGTTGTGTCTTTGCTTGTCCCTTCTTGGTTTGCGCCTGTCCTTTCTTTGTCTCCGAGGCTGGCGGTGCTGCTGCTGCTGCTGCCTTGGCCTTGGGAGCGGGGGAGGGCTCGTCGAGCGCATCTTGATTCTTGGTGTGGTGGCCTTTGTTGGCGCGGCCAGAGCGCCGAATCTCGTCTGTAGTGGCAGTATCAGCATCAGCATCAGCGTGAGGTTTGGGGATGGGCGCGCGCGTGGTGGTGCTGGTGCCATGAGGGGCGCGACTTGGTGGCTTCATGGAACAGAGGCGCGTAGATGGTGTCTGCTTACCGGCCATGGTGTAGGACACGGGTGATGGGCTCAATATAGACGATACCACGAGTGCAGCTTATGCTATGTGCGAAACAAGATTCAAAAAGTCTCTACGAAAGCCCCAATCCTGCCTTGCGCGTCGCACTGCGGGTCCACGGACACGCCGTATGAACCGGCCTCTAACTAGTAAACGAGTGCGAACGGGCGCTCCTGCCTAATTGTACAGACAGAAGGCGCGATGCGTCGTGCGACTGCCGATTATGAGTCGCAACTGCCTCTTGCGCGTACCTGCCGAGTGCGGAGCCGGTGCCACGCGATGTGAGGGCGCGAGAGAGACGACAACTTGGAGTGATGGAAGCTCAATGCATGCGCTTGATCGTGAGCGCACTGTGGAAATAGCAGTGGGAGGTGAGGGGACTGCGATACCGAGTCGCAATGTGTCGTGTGGTGTCGGACTGAGTGGTGTCAGTGAGGAGGTGGAGCTTTGACACATCGTTTTGCCGATGTCTTGGCTGCCGTAATCCTTGCCACTAGCGAGCTGTGGACCCTTTGCGCGGCTGCCGGCTGGGCTGGATGCTCGGAGCTATTGGAGAAGCGCCAGAATCTCAACAAGAACATCGGTGGAATTAATCTATACACGCGTTCGCGGCGACACATACAGACTCATCTTCAGACCGAATATCATCCGAACCAATATGGCCGACGCACGAGCTCTTTTGCGACAACAGCGCGCAGCACGGCAACAGGCGCAAAAGCCCCAAAAGCAATCGGCAGCTCCTGCGACTGCACCCACGTCCAAAAAGCGCAAAGCTGCGGATGACACGGTCGAGGAGAGGAAACGCACGCGAACAGAGGAGGAGGCCGGTGTGCCAGCAGGTTTCTTCGATGCTGGGGCTGCGAAAAATGAGGAAGAGGTCGCGCCGGAAGCCACAGCCCAGGAGAGCGCGCCAATACAAGACACCAAGCCATCAGAACCACCAAAGCCGGCTGAGCCGCCACTCGATGCTACAGCTCAAGCGGAGCTCGATGCCTTCTTGAACGAGATGAACGCTGCGAAACCCGCGTCACCTCCGCCCACCAAAATAGCCTACTCGGGCGCTGTCATTGAAGCTGCGCCCATGACAGCCGCAGAGATCGCCGCACAAGCGCGTGAGGACCAGAGTGCACAACGGGCGAAACGGGATGAGGAGATGGAGGGCGAGAAGGAAGATGCTGCGCGGGCACTGGAAGATGAATTCGAGGAGATGGAAGGCCTCGAAGAGAGAGTCAAGCGGCTACGCGAACAGAGGGAGGCCCTTCGCTCTACCTCTGGTGGGATAATCAAGGTAGAGGACGATGGTGTCAAACCAGCTCCTTCCGCTGAAGAAGACGGAGAGAGCGAGTCTGACGACGACGAGGACTGGGACGACTGGAGATTTCGTCCCGCCTGAGTCCTATAACTGCATTGCATACAGCAAGCTTTCTGGCGGTCGACGCATGTAACATACTGTAGCATACCACCATTGTGATACCCGGGGTCAGGAGTTCCCAAGCATCAAGCATTCAGTCCTAGCAGGGTTGTCCTTGTCGGTCGAATACGACTTTACATAGAAGCGATGAACTATTCTGCTTTTCATACATGATAATCCAAGACACACACCATTCCACCGAAAAGCAAGCCCCTGGCATGTGAGATGGCGGTACCGAATGCCAAGCCGAGCGTCATGGGTGAGAAACATCAAACGGTTGGGCAGGCACGAACGAAACGACCTAACCCCACTCGCCCAATTCCACCCTCGATTGACACGTGCCCTCGCGATATACTGCTCTCCTCTTCCAGACACACGCGTTGAAATACGACTACGCTTACGCACTCCGAACATAGTCTCCGCATACGACCGTCTACCCCACAATGTCGCGACGGCCCAACCCTGCCGCTGATCGGGCGGAACAGAATCGTGCGACGCTCAAGAACTTGGTGAAGCTTGAAGGGAACAAGACTTGCTCAGACTGCAAGAGGAACAAGCGTATGTTTTCTGGGCCTTCAGTATTATTCGCATTCGCTAATGGTCGCTGCAGACCCACGATGGGCCAGCTGGAACTTGGGCGTCTTCATCTGCATTCGATGTTCGGGAATTCACCGTGGTATGGGAACACATATCAGTAAAGTCAAGTCAGTCGATCTTGATACCTGGACCGATGAGCAACTCCAAAGCGTGCTGAAATGGGGAAATGCGCGAGCGAACAAGTACTGGGAGTCAAAACTGGCGCCTGGCCATGTGCCGTCGGAGGCAAAGATTGAGAACTTTATCCGCACAAAGTACGAGTCGAAGCGCTGGGTCATGGACGGACCTATGCCGGATCCTTCTACTCTAGAAGCAGACGACGACGACGTGGTGAGTTAAATAGGGTAGTGGTTATATCAGGACAAGAGCTAACAACAGACGTAGCCGTTGAAGAAGGTTCAGGAGAAGGTCCAAATAGAACGCTCAGCATCACAACGCCTAGCCCAGAGCTCCAGCCAGCCTCCTCCTCCGCAAAGACAGGCACAGCCTCAACCAGCCATCGACCTATTTGGCGACGATCCTGTTCCTCAGCGACCGAGCACCGGACCACCAGTCGCAGCGAGAGCGCCCCCGAAGGCAGAGCCAGCACCACCGAAACAGAACAAAGCAGGGGATTCATTGTTAGGATTGGACTTTCTTGGTGGATCATCGTCTGCAGCACCCTCTCGTCCGTCCAGCACGGGGCCCGCTGCTGCGGCACCATCAAGACCGGACCTCAAGCAGTCGATTTTGTCGCTATATGCCTCGAAGCCCGCAGCTCCGCCCCAACCACAGCAGCATGCACGTCAAGACTCTTTTGGTGGATTGGCGTCTCCTCAGGGACCGGCATCGCCGTCACAATCGGCCTTTGGTGGCATGAACGATGCATTCAGCAGCCTGTCCTTCAACGCCGCTCCGGCACCCAAGCCCTCGCCGTTCTCTGGTCTCGATAGCTTTTCAAGCGCAAAGTCACCGCCCTCCACATCTTCATCAAACATGTTCGGTGGTGGGGGCAACTTCTTCGATTCCAAGCCTGCTCCACAGAACCAGTCGCACAGTCGTACCATGAGCCCTTCAGGTGGCTTGTCTGATTTCAGCGCTTTCTCTTCGCCCGCTCCATCTAAGCCTGCAGCCCCCGCAGCAAGCGGCATGAACGATTTGCTTGACCTATCCATGCCATCTGCACCGGCCCCTGCACCGAGGGTCACCTCCCCGCCACTAGCATCACCTCCCGCAAGCTCGGCCTTCAACCTCTCTTCGCCTGCACCGGCGCCTGCTCCCAAGGCTGCTCCTGCGCCCGCGGCTGTAAACTACTCAGGATTTTCTAACATGGACGCCTGGGGTAGCAATGATGTCTGGGGTTCTTCTGCCCCTAGCCAACCGGCAGCAACAACTACCACATCGCATGCTCAGCCCACCACTCCTGGCTGGGGTGCACCACAGGTAACACAAGACGATGACTTTGGGGGCTGGAGCAGTGCTGCGCCCACTACCACGACGCAGACAACCACTACTACACACACCACCACTACTCAAAGTAAGCCTGCAGGAGGATTCGGAGGCGGCAGCGATGACCTCTTTTCGAACGTCTGGGAGTAAGAGCTGCGCATAATGGATGCCTTCTGGCTTGACGATCGTTGCGTCTTATGTACCTTAATGCACGTCTTGCTGAAGATGATCCAAAAGCGAGTATGGAATAGAGTGTAATGTACATAGTGTACATAGTGATGTTTATAGACCGCTGAATTGAAACAATAATAAACACCCATGCCCTGTACGTGGAAATGCTCCCAAACGCCGCATATGCTGGTACCCAATACGCTTTCCCCCTGCTCGGAAGCCTGACCCATATACCAAGCCATCACAGTCCCATCCGCTCAGTTGTTTGATATCTTCCGTGCCCGTCATCGCGTTTTGCTCTGTCGTATCTTCCACAACTCACGTAGCTGCGCCTGACATCGAGCCGTTGCTGAGAAACATCGTCTACCCTGGCCGAATGATATTACGAGGCAAACTGCGACTTTAAAAGACCAAATGCCATATCCAATATAGAACCACCACAGTCGCTATTATTATGCCTGATAACTTGAGGATGGCTACTTTGTTTCCCGACGATGCCATGCGCGTTAGGCGTGTTGCGGAGCCTTTGAGGGTTGTGGAGAAGGAGGAGAATGTATCGGACTATGATTGGAATGTCAGTTGTGATTTGGTGAAGTTTGAATGCATCCGTTGAGTGAGTGAGATCAGACACGAGGAAGAAGGGTAGCAGAGAGATGGAGGGGTAATATGGTGGGAGTTGAACCGTTGCGTTCATGCTCATGGGAATGTAGGTATGTTCTTGACGTTGGGTCTAGGGGGACGTACTGTGCTGTCGATGACATGTTGATCGCGTGCGTTGTCATAGATGTCTATTGTGACGCCTCGAAGTGCCGAGACTTTAGAGGCCAGCTCATCCAGTCGAGAGTTGTTCTGTTGCTCGCGCTCGTAGGCTTGCGACATGGTTATGCTATGCGCCTCCGGCTTCTTTTGGTTGCTTCGGGTTGCGAGGGCAGTGTGGCTGAGAGTGGGGTATCGCGTCGTCGGAAACCGTATTGGTCTTCTTCAAGGAATTAACAGAGTGCTGCAGGTATCTCCAAGGCTGATTTCTGGTTCGTGGCTGTCTCAACGCGACACCCAGCGGGTGACGTTCGGGCGCCAAGGGACCCTGAGTTGATGGGGTTAGCGTCGAAGGGCGCGCGCATGCGTCTGGGGAAGCTGCGTTTGCCAGCAACTCCCACGACTTGGTCTTCTACCTAACATCTCATCTACCATCATCTTCGCCGATCTCTCTTCTTCATTCTTGGTGTCGCATGATCCACCTTGCATTTTTTGTCCCATTAATCACTACATCGAGTATGCAACCAGAAAAGAAAATTGTTGCCTCTTGCGCTGTCCATCACTACCAGAAAACAGCGTACTATTGCCTCTAGCTGTAAGGCATACTAAAGATCACACAATCTGGAATGAGAATATAACAAGGCTTCGCTTCTTATCTGTTCGTTGTTGTACGCCATGGATTCAAAGTATGGAAAGATGTTGCAATCTGCAAAGCCATCAACTCGAAACGCGATGGGGTCACTCACGAGCTGCAGTGTTCTGAGAATGTACCATGCGTCTACTGCGCCGCAAACTAGACCATGTCTAGGCAGGGGAAAAGCAATCATCACAACAACGCCAGCTATCCATTGCGGAGTAGATGTGGCATGTCACTCAGCATATGCATCGGAGGGCTTGGGAGCTTCAACTTCGTGGAGTTGTGTTCCCATAAATAGTATGCGGACACTATCTGCGTCAGTCTTTCTCATCCCCCCACGGGACTAGTCTTCTTTCAGGGGCTAAGACATTTCCGCATGTCGACACTGCTCGACCGTATCTGCATGTTATGGCCACAAGGCTGAGGTTGAGCGTACAGCTCGAATTCATCCACAGTCTCACCATAACGATGAACTGCATATCCTTATCGTATTCAGTCCTTGGCTCTAAATCCGCCGGATTTGGCTCTTGCTCACTGCTCAGATCATGCTCCGCCTTGTATATGTTCCAGTAGCAGAGTGCCAACGCTACAGGGAATGTATCTCAGCTTGCATATCTTATTACCGAAAGGACCTCAGGATTACAAAGTAGGGGTCGATTATCGTTCCAGAAGTACCCCAGCCTAGTCGATGTAAGTCCGAAGGATGCTATACCCTACTTGATCGCCGCATCTGGTATGGCGCTGGTGGCGAAGTAGTGCACTGAAGCGTATTCGGTTCCATCCCACATATTCGGCCCCCATCTGTGCTACGCCGCAGAGGCTCGTGCTGTTGAATGGTACATACCTGGAGGTATTGTGAGATGGGAGAGTTAATGTATAAATGAGTATGTTTGATCCTGTGTCGGCAGCAATTCTCAGGCTTTTGCTATGTTCTTTGGGTTGATTGTAGCCTGATTTTCTTTCAAAATTCTTGTTTGCTTGCTTTCTACAGCAATGGCGTCTCTTCGCACCCTTCTCCTTGCGTGTGGAGCCTTGTGGGCTAGTGCTGCAGTTGCAGTACTTGATTCTACTGTAAAAGTCCGCAATGCCCCAGGCCAGTCTACGGAAGATACATATCTTGCCATCGGGCGAGGCCTAGCTGCCGCTAGTCTGGAGAAGCGTGGAAATTTCTCAATTCCCCCCATGGATATAGCAAGAAGCTGGAGCGGCGCTACTCTACTGTCGGTGTAAGTGATTATATGCGGTCGTCAGAGTTGCTATACCAGACAAAGGTTGACAGCCGCCTCTAGAGAAGTTGCATCAAACCCATCGCTGAACCACGACAACAAGACACTCGAGGTCAAAGCTGGTATCGAAGTCACCTGTACAAAATGCTATGTGAAGGGAGTTGCTACTGCTGAAGTCACGATCGACGGCGACTTTAACGCCACCCAGCTTGTTCAAGGAGCCATTGATTCAGTCGACACAGCTGTTCAGAACCTCACCGATCAGTTTGAAGGCTATCTGGACAGAGCGATAGAGAGATTCAACGCCAGTGACGGGATTGATGCGTCAGATTTCGAGTACCCAACATTTGAGCTTCCGTTTGACCTGAATGTTTCCGCTATACCTGAAGCCAACCTACGCTTCCAATTCGATGGCATGGAGCTATACCTAGAGATCGGCACAGTTCTCAGCGCTGGAGCGACATAC